CAAAACCCCAAAACCCCAAAACCCCAAAACCCCAAAACCCCAAAACCCCAAAACCCCAAAACCCCAAACCCCAAAACCCCCAAAACCCCAAAACCCCAAAACCCCAAAACCCCAAAACCCCAAAACCCCAAAACCCCAAAACCCCAAAACCCCAAAACCCCAAAACCCCAAAACCCCAAAACCCCAAAACCCCAAAACCCCAAAACCCCAAAACCCCAAAACCCCAAACCCCAAAACCCCAAAACCCCAAAACCCCAAAACCCCAAAACCCCAAAACCCCAAAACCCCAAAACCCCAAAACCCCAAAACCCCAAAACCCCAAAACCCCAAAACCCCCAAAACCCCAAAACCCCAAAACCCCAAAACCCCAAAACCCCAAAACCCCCAAAACCCCAAAACCCCAAAACCCCAAAACCCCAAAACCCCCAAAACCCCAAAACCCCAAAACCCCAAAACCCCAAAACCCCAAAACCCCAAAACCCCAAAACCCCAAAACCCCAAACCCCAAAACCCCAAAACCCCAAAACCCCAAACCCCAAAACCCCAACCCCAAAACCCCAAAACCCCAAAACCCCAAAAACCCCAAAACCCCAAAACCCCAAAACCCCAAAACCCCAAAACCCCAAAACCCCAAAACCCCAAAACCCCAAAACCCCAAAACCCCAAAACCCCAAAACCCCCAAACCCCCAACCCCAAAACCCCAAAACCCCAAACCCCCAAACCCCAAAACCCCAAAACCCCCAAAACCCCAAAACCCCAAAACCCCCAAAACCCCAAAACCCCAAAACCCCAAACCCCCAAAACCCCAAAACCCCAAAACCCCAATGAACAGGTGCCAACAGCTACACAGCACCCAGCACCTGTCACCCTATTTACTCGTCCAGCCCCATTTGATGGTACTAGTCATATTGGCATTTGGCTGTGCAAGATGCACACATTTGCCCACAGTGTACACCCTGGCTGTGATGAAGATACCTTTGCTAATTCACTGACAACCAATATGGCAGGTACTGCAGACCAGTGGGTCCAGATGCTGCCCATGCTGAAGCTGAGCTCCGTGCACTCAGCCAGATGACAACTGTGCATGCTTATGCCAATGAATTCCAGAGCATCACAAGCTGTGTTCCCAACATGTCAGATGATGACCAGCACCGCTGGTTTCTGTGTGGTCTTTCTGAAAAAATCCGCAAGCCTGTTGAGATTGCACGCCCACAAACATACAATGACGCCCGCCAACATGCCCTTGCTGAGGACATCGATTTTTCGGTTTCAATCCAGCACACAAATTCTGCATCCCACCATGTGCCTGCACCACCCCCTTGTGATCCATTGGCAATGGATGTTGATGCTTTCCAGGCACCATGCCTGAACCATCTTTCTGATGGTGAGCACAACCACCTGCACCAAGTAGGCACCTGTTTTAAATGTTGCCAACCAGGCCACATCTCACGTTTTTGCCCACAAGGCCATACTCCTCATGTTAACAGGTGAATTCAATAAGCATCCTTAAAATTATATTCTAAAACTAGGAAAAGAGAAGAGAGGGAACTCATAAAATATTGTTGTTGTTTTGCCCTTTTTATGGCTGTGAGTCTTTCTACTCACAAGGAAAAGGGCAACTGATGGGCATTTCTTATTAGGGAAATCTGTGCCCAACAAACATCATGTGTGTATGCTCATGCATGTGCATTGCAAAATGGGGAGCATCTTTGGGCATCAATGTAATGCCTCCCTAATTTATGCCTGCATGATCCAATTAGCATCCTATCTGTGACATCAGAAATGGGGGCTGAGGCACGTGACAGTACAGACATGTAAAATATGTTTATGATATTTTACACATACAGCAAATTCTGAATAGTGAGCTCTTGAGCTCTTTCCATAGTCTCATTTCTATTAATATATATTATAGCTAGTCCAAATCGCATTACATTTGGTAGCACCTCAAGTTCGAAAACCCATGCTTCCTCATCAATGATTGACTGACCAACAGACAAACTGGTTAATATATATATATATATATATAAAAACAGTAACTATGACTGGAATGTTGCCATACAAATCGGCAATGAGATGCAGCCCAACACTGGCACCAGATGAGGACAATGCAGAGAAGGTGGCAATTGCTGTTGGACCCTGGGTGAGAGATACTGAGGAACACTTTATCCATGCAAAGCTAGACGAGAGTGAGTGGGTATTTGTAGCCTCACACAAGATCCCAACAGACAAGAAAAACGAGTACTGCAGACACTGTACAGAACACAACAAGTGTGACATCAGAAATGGGGCCGAGTCACGTGACAGCGCAGATGTGTAAAATATGTTTATGATATTTTACGCATACAGCGAATTCTGAATAGTGAGCTCTTCAGCTCTTTCCGTAGTCTCATTTCTATTAATATATATTATAGCTAGTCCAAATCGCATTACACATTCCTTGGATTAAGTGGCTACTACTGCCGGTTTATTAAAAACTATGCTAAAATAGCACTACTGCTGACTGATTTGCTATGCAATACTGACTTTTCATGGAACGACCAGGCTGACAGGGTTTTCATTGAGCTGAAGCAGCAACTATCCACAGCACCAATACTCCATCAGTATGATCCAACTTGTGAAACAAGAGTCAAGACAGATGCACCTGGCTCTGCAATTGGTGGTGTCTTGCACCAACGACATGACAAGATGTGGTGCCCAGTGGCATTCTACTCGGCAAAGCTAGGACCAGCAGAGTGCAACTATGCAGTCCATGAGCAAGAACTTCTTGCAATCATTTGTGCACTGGTCCTCTGGAGGCATTACCTACATGGCATCAAGTTTGAAGTGATTACAGACCACAAATCAATCAAGTTCCTTAAGACGCAAAACAACATATCCCCACATCAGGCCTGCTGGCTGGATATCTGGCAGGAATTCGACATGAAAATCATTTACTGCAAGGGTGCTCAAAACACAGTTGCTGATGGCTTATCATGCTCACTCGAATTGCAACCTGAAAACATAGTATATGCAACACCACAGTCAGGCAAGGTGCCTCACATGACACTGATGCCACCAACAGGCCTGACCACACCAGCTGTTGGGCATAGATTTCCTTAATAGGCAATGCCCATCAGTTGCCCTTATCTTTGTGAGTGAAAAGACTCACAGTCATAAAAAGGACAAAACAACAACAATATTTATGAGTGCTCCTCCCTTCTCTTTTGGCTAGTTTTTAGAATATAGTTTGAATGGCATTTATTGAATTCACTCGTTAACATTGTATACTTATTTGTTAATTATTGTATTTCTACAATTACCTCCAAGTAATGTTTGCCACATGTGGATGCAAGTCCTTGTACTCCTCGACAAATGACATGTGATCAAAGTCCTCATCCATTGAAATCTTGAATTTCTTTAATGATGGAGCAGCCAATATCAAGTATTTGATACTATCAAATTCTGCTCCTTTGCGATTACCATCGATTGAGGTATGCAAGTATAACTCGTTGATGTTGGTAGATATTGGTTTGACTTGGTCAAGTCTGAGCTCAAAGGTCTCATCATACAAAATAGCAGGCACTTCCAACTTGGTCAGTTTGGGCACTCTAGTCAGTATATCCACAACTGCACCAAGCTTAAACGAATTGTATGCTCTAAACATATGAATGCCACTCCATATAATGTGCTGATGATCACAATTATGTGAACATATGTTTATGCCCATCTTTATAGAGAGGCTCAGATCTGCATGGCTTATTTTGGTTGAGCTTCCAAAAAATGCGTTTGTTGCCTCATAAAACGCGTCCAAATCAGCATCAGAATCTAGCCTTATATCAACCATGCATCCGTCAATACACGCCTTCCTTGTATTGCCCAATAAATTAAGCATGCTGTGCGATCCACAAATATATGCATTCTTCAAGTGCCTGAACTCGATAGAAGCATTCAAAAGCCCAAAGTTGTTACCAATTCCATGAAGAGTAATGTCATTTAGTTTGGGCATGCACAGTGCAAAATATTCTTTATTGCTTGTTTCAGAATCATTTTTGTCTGCTAGCATGGGTTCATCTTCTATGTTGGAGTGGTGCACACTCAATTTTTTCAAGTTGCTGAAAGTAATACTTGCTGAATCACCACTATTGCTTGTAAAGCTCTTCCATGAAACCCCACTAATATCCCCATTCAGTTCAATTGACTCAATATTTGCTGCATTGATTTTTGGCAGGGCCTGTTTTCTATTTACACCCAAATTAACACTCAGGTTCCTAAGCTCAGGTGAAAATGCATTGGCTGTCCATACAACTGGAACAGTGCAACTGTAGCTTATTAGCCGGTGAGCATAGCTGTTGGAAATAATGCTGCAAAATTGCTCTATATGCTTGTCACTGTCATTAGAGAACTGCATGTCCAATTTATTGACATTGGGAATTGCCTTGACCATGTATTCTGCAAATGCAGATGTAGCTTGCATATATTCATTGCTGTCGATGATATCCAAAACATTGGAAATGTCGTATTTCTCAAAGTATATGAATACACTCCTGACACAGGGCCACTGGTCAGAGCCACATCTCATTATTTTTTGGAGTCTGGGGACTGTGGCATTAAGAATCCACAGATCCTTCAGTCTGGGGCACAAGGCATTGAGTGTACTCTGTTTTTTTTGCTGATCCTTCTGGCTGCTTATGAATTGCTGGCATTCCAAAGCAATGTACTCACTTTCATTATCCTCCTCATTCTCAAAACTCTCTCTGTATGCAATGTGCAAGTATTCCAAGCGCTTAAAGCATATATTCTCAGCTGTCAAGTCATTCTTTAGCATTTTCTCCCATGCAAATCTAGGATCTACATAGTCCAAGTCCAAGTATTCCAGTGTTTCAAAAAACACGTTTGGAAGGCTCTGCAAGGTATTCAACTCGAGATTCAGCGACAAGTGCACAAGCTCGCAGGAAAACTGTGTTGCAGTAAAAGTCATAGGGGAGGGGATGCTGACATGAACAAGCTGGTCAATGTAAAGACTAACCAACTCATCGTAAAATGTGATATTGTTATTACAATCACAATAACCTATCCTTAACTCAGTCACATTGGGAATATGCTGCTTTATACTGGCTGCCAGATTTTTGCTGCGCTGCATTGAGATATTAAAAGCATCATCTAAAGGGTCCTTAAATTCATCAATGCCAATGCAAAGCTGTGTAACATGTGGGCACTTTAACGTCTTAAAATCAATAAATTCTTCCAGCATGTCAAATGTCGGGACTGCAATGCTCAATTCCTGGAGAGCTGGGAACTGCAATTCATTCAAACTCCAAATGCTTTGCACATCAGAACTTTCATCCAATTTAAAATTCAATTTGCGCAGGCTGGGAAACACAATAGTTTCTGCCTGCTTGGTATTTGCCAGTTTGCTCCAAGGAAATATGCTAGTGACATTGCTTAGCACCAGTGTCTGCAACTTCTGGCAGCACACATGTGGAGTGTACTGCACATCACACATATTGATATTGAGTGTTGTGAGCTGGGTAAACTCAGTTGGCTTTGCTGATTCGGCAAATGTAAATGGTTGATAGCTGTGAAAATACTTTAAATTGCATGAATATAGTTGTGCCAATAGACCAGCCATATCAAATATAGGAGGGGCATTACCATGATACATCATATTGTCCAAACTATCCACACCTGGCATGTACTTTGCCATTTGCTGAGCAAATTTATTTGCATTGTCCATAATATCAGACTGAGATTTGCTGCCAATGTCGTTATTGTTGTTGTCCAGGTAGCCACTGATGTTGAGTGTGCTGACTCTGCTCCAGTCACTCATTTCAAATGAGAATATTGAATTTGCTTCAGCAACCAGGGAGCAATAATATTCAATATTATCAATATTGATGGTCACAGTTTTTACTAAGTGTGTGTTTCCAGTAGCCTTAATCAGCCCAATATTAGTATTAATGAGCTTGTCTTCAACAGCAGTGTCATGCAAGTGCTCAACAAAACTAAGACCATATTCATTAGACCCATCAAGTATGGCATTGCAATAGACCAAGCCAGTGGCCACTTCTCTCCACCTGCGGCAGACGCTCAGCAGCGGCAATCTGTCTGCCCATTCATTGATATCATGTCCACTGGTGTCAATGGCTACATGTAGAATGTGGTTGAGGATGACAAATGGAAGCTGGCTAAAGCAAGGCATAGTGAAAGAAATAATATTGATAGCAATGTTGTTGTTTAAAGTGGCTAAATGTGTTCTAAAAGTACTCTAATATTTTAAATAGTAATTGCTAAAATGATTAATTAAAAATGTAAGAGTAAAAAAATGCTCACATTCCACATAAAAACAATTGGCAGCAGCTGTGCTAAAAATGGCAGGACAAAAATAAGTAAAGCAAACTTGGCATGCATGTGTCTGCTTTATTAAAAAACAATTGAAAAATACATTCATTCAAAGCTTTCTTTTGGGAATCAAATACACAAAAAAGCAAAGCAATACTATTGCTTTGTTGCTTTGGTGCTTTGTACAATAGTTTTTCTTGTTAGTTGTGTGTTCAGCTACCAAAACAAAAGGCGCTAAAAGAACCAAAAAACAAGTATGCTGGTATTCGGAGAAACAACAATTGAGTTGCAGGCATCAGGACAAGCTACCATGTAATGAGGGATTTTGCTGGTTATAATAAATATTAATCTGAATGAGACTACGAAAAGAGCTAAAGAGCTCACTATCCGGAATTCGCTGTACGCGTGAAATATCATAAACCTATTTCACACGTCTGCGCTGTCACGTGAGTCAGCCTGTGACATTAATTATTAACATGGCATGTGACGATTGCAATTGTGATTGTTTATGATCGCGATTTCTATTTTCACGGGCGATAGTTTCGAATAGATAAGCGGAGCTCTTTAAGCTCCCTTATAGTGAATTTTTAATAAAATTAGTTAGTACGAATAAGTTTTATTACAGTCCCTCTTCACTGGAGGACTGCACTGTAACTGTGTACCTGCAGGGTTGGTGTCCCCATGGTTATATGTTGGATCTGCATTGTTGGGTAATTTGACTGTTTGGATTGGAAAACATGTTTACACTTTCTGGTAAGACTACCAATATTTCAGCATTCTATTTGGCTGGTGATTTATAAAATTGAGAGTAGACAAGAAAAGCTTACATTAATATATATTAAATTGTTGTTCACCGACAATCCCACAATGAGATGGAGTTGTCGACAGATCCAGTGGCCACCAGATGCTTGATTTCAGTGAGATCAACACAAGTGGTAAAATGCTCCGATGCCTCTATGGTCCTGATGCAGCGGCCAGTGACCAGGTCCCACAGGCGCATTGTTTTGTCATCAGAAACCGATATGAGTGTCTTCCCCGATGGATGGAACACAAAGTCGCGCACCCAGTCGTCGTGGCCGACAAAGGTGTGCAGCAGCTGCGACGATGACGTATCCCAAAGCCGCAACGTTTTGTCGCGCGAGCCGCTGATGACAAAAAGGCCCTGTGCATTGGCCGGGATGCTGGCATCAACAAGCTGAGCGTCTGAGCCGCTGCTATCCTTGTTGGCAGCGGCTATGGCGGCGGCCTTTTCGGCAGCAGTTGGCAAGGGCAGGCCCGAGAGGCGGCGCAGGCAGTTGTAGGCGTTGACAGGTGCAAATTTGGCGACCTCTACAACATTTTCATGGCCGCGCATGTCGGCTTTGCATTCGCCAGAGGCAGGATCCCACGTGCGCACACTCTGGTCGTTGGACGCGGTGCAGATCAAGCGCGCGTCCTCAGTAACGTTGACGCTGCGCACCCACTCGGCGTGGCCGCTCAGTGTGCGGATGCAGTAGCCGGTTGACAGCTCCCAGACCTTGATCGTCTTGTCACGAGATGCCGACACCAGCTTGTCGGCGCCCAAAAAACTGACGGCCGACACGCAGTGGTCGTGGCCGTGCAGCGTGCGCACGCACTTGTACTCATCAGCGATGTCCCATACGCGCAGAGTAAGGTCGGCCGAGCATGTCACCAGCACAGCACCCTTGGCGTCAAAGGCTATGTCCTGGACAGCCTTCGTGTGGCCCTTCAGTGTGCGCTCGAACGAGGCCGACTCTGTGTCCCAGATTTTCACGGTCATGTCCTCGGATGCCGACGCAACCACAGTATAGTGCGGGTGAAAGCGCACGCGCGTGACGGGCGCCTGATGTTGGACCAGCCTTGTCTGCGCCGGTGGCCGCGGCAGCCACTCGGCGTCTGACCGGGCCCCTCGCCGCACGACCGCTCCGGACTTGATGTCCTCCTGCATCTTGGCGACCTTTGTCTCCAGCTCGATGATCTTGCGCTGCAATCGGATGACCGATGTCCATTTTTTGGCCAGTAGGTTGTGGTGGCGGTCCTTGGAATCTGCTGTGAAGCCCTCGTTGTCGGTCTCGCGCGCAAACACGTCGGCGCTCTCAGTGTAGCCCTTTGTCTGCATAAAGTCGAGGATCGCCTTTTGTAGCTCCTTCAGCTGGCGCTCGGGAAGAATGTGCTCTGTCATTGCGTACGGGGAGGCAGTTGATTGGGTGAACGCGCGAATGAGGCGAGGCGAGATGACTAATTCGGACGAGACGAAATTGTCTGTTGATTGAGAAGTAGAATGCCGAGTGAGCGAATGAAAGAGAAAAGCGGGTGTCAAGCGGGGTGCGGCGTAGCTGGGAAGCGGAGTGGCAATTAAGTAATAATAAAAAGGATAGCTGAGGAGAAAAGATTGAATCCGGGCAGCCAGTGCGCGCACAACAAATAAATAAACAAAAAAGTGGATGAAAAACAGAGTTTTGTTCAGACTTTGGCTGTGCCCACCAGACGACATGCGCGTGCGTGCACTCTTTCGCATGTTCTCCCTGTTTCTTTCTGTGTATGCCGATCGCGGAAACGCCAGGGAACGAAATAGTGAGAAGGGGAGGGGCAGAGGCAGCAGCGGCTCAGCTCAATACGACCTGGCGAGCTGACTAGTATTGAGCCGAGCCAAGTTTTGAATACTCATTCCACTCATGCATTGCCCAAACCAAACTAAAAAAATGAATCAAGCGCGTAGAATTGCACAGCACAAACTGCTTGTTTTTTGGCTTTATTTATTGCGCGATATTGTTTTACATTTCCATTGCTTTCCTTTCTTTTTAAACAGTTTTTTAATTCAGTAGCTAAAACCACAATCAACTTTTATAATTATGTTTGGAAGCACGGCAGGCACTACTGCGTCGACGGGCGGAAATCTGTTTGGCGGCTTTGGCGCATCGAATCAGCCAGCGGCCACCACTGCAGGGAGTCTGTTTGGCGCGCCAGCAGCGTCTGTGGCGCCGTCTTCTGGCCTGTTCGGCGCGCCGGCTTCTTCTGCGGCACCAGCGTCCAACTTGTTTGGCGCGCCAGCAGCGTCTGCAGCTCCGTCTTCTGGCCTGTTCGGAGCACCGGCTTCTTCTGCGGGTCCATCTTCTGGCTTGTTTGGCTCGAGCGCAGGCCTCTCAGCAGCCGCACCATCTTCGGCCGCGATTCCGTTCCCATCGCTAGGCGCGCCTGCCTTTGGGGCAGCTCCAGGCACTTTGGCGGCACCGGCTTTCGGAGCGGCGACCGTGACAGCAGCACCAGTTTTTGGATCCACGACATCCGCAGCGACCCACCAGGCAGCCGCGCAGAAGCCTTCAGCAGAAGGGGCCGCAAAAATCACGCGCAAGACCAAGTTCATCGACCTGCCGGTGGACATCCGCAAGATGCTCGAAGACATTGAGCGGCAGAAGCAGGTCCAGATCCAAATCGGCAGCAGTATCCTGGCCGGCGAGACCGAAAAGGAGGTCAAGGAAGTGTCGCGCACAGTGCAGCGCCTGTCGCAGGAGCTTGAGGTTGTGCGCATGACTCTTGGCCGCGACCGCGACCGCGTCGACGATGCCCGGGCACAAGTCAACTTTGCTGTCAAGCATGCTGAGAAGGCGGCGTCGCTGGTCGCGCATGCCACGGACGACGGATCCTGGGCGCAAAGCGGACTGACACCGCTGCAGGTGGCCAATCGCCAAAAGGCGCTGCTTGCATTGCAGAATGGTTCAGAGGCTCTGTCGACTCCGATTATGAATATTCGCGACTCGGCTGCTGTTGCCGCGGCTGCCGATCAGAAGGCTTTAGGCGATGGCTCTGCCAATGCTGCTGCTGCTTCCGTTGACCCGTATGAGGCTGTGAGGCGGATCCAGTTCGCCAGCATGCACCATGATGTCGCCAGCGAGTACTACTGGGCGTGGCTGTCGCGCGTCGAGGCCTCAGCGCAGCTGCTCGCTGAGCGTTTGGATCAGCTGGAGCGACATGTGTCTGGAGCCCTGGCACACGCTCAGGGGGGCAATGACGACACTGGCACTACCGCTGGTCTCACCATCAGCAGCAGCAGGCTCAGCAGCAGCACCAAGCGCTGTTGACAGCGCAGGCAGGAGTAAAGTCATCGCCCAAAACTGTGTCCGACGTCATCCAATACCAGAACGACTCGTTTTTGGCCATTGCCAGCAGAGTGGCTGCTCTCAGCGATGATGTGCGTCGCATGAGGAAGAAGTTTGGTCTCATGGTCAGTGGCAACGTCAGCGGCAATGGATATGGCGGTGACAATGGATATGGCAATGGTAGCATGTCTTGAAGTCAGCCGCAAACTATTTTGTTTCATTTTATTGTTAATTCTTGAGTTTATAATAAAATAGCGAGCGGCAATTTTGAATCAAAATGAAAGCCTGCCATGAGAAGGGGAGGGTGGGTCGGGTCCAATTGAGCATGCCACTAGTCAACCAATCGGCTTGGCATGTCTTGGCTGACTATTCGACTGCGTGACAGGTGAGTGAATGGATTGTTTTTATTTATGTCTTTGCCATTGCCATTACTCTTGCCACTCGTCATCAAAGGCAGAGGGAGGCGGTGGCTGACAGGCGTCAGTATTCTTAAATGCATTGCGCCCAAATGCGCTAACCACCACATTTATTAACAAATCGGCACTGCAGATTCCCGCCTCGACGATATGCCTTTGACCAGAATTAATTAACAGCCGAGACAAAAGTCAATGTTGTGTGCCTATCACACGGTCAGTATTTTGCACATGTACACTCAGATTCCCAAAAGAGCGATATGCCGACAGGGTAGTCGCTTGACCACTCCTACTACCAACACATACAAAATCTCAATGGCAATGAATGTCAGCAGCAGCAGCAACAGAGCAACAATCAAACTCAAGACCCAATCATTAATCAGGTATCCTGAAACGTGGACTGCTTCAATGGCCATGAAGCCAAGGGCGAGGTAGGAGGCAAGGCGAGACAGAGCTAAGGCAGCGCAACGCAATAGCTTGTCACCCAAACAATAAACAAAACTTTTTTAAAGAGGGGGCGAGCATGTGATATCCGCCGTATATAATATTTTATCAGTGACACCATTGTAGATTGTGACTAGACGCGCTAAATGGAACATGGGCATAAATATAATTTTTGTGTTGTACGCAGTACACGCAGTCTATCTGGCTTTTTTTATTGGTTACAAATACACTGTCCTGTATAATAAAGAATATATTTTATTTTTATTAGGGTGGTGCTCCATTACTTGGAGCGATGCTCACTCCGCTCGCTGTTCGTGTCAGAACAGAACAATCAGAGCGTCTATAGCAAATGAAATTATTGTCATCCGGCAGTAAACGTCAAATTATCTTAACAAATATCAATTAGTGTTGGTAGTTGTTTCTTGTCTAGTCCAAAATTTTAGTGTGGGATGTATAAAATAGAACCCTTTTGTACGAGCTCAGGGGATTTGCCGGCTTGCTTTTTTCTTTTCATATTTTTCTTTTTCATTTTTTGTAGATTGATCTAGGCGCATTCTATTTCTCTGCTTATCTCTTAGTTATTTTATTGTTTCCTACCACTGACATTCTTGGCTTTTTTGATCCATCGTTGTCGTTGTCGTCATCATTAGTCGACGATCTCATTCTCTCTTTTTTTCTCGTTTATTTTTGTTGTGTACTATTTCACAATTATTTTATTTTATTTTATTTTCTAGGACCACAACTCACGACAGAGACTCGCAAGGCGCCTTGCTGAAATACAAAGAGGGCTTTGATATATGGCTGAACAGCACACAGTACCAATTCCGCGGCCGGCGCGCGAGACCACAGCGCTGCTCAATGCCGATGAAACACAGCAAAAACCGCGGCACAGTCGCTCGTTTGTCTCCGACGCAGCATCTGGACGGTCATCAGCGTAGCCGCGCTGACAACACTCGCCGTAGTGGGCACATCAGTAGTCCTACTTCTGAGCAAGCAATACTGGGGCGCTTCGCCGAGCACAGACAGCAGTGCGCGGCTGAATAGCAGAGCAGTCGGACGCTTCCTTCACATAACAGACCTCCATGTCGATCCTTACTATGTCGAAGGCTCAACCACATACTCGCAATGCCATCGCAAACCACCCACTCTGGCAACATCACCGCAGCAGCAGTTGCGAACCAATCGTCGCGGGAACAAGGACGGACACCAGAGCACTGGCCGCTACGGCGTGGCCGAGGCCAAATGTGATTCGCCTGTGGCCCTGATCAATGTCACTAGCGAGTACCTGAGGCAAATGTGGGCCGACCAATTGGACTTTGTCATCTGGACCGGTGACAGCGGCCGCCACGACGGTGATGCCGAGCTGCCGCGCACCTTTGACGAGATCATCGAGCAGAATTACATCACAGCCGCCGCCATGCGCCACGCCTTTAAGCAGCACCGTATCCCCATTGTGCCCAATATCGGCAACAACGACATTAGCCCACATAATGAGCTTGGCGAGCCTGGACACAAGCGTGCCAAGAAGACATTTAAGCAGCTGGCGGATGCCTGGGATGGGTTTATTCCGCAGAACCAGCTGGCGACCTTTCTGCACGCCGGTACTTTGCCCACGATGTGGTTGACTACGACCACCCAAAGTCCGCTGTCAACAAGGGTGGGAAGCGTGGATTGACGGCGCTGAGCTTGAACACGATCTACTGGTACCGCGCCAATGCCAAGGTCGGCGGATGCCGCGCTGAGGACTCGCCCGGGCTCGAGCAGCTCGCGTGGATCCGGTACCAGATACGGCGCGCGAGGCAGCGCAACCGCGATCTGATCCTGATGGGCCACGTCGTGCCGAGCCGCGACAACTACCGCCCCACATGCTACCACGGCTATGCGCGCACAGTCACACAGGTGATCCCACCACCACCACTGGCCGGCGAGAAGCGCGCGGATGCAGCAGATTATTTTGGTGCTGGCGGCGACAACGACAGGAAAAGGACCTGCCACTGGTGCATGCGCAGTTGTTTGGCCATAGCAACGTTGACGTGTGGTCGTTTGTCGGCCAGGAGATTGAGTGGGTTGCATCGAAGCTGCCGCTAGGAAACGCTACATCGGAAGACTCTACCGATGAAGGTGTTAAGGATAAGCGCCTGTGGTGGGAGCGCGAGGTGGACGAGGAGACTGGCCGCTTTGGCAGGCTGATTCGCGATGTTTGGATGGCCGACAAACCGTTGGCCGACACACCGCTGCAGTGGAGGGCCGCACCTGGGCTGACATGGAGGATGACCCGGCGGTGCGCTTTGTGAAAGACAGCCGCGGTGCTATCTGGCCTGCAGTTAGCCAGGACGCCCAAGATGGCGTTTCTGGCATGGCGCTGCCCGGTGACTTTGTTGAGTCGCTGCTGAAAGAGTTTGAGCAAGTGCTGGTGCGCACACCGCGAGGCGCTCGGCTGGGCGTGACGACAATTTCGCCGAGCATCATTCCAAAGTACTTCCCAGCTTTCGCGTCTTTTACTACGCACATGGGCCCAGCAACGGTAAGTGGCGCGACCTGCCGCTGGGCACGCTGCTTGACTACGACGTGTTTTGGGCTAATCTCGATATGCTGAACACAAAGGGTTTCAGCAGCGTCAGAGCGTTCTTTGCCCCGCTGTATAGGTTCTCTGAGGTCTACGGCATCGACGACCTGTCAATTGACTCGTATTTTCTGTGGGCGAGGAAACTGCTGTCGTCAAAGTCTTTGCGCAAGCGATTCAGGGCTCTGACGTACTTGGACACTTAATTTTTATTGAGTAGTTTGTTTTTTATTTGCGATTTATTTATCTGTATTTATTATTTATCCAACTGTGCATCCAGCAATGGTTTGTGTGGATGTTTCCTGAGCGTGGTTTTTTGTTTTACGAGGAGCAGGCGAATACGTTGTTTCTTTTTATAATTGCATTGTTTAAAAGGTGTTCTTTTTATTAAGGTTGAAAAGACATAAATGAACAAATGAACAATGAAAGAAGTTCAAAAGGGTGCTTTGTTGCTTTTTTTTACATTTTTTATATATTCATTTAAAAAGACAGGGCTCTGCTTTATTTTTATTTTTTGTTTATGCATCTGCCAAATTTCATTTTTTTAGTTGTCTGTGTCTGCTTGCCTTCATCGTAATTAATTTTACTTTTTACTTCACATCATTATTGCTATTTACTAATACCTTGTCCATATCATTATTTTAATTCTTTATTTGTTGAAATACAATATTTTTATACCGCTGTAAGTACAGACAAAATGGGTGCAATAGTTCTAGCCATCAGCGCTGGCATCGCCTTCATAATCCTCGGCGCCATGTTATATTCCAAGCGATTCCGACGCCGCAAACTGCGCAAAACCAACCCCGAAGCATACGCCGCTCACGTTCTCGGAAAAAACCCAGCAGCCAAAGGCAAAAATCACAACCAAACCACAAAAACACTGCCGCTGCCTCATACCCAGCCCGCGTCCACAGTACCAGTTATGCCAATAATCCCGGCCAATATAAAGACAATTTCACCGACGATGTCAACTCTGTTATTTCTCTCTCACCAGGCACCGAAAGAGATTACTTCCCGCCTCAGCGTCCAGCAATTGTAGGAGCATTTGGTACACGCTCAGGCAGCCCAACCACGCTTAACAATAACAATACTGTGTCTAATCGCAGCTCCACACATGCTCTGGATATGCTGCGTGGCAGGTTTGGCAACGTTGGCGCTTCGCAGAGTAGCAGCAACAGCACTTCTGCCAGCTCATCTAGCGAAGCTGAGCTACAGCGCCAGCGCAACCGCCAGTCCCGTGTACATGTGGCTCCGCCAATGGAGATTCCAAATGGCCAGCCCATGCCTATGCCCATGCCCATGCACATGATGCACCATCAACCGCCAATGCAGCCGCAGCTTATCTACCATCCACAAAACATGATGCCAATGCCAATGCCGATGCAGTTTGTGCCTAATGGTCCTATGCAGATGCACCCAATGCAGATCCAAGCTATGCAGCAGGGTGGTCCAGTAAATTCCCAGTTTGCTACCAGTGGTGGTCCAGTTAATATGGACCGCGAAATCGAAGAGTTTGACACTTGGGCGCGCACCCGTCAGGCCAGGTCACAGCAGGCCAATAATAATGGCGGCGAAGGCAGTAGTGGTGGTGTAGGAGGTAACAGCCCGATGATTGATTTGGGCCCTGTACCAGAGTTTATGAACGATATTGGCATGGATAGAGAAGGTGAAAATAAGGATGATTTGCCGCCACCGTCTTACGACCAGGTCAACATCTTCAAGAAACAGGAAAGAGACTAATAAGACAATTGTTTTAATTGTTTTTGAGGGGGTATTCGGGCTTAACCACGCTGAATAGCTGTAAAATTAAAATACATTCAAACCATAAAATTTTTACTTTTGTTACTGCTAGGTTAATGCACGTGATATTTACCCACATACTTGTTAATCGGCGCAGTTAGGCAAAACCCGGCGATCGGTTCGAGCTAATTTAAGCTGTGATTCAGGTATAACTGTTTGAAATGCGCCAGTATTTATCTTGATCACTTTGCCAGGGGAGAAAGACTCGTCTTTTTTTTTTGGCGCGTGGGTGACTAAGGGGAAAGCTGGCCGAGATTAAAATTTTTGTCGATATACCAGCGGCTTTGAGCACAATGTGAAATGATCGCGAAATGGCTTGGCAGACATCCAAAAACACCAAAAAATTAAATATAAAATTAAATACCAGATATTTGTAACCGGTCTCCCTTGTTGGATTGGAGCTTATTTGTCTGGCCATCTTGTTAAGCAGGCTGACAATATGGAAGTAGATGTTGATAAAGACTTGTTTCACGATTATTAACCTCAACATGCCAACTAACAGGGCATTGATGGTACCATAGAGGATCAAATCAGGGGACACAATAATGACACCCTGATATACCCTTCCTTTCCATAATGCATATGCTTGAATGCGCATATGCGAAGAGCACAGCCTTGACATGCCAAGATGCCAGTCTGCCCACAGAAGAACCAGTTCTTACCAACGGAGTGCACAATAAAGGGAGCGAGATACATATATAAGATGAGGCCGGCCCTAGTTCTACTTTGATTCCATTGATAATAAAAACCTTCATAAACTAACACCCCACCTTTAACACTAGGCGACTAGTGCTTTACTCAAATCACCCATCTCTTATTATAACAATCTCTTAAGCTTTAGTCGCGATGCTTCAACTTTGACACCAGCGAATGAATAGATATGTATGTGAGACACAGCCTTGCACATCATTTCTCCTTAATTGGTCGATACTTCTTATCAAAACTTATTCACTTTTAGCCACGAAAAATCTCGCTATCATCGTTCTCGCGCCTGCCGGCCTGGCCCACGTTGACATGCCCAGTATTGAAGTTGATTTGGTCATTAACAGCGATTCTTCCGGGTGTAGAGCTCTGGCAGATACGCAGGGAAGCGGCGAGGTCGCTTGTTGAGATGTTTGCGTTTTGAGCGCTGAGTCTCGGGGCAAAATGGGTTACGTTTGGGGAGTACACCCCTGGCATGCTTCGCGCATTTTTGAGCCAGATTGCCGGCTGCGCTTTGGAGGTGATCACTGATTACGACTGATTATTGATTAGTTGAAAGCTAAGGATGAGTCGGGGATTATATGTGTGCTCGGGCAAATTAATAATCAAGATAAATGCGCGATATTTGTCAGCACGTGCGTGAAATAGCATGGTCCGTTTCGGCCATTTTTTGTCCATTTTTCTGCTCTTGCAGCCATCGTAAAGCGTTAGAACCAAAAAATTAGAATGAGCACGAGTATTTAAGCCGCATTGTTTTTCTCCTGTTCTCTGCTTTTTTAAAATACACAAACTATTGCTGTAAAACATTTTTTCTTATTCTCGCTCATTTGAACTTGCACACACAAATATATTTTACACTCCAAATTCACTCATTTATTTTAACCATGGCCTCGCTCGAGAACTCTGACTCCCAGGTGTACACTTCAGTCAAGGACTACTACGGCAAGGTGTTGCAATCAAGCAAAGATCTCAAGACCAGCGCATGCACGACCGGCTCCCGACCAAACCCGATTCTCCGCAACATAATCAGCAAAGTTCCAGACGCCGTCAACGACAAATTCTACGGCTGCGGCAACCCCATCCCTCTCGGCATCTCGGGCAAGGACGTTCTCGACCTAGGCTCTGGCAGTGGCCGCGACTGCTACGTGGCCGCCGCCCTAGTCGGCCCCAAGGCTCCGTCACCGGCGTTGATATGACTGACGAGCAGCTACAAACGGCCCGCGAAAACATCGACGCCTTTGGCCAAACACTCGGCTATCAGCCCAACTTAAAGTTCCTCACCGGGTACATTGAAATGCTGCAGGCCGCTGGCGTGGCCAAGGAGTCCAAGGACATTTGTATCTCCAACTGCGTCATCAACTTGTCGCCCAATAAGCGGCTTGTGCTGGAGGGTGTCTACCAGGCATTGCGTTCCGGAGGCGAACTTTATTTCTCCGACGTCTACGCTGATGCGCAGCTTTCTGATGAGGCGCGCGCACACGACGTTCTCCTGGGCGAATGCATTGGCGGTGCGCTGTTCACTGAGGAATTTGAGCAGATTGCTCACGATATTGGTTTCGCCACCCCGCGTGTTCTGGCAATCTCGCACATTGAAGTACACGATGAGAAGCTGAAGGCCCTAGTCAACGATACAAAGTTTTTCTCCATAACTTACCGCTTATTCAAAACACCCCAGGGTGACATTCATCCTAGAGGCAATGCGTTGGTCAGTGTCACGTATAATGGAGCGATCGAGGGCCATGAGGAGGAGTATGTTTTGGACGTTAATAATGTGTTTAAGCGCAATGTGCCGACTGTTGTTGGTGCTGAAACTGCCTGTGTGTTGTCGTTGTCGTGGCTTGAAAAGTATTTCACTTTTGATTATGATTTTGAGGTCAAGCAGGATGGTGCTGCGGAGAGATGAATGTGCCGGGTGAGGTTGCGTCGACACTGGTGTTGATGCAGAAGGCGTACGAGGAGAGTATCGAGAGTGAACCATCTGCTGGATGCTGCCCGCCCAAGGCTAATCGTCTGGATGCTGCCCGCCCAAGGCTAAATCCTCCGACTGCTGTCCGCCCAAGCTGCCTCTGATAATGCTTCTGCTGGATCCTGCCTGCCCAAGATTAAACCATCTGGCTGCTGTCCGCCAAAGCCTATTACTGCCGATACGCCAAAGGCAGAATCTACTGGCAAGCTTGAAATTCTCAACGCTTCTTCAAAGGACAGGTGCTGTGGCAAAAAGTGCTGCTAATCGTTTGATAATGTTTTATATCTTGCTTTGTTTGAAAATGTTAACTACTAAATCTATAACGTATAATTGCAAGGAATACAATTTATTATAAAGCTTATTCATTGGAGAATTAAAGATTGTTACATTTTATTATACAGTATTCGGGTTTAGTTGACTAACACCCTGGCAGATATTTCCATTGTCAGGCAATTAAACCTAGGTATAAATAACTTTTGACCACACCGCATATATAGTAATTTTCTTTATAGGGCCATGTAGTAAGGTCTGCAATAGAGCCATGATGGGCAAGGTGGTGTGGTAGACACTCGGTCTAAATCATTGTTTAATTGTTGTCTTTTACTTGTTTTATATCTCACTCAATAAGTCTATTTTTCTCTCTTTCTCGCTCTCTCTCTCTTCCACATACACATACTGCGGAAATTTGGTTGGAAATTATTTTGCCAAAATCAAAATTTCAATTGTTAAATCAAAGAGGGTTGATTTTTTAATGTTATGTAAGCATGAAATATTCTCAGTATCATTATTAAATGCATATTTTTGATTTTTAATTTTGGAACTTCTCTAACTAATACTACTAATATTTTATTTTATACTTGTTTTTCAAAAATGAATTACAACTTGTCGCAATTTCAAACGCTTCCCCTTGACATAGTCAATTTAATTGTCTTGTACCTTTTCCCCTCTGCCAATTCAAGATATGAGTCGATTCTGGTCACAGATTTTCATTATGAACTAACTGCTGCTCTCATTCGGTGCTGCCACGCTTGGCGCACGGTCATTATGGAGCGTCTCTGCCGCGAAATCACCATAGAGCGCTTTTCTGACGGTACAGTGGGCGATATGTCCTTTAAACGCTGGCCTAAGTTAGCCTGTACTCCAACGTTTCGGATTACCCATCTTGTGAAAAGGGTTGTTGTAGTTGTATGCACTGGGCCGAGTGCAGATGGGCCTCGAGCAAAGCATCTAATCAGCAGGTCTAGCCAGCCCAGTTTTTTTTCCGAATGCCATTGGGTTAAAGGTTGTTTTGCCTGATACAGGGATAGTCGTTCTGTCGGCGCAAATCTTACTGAACTTGGTGCGAGCGAGTTTGCACAAAATATCAAGCGGATGGTTCCAGCGGTGCGTGATGTTGCAATCCACAGAATTGATCCGCATTACGCAGATGGTTATGACATGCCCAACGATCATCTCTTGGGCAGGTTCAGCATCGATTTGTGCCAGTCAGTGAGCCAAGTGTCCATTAAATGGTCATGCGGTGTGCAACAATATGATGTGGGATCAGAGTGGGAGGATGGGCTCACAGACAGAAAGTACGAGGATTCACAACGCGACCACCGCGCTTTGTTCGAGCTCATTCGTCGGAACGCAGGCACGCTGCAGTCGCTCAGGGTGCGTTTGAAAGATGACCAAAAGATTAGCGATCTTTGCAGCGACGATTCTGGCTGTGCCATCGTTTATCCGCTCCTCGAAAAACTTATCATCTACAGTCATAGGGACTCATACTTCTCCTCCATGTCTGATGCTGATCAAACAGTTGCATTTCCGATGCTTAAATATCTTAGTGCCCGTGATTACTTTGATCATGCCGATCACGCGTTTAAAGGAATCAGCAGCACGCTTGAGTACCTGTTTTTGGAGCTCAGCACCGATACCGTTAGAAGGCTTGAACAGAGCGGCATCTTTACGACGAAAAGCTTCCGAAACTGCGCAAACTAATACTGATCAACGTGGGCAATAATAATGTCATTGGAATACCAGCAGCCGACGCAATGCGATTTGCAATCAAGATCCTTGATACAGCACAGTTTGTGCGCGAAATCTCAATCCCCAATTATTTTGATAAGAGCGTGTTTTATACCAGTATTCAGTCGACAACAGCGTGGACCAGCAGCATTCAGTTGGTTAGTATGTGGGATGGTGCGTCTTTTGAAAACATTGTGCTCTTACTCAAACATCTTCCTGCCTTGCGGAAACTTGATTGTTCTATCAACGGACAGGCCATTGGCACCGGCGGTTACGACGACTACTTTGACGAACCGGTTGATGTCATTTACCAAAACAATTATCCGGTCGGGAGGTGCTTTACCACCTGGTATATAAATAATAATGGTATAGGTTGCCTTAGTCATATTACGACAGCTATTGCACTGGTTGCCATTATATGCCCCACGTTTACACGCCATTTATCGATGGCAGTATCTACTACCATCTAATTTAGACCAATTTGGAAAAATGCAAATGGTGATTTCGGCAAGTACGCTGACCGACTCCAAAACGTCAAATATTTGAATAGAAGGACATTATTAGTAAACTTTATAATAAAATGCTTTAGTTTAATTGTTGGTTTATATTTTTAACATGGCTTGATTTTTCTTTAGATGTGTGAAATTTTAAAAATATTGCGGCTGTTGTGATTTGAGGGGAGAACTAGTTTTCCAGTGTTAAAGATGTGATTTAAGGGGAGCACTAGTCGCCTAGTGTTAAAAGTATGTTATAGTTTTTATTACCAAGGAATAAAAGTAGAGCTAGGGCTGGCCTCATCCTATATATGTATCTCGTTGCCTTTGCTGTGTCCATTGCCAATTGTGTGCTCCATTGGCGAGAACTGGTTCTTCTGCGAGCAGACCGGTATCTTAACAAGTCAGTGTTGTAGTTTTTGTGTGTGCACTCACGCGTGTGGATTGAAAAATGGGGAGCATGACTGGGCATCATTATTATACCTCTCTAATCTACGCCTGCATGATCCAATTAATACCCTATCAATCGTCATGAAGATGGAAACTTTTCACGGTTCTCAACCTCGACATCCACTTCCATGTCTTTAGGCTGCGCAACACGACCATTTGCCGGAGAATATTAGTCGGACAGACGAGTTTATAAAATAGAAGAATTAATTAGTGTATTATAGTATTAGCACTTTTCAACAAAAGCCGTATTAAAACCATTTCTGCCTGCTCAATTAGTTGCGCGCTGCTAGAAACTGATGCAATAAAGTCACAGCCAAGTTCGTTGGCGTTGTAACTCGGAGGAAAATTGCAATCTTTCATATAGATATTCCTTAGCAACGCGCCAACAAATCAACACTCCACCTACCGACACACATGTACCAATAATAGCAACACTTTACTTTGATAATCCACTTTTGCTACGTTCAGTCAGGTCGGAGCTCAAGGTGTTTTTCTGGATTGTCGGTGGGTGTGCTGTCTGCTCGCTGTGAGTTCTAGCTTAATGTACCAGTGTCCATTTGTCTTGCGTAAAAGTCGCCGCCAACTGAAAGGGATTCAACTGAAAATTTTAACAACGGGTTATGCCATGGAATAGCCAGTATTGGAGGTTGGGATGGAAAAGTTGCACTTTGTATAAGAAGCTGTATCCCTCCCAATAACGCTGAACACAAATGCCGAATATTTCGGGGAAAATAATAAAGTCGCTGCGCTGCTCACTAAACTTGCACAGTATGTCTTGGCTACCAATCATGTGTGAGTAACTGTTGATTCGGGCTAAGAAAAATCATTTGTGCTTATTTACAACATATACAGAGCCCTAGGGTAGTGGGCACGTGCGAGAGCATCTTTTTGGGGCTTGATGATTAGGTTGTCGTTGCATATAAAATCTTTTGTTTTCTACGTTGCGACTGTGTCATTTTGTCGACAAATAAAAACTTAATTTATATATTATTACATCGATATGTAATGAACACGCTTGCATATTGGATGCCCAGGTTATTTGACAACCTAGGACCAATAAACCCCTAAACGAGTATCCTTATGATTTTTTGGAGGAATTTATTTTGCGTGCGCTATTGTACAATTAATCTTTAATTTCTTTTTTTGTGTATAGGGAATGCACACAAACTTGTGTATAAATCTACAGATGGAATCTTGAGCATACACAAGAATACATTGGCAATTGGCAATTGTTCTTGTTCATTTAATAGATACTATAAATGCATACACCATTTTTGCTTACATTTTCCAAAATCGACAAAAATGTAATTGATTAGTATGATATTTTCTCTTTGCCTTCATTTGTCAAACAGTAAATGTCATACATTTACAAACATATTCTACCTGCATCATCTAAAAAAAATAAACTTGTGATTTAAAAATTATTGATTGATAATAAAGTCAAGAATAAAATAAAATTAGTATTCCGGGTTTGCCTTCTTGAGAATCGCCTCAACACGCGAGCCATAGTCCTGATCAATACGCTTTAGGTGCGGCACAATCCTACGCTGGAACACGAGCTGCGCCTTGGAAATATTTCCAGCAATGTTGTCAATAAGATCCTGCTGCTCGCTTGCGCTCAGCAGGTTGAACAGCGCGCGCGGCTGCTCAAAGTCCGCATCTGTGAGCTCATAGCTGTGACGCCCAACAAGGCCCTTGAGCTTAGACTGAGAGTCAATCTCCCTGACAGCGTGATTTTCCTGCGGGCCACCAAACGAGTTGGGCTCGTAGTTTGGAAGACGGCCACCATTGGTAGTGAATGACATAGGGCCGTCGCGCTGCTGGTTGCGAACAGGTGACAGGGGGCTGTTGATCGGAAGTTGCAGGTAGTTGACACCGATACGATGACGGTGAGTGTCAGGGTAGCTGAACAGGCGGCCCTGCAGCATACGGTCCTCAGACGGCGCAATACCCGGCACCATATGCGATGGCGAAAAGGCGGCCTGCTCGACCTCAGCAAAGTAGTTCTCAGGATTGCGGTCCAATACAATGCGGCCAACCTCCTGCAGCGGGAAGTCCTTCTGGCTGATCACTTTGGTGACGTCAAAGATATCGTACTTGTAGTTCAGTGCTTCCTCCTCAGTCAGAACCTGGAGATAGACAGTCCAGGACGGGTTGTCACCGCGCTCAATGGCCTCAAACAGATCCTGGGTGGCATAGTCTGGGTTTTCGCCTTCGAGTTTTGCAGCCTCGATGGCTTTCAAGTTCTTGATACCCTGGTCTGTGCGGAAATGCCACTTGACGTAGTGGAAGGAGCCGTCCTCCTTGACCAACTTGAGCGTATGGCTTGAGTACCCGTGCATATGGCGGTATCCGTCAGGAGTACCGCGGTTGGAGAACAAAATCATGACTTGATGCAGGGACTCAGGAACATGCGACCAGAAATCCCACTGCATATCGAGATTCTTCAAATGGGTTCTCGGATCGCGCTTCTGCGTGTGGATAAAGTCAGGGAACTTGATCGGGTCGCGGATGAAAAAGATCGGCGTGTTGTTGCCGACCATATCCCAGTTGCCCTCCTCGGTATAGAACTTGAGAGCGAATCCGCGCGGGTCACGAGCAGTATCCGCCGAGCCACTTTCGCCTCCGACGGTTGAGAATCTCGCAAACATGGGCGTGCGCTTGCCGACCTCGCTGAGGAATTTGGCGCACGTCAGGTGGCTAATGTTCTTGGTCACCTCAAAGTAGCCGTGCGCACCGGCTCCATTGGCATGGACGACGCGCTCGGGGGCGCGCTCGCGGTCAAAGTGAGCCAGCTTGTCGATCAGTGAAAGTCTTGGAGCAGCACGGGGCCGTAGTAGCCGGCGGTTTGCGAGGTCTGGTTGCTGGGAAGCGGGTTGCCAGATCCAGTGGTAATCACGCCAAGGTCTTGTCCCACGGGCATCGTAGTGGAGAGAGCGGCCTTGGGATCCTTTTTGATATTTTTAGTCGGAGGGATCATGCTGGAAAAGTATTTAATTGGTATTTCTTGATAATAGATATGATGATGAAAGAGCAATGAGAAAAATTTACAATATTCTTCAAGGAGTGGTGGTATTGAGATAAGATTAAAATGAGGAATGGTGGCGAGATGTTGAGCGGTGTCTATAAAGGTTTCAACTTTTCTTTTTTATTGTTGCACAATAAAAAAGATATGCGAAATTAATATCCCGGGGAGGGTTGCGACATCAAACGCTTTTCCATACTGTGTCAAGCAATGCATGAGAAATGCATACAGTTTCACTTGGGGTCCAGGCCACACGACCAAGCAAATGATACCGAGTCTCATCATTGTTTATTTATTACAAATGAAAACGCCACGTTATACACGGCCCTGATCCTCTAAAAGTAACATGGCAAACATTAAAGATTCGATTCATCTGCAGTTGTCAGATTAGTTTACACGTGGGATTTGAAAAATCAGAGGCGCAATTATTCTCAGAAAAAGAGTGGCGTTATTAGATTTGTTACAAATTTAATTGCTACCAAAATGTTGTACGACCAGTAAACAAATATTTTTTTTACTCGGTCTATCGATAAACAAGCAAAATTTATATAAAAATGTACATGAAAATATTACTAGGTATAAAATGTCAATGATGTAAGAGTGTAAATGTATAACCGTGTATATTTAGGTCCGAGACAAACTCCATCTGGCCACACCCATGACCATGACCTTAAAGTCAGAGTAGAACAAGTCGCTGTCGCGCGAAACCAGCGGCTTAATAACAAACCTCCATGCCTGCGATGGCGACAATACAGGCACACAGGCCGCCGCCTCTCCAGAATCCGCCCCAACGCCGGCATCCAGCTGCCGCATCAAATCAGCATACTCCTTGCGATCAACTGGAGACATGCTGTCCCAAACAGACCGCTCCGTGATACCATAGCTAACGCCATCCCTCTTGCCGCTGTCGCTCGAAATATCGAAATACCGCATAGCGTCCAGCGGACAAGTGTGAGAGAACGCCAGCAGCATGGCGATCAGCCGCTGCCGCGCATCATCGAACTGCAAAAGGTCAAAATGCAGCCAGGGCAGGCAATACCATATAGTCGCCGCAGTGATGCCGCCAAGGGTGAGTCCCTCGCGCAGAAACTCGAGCCTTTCGCGGTCCAGCGGAATGCCCGACACCATGGATTTGAGGGACTCGGACGCTAAGTACAATAACCGCTTGTCGACAATCGACGACGCTGTGATGGTTGCTGGCAGCGCCGCTGCCATCAGCATGGTGCCATTTTTGGGATGCATACTGCCTCGACGTGCGTCGTTGAACAACTGATACTCGGGCAGCTGAAGAGACTTGTAAGGGTCCACGTACGGATCAAGCGTTGGCAGATTGTTGGCCATAAAATTGGCTGGCCCTGTTATGCTATTTGCGTGGGAAAGCCCGCTGTGGATTGACATGGCGTCCAATAAACTACAATTGTCTGTATTGCCATCGTCCTCTTCGACATTATTGTTGCTGTTGCTATTGCTATTATTTCCGGCTCTGATGCTGCTGTTTCCAGACGATGTTTTGGTTGAGAGGGTAGTCTTGGACATGGATTTCTGCGATAAATCACTCTCTTCTACATTGGAAGCCCCGCCGACATTGTCATTCGCAGCGTCACAAATATGGTCACCAGAGATCAGTACCGGATGCGAATCCACAACGGTCGAGTTGGCATCCTCGTCGTTGCCGCTAGCAATACGCATACCATTGCCAGCAGCAAGCGGCGATGTAGACAGCGCCATGGTGGTCTTGTGTCTGGCCACAATGGGCGCTTGGGTTCCGCTTACACTATCGCCGATGCTGTTTGTCAGTCCCAGGGGCAACCCATGCACAGACTGTGCCTTGGACGCACGACTGGTGCTTTTGCTCCGACTGACAGAGCCCCAAATACTGCTGGCCGCCGACGCCAAGTGCGATCCAGACTTTTGTAGCGGAACGCGGATCATGCTCAGTCTGCGCGAACGAGATGCAGCTGCGCCAGTGGTAGCAGAGCTATCAATGTTGCCACTGCGAGCCAACGCTGACTGGTACTGCTGGTCTACAAGAGGCACAGTGCGTTCTGGCGCCAAAAGACTGCATAGTCGAGGAAAACTCTCAGGCACACCGTCGACATATCCGCGGGTTGCCGGCATGGTATTCAACTGGGAATCGTCGTTGCTGGGCATTGCTGAGAGCGTAGGCATTGGTGGTGGTACAAAGGACATACCGCCAGTGGGCAACGGCAGGGCCTCGCTCTCCCTGTCGTGGTGATGGAAGTGGTGGCTGTGCTGGACAATCGGCGACCTGAGGCTGCTACTACTGCTGCTGCTGCTGCGACTGACATATTGCTGATCTCGATTCTGCTGCATCTGCTGATGTTGGACTGATGACGACCGCCCGTCAAAGTCCTTGCCCTGCCAGTTAGCTGAGAGCTTGCGCTGCAGCAGCTGGATGGCCGAGTGCACCTGCTGGTGCTGCAGCAGTAGCTTGACGCCATGGCCCTCCTCTGTCTCTCTTCGCTTGGCACCAGCATGGCTTCCATCATCATTGCCATTGCCAATGCTTCTACTGCTGTCGCTGCTCATCCCAGCAGCAAGCTCAGCGCTTCCCTCAAGCAAGCAATCAGTGTCGCCGAGCTTCGAGGGCATCGGCTGCGACAATCTGCGCACGGGCATCGGCGACGAAAGCACCGATGCCAATCCTTGATTAGTATCCTTCCCGACGCAGCATCCTTAAGGTTATGCGACTTGTACTTTCCGTCCTTCAGCGTATACGCCAAGTTTTTTGTTACCGGCTTTGTCGGTGACTTTGGCGTGGCACCAACGTAATTACCCTGCACGGTGTTTTTGATTTTGCTCGCAACGGCCACAGGCTTGGACATTCGCCGGCGCCGCTGCCGATTCTGCTGAGACGCATCAACCCAGTGTCATACGATTCCTCGGCAGCTACCGGTCTGCCGTCATCGGTCATGCTGCTGTACAGGTTGGCGTCGTCGACGCCGGTGGGGCTGGGGGGTTGATTTGCAAGCGTCGGCGTAGGCGCAGCCATCGCCGGCGACGCACAAAGGATTTGGCAGCAGAGTGCCGGCCGTGCCAGGTGGCGTTGGAGAAGCGCGTTGCGTATTGCCAACCGTCCTCGTCGACGTCCAAAGTCATGTCTATGAGCCAGCGTGGGGACACCCATTCCCACGAGGGATCGGGCAGCTGGAAGGAATGCACGTTGGGTAGTGTCAGCTTCATCGACGGGTCACACCATGGCGGTGGGTCCATTGGATGCAGCCTACATAGTTATCAAAAAAAGTAAACGGGCAGGAAGATAAGAGCGGCACTCCTTCACATCCAGTGATAAAAGCGAGTGTGCAAATTAGAAAGCAAACCCATTTGGTTTTTTAGAGAATGAAAGATAACAAATGAAACCTTTATTCCGTTATCATCGATTAAAGTCGGAGAGCGAGTGGCAAAAGGTATATGCAAATGTGAGCACAAGCAGAGGGCAATATCATATGTACATGCATAAAGGGTGCTGTGAGAAGTCGGACTTGGGTTGTTGTTGGGCACGATTACCAAAATCACACTTTACTTTCTCATCAGCTATACTCAAAGCAAACGAATCATTATTTATCACTCTATCGCTGGCGAAAGCAGCTGCTTTCTACACGTGCTCGCGTGCATTTAATGCCGCGTTAATTAATGGCATGAGCATGAGCATGGAAAAGGGGGGCATAGGAAATGAAGGGCCCGAGCGGGCAGCCCAACCGCATATGTACAGGCATGTGTCGCTTCGGAATGAAAAACAATTTAAGCTAAGGTTCATTTACCGCGTGAATAGCAGCGGTGTTTGAGAATGAGTGCAATTAAATACAATTGAGTGTCTACAGTGCCAGCTGCTTATGGTGTAATTTGTAATTGATTGATTTCCCTTTTCGCTGCAATTGTCGCTGCAATTGTCACTGTCAGCAGTTGGATTTCCGCATGCGACAAGCAAAAAAGGAAAAAGGGAAAGGGAAAATAAAGAGAGACAAAGTCGACGACAAATTGGGTGGAAATGACTTACAGTTTTGTGCTGAAATTGGCCTTGCCCAAAAAGTTGAACCTACACAAAAACAGACAGTAGGAAGCCAGGGAAACAAACAAGCAAAATACAAAATTAGCACAGGGGTCCAATCCAAGCCAATCCAAACAAACACCACAGCCAATAGCAATAGCAATAGCAATAACAATAACAACAAAAAAAGCTTACCCTCGCTGGCACTCAAACAACACATCGCAGGCATACTCGTACCGACCATCGTCGACCAACTTCCTTGCGTCCCTCAGCCTCGCCTGCATGGATTGCGTCTGCATCCGGAGCATCCTCTCCCTATCGCTCTGCACCGTACCCACGCTGACCCCAGTATTCCTACGACTAATAATGCGCGCACTCGGCAGCAATCTCGGCTGACACCTGCTGCAATCATCGCTACCAATGTCGTTTTCATCATCCGAGTAGCCATCGCCGCTGCTACATTTGCTGTTGCCACCACTGTCAGTGCTGCCGTCTATAGAGCCGTTAAACACATGGTTACTGGAAATGTCCGCTGTGCCGCCTGAAGGTTGTAGCCCGAGAAGCAATGACTGTGTTGAATGCGACTGCGAGTTCCTCTGCTGCAACCGGATGCTGCTGCGGCTGTCGCTGCTGATGTTGACGAGGACGCGGTGGTGTAGGGGCGGTAGGCGAAGGCCAGAGTGTTTGCCGGAACCTCTGGCAAAATATCCTATATATGATAGAGCGCAGTAATAACAATAGGAGAAGCAAAGATAAGGATGATATTAATTGGCATTGTTAGACAAATTAAAAAAACAGTTGAACGAGAAAGTGAGTGAATGGGCTAGTGAGCGAGGGAGGGAGCCAGAAGAAGGGGCACTTTATTGTATTTAGTTTTTTTGCTTACTTTAGTTATTTCTCTTCGCCGAATCATCTCATCTATGAGCCAGCCCGTTGTAACAAAATGAGAACCAAAGACAACCTCGTGTTTTTTGTGGTTCCGAAAGAGATGGAATGGTCAATTGAAGAAAAGAACGATGTCGTTTTGGAGAAAGTATTTTTTTGTTATTGAAATTCTGCAAGTGCAAATTTTAAAAATAAAAAAGGGTTTAAATTACAAAAAGTTGTTGAACAATAAAAACAGAATAAAAGGTTAAAATACAGGAATTAAAACATAAAATAAAAATGCGAAGGGAAACAAAGAAGAAAAGAAAAATAAGTGAATGGATCTTGTGGTCTTGTTTTTATTTTATTTTTATTTATTTACTTTGAGTGTATGCTAATTTGATATTATTACATTTTAACAAATGGAAACCCCACTCAACGAAGAAAATAAAAATGAAAAGCCCCCTTCTTCTTTTAAGCATCCTTTTATTCTTTTATTCCTTTATAATTGGATGTCAAAGAGTGTAAAAAAACGGGATGATTGAGTTTTTTTTAATTCCATGTGCATAAACAGAGGTGTTTCAAAATATAATAAAATAGACAGGCGTGCACTTCAGGGTGGGGTAAAAAAGGATAAGAAAATAGTGGAGTGAAAAAAGCAAATCTTAACCCTTTTTTATTCTCTTTATTGTGATGCAGGGTAAATCTGCTGCAAATTTAACAAGTATTCTTTCACTTGAGGAAAAAAAAGGGGAAGGATATTTCCCTGCAAACAGAAACAAAATAAAAAAGTTAGCGATTCTGCATTTATTTATTCTGGAAAGGGGGTAATGGAAAGATCGGATGACGAAATGGCAGATGAAACGAACGGAATCAAGATGAGGGGGGTTGTTCTCGCCCAGTCATTTTATTCTAATCTGTCAGAAGAATCAGGTTGAGAACAGAATAAATCAAGCTTGCTTTTCTGCTGCTGCTGCTGCTGCTGCTCGCCATGTCGCGATAAAAAAGATGATTGAGGCGAATAAGTGGCGGTGCGTTGACGTCATGTGGTTCACAGCAGAACAGCAAACCCCACCCAAGAAAAATATACGCGAATTGTGCCTTGTTTCTTTTCACATGCCACCGCGCTGATCCTCCAATCCCCTGATTCAATCAATCTAATCAATCCAATTTAATCAACTCGATAGTCTTTCTTCACACAAGCATCTTGGACATGTACGGCCGTCGAGCTCGTAGCCCAGGCGGCGGTAGTAGTGGCGGGTGCCGACCCCGCTAATGACGGCAAGCTTGACCGATCCGTGCTCGTCTCTGGCAATGCGCTCCGCCTCTTCCATCAGCAGCGTGCCAAACCCTGGTGCTGGAACTTCTTTGGGTCCCTCGAGTGCATCGGCACAACGCTTCCGTAAACATGCAACTCGCGCACAATCGAGCACTGCCTTCCGCCAAATGTCAGCTCGGGCGGAAGGTCTCCGGCGAGCACTTGCGCAGCCGCAACAGCCCAATCAAAATATCCGTCTCGGGATCCTCATACGAAAGGAAAGTCTCCCAGCCATTGTTCGCCACATAGTCCCTGCGGATCATCTCGACCTGATCCGGCTGCACCTTGGTGTGAATATCGACAATGCCAACCTCGCGTGTGCGCACATCGCGGCATTGCGTGCCAGATCCCGCATGCGCTGCAGCGCGAGTTCGCGCAGATTCCCGTGCTCGACGCCCGAGCTGACCAGCGGCATCGGGATATCGCGCTGCACGCGATAGACGCGCGTCCATGGCGGCACCAGCGCCAGAATTCGCGCCACAAGATCGACAAGAGCATTGGCGTATAGTTCTTATACCTACCGGTACGCCACAGCTCGTAGAGGCCAGTTCCGCGGATAACCAGGGTCGGGTATAGCTTGAGCCCGTCGGAGCGGAACTGCGGATTCTCAAAGTACTCCTTGAACTGCTCAATGTCCCGCTCCATGCCGACGTTGGGCAAGTCCGGCATCATATGCGCGACCACCTTGTATCCAGAATCCTTGGCCAATTGGAATGACTCGCAGACGGCGCGCACGGTGTGGCCGCGGTTAGTGTCGCGCGCGACGTCCTCGTAGACACTCTGCACGCCCAGCTCCAGCCGCGTGCACCCGTACCGCAGCATATGGCTGAGATGCGGCTTCAGCGCAGCATCCGGCCGCGTCTCAATCGTAATCCCAATACACTTGGTCTGGCTCTGCTCAGACATCCTCACAGCCTCATCAACATCGCTGCTGCGGTGGCCGGACAGTGAATCATGTAGGTTCATGATAAACCAATTGCGGTACTCCTCTGACAGGGACATAAATGTACCGCCCATAACGATAAACTCAACCTTATCCACGCTATGTCCAAGCGACTTGAGCTGCTCCACGCGGCCACGCGCCTGCTCATAAGGGTCGTATCGCGCGCGAATCGCCCGCATACTCGTGGGCTCGTACCCGGTATACGACTGCGTCGAGTACTCAAAGTCTGAGTCCGGCCCGCCCGGGCAGTAGACGCAGACGTGGCCGGTGTACGTGATATGCGGGCAGCGATGCGGCTTGCACATGACGGCAACCACAGCGATGCCCGATGCTGTGCGTACTGGCTTGGCCTTGAGCCGCGGCAGAAGCTCCTTCCGGTGCTGGTCCGGGATAGCCGCTATAATATCGACTAGTCGCGGCTGTGATGATAGCTGGTTGACCCGTGCGTACTTGGCTTTGAGCGCGTTGAGGTTGACTGTCTTGCCTTGCGCGCTGCTGTCGATCAGCTCGGCGACGATCTCGGCGCAAGTTTTGACCAAGCGCTCGGCATGGGAAGTCTCGGGGGCCTTCTTTTTCATTTTATGTTTTGTGTATTGTGATTGAAATGTTAATGGGAAAAGGTTGAATTAGAGAGGAAAAAATGAAATGAATTAGATAAAAAACAAAGAAGAAAAAAGGGAAAAGCTGAAGAAGGCACACAAGAGATGACAGGCAGGAATACTGCGTGGGTCCCCTCTTTTTTCTTTTCTCCTGTCTCTCTTGCCAAAAAAAACACTGCTTCGGCTCGGCTCAGGTCCGATTGACAAATTGACAAATCGACAAATCGATAAATCAACAAGAAAAAAGCAGCTGTCGACTCACCCCCGTGACAGTTCGGTAAATCACTTTACTTCACACAGGCCAAACGATTAATATGTTTGTTTGTTTATTAACGGCTAGTCTTCTGCTTCATGAAGTGAAGGAGCGAGAAGTAAAAAAGATAATTGAGGATGAGAATAAATAGTCGTAGCTTTAATTTTTGTTTTCACCCAGTGCTTTGTGTTGTTATTAACTATTTTATTATTTTATTCTATAATTCACTACCTCCCCGTCTTTTTAATTCAGCCCGAGATGGAGCGGAATCACTCGATGTCCTTCCGCGCGCCCAACAGCAACAGCAACAGCAACAACAACAGAAATAGGAATACGCAGCAGAACCAGGGTCAAGGTCAGGGTCAGGGCCAGCCCCAGAACCAGTATCAGAACCAGTATCAGAACCAGTATCACAGCCAACATCAAAGCCAACCCCAGAACCAGTACCAGAACCAGCCTCAGAACCAGCGCCGCCCAACCTCCAGCAGACGGGCGGCGCAGCCCAATCCATTGCACTCACAGGCGCGGTCCGCAGCAGCAGAGGTGTTCGGGCGCATGCGCACGCTGGTGGACAATGTCAGCGTGGCATTCGACGGACCGGCGCCGACAGCCAAGGACCGACTAGTCGAGAACTGGACACGGATCCAGGAGTACTACACGCGGCAGGCGGACCTACGGCGGCTGCAGATCGGCGACACGACGATCCCGCACCACCTCGAGTGCATGCTCAAGATCCTGGCCTACGAGATGCTCGAGAACGAGCAGGGCGCAGCAGCAGCAGCACTCGACCAGGATGGCACTTATGGGGCAGACCGACTGGCGCAGCCGCTGGAGTTTGGCGCCTGCGTCGAGTTTCTGCTGCAGTTCCACGTGCTCAGCGACCTGGTGGACCTGGCGGACGCCGACCTGCCGCGCGGCATGCGCAAGTACGTGTTGCGGTTCTTCGACATCTTTATTGACGGTATTCCGCTCGGCCTGCTGCCTGAGAGCGCCATCCGGTTGCCGCTGGTGGCCATCATGCGCCAGTGCCTGCACGTGGTGCAGACTAGCCCGACGACGCCGATCAACTCGATGCGGCGACAGGAGCCAATGGCCGAGGCGCTACAGGACGCCATGCGGCAGAGCCAAGGCAGCAGCAGCGCTGCCTCGGCCAAGGCGTTCCGGCTGGGCCAGGGCTACCACAGCATCCAGAATGACCGCGCAGCCGTGGTGCTGTGCCATGACCTGCTGCAACTGATTGTCACGCTGTTCAAGCGGCTGCGCGAGCACTCCAGCATGGTGTACCTGTTCTTCGACTGGGACAGCGGCGAGTGGCGCCAGGCCGGAGGACAGGCCCAAATGCAGGCGCAGGCGCAGCAGGGCCAGTCTCATGCTCAAATACAGCCGCAGCGCGGTGACCTGGCCGTGTCGACCCTGCGCTCGGCGACATCCGGGTACATGGAGCAGTCGGCGCGCGGCCATGAGCTGTTCATTGTGCACATTATTGTCGAGTACCTGCTGGCGCCTGGGCTTACGGGCCAGCTGGCGCGCGAGGCGCTGGTGCTGGTGGTACAGGTGCTGCTGGCGCCACAGGACAAGGCACCGTACGTCAGCTTCCTTTTGGACCAAGCGCGCATCGTCGAGCTGCTGGTTGAACACATGGGCTACCTGCACTCGCAAATGCCGGTCTTCCGACCGATGCCGCGGTCACCCAAAGCCACGCTCTTCGGCCCAGCCTACTCTGGCGCACGTTGCCAGCCGCCGCTGCAGCGGCGCATGCACCAGGCCCAGCAACCACCCCAGCAGCGCTTCGATATTCGGCCACGGCTGCACCGGCTGCTGGGTGAGGGCAGTGTTCTGCGATCGGTTGCACAACAGGACCAGCGCGAGGCCGCCATTCTCGTTTCTGCGCGGCTGATCCTCGAACACGTCGACGCATTCTTTCTCTGTTGGGAGCTGCTCGACGAAGTTGCCATGGTGGCGTGCACCGACGAACGTCTGACTGCCGCCGTACAGAGCCAGCTGATGAACGGCTTTCTGCGCACACATATTGAGCCTGCGCTGCTGATGGCCAATATGTCTGCGGCCAAGAGCCAGGCCATCACCACTGTGTCCTACCTGCATGACATTGTCAATGTCACGCACAGCAACTGTGTGCTGGAGGCACTGCTTATGGTGCTGCTAGGCAGCGATCTCGGGCCTGAGCAGCCGCCGTGGCTGGTGAGTGCAGCGGAGCAGAACCAGGGCCAAGGCCAGGGATCGGAGCAGAACCAGAGTCAGGGCCAGAGCCAGAACCAGCTGGATGACGCCTGGGCGGAGCTCTCGCTCGAGGATCGCGAGCTGCTGCAGTCAATCGAGGACGACGCCATGCGCGCCGAAGCCGCAGCGCTTCTGCTACCGCCAGGTTTTGATCTGTCGCGGCTGCAGATGGCGCCACCGCAGCAGCAGCAGGGCTCTGGCGCGCAACGGGCTGAACACTCGACCGGCGCGCCAGTCGGACTGCGCGCGACGCTGATCGCCTGGATGACACTTGAGGACGACACGCACCTGCCGCTTAACACGCTGCGGCTGTTTGACACTATTCTGGCGACCATGAGCCAGTTTGCCTACACCAGCCTTGTACTGCGAAACTTTATCGACCGCCCAGTGGTCTCCGCTGCTGCTGCTGCCACTGACGCTGGCGGTGCTGCTCGGCTTGAGGAGCCCGGGTTCGTCTCAGGTCCGGCGCTCGGGCGCGGCGCGTCGGTGGCGGCCGACCAGGAGCTGGTGCGCGCCGTCGTCGAGCGGTTCCTGGACGCCACGCCCAGTAGCATCTCGGCCGCACTGCCTGAGATTGTCGTCGGCGCCGCGCTGCGCCTGGACGGTGGGCCGGAAGCCGCCGCACCCTCGCACCTGCACTCGCAGCACCAGCTTGAGGCGCCGCGCAACTTCCAAAACATGCGGTCGACCATCATGATGCGCGAGTCGCAGGGCTGCGACGACTACGTCGCCGACTGTCTGCAGCGCCTGCGCCTCGCCCACCAGTGCACTAGGCTCACGTGGGTGTCCAAGGACACGTTTGTGCGCGCGCACACGCCGGCCCAGCAGCAGCAACCATTGCAGCCACATCACCAGCCATTACAGCCGCAGCCAGGCGTGTCTGCGGAAAAGGCTGCCGATGACGCGCTGGCTGGCTTCTACCCCGGTGCGTTCCTGGCATCGCTGATCGGCCAGCTGGAATCGGTGGTGCGGCGTCATATGGCATACAACTTGACTGTCACCTCGATGTTCAACCGCCTGACGTGCCTGGCCGACCCAGCGCTTTCTGCCTTTCTCTTCTTGGCCAACTCTGCCACCGTCCCTGCCAGCCCTGCCAGCAGCAGCTCGGCCTCTGCCATATCGATGCTCTACGACACGTATGTCGGCGCGTCAGCTGAGGCCTACGTCAAGTCCGAGCATGTGCCGAGGTTTCCCGCGCGCCTGGCACGCCAGCACCGTGAGGGCGTCGAGACTGCTGTGCGCGTTGCTGCGGACCACTCGGCAGCGGCAGTGAAGCCGGAGGATACGCAGGTGTCTTCTGCCTCTGCTGCTGTTATTAAGCCGCGCGTCTCGGCGACTCTGCCAGACACCCGTGTGTCCGAGACCCGGTCATACGCCAAGGCCGCTGCCATCGTGCAGCCCCCACCCTCGCTGGCGCCATTACATGGTGCGGTGGTGGTCCAAGATGCTTCTATGGACGTGGACTCACCCGAGGCACCCCGGGGCAAGAATAAGGAGGAAGTGCGCCGTGCTGTTGGGTTTCTTGGAACCCCGATTAAGCGCTTTGTCCACGGATACATTGTCCTGGATGAATTCGGCAAGGAGATGGCAGCGATGGCGCTGGCGCTGCATACGCTGGAGTTGGAGCGGTCGATGGACAAGGTTGCTCTGAGTGCCACGGCAGGCGCTGCTGCTGTGGCAGCGGGTGGTAGAATGGGAGAAGTCGATGATTATGCTGATTGGCTCGAGTACTTTGACCCTGAGGAGCCTGCTTACCTACAGGCGTTGGCTATTAAGGAGTCACTGAAACAGGGGATTATTGAGCTTGGCGGTAATGACAATAACCCTGCTGCCCGTGCCGATATTGACAGTAGTGGCGCTGCTATCGCTTCTGCTTCTGCTGCTGCTGCTGGAAAGGGTAGGCGGAGAAGAAAATCTTCGGCATCGTCTGCTGCTACAAACACGGGTGGTAACGCTGAGGTTGTGGGGAGTAACTCCACTGATGCGGTTGCTGCTGCTGGTTTGGCTCTCTTGAAATCCAAGAAATCCTCAAGCCGTCGCCGGTCGAGTCAGTCTGCTCGAAACGGAAACGCTTAAACTTACAAAATGCAAATTTATACAATTTTTTTTGTAGGTGTTAATATTTGACATTTTATTAATCAACAAACATTAACTATTAATTAAACATATAGCCTTATTATGTTTTATTTTTACTTTTATTTATTGTCCTTGCTTAGTATGCAGTAAACAATTGCTAAGAATATCAAATATGGCTAAAAATGAATGAACATATTGTCTTCAGTAGAGAAAATAGTGTCTTGCTCTATAAAAATGTGGGTCTAAATTATTATATTCAAGTATCAAAAATTACTTAACTGAAAAAGGGAGCAGTGCTGTAAATATAATGATGTTCCTTGATTTCAGCCAGCAATAACAGAAATGTGTATAGCGCCATGAGGGCAATCTTGATTCTTGAAAAGGGAAGGTAGTGGCTTGGAATGTGTGTTGGGCACCACAAATAGATCCATTGAACAAAATATAAAGCAAGTAGAAAAACATAAACTAAAAGCTAATCAGTTTAGCTTGGAGAATGGCTGGCAAAATACCAATACAAAAAAGGTACACGAATAATTAACCTCTTCAGCATGTGGGTGGCATTCTACTGTATGAAACTTGTTATGCATTGGAATATGCATTTGGAAACCATATCAATTATTCAACTATCCTTTGTCTGTGTATGCTTCACAATACAATTGTGAATTGTATGTAACTGTTTTTTGTATGTTCTGCAAGCTATTAATAAATGTTTGAGGAGGAGGACAAGGGGCGTCACAATAATATATTTTTCTATAAAATTTGCGTTTGCTAACAAGTACTTTTGATTTTTTTAGTGTCGATTAAATAATATATTGGCAGCTGCGCCAATATATAAGATCTATCACTAAGAGCAACATATTTGCAATAAATTTCTTTTTATTTGCTTTCAACAACCTGCATAAATCACTGCTTGTTAAAAATTCGCATATGTATTCTAACAATCGTCAGAATACTTTTAGTATAGCTTGAAAAGCCAGCAAATTATCTGCGCATACTTTTTGACTGGTGCTTAAAAACAAAAAATTATTATGCGCACAATCAGACAGCCTAATGTACACATATCACACACTTGGATATGCTTTGGTTCGTAAAATTTTTTTATAAAATTCAATTCAATTCAATTTTCAAACCCTGTGTTTGCATTATTTACGCCTGTTTGGATAATAATCTCGCACTATTGTTGAATGTTGGTGGCCTTTTTACCACTTTGTTGCAAATTTATGCGTTCAAATGCGTATCGCTGGATCCATCTTCAGCTTCTAAAGGATGTCAAAATAAAAACAATTCGTAAAAAATAAATTTACATCCCAACAAAACTAAAACAATTTGGCTTTATTCTTCATCTTTGACTATTCTTTCAAACCAACACATACTTATCCATTTTTCACCATGTTTAGAGCAAATACCTATAGGAAATATAAATTTTTATTAAGATATTTTGGAATTAAATTTCAAAAGCATGTCGACATGTCAATTTCCAGTCGAATCTGGAACGTGGCCGACTTTGCGCTTAATCTTGCTCTTTGCATAATCTTCATTATTGTAAGTAAAAAGAATAATTTATAATAGGTGGCACTGCGCTTGAATGACAAACACCTAGCTAAAACAGCACTCATTCAACAATTTAATTAGAACTCTACGTATGTGGACAAGAACAAAACCCCGGCCAGAATCCCAGAGTCCAACAGGCTTATTGAGCTTGTGCTTGCCCTCGTTTTCCTGGGCCAATACAGTGCAAAGTATGCGTTCCTCAGTAGAACATATTGGAAATTGGAGCATGTCGTGGTGTTTTTTACGTCCGTCAGTCCGGTAGCGGCGTTTATAATAAGCACAGACAGCGAGTTTGTGCGCAACAGCTACATGAGCGCAGGGACCATGGTAAGTGTAAATAAAAAACAAAACTATATGTAATATTATTATTTTTAAATTGGCTATTTCAATACTAAAGTACTAAAGTATTAACAATTGAAAACTGTGTAGGTTATATTCTATCCAATTCGGTTTCTTAGGCTTTTTTATGCGTTCAAGCGGCTACTGGCAATTGTTGCAGCATCGAAAAAGTACATCCGTCTATCCTTGATCAGAAAGGAGGTTGTGTCCCTTGCGGGAGACATACTCATTAGTGTACTCTTTTTTGCAAGCCTTGTGCACTCCGGACTTAACTGGTTCAGTCAGTTCAAAAAATATCAATCTCCTAGCTTTACATTCCTCGATGCCATCTACTTTATTGTCAGTAAGTAAATCGGGAATGATTGCAATATGCAAAATATCATACCAATTAATGCTCCACGACATTTGACAACTTTGCTTGTTGAGCAGTCTAATGATATGGAAGTGGATGTTGAGGTTGAGAATAGTGAAACGAGTTTTCATCAATATGCCAATTGACAGGGTATATGCGGTACCATGTAGGATCAAATCAGGGGACATAATAATGGCACCTAGATATGTTCCTCATTTTAAAATGTACATGCATTAACGCGGTTGCGTGAAGACCACAACTTTGACATGCCAAGATACCGGTCTGCTCGCAGAAGATCCGGTTCTTGTCACTGGAATGTACAACTGGCAAAGTGCACAACAAAGGTGACGAGATACATATATAAGACGAGGCCGGTGCTAGTAGAACTTTAGAAACATTAGTAATAAAACCTTTTATAAATCCATACCCCCACTTTTCTAACACTATTACAGTAGTGCTTCCCACACCCCCTCTTACATAACGGGTTCAAATGAATATGTAGATTTGGCCAATTACAATCGTGTAAAAATATGAGCAACCACACGGCGATATTAAAATGTTAAATATTAAATATGGAAATATGGAAATGTTTTATTAGAAATATACAACACAATCGTTTTCAAGAACAACAATCTGCTCGAGTCGCTCACGGTATTGTTCGAATTGCTCACATACAATTGGCCATTTTGCATCAACCATAAGATAGTCAAGAACATCTTCATAAACAAATGCGTGGGTGAAGTTGGGGCACAGTATTGCCACCAGTGCAACTGTCCATTTCATATAAAGATTATAGTCGTCGTCCTTGTTGGTAATATACCATCTGGTGAAACTCCTTCCTAATGGATAAATGTACTTATAAATGACATCAACTGGCTTGTCAAAGTAATTATTGTAGTCCTCATAATCGTCGCCATACAAGGTAGGTATTTCAATATTACAATAAAGGGTGTGCAGCGCCGGAAGGTTTCTGAGAAAGTGCACTAAGTCTGTAAACGTCATTTTATCCGTAAGAGTAAGCGATCGGATTTGGCTGGCCCACTCGGCTGACTGGAAACCGGTACAAAACACGTGTTTGTCAAAGTCACCAAACAATACAAGCGTGCGCACAAACTGTGCCGCATGGAGAACCTTGATCGCAAACAGAGATGCATCGGATGCTGATATTGGAGTGGCCCGATACTTGGTTGAGTTTTGCAACTCAAGGTTGCAGAGCCGCGGAAACTTATTTTTGGTAAAGGTGCCGCATTGTTCAAACCCTGCCATTATATCTGCACAAAGCTTTATGGACAAATACTCGAGCGAGCTGTTGTTGCCTCTAAACATATAGTTGTCGCAGCGTTGAACAAACGTCGTGCGCAGAATCCGCAACGATGGAAATGGAACCGGTTGATCATAATCTGAAAATATAGAGCTGTGAGAATCCCTGTAATCCCTGATTACAAATTCATCAAGGACCGGATATACAATGGCACGGCCAGAATTATCGTGACAAATATCGCTGAGTCTCTGATCGCCCTGCAAACACAGGTCTAACGACTGCAACGTGTCTGCACTGCGCCGAATGAGCTCAAAGACTGGGCGGTGGTCGCGTTGTGAATACATGTGCTCAATGCAGGTCAGCCCATCGATCCACTCCGCTCTTAAGCAGTACTCATCCACATGTCTTGGAGCTTCAACGGACACTTGGCTTACATTCTTACATACGTCAATGCAGAACCTGCCCAGGAGATGATCGTTGGACGAGTCGCGATTGTCCACCCGATGTGGGTAGAGGCTGCTGATTGTGACATTACGCACCGCTGGAACCATCCGCCTAAGCTCTTTAGCAAACTCGCTCGCGCCTCGTTCAGTAAGATTGGCGCCATGGTAACAGCATAGTCTGTTGTCAGGAAATATGATCTTCAACGTGAACGCATTCGGAAAAACAAGGCCGGGCTGGCTTGATTCGTCAACCTTATGAGGTGCTCGATAGCGATCCAAGTGTGGCCAATTGCACACAACTATGACGACCTTTTTCGCATAATGGGTAATTGGAAACCTCGGGGTGCAAATTGACAAAGTCCAAAGCTTGAGAAATGTATCTCCTCGTGTGCCGTCAGGAAAGTACTCCATGGTGAATTCGCGGCAAAGACGCTCCAGAATGACAGTACGCCAAAGTTGGCAGCACTGCAGAAGAGCAGCAGCTAATTCATCCTCACGACTCTTGCCCAGGGCACCCAAGTTGTCATCAGAAAGGTTGAAAACATACTCGGTAATCGAATTGACAATCTCGCGGGGAAGAAATTGGAATTGAGAAGAATTGGAATTCATTTTCAAAAAGATAAAAGTGAGACAATGGGAAAGAGTGAAGTACAGTAAGATAATAAACTGATCCGAATAACAAAAAATAGTGAACAATGTGTTCATGCATGTGTGGCGTAACAGTAAAAAAAGAAAGGCTTTAATTTATAGGCATAACTTAATCCGTTAATTCGGGTGATTTCAAGTTGCGAGCTATTTTGTATCCATATCGCTTGGGCAACGACAACATAAAGGTGAATAAATAAGCTGAAACTAAGGGCTTTTCAAGCTTGTCTCATTTTATGGCCAAAAACATGCTTAGTTTTGCACAATATATAAATAAGCAGATTTGAGCTTTCCATGCTAAAGCTATAATGTACTAGTGTATGTAGTGTGTTTTCGCCTTTTTTGCGTAATCATGGTTGAAAACAATGTAGCTACAAATTAAGCTAACCCTTCCATTGCTAGTGTTTAATTAAAAAAGTAAATATAACGGAGATGATTGCTATTATGCGTCAAGTCTGCATTCTCCGCAGCCAGCAAGCAATGCGCACTCACTGCATTTGCCCAAAGAAAAAAAAGAAAAAGAAAAAAGATTTCTTATTTGCAAAGTAATTGTCGCTTTCTTTATGGCTAGAAATAATTGAACTTATATCTTTGGATGTAAAAGCAATGTGAAATAAAGGTAAATAACACTAAAGACAAGTTCAACTATTTGTATTTTAGCAATTTTTTTATGTGTCGTGCACATTTAATAGCATGGATAAGAAAATAAATAATAAAGGGATGGAGAGTAAAATAAAAAAATTGTATGCTACTACTAGGGAATCGAGTATAAATTTATTAACACATAAATTTATTTGTGTTTTTCTCTTCCATTTTAGTATCATAAAGTTTATTCATATAAACACAATGCCGCCAACAGGGGCTATTCAGGTACATGTTAGTGACAAAAAAAAGAACTTTTTATTTAATTGTAAATTAAGTGACAAAATCAATAACTTCGTTGCATCAGTTGCTATAAAATGGTCCATTAAACAAAAACATGAATATGCACTAGAGTTTAAAGAATCAGCATATCCATTAGTTCCTGTAGAAGAAATTAACAGCAAAACGTTCAACACATTCAATCCGAATTATTATCATATAGATTCAGCTATCCTCTATTTCAAACTTGTAAAAATAAATAAATACACGGTTATTCCGTTAGATATACATGCTAATAATGATTCCAGGGTTGTACCTCTAAGTTTATATTGCCATGATAATTACAATAGCAATATTGTGGTTCAATTGTTAACTAAGATATCAAAGTGTAAAAAATCACTTGCTACAAGTATAGCACTCATTGAAGGGACAAATATGCGTACATTAATAGATAAAAACACTAAGTTTCCGAATTGGGGCCTTTTGAATTTAGATATAAAGCAACCTATGTATTTGGTGCTAAATATGGATAATTTCACAAAAAATATTCTTAAAGGTTTGATTGATAAGTATTAGTTGATGGCGATCAACTGATTAACCAGTCTTGGCTGTTTAGCCACACAAACAAGAAGTCACACAGTGGCCAAAGCAATACGCTCTCTTCTCTTTACCTTTTCACAGTGCATAGCACCTATTTATTAAATATACTTTATATCGTTGTAGTTTATCTATACGTTCATAGAACGTCATATATTCCAACAGTAAGCGTGCTGAGAATCTCTCAAGGAGGCCGCAGCTCAGGCCAGGGACCCGGACTGGGACTCACTGGCATGCACAGATGCATCGGACAAATGCAGGACGTCACCCGAAGCCCTGACCCAATCACATCGCTTACGAAGCCGCGCGATGTTCACGATTGAATCTGTTTTTGCCAGATCCTGATGACAGTAGAAATTGACGCAATTCCGAGGTGCATCAAAATAGCATTTGTTTTGCTATTGTTGTATCATTTATTATTTGTGTACATGTGTGCGGCACAGGAGATGCCGCGTACTTATCATAGTTTACCTTTGATATATACCAAGGTGTTCCCGCCATGAGGACGAGAACACCTTAGTTTTCTAATATATTTATATGTTGGCTTTACTATTTGCAGTGTTTACCAGTAGCTGCCCGCCTTGTCCCTTACTGGCCCCTATTAGGCAGGTTTACAACAGGAGCATTCAAATTAAATAGTGGGAGGCGGCTATGAAAAAAGAACTTGGAGTGGGTATAAAACGAACATTATAAACCCATGTAGAAACAAAAACTTGTAAGCAGACAATGATTTTGGGTCTGGCTTTGGTTTGGTTTGGTTTGGTGTGCATTGCATTGTCTTATCTATTTTCTCTCATGCATTACATGTCTTAACGAATATTCCAGACACAATTTTAGGTTTATTTTTAAATTTATTTTCTGCATTATAATAATAAAAACGACAGTTTCCCATATATCAATGATGCAATTTACAGTGCAATGATACTTTGTAATTTTTTAGTGTGGTTTCAATATTTTTTGTTTCTTGGCCCCCTTTATATCCACTCCCTTTCTTCTCTTCTTTTCTCATTACATTTTCTTTTTTCACCTATCCACTCATTCTTTTATTTTTATTTTTATTTTTTAACAAATGAGCAACGAATTGACAGCGCAAATGGGCCAACTGGACCACGAAAGGGCGATCAACAGACTGGAGAAACTCCTCGAGGCAGAATTTGGAAGCACGCTCAGCGAAAAGTCGGGAGATTTTCAAGCAGCACGCCGTTTGGCCACGACCTTGCTCGGCAGCGCCACAGCCAAACCAGCCATTACCATGAACCAAAACTCCCAAGACAGTCACTACAAGGACACGGATATTCATCACAACAGTGTTCTGAACCAAGCAATGGCAGTAGCGGCAGCAAAAAACGCGGCAAACAGGGACTGGGACGCAAAGGCGCTCGACGAGCTGGTGTGCACCGGGGCAGTCTGTGGGACGCAGGAATTGACCTGTAGCCTGTTGACGCCTGGCGGTGGCGGCAGACTCATGGCAGATGCTGGCGATTTTGCAAACATCGGCACTGCCGGCGGGGGTTGCATAATGGTGTATTCAGCATCCTCAGGTGTCCGCACCGTGGGGACAGTGGCCGAGGCTATTGCTGCGGTTGGGCGGGGCAGCGCCGCAGAGAGCAGCGAGAGCAGCGAATGCTTCTGGGTCGACATCATGGATCCGACGGCCGAGGAGATGGCGGCGTTGGCGCGCGAATTCGACGTGCATCCGCTGACCGTCGAGGATATTTTGACGGACTCCGCGGACCGCGATAAGCTGGAGCGTGTGGCCGGCCGCGGGTACGCGCTGCTGATCTACCGCGCGCTCGGCACGCAGGATCAAGCCCAGGATCAAGATCAAGATCAGGGCCAGGGCCAGGACCAAGGGCCGCAGGTGGCGGGGTTCTCGGTCATCATCCAGGACAACTGCGTTCTGTCGTTCCACGATGCACATGGCAGCGGCCACGTGCGCAGGACTCTGGGGCGGCTGTGCGGGCATTGGTCGGCGCAGGCCAGCAGCCCGTTCTATGTTGCGTATGCGCTGGTCGACGAGATCACCGATGCGCTGCAGGCGGCGATGCGCGCAGTGGAGGCGGAAGTGCAGGCGGTGGACGCGCTGGTGATGACGACAACAGAAAAGCCATTGATGCTGCGGCAGATTGGGTCTGCGCGGCGGCGGCTGCTGGGCATCTGGCGGGTGCTCCTGGGCAAGCCCGACGTTGTGCGCGCGCTGATGCGGCTGCGGCCCGGCGAGGACGATTATGGGCATTACCTGACGGACGTCTTGGATCACTTGGCGGTGCTGCTGAGCCTTTGTGCGCAGTGCGAAATGGTCCTTTCGCGCGCACACGCCAATTACATGGCGCAGCTGTCGCTGGAGCTGGGCGAGATTACGGTGGGCGCTGGCGTGTTTTCCAACCAGTGGATGGTTTTGGCTGGCATTCTGCTGCCGCTGCAGTTTGTTGCTGGGCTGTTCGGCATGAACGTCACTGTGCCGTGGATGGGCCATGAGGACACGCCCGAGGTGGACACTATGTGGCCGTGGATGGGCATTTTTGGTGGCTCGATGGTCTTTCTCGTCGTGTCGCTTGCATTCATGCGGTACAGCGGCTCGCTGTGAGAACCAGGCGCTATTCCTAATTTTGGGCCTACTACGCGCATTCATGCATTCATGCATTTATTCATCCTTTTTATTTCACGTGCATCCTGCTATGCGCAGCTCTCTCTTTCTCTTTCTCTCTCTTCTCTGCTGTAATACTTTACTATACTATTAAATACTTTTCTGCATATTTTTATTCTCTAATCGAGTGATGAATTCGGAGCACCGGTCGGCAGCGCGGCTTCTGAGCACAAGCGCAGCGCCCAACATAGCGGCTGAAATAACCCACGACGTGCTCACGCGATGGAGCGCAGAATACACACAAACGCAAGCCCAATTGCAAGGGGACCCGGCTTTGTCTGTTATGCTCTCCGGCACCCAGCAGCTCATGCGCCTGGGCCAGTACATCACGACATTTCGCGTCAGATCCGACCGTGAGCAGCTGCGCAGACAGGCGGAGTACGATCGCCAGCAGGTACGCAACATCGTCGACAGCACCGCGCACCTGGTGGCCGGCGGCTTCCGCATGCTGCTCGCTAGGGCGGCAGGAGGCAAATCAGGCAGCGCACTAAGCGCAGTGGATGCTGGCGCTCTGGAGGCTATTGCTGCTGCTGCTGAGCATCTTATTGTGCGTGGTGGTGATCCTGCGGCAACAGTTGCTGGGTTGGCGCTGGTCGGCGGCGTCGTGCTGGCTTTGCGGCTGGAGGTGGTGGCTGGCGTGGCTGCTGAGCGCGTGTGGGCGGCGTTTGTGCACTTGGCCAAGGCCGCTATCCGCGAATGTGCGGGCAGAAACTGGCTGTGGGCCGCTCTGGCGGTGTGTGTCGAGGCGGCGCCGCAGGGCGAGCATCTGCGCGGGCTGGCGGAGGACGGCTGCGTGCTCAAGGGGTTTGCGCAGCTGGTATTTGATCCGCAGAGCGGCTTTTTGGCGCGCGTGCCGGGCCATGCTGCGGAGCTGGAGCTGGAGCCGGAGCCGGAGCATGCAGTGGGGCTGGTGTCTGCGCTGGCCACAGCAGCGTCGACGCGCTTCCCCGACGTCCTGCGGCTGGTCCAGCTGGTGCACGCCAATGCCACCGACGTGCTCGTGTCGGCCGAGCACTCGCGCAATCAGCCGGGCCGCGCCACGGCCGCTGGGCTGCGCACGTTGGCCATCTTGCACGTGCTCGACGCCATTCTGCAGCGGTACTTCGTCGACGATGCGTACCTGGGTGTCGCCGAGGGCGACCTGGTGGACGCCTGGTGCGCGGTGGTGGACAGCCTGGCTGCCGTGCATTTCGTGACGCTGCGGCTTGGCGGCCGCGCAGGCACAGAGGCTTTCCGGCGTGCGAGCACTGTGGCTGTTCGCTTTATCTCCGGCTGCAGCGCGCCGGCCGTGGATGCGGCGGTGCGCAGGGCGTTTGGCACGCAGCCTTGCCTTTGCTTCATGGCGCAGCGGCCAGTGTCTGCGATTGGCGGCGAGCGCAGCTGCCTGGTGCTGTTCTACCTGGACCTGTGCGAGCACCTGGTGCCACTCATCTCGGCCAACTCGCTGGCCATGCTAGTGCTGCCCCTGGCCGCGCGGTATGCCGGCGGCGAGGTGGTGGGCAAGGTGGGCGCCGAGTGGTTCGAGTCGGCGCACGCGCTCGTGCTGGCCGTGCTCGAGGCAGGCACGGGCAGTGGTGCCGTGCAGCGGGTGGGCATGGAGGCTGTGCCGTGGTACTCTGGCCTTGTTCTGCGCCTGTATCCGGACCAGGGAATCTCAGCGAATCTGCTGCGCATTGCCTTCACTGCAAGCGTGCGCTGCCTGGCGGCGATCGCTGACGGCGACTCGGCGGATGTCGCGCGGCTACTGGCCTGGGACTGCGTGAGCATGCTGCTTGGCCGCATCGACGCTATACCCTCTGATGGGCATCGCCCTACTTCTGGCCGGGTGCGCGCCGAGATCAATGCTGTGCGGCGCCGCGAGCTGCTCCTTGTTTTGGCTGACCAGGTCGCTGCCGTGCCGCTGGCGCTGCTGCCGCGGCTGCTCGCGGAAATCCACCCGCGCGTGGTCAGTCTGGACGGCGCCACATTCGCAGCCGTGGTGGATGAGCTGCAAGATATTGTATTGAACAAAGCCGACGTGTCTAGAAAGCCATCGCTATCGGCCTGGGTCTGGCGACTGCGGTCGGATTTGATCGCAGCCAGAATCTAGGACTCGTCGATAAATAAAGTCAAGCAATCTCCGTCTACGCCTGATCCAACGGCGACTTTGGTCATGTCCTCGATTGTGTACGCGGCGCCGGCGGCTTTCAGTTGCTTGGCGGAGAGCTGTGTGCGCAGGCCGATGACCAGCGCCCCTGCGGCTTTTCCAGCGGCGATGCCGGCGGCGGCGTCCTCGAAAACCACGCAGTCTGCGGCATCATCTCCGCACTGCATGCGCTGGGCAGCCAGCAGGTATCCTTCGGGGTTTGGCTTTCCGTTGGCTATGTTCACGGGCGTAACGAACACTTTGGGGATCGGCAGCCCGAGGGCCTTCATCCGGGGCAAGGCGAGAAAGGGCATTCCCGAGGTGAAAATGCTCCATTTATCACCGAGCGCTTCCAGTAACTCGCGCGATCCAGGGATAACCTCGATTCCCTCGAGCATCTCCGCGGCCTCTCGCTCTATGAGCTCGGCGTATTCGGGTGTGTGGGTGGTGGCGGGGAAGAATTCCTGGAGCACTTGAAGTGTGGGGATGCCGTGGCAGAAGTGGATTACTGGGAGCGGGTCGATGTTGTGGATCTGGCTGTGCTTCGTGTAGACGTGCTCGGTTACTTGGAGCGTGCTGATCAGCGTGCCGTCGAGATCGAAGATTGCGCCGCGGATGTTTGAGAGCTTTACAATGGTGGAATCAGCCGTTGCTATGATAGGCATGGCGGAAATTTATTATTTCTATTTCTATTTGTGTAATAAAATGCAAGAAAAAGATGAAAAGAGAGGAGAGGAGAAAAAAAACCGAAGTTGGCCTTGGTCATCCAAAAATGTAAATAATTTATTACGTTGATCGATTTTTATGCTTATATATTCCAAAATGAAAATAAAAGGGTTACGTCATCCTTAAAAACATTTGCCATCTATAAATGAAAACAATACTATTATCGTTATTAGAATGCCCATATGGCAGCAGCAACAACCGCGACAAACCCAGCAAACAGACCATTATTGTCGACAGCCGTTGCCGCACTCGTGCGACTATCAATGGTCTTGATATTCTCTACATTTTCCTCTTGGCCATCATTGTTGTTGATGTCGCCGGTGTCGGTCTGCTGCCCGAGCTCATTCTGATTATTCTGGTCATTCTGATTGTTGGGGTTTTGGCCTTGGCCCTGGTTCAGCGTATTTGGGGAAGAAGCGAGCGGATTGGGCGAAGAATTGGCGGCGGCACCGGTGGGGGTGGGCTGCGGCTGGCCTGGGAACGAAATCCCAAGGAAATCTGGGAGATTGTCAAAGATTGATGCTGGGATGGACTGTGCTGCGGAGCTGGGCTGCTGGCCACTGCCATTATTGTTGTTGTTAATGGGGGCGTTGTTGTTTCCAGGGGCCGATCCGGTTCCGCCAGTGTTTCCAGGGGTCGATCCGGTTCCGCCAGTGTTTCCGCTCGGGAGGAGATCACCAAAAATATCAGGGAATGATCCTGTACCAGTGTCTCCTCCAGGAGTGGATCCAGTTCCGCCAGGGAATGAGTCTGTTCCGCCGGTGTTACTGCCAGGGAAGGCGCCTGTTCCGCCAGTGTTTCCGCCAGGAATCTGCTGCTGCAATTGGCGCTTGTACTTGATATGGCAAGGACCGTGGCTCTGGTGGCAGGGCTCCAACTTAGCGTAGCAGGGCACCTCTTCAGCATGGCAAGGGGCCTTCTTTCCGTGACAATCGGGCTGGCACTGCGATTGTCCAGCGATTGCATTGGAGACAGCAGCAAAACTAGTGCAGAGGAGGGTAATAGAGTAGATGAATTTCATTATTGCTTCTTTTTTCCCCCTATAGTGTGAATATGTATTGTTTTGTATTGTTTGAGTGGGCTTGTTGAGGTAGGTAGGACAGGTATTTCATTTGTTTATATACCGATTTAATTTTTGTTATTTGAGCCACATTTACATTTCATTTTGATAATTATTTTCCTTCATTATTTTTTTTTAGAGCAAGAGTGATGGATCTCCTGATACACTAGATGAATCAATTTGATTCATGACAAAACAAAAAAGTAAGTGGCAACGTAATATAGGTCCACACTATATTCCCAAGATCAATTGCATGTATCTCAAGAATATTTATTATTTGTTGACATCATGATACCCAGCGTCACATACAAAAGCCGAATAAAGGATTCCGCAACCCAACCCCAAAAAAGAAACATGATAAAACAAGTAAAAGTCAAGGGAAAACAAAAATAAAAAACAAGATTAAAACAGGAAAAATGATTGTTTCTTTTGGTCTTTGTGTGGACCGAATGCTGCATCCCCCCCCCCCCTTTTTTTTGGGTTGCATGAGAATAGAAAAAATAATGCAGCTTTTATGCAATGGCAAAAATAAAAATGGAAAAAAGAGAGCAGAAAGAGAGTGCAGAAAATAGAAAAACTGTTTGGGCTTTTGCATACAGTTCCATATTTTTTTATTGGGGAGTGATAATGACGAATTTCCAGGTCAGCTGAACAAAAGCGCATTCAAGTAAACGGAACAATTAAAAGATGAAAAAGGCGGAGAAGCAAAAATAAAATAACCTCTCCCCTCTCCCCAAAAAAAGGAGAGGCTTTTGTCGGTTTTCAATAGCATTCATCAATCTGTTTATCGACTTTGTGTGTGAATAAAAATAAAAGTAAAAAAACAAAAAACCGCCCCAATATCCCCTTCTCCCTTCTTTTTTATCTTCTTTTTGTTGATTAAAATTTCCAAAAACAAAACAAAACAATAAAAAACAAACTAAAACTGGATGCCTAATTTGTCGCTCAGCATTTAACCAATTTCAAATAGCTTTCATTTATTATTATACCAAATGAGAAGGCAACAGCGCATTGCACGAAGCACCAGTCCCCGGCGCGGAATGACGCCGCGGATAATGGAGCTCAGCCGACGACTCGGTGACATCGAGTTCCACGAACAGCCAGCCTCGCCGCAAACCAGCAGCAGCAATAAAGCCAAAGCCACCAATAGCAATTCGGTTTCCAATTGCAACATTTCAAATGGCACTAGCAGCATGCGCACAGCCATCCACGAGGAGGACGAGACACAGGAGCCGCGGCTGCGCGACCGGCTGCGCGTGCCGGCCAGCGAGCCCTCGCGGCTGGGCGGGCTGGACCTGGTGGAGCCGGCCAAGGTTGACACGCAGTACGCCGTGGACGTGGAGACCGAGGAGTACCGCGAGCGGCGGCGCACGCGGGGGTCCATCGGGTCCAACGACGGGTTCACAACGGACATTACGCTGCAGCAGCGGCGGCGCAGCTTCTCCAACGGGTCGCCGCCACTGTCGCCGCTGGGGGGCGCCGCCAACGCCAACGCCAGCGGCAGCAGCGCCGCGGCCGGGCGGCCCACTGGCGACTGCGAGCGGCCGCAGCGCGAGGCCGAGCGGCAGAAGCTGGTCAAGCTGACGCGGCGAATCCACGAGGACTGGGCCGAGGTGAGCGCGTCGCTGAAGGAGCTGCGCGTGCTGATTGCGGGCAACGGCGGGCTGCCTGTGGGCGGCGGCAGTGGCGCGGCGGTGCAGCGCGTCAGGGGGATGATGTGGCTGGCGATGCTCGAGGTGCGCGACATTGGGCTCGCCGGGTATGCGCGTGCGCTGCGGCTGTGCCCGTCGCTGAGCGCAGACAAGATCAACAACGACGCGTTCCGCACGCTGCGCGGCGACGCCGAGTTCCGCAGCAGCGTGCCGACAGCCGCCATTGTGCGCGTGCTCAACGCACTGCTGTGCGCGCCAGGTAAGAATTAAGCGATGCACGCGTGCGCCTGTGTTTGCGATCAAGCCAAATCAACTGATTATCTGCTGGCCCGTTGGCCTTTCTCCCCTCTCCCTTCCCATTAGACCGGTCGCAGGCCGACCCGCCGCGCTACGTGCAGGGCATGAACACGCTGCTGGCGCCGTTCCTCTACGTGATGGGCGAGGGCGCCGGGTTCTACGCGTACCGGCAGTTCCTGCGCAAGGAGTGTCCGCTGTACGCGCGGCCGTCGCTGCCGGGCGTCCACGCGTGCGTGCAGCTTATCGACGAGTGCCTGGCGCACACCGACGCGGCGCTGTACTCGCACCTGCGGCGGCACGGCGCCGTCGCCAAGATCTACGCGTTCCCCGCGGCGATGACGCTGAGCGCCTGCGTCGGCCCGCTGCGGCAGGTTGTGCGGCTGTGGGATTTCCTGCTGGCCTTCGGCGTGCACCTCAACGTCGTGTGCATTGTCGCGCAGCTGCTGTCGATGCGCGAGCTGCTGGTGACGACCAGCGCGCCGATGGCGTTTCTGCGGTCGTGGCCGCCGCTGCGCGCCGAGTCGGTGATCGGCCGGACGCGGGAGATCTACGAGCGGCTGCCCGAGGACCTGAAGCGCAGGATCAAGCTGCACGCGCACGACACCGCGCTGGCCGAGGCCTTGGCGAGCGCGCCGCAGGTGGCTGACCCGCTGGCGGCCGGCGCCTCGCTTAAGCGCGACCTGCCGCTGAGCCCCGCTGCGTCGGCGTCGGCGTCGGCGTCGGCGACGGTCCTGGCCGGCGGCGGCCAGGGCTTTGCCGCGGCGGCCGACGATGACGCGCTGGCGAGGCCGCGCGCCAGGACGTTTTCGGGGCTGGTGAAGCGGTTGCGCACGGCGCCGGTGACCAATGAGCTGATGCCGACGATGATGCGCGCCAGCGAGATGGCGCGGCCCAACTACGGATCGGGCGGGCTGGGCATCATGCACCAGGGCAGCAATGCCGCCGCCGCCGCCGCTGCTGCTGCCAGGGCGGCTTCTGGCGGGAGCATTGGCGGCAGGGCGCTTGGCGGCAGGGCGCTTGGCAGCAGGGCGCTTGGCAGCAGCGGCAATGCCAATGCCAATGCCAATGCCAATGCCAATGCCAATGCCAGCGCCAATGCCAGCGCCAGCGCCAGTGCCAGTGCCAGTGCCAATGTGGGTGGCCGGGTGGGCGGTGGCCGCAGGGTGGTGGCTGGCAATGCTGCCAGCATTGCCAGCATTGCCAGCATTGGCACTGAGACATTGTGGATGATGGAGCGCAAGCTTTCGGCCGAATACGTCGACTCTGGCGGCAGCAGATACTAGAATACTAGCCTCGCTTTTCAATCTGTCTTTTTTGTTTGTTTGTGTTTGTGTTTGTTTTATTTTTGTTGTGTCTGCGCCTGTACGGAAAATCCAAACCATCTTTTCCTTCTTTTCTTTTTCTTTTCTTTCTGGGTGAATAAACGCTAGCTTTTTTTCGAGACAAGCTGGAAAAAAAACCAATAGGAAAGACCAACTGGGGTGAGTTGGGTTTGCGGGTGAGCGATTAGCGGGGAGAAAGAGACTCAGACACTCAGCCAGGCCCCCATGTGCTTTTTATTATTTGTTATTTTTAATCGATATTGTGAAACTTTTCCTATTTGGAATAACCTCTCCCTCTTTTTCTTTCTTTTTTGCGTCTCGCTTCTTTTTATTTTATTTTATTTCTCTTTTTCATTTTATCTTTAGCTAGCCAGAGAAATAATATTGCTATCATTATCACTGTTCTTTCTTTTTCATTTAAATGTCTATTGGGCTTTCTGCCACAGACCATTTTCAGCAGCAGCACCAGCAGCAGCAAGGTAAAACATCAACGCATACACTATAAAAATAAAAAGAAGAAAAAAGACCAACCCAAATAAAGAACAACAAATACATAGCTAAACGTAAGTAGTAATTTGTTTTATTAATTAGTTGAAATGCTTCAACAGGCCGTTTACTCTGACAGCGTGCACAGCAGCAGCGTATCAACAATTCACTCAGCCTACGATACCGACGGTAGTCTCAGCAGCATGCACGATGAAGAAGCTAAACCCACCAGCAACAGCAGCAACAGAAAAAAAGCCAATGTTATTACTTTAACTCCGCTCTTAGAGTCACCCAAAAAATCACATGCAGCCATTGTTATTCAATCATTATGCCGTGGTGTTTTGGTTCGAAAGGAGTTTGTGAGGAGATTGAGGGATTGGCAGGTTTTGGCAATGAAGGGGTCGGCGAGTGTTATGCGAAGGAGGACTTTGAGGGAAGGGAGGCCCGAGGGAAGAGTATCTTTGGAAGACGAGCCGGAGAAGGAAAAGGTGCTGAAGAAGCCCGTGAGTTTGCCTGGGTCGCCTGGGTCGCCTGGGTCGCCTGTGGCATCTGTGGCACCTATAGCAGCTACGGTGCCTGTGGCAGCTACGGTGCCTGTGGCTCCGCTGTCCAAGTTTTCACCGGTCGTTTTGCCTCCGCTTCCGCAGGGTCGCGGGTTTTCTCCGTCAGCACCAGCCGCGCCGCTGGCGCAATTGGCGCCGCTGGCTTTACTGTCGTCGTCGTCGCTGCCTACGCCGCCAGCAGCGCCCGTTCAACGCCGCGGACTGAACATCAGAGGCTGGTTTCATAGACAGTCGTCGCCGAACAAGCGCAGTGGCATCAGCAGCAGTGGCATCAGCAGCAGTGGCATTAGCAGCAGTGGCATTAGCAGTGTCGGCATTAGCAGTAACCCCGCATCGTTGGACCCACGTGCGTTGAAGATCAATTCACCGAAAAGTTTCAAAAAAGTAAGTTTTAAAATCTTTTGTTTTTTCCAACCGCTTCCTCCCTCACCCCCCTCCCCCCGCACACTTTTTTTATTTTTTCTTGGGAGTATTTTTTCTCCTTGTTGTTCGACGCCTTTACGTACGCACACGGTTTTTTACTACTGTCAATTTCTCCACGCCACGCCACGCCACGCCACACCCACCTATAAAGCATTTAATTTAATTTTACTTTTGGTTTTTTGGTTTTGCTATAGCTGCCGGCGCTAAGTATCCGAGACAATGGTTTGGAATTCGCAGGTGACTCGCCCATAACGCCTTCACAGCCATTGGTTGCGCACAAGCTTTCGTCTATTTTCAAATCAGGTTTGGGTTCATTTCTTTCTAAATCGCCTATGCGTCAACACCACCACCACCACCACCAAAACTATCGCAATCAACTTTCCGAACCCCTTATTTCCCCTACTACTACTTCTACTCGACACGGCCATTCGTTATACTCCATTGTTAGTTCTCCTCCTAGGTCTTTGCTACCGCCACCGCCACCGCCTAACTCGCAGCCTGCTTATAACACCATTGCTGGTATGCCGCGATCCCCATCGGCTTTTTCATCAGAAGCAGCAGCAGCAGCTGGAGGAACATCGGGGGCAGCCGCTGCACTCGCTAGTGGGGGTAAGGCTGGGAGCTCGCCTTTATCGAGGAATGGATCGGTCAAGTCGGCAAGGGTTGTGCGGTCGGACTCGATAAAGTCTATGATCAGTAGGACTGCTCCGGTCATGGCGAGGCAGGTATCGGTGCCGATTATGCATCACGATTCAGAATCACCTGCGGATAAGTCTGCGTCTATGGCTTCTGCCACTACTATTGCGCACAGAGCGGCGGCGGAGGAGGAAAAGGCGGCGGCTTCGGCAGCGGATACCGATGATGATATGGGTATTGCCGCGTCGGTTACGAAGATGGCAACTACCCAGATGCCGCCATCCTCGCCATTGCCTGCTCTGCCATTGCGGTCTATGGGTGTAGAGTCGGACAACGAGATTGAGATGGAGACGGACGACAATAACGATACTATCGAGATCTTGTCTGATTACGAGGCTGAGGCTGAGGCTGAGGCTGAGGCTGAGGCTGAGGCTGAGGCTGAGGCTGAGGCTGGGGCTGGGGCTGGGACTGGGGTTGAGGCGGAATCGCCGCGTCACCCCATTGAGGATGTTTCCATGACGGAGTGTGCGCTAATGCCGCCATCGGCGCCTCCGATGCCACCGTTGTCGTCGTCGTCTTCCTTAGGGTCTTCTGCGCAGCCCGATACTTTGTCGCTGATGAGTTGCAACAGCGAAGCTAATGTGGGTGGCAGAAGTAGCAGTGGGACTTACGAGACATCCATGTCGGGTGGGGGCACCAGCATTATGGAGAGCCCTGTGGCACCGTTGTCCGGTGCGTTGTCTGGGCCGATGGTTGCGCCTTTGGGCTCATTTCTGGCTGGCCAAGAGACGCTGGATGCTGCCGCGCTGAGGCTGTCGCTGAGATTGTCGTCTGACGCGTCTTGTTTTGGGCAGTTTGGTCTGGCTGCTTTTGCTGTGCAGCAGCAGCAACAGGATAAGAGTATGGATGCGGTGAATGAGGAAAAGGAAGAGGAGGAGGTGGGGGCGGCGCCTGGTAAGCATGGGTTGCTGCCGTCTAAGGGTGCACCACCGTCGCCGTTGGCTGTGGCGACGGCGAAAGCAGCGGCGACTGCGGCGGCAACTGCTGATGTTGCTTCGGCGGCGAAGACATCCGTGGCAAATGCTTCTGTGGTAAAAGAGGAGGATGATGATCCGATGCGGTCTCGATTGCGGTCACTGCGGTCTCGGCGGGCGTCCAAGGATATGGACACTTCTACTGGCAGAAGTGCGTTGTCGGCAGCGCAATCAGTACCATCAAATTCTTCTACTTCTGCGAGCGGCATCAGCAGTAGTAGCAGCAGCAGCAGGCGGTTCAGGGCATCGCTATCATCTAAACCTGACACACCAGCGGCTGGTGGGAAGAAGAAGCCGGTGACAAAGATGGGACCGATGCAGTTGGACCGGTTGACCAAATTGAACACACGGCGTAATTCGACCTATATGGCTTGTCGGATTGAGCGGTATAATGTGCAGAGAGAGGGCAAACGACCGGTGTCGCCGTCCCTGATGATGCAGGTGAAGGCTCAGGAGAAACGCATGATGGACGATGATGACCGGTACTCTATATATCCATCTTCCGGCGATGAGGACGATGAGAACTATGAGTATGATGATGGCGATAATGAGCTGGAGGAGCCTGAGGCGTTGGAACTAAATCCGGTAAATGAAGGTGAAGGGATGGAGGCGCTGATTGGCGAGGATATTAGGCCTTTGACTCCACTGTCGTTTTCTGATAGCGAGGACGAGATTTTTGTGGATACGGAGGGGCTGGAGAGTAAGAGGAAATCCATAGATCTTAGTGCGAGCCTGCAACAACTGCCACCGAGCAATGATTTTGGCGGTAATGATACTGCCAAGGATGTAGCAATATCAACGACCGGGCGGAGTAAGAAGCAGTGCCGGCGGCCCAAAGTCCAGTGGGGCAGCAGATCCACATTGCGCACGCCCTGGATTCTCAACACGCCCATTCCTGAACCGCCTGAGAAGAGCAGCATAAAGCCTATTTTGAACGTACTTGAGGATAACAATACTGGTGGATTGGCTGACTCTACCATGTCGGTGGCGGAGGCGGTCAAGACTGCTGGTAATAAAAAGCCTGGTGCTGCGCATGTTCTTAATGTCGTTCGGGTCGCTTGTATCACGTATCCGGCACCTCCGCCTGAATCTTTATCGTCTTCTGAAGAGGAGCTGTTTGTAGATGCTCTGGATGAAGACGATTATGTGCCTATTGGTAGGAAAATGACTAGGCGAAGTGCTGGAACTAGAAGACATTAGATTTTTTTTCTCTCTCTCTCTCTTTTTTATTTTTACTTTTTCATTGCTGATTATCGAATTTTTTATTCTGATTTTATTTATTTATATAAACTTTACCAAAAAAAGACTTTACAAAATTTTTTGGTATTTTATTTTAATTATTCATCAAGTTTTTTATTTTTCTTGATTAGTGTGTCTAATTGTTGTGCTTCTTGTTGGATCTGGTCAATACGTGTGCGTGAATCAATAACTTGATCTGTGGATGAACGGATTGATCGAACAGCAGTTATGAGATTTTTGACAGGCTGCAAGTCCGCAGGCAAGGAGGATGCCGGTACAGGGTGTGACTCCAGACGGAGTAAGTCTTGGGTCATTTGGGTAAACGAAAGAGTTGACGACATTTTTTTTAATTAGTTATTTATGTATTTATGATAGAAATAATAAAAAAAATTATTTTGTTGCAAATATGACTTGATTATATCATTACTGCTGGGTAGAGTTTACAGTATGGGGGGCAATAATCTTATACACCTGCTTTTGAATATTATGTACAGACCTCCAGGTGCATCCCAGGACCGACAGATGGCACATTGGAGGAACTCAAGAAGCGTGTAGAACAGCCATTACCAGGACAAAAAAGCTGGACTTGGATATGGGGCATGGCTGTCAGGAGGCTGACAAAGGACAGGTACACAACGCTGAGCAAGAAACCCCAAGGTAATCATGTAAAACAAGCAACAGTGTTTATAAATGAGATCATAGAGATAAACAGCATGATTGGTACAAGGAACAGTACGGCCTTCGGATCAAATGGGAACCAAGTGGATCCTTGACACCTGAGAAAACGCCGATTGTTGATGAGGACTCCAATCTCAACAAACACCCCCAACTACCAAATCTGCGACAAGGCAAAGATGACGGGCCTGCCAAAGTGGCCGCGGGCAAACACCAATGAGGACGGCAGATATGCACACTAGCTATCTTTGCCACGATTGATGCTCTAGCTGGAAAATCGAGTGCTCGGGTTTAATTTTACTAATACTCTGCCGGACACTTCCACCGCCAGGCAATTAGACCCAGGTCTGGATAGTATTTGTTTTAGTGGACATGTAGCCAGGTTCTGCAATAGAGCTCATGAGAGACAAGGTGGCCTGGTAGACAATCAATTCTATTCATCAACTTTAGTTCGTATCTTTTACTTTTTTATATCTCGCTTAATGCATGTGATAACTTCTTGTTTTTAGCATCAATGCTATAAAGCCAAATCGACAAGCATGTCTTATAGCGCAACTCTTGTGTAAACCCTGATTAAAAGTTAATATATGTACACCATTTCAATATTTTTTAAATTTTATACATGCAAAGTGGTGCAAAAATATATTAAAGTTCAGGATCGAGCAATGTTTTTGAATTGTTCTATATAATTAAATGAGAATTTAAAATAGACAATAAGAATATGTACCCAATACGCGGAAAACATAAAAGTAAAAGATTATCATAGGTTCTAGCCTGAAGGTAATACGAATTTAAACTGCACGAACTATATAATCTTTTAAAGTGCATGAGTAATAATAAAATACTTATTGTTGCGAGGATACTCAAGCTGACCAAAAAAAAACTAAGCGCGGCAAAATGCCATTGTCAGCCCTAACTCCCCAAGCCGTGGAGCTGTATTAAAAAGAAACATGGTCATCGGAATCATCATTGCTGGTCCTAGACTCTTTGCAGAAATTAACTGTAATCACGTGTGTATCACTATCAACCCTCCTGTTGGCCGATGAGCCGGTTAAACTGCTGGGCTCTGCGTGGCTCTGCGTGGCTCAAGTTGACTGAGTGATGAGGCTGGTCGAACGCCGAGCTCTAACCACTCTCATTGACCGTAACGAATGCTGTGGCCGAGCTCGAGTCAACCGTATGCAGCGGCTGCGGTGCAGTGCCTGTTTTGCGCGGACCCATTGAAAGCTCGTTCCACCCGGGAATCGGCGGGCCAAGCATGTAGACAGCATCTGCTTCATCCATTATTGTGGAGGGGCGCGGATTACATATAACACTGTACAATGGCTGGCCATTAGTAGGGGAAACCCGCAAGATGGCCAATGGCACAACGGCGTAATACTCCATCATATAGCGAACCATAGTGCTGTAGCTCTGCCCAATATAGTGGTCTGGCATGACCAGTAGGTTAAGCTGACCGGGATTGAACGGTTTTATAGCATTGGCCTCGGGAGTGTCGGTCAAATGGCTTAACGTCAGGTGCCGCAGAAAATCCACCGTACGTAATTTAGATCGCCTCTGGCACAGCAGTGTGTCCAGCATGCCCGGTACAAAAATACTGCCTTCCAAGAATGCGCGCTTGAGCAGGGGCTCACCCGAAAGTTGCGTGTAGTCAAGGTACCGGATATTTTCGATATTCAGCAGCTCGGTCGTTATAAAAAAATCAGTTCCACAGAGCGATTGTATATTTACGTGTGCCAGGATGGCTGCTGTGTCAGTGCTGGTAGTGCCGCCAATACCCATATATGTGCGTTTATTGCATGTGCCCAGCACAATGGCTTTTAGCGCACTCTCGATATGTGCTCGCTTCAAGTCTTCCAGTGCTAGAGGTGTGCCATGCACATGGTAGACGTGCGTGAATTTTTGAATTGCGAGCTTGCACTGATTGTCTGGTTCGCCTGGCGATAGTATGACGATGCCGAGACTTTTGTTTGCAAAATCACTTTTCAGCGCTTGCACCAGTAGCTCAATGTTGCGCGGAAATGAGTTGCTGGTATCACAAATGACAATGTGGCCGTGTATGTCCTGCGGTACCAAGTTAATTTGTCGCCCTCCAAACTCAAACTGGTGCGATTGCGTTGTAGCAGAGGTGTTGTCAGTAAACTCGGCTTGCGGAAACGGGCTGCTGTGGACAGAAGTACCGCCGGTACTGCGTTCTGAAAAACTACATGGGTTTGGCATGGATGACAGTGGATTGGCTCCAAAGCTTAACCCATCCGCGTCGGTGTACTGCATGGCTCTCGGCACAATTTTGGTTCTGAGAGCCTTGCGATCATCATAGTCCATATCGTAGAACATATAATCGTCTTCGGTCGATATATAAAAAAGAATGTCGTTCTCTTGCAACTTGTAGTTTCTCGGTGCTAACAAAGTCTGGTAGTATCTGGGCTTGGAATCAGAAGATATGTTATGCCCTGTGTGGCTGGGTAGAGAGTGCAATTGGGAGGAGCCGACGCCTAAAATCAGAATGCCAACATGGTAGTAATTGTGTATCGCGACCTCGAAAAAAGGTTTTCCAATGTCACTTTCGTCACAGGTAATTGTATGTATACCCTGGTGGAACCCGTGGATGTAGCTTTCAACCCACCTGTCTTCTACACAATGCTTGCCAGACAAATGTACATTTGGTTAGTTTTGCAGGTATTAAATTTGGAGGGTTTTTAACACTTTCAATATTCATATTGGGCATCTTACCTGCTGATTTGGCAATGTTTTCTTCCAAGGCCCCCGAAAGGTCCCAATCCGCATGCTTGGACACTGACGTTGACAGCATATATGCCAGAGCGGCAAACCCGGGCGTAGCACAGTTTTGCGCCATTATCCCCATGCGCATCTCGTCGACGCACATTACACGGGTAGTCTGCGGGTACGCTAAATGAGATATGCTGCCTGGTAAAAGGGTCTGTGCAAACACCTTAATCTTGGGCGACAAGTTTTTCCGCCGCTTATCTGTCTGATGCGCTTGATTGCTGGATACTCCAAAAACGCTCACAGCCATCATAGTCATTCTAGTACCGACGTCTTCTTCAACGCCAGATCCAGGGCTGTGCTTGTCCGCCAAAATGTAGACGCACTTGGCCACATCAACTCGTGCCTTTTTGAGTGCACTGAAGTCAGTAGCGTGGCTATAATTGTAACAAGAGACAATTGTGTTTAATAATTAGGCTAACAAGCAATGCAGACAAATCATGTTTGAATAGATTACATTTTTTGTATTAAATTTGTACTTACCCTTTGACATAGAACACATGGTTAACAAATTCTGGCTCCTGCAGCATCGCCTTCATCTCCATGGACGGCTCGTCGCTGTGCAAAATGGCAATTGTCGAGGCGAAGGTAATGGAATCTGATCCGATGATATATTCTTGCAGAAATTTTCGAACAGGCTCGAGCTCAATATGCCCGCATACCACAGTGTGTCGCGAATACTTTGGAAGCGCTATAGACCTGTCGTATGATGATGTCTTGAGTGCCAAATTAGCCAGTTTGGTTGCTCGCGACGGCAAGAGAAAAGCAATCAGGGCGATGATAAAAATGGAAAGTATAATCGAAAAGACGTTGAGCGGGATAGAACCGCCTGGATTCAACGAATCGATGTCTTCTAGCTTGCGAACTACACATAAAAAAGAATATAAAAATATAGTTTATCAAACAATTTTGTTCAGTAAAGTTGTCAAATGTCGTGGAGCATTAATTGGTATGATATTTTGCATATTGCAATCATTCCCGATTTACTTACTGACAATAAAGTAGATGGCATCGAGGAACGTAAAGCTAGGAGATTGAGATTTTTTGAACTGACTGAACCAGTTAAGTCCGGAGTGCACAAGGCTTGCAAAAAAGAGTATACTAATGAGTATGTCTCCCGCAAGGGACACAACCTCCTTTCTGATCAAGGATAGACGGATGTACTTTTTCGATGCTGCAACAATTGCCAGTAGCCGCTTGAACGCATAAAAAAGCCTAAGAAACCGAATTGGATAGAATATAACCTACACAGTTTTCAATTGTTAATACTTTAGTACTTTAGTATTGAAATAGCCAATTTAAAAATAATAATATTACATATAGTTTTGTTTTTTATTTACACTTACCATGGTCCCTGCGCTCATGTAGCTGTTGCGCACAAACTCGCTGTCTGTGCTTATTATAAACGCTGCTACCGGACTGACGGACGTAAAAAACACCACGACATGCTCCAATTCCAATATGTTCTACTGAGGAACGCATACTTTGCACTGTATTGGCCCAGGAAAACGAGGGCAAGCACAAGCTCAATAAGCCTGTTGGACTCTGGGATTCTGGCCGGGGTTTTGTTCCTGTCCACATACGTAGAGTTCTAATTAAATTGTTGAATGAGTGCTGTTTTAGCTAGGTGTTTGTCATTCAAGCGCAGTGCCACCTATTATAAATTATTATTTTTACTTACAATAATGAAGATTATGCAAAGAGCAAGATTAAGCGCAAAGTCGGCCACGTTCCAGATTCGACTGGAAATTGACATGTCGACATGCTTTTGAAATTTAATTCCAAAATATCTTAATAAAAATTTATATTTCCTATAGGTATTTGCTCCAAACATGGTGAAAAATGGATAAGTATGTGTTGGTTTGAAAGAATAGTCAAAGATGAAGAATAAAGCCAAACTGTTTTAGTTTTGTTGCGATGTAAATTTATTTTTTACGAATTGTTTTATTTTGACATCCTTTAGAAGCTGAAGATGGATGCAGCGACATGCATTTGAACGCATAAATTTGCAGCAAAGTGGCCAAAAGGCCATCAACATTCAACAATAGTGCGAGATTATTATCCGAACAGGCCCAAACAATGCAAACAATGCAAACACACAGGGTTTAAAAATTAAATTGAATTAAATTTTATAAGAAATTTTTAGCGAACCAAAGCATATCCAAGTGTGTGATATGTGTAGCTTAGGCTGTCTGATTATGCGCACAATAATTTTTTATTTTTAAGCACCAGTCAAAAAGTATGCGCAGTTGGTCTGCTGGCTTCTCAAGCTATACTAAAAATACCTGACGATTGTTAGAATACATATGCGAATTTTTGACAAGCAGTGATTTATTCAGGTTGTTGAAAGCAAATAGCTTTTTTTATTGCAAACATGTTCTTGTTCTTAGTGGTGGATCTTGTACATTGGCGCAGTTGCCAATATATTATTTAATCGACACTAAAAAAATCAAAAGTACTTGTTGGCAAACACAAGCTTTATAGAAAATATATTTTGTGACGCCCCTTGTCCTCCTCAAACATTTATTAATAGCTTGCAGAACATACAAAAAACAGTTACATACAATTCACAATTGTATTGTAAAACACTTATACACGGACAAAAGATAGTTGGATAATTGATATACATTCAAATTGCATAATCAAATGCATAATAAGTTCCATACGATAGAATGACACCCACATGTTGAAAAGATTAATTATTTGTGTACCTTTTTTGTATTGGTATTTTGCCAGCCATTCTTCAAGCTAAACTGATTAGCTTTTAGTTCATGATTTTCTACTTGCTTTATATTTTGCTCAATGTATCTATTTTCTTTCTGTACCGAGCTACTTTGCTGTATTAGATTGATTGAACATACAGAGGAAATCTTCATTTCGCACAGCGGTAATTGTTAGGAATTATTAGTTTTTCTTGTAGACATATACCAAGACGTGACTGGCTTCTGGTTAAGCATATTTTTAATTTGCAATTAAATATTAATTACGAGGATGACGGTAAAGATGAGCAGAGGGGATATGAAAAATAGTGGATTGATCACATTCTTTCTGTTTTCGCTTTTCGCTTTTTCGCCTTTCGCTTTTTTTTTCTTTCTCTTTTCCTTTTTTCTTTTCCAATTTGTTATTTTAAAGTCCTCATCTGCACTTTATTATTTTATAAATTTCAGTCACTCTTTCAACTTTCAATCTAAATGGATTCGTTTACAAAGTTCACACAAAACGTCAGCACGAACTGGACGCCGTTCGCGTCCAAAGTCGGGCGCAGCCTGACGCAATACAAGCAACTGGCCACTGAAAAGCTTCAAAGCAACGTGGAAACCACAGCTCTTCCCTCAGACTACCTCCAGCTGGAAAGGCAATTCGAAGCAACACGTCAGCATACGCAAAAGCTACTTCGCTTAGCCAACCATTTTATCACCCCGCCGGCATCCCAATACGACATGCAGGCTATTCAGCAAACTGTTAGCTCTCTGACAGCAAAAATAAACACTGCCGCCACTGCGGGTAATTATGGTGGTGCAGCCAGGGGTTCGGTGGTGGCGGATGAGAAGGTGCCGGGGACTGTGGAGCATGGGTTTTCGAGAGAAGCGTTGGAGTATTCGGAGAAAATCGGATTGGAGAATCCATTGGGTGCGGCGTTGTTAAGTTCGGGTCGATTGAGGAAAAGGTCGGCGCTGGAAGACTGAAGATGGACTCTTCGGTGCAGAGAGGGTTTGTTGGGCCCTTGGATGATATGCTCAGGGGTGGAATCCAGATGGCACAGACTGGGAGGAAGGAGGTTTTGGCTGCGAGACTGACTTTGGATGCTGCCAAGAAGGAGTACCGCTCGGTTGCTGCTGTGGGGGCGGATGCGCAGAGAGCGGCAGTGGAGAAAGCTGAGGATCATTTTGTCACGGTTATTGAAGAGGCGATGCGGCTGATGAAGGCTGTGGTGGAATCGCCTGAGCATCTTGTATTGCTCAGTGGGTTTGTGCAGAGCCAGTTGGCGTACCATCGCGAGGCTGCCGAGTTGCTGGCTGATTTGGCGCCCGAAATCGAGGAAATCAAGGTCACGCAGGAGGCCATTTACCGCCACCAAGACATGAATTAATCAATTAATTAATCCTTTTATTATATTTTCAGTGTTATAAATGGAATTTCAAAAATCTACTTTTTCAACAGTTCAATGTCGCGGCTGCGCTCGGGCGTGTCTGAAAACAGCGCCCGCACCAAATGCACAAGCTCGTCTGCTGAGAAAACATCCAGGATGCCCGCTCTGTGCCTGGCAACGATGTCCGCACGCGATATTTCCAAAATATCAGCCAACTGCCGGAGCCTCACTACACCCTTGCCCTCATTCACTTCCTCCATTCCACAGCAGCCATCAATGCTCGCACCAGCGCTCACCCTTGACATTAGCTCTCTGTACGGAGCTGTGGCCTTTTCATCCAATGCCAGTTGGTTTGAAATGTCCAATACGTCACGACAATACTGGCTGAGCAACTGCGACTCCTCGACGCCAATATCCTCAAGCACCATGATGGAGTCCACCGAGGACCGACACACGGCGTCGAAGCAGTCGCCTACCGCCTCGGCGTATACATATGGGGGCGTGGCGGAGGCCGAAGTGCGCGACTAAGTTGCAGGAGCGTGGATTGTGCTTGCTTGACGTGTTGATGATGGGGACCGGTGGGCTGCTGGTCTTTCGAAGGTGATGACGGTTGTAGGATCGATGTCAGATCCACGGGTCTGATTCCTAGACGGAACTGGTCAATCAGCTTTAGTTTGTGCGCTTGTGCTGTGTGCACGTACGCTGAGATACAAGAGGACCAGCAGTCATTTTGATTTTGATTTTGATTTCGATTTTGATTTTGATTTTTCTGGGCCATGATTGCAGTGTGGTGAGCGCCATAAAGACAGTCCAAATAAAACTGCCATCCCAACGCTGGCACACGCAGTAACGCCGCCGCATGCACACTGGCAAACACCACACGGTACAACACCATCACATCGCACACCAAAATAGCCGATACCTCAGCCAATGATGCATCCAAAAGCAACTCCTGCGCAAGCTCAACGAGTGCCCGCATAGACTGCGAAATCGCACACCGTGGAAACACACAAATACCACGGCCGCTGCTCTCCTCTTGCGCACTAATATTATGTATCTCGTGTTCTGGCATCCAGTATGTGGCAAAGCGCGAGTCCTCGGCTAACTCGCGCGTTTTCCCCAAAGCCACTGAACGACGGTGGTCGGTATATAGCTGCGGCAGTTGGTCGAGGGCCTCCGATATGGGCATTTTGTCTTTTGATGCGCTGCTGCTGCTGTTGTTGCTGCCACCCATTGTTTGCTGCCATAGCTTGCGCTCGAAATTCCACAGCACGGGCGCCACGTCATCAGCAAATGCACTCAGCTCGTTCTGGTTCTCAGGAATGCATTGCAGCAAAAACCGCTCCAGGACAATCCGGCCAATCTCACTCAGGAACTCGGGCGAGGACCACAGAGGAATCTGCGGGATCTGCTCACTGATAAACGCCAAAGCGCCCAATATAGCGTCGCACAACGCTGCCGGGCTACTCCCAGTATTGCCCCGATTGTTGTCCGACAAAGACACAATGTACTCTGGCACAAGCGGTGGGCCGGCGGCTGCTTTGGTTGTTGGTTTGTGATGCTCATGGGCGACTGGCTCAGTGGGCGGACGAACTCGCTGATGAAATGCTCTGCAACGGCAGACTGCACGGCAGCCTCTTCGCGCAACACGCGGCAGCAGTCGAACACAGCCGGGTCTACAGCATTAATGCGCACGGTGCCGCTCTCAATCCCAACCCCAATCCAAATCATCCCAAGCACGCGCTCAACAACCTTATCCCTCAACACGGCGCGCGCCAAAACCAGCCTCGCCCTTATCCTTTCGCCCAATGCCCCGCCCATTTGGCCCCCCTCTATTTCACCCAATAGCTTGGCAGCCTCCATTGCGTCTCCTCTTTGCTCATCAATGCCTCGAGGCTGTGGAGGTTACTGCGAATAATGGAGAGTGCTTTAGAGCATCGATGACTGCGCGGTTTCCATCGAGCTGATGCCGGATGCGGTGCTCCCGTTGGGTGGCTGCGGAAAGTCGCTGGTAGATGCTGGTTTCGCTATCATTGCTTCCCAGGTGTCTTGGAGATTGTCGACGCCGCTAGCAGCGTGCTAATAGTTTGTGTGCCCTGCTGGCGTTTGCTAGACTGCTGGTGTAGGTTTCGCTGTTTGTGCGCAGCGTGTCCAGGATGTTTGTCTATGCACGTGTTGAATTCAATGAAAGGGTGTTGTTTGAGCGAGATAAAATGAAAAAATAGAAATTGGACCCGAATTCGAAGTTTTTTCCTTTGCTTGGCTATTATGTCTTATTATGTACCTTGGTCGGAGTAGGTGCTGGTCGAGTGCCAGGGACAGTTGGCGTGCTGTGTCCAGAGTCAGCTGTAGCTCGGGCTGCGTTCCGCCATCCGCCCTGGTCTGCAGCAGATTGACATACGATTCCATCATAAATTAAAACAGCAATCAGAATAGAATAAACAAAAGGCAGCAAATTAAAGAGAAAGGAAGAAAACAAAAAACAAGAGCGCATTAAAATCCTGCCAGCAAGCGCCCTTTCGTCATTCCTTCTAGCCTTCTGCCAGCAACCAAAATAAAATAAATCTGCTGATCAGATCAAATAGGCCGATGCCTCGTCATCAGACATATCCTCAGGCCCGACCTCCTCGTCGTCCAGCCTTCTGCGCTCCCGCTCGGTGCGTTTGGCGGCCCTCTCCCTCGACTTTTTCATTTCGTCCAGCGTGTGCATGGGCAGGCTCAGCACGCTGGGCAGATCAACGCCCGCGTCACGAGCGCTCCTCAGCTCCTCACCAGCACCAGCACCAGCACCAGCACCGTCCAGCAGCTCTCTCCTGCAGGCCTCCAGCCTCCTTGCGCGCTCAAAAGCCGGCGGCCCCCCACCACCACCGACGCCGGAGCATCCGCCACTAATTGCGATTCCGAATCACACCCCCGCCGATTAGCGAGTGCCGAAAGCAGCCCACAATATCGCCGAAATACGCCGGCACCGAGTCCTTATCAACCTCGCCCTCCCGCAGCCACGGCACCCACCGCAAGGCATCGGCGGCCAAGCTCCGGAGCGTCCCCTCGACATGCGTCATTAAATGCGCCGCACTCACATGCGCATGCAGCGAAACCAGCCGCACGAGCACCAGCCGCTGGGAGTGCCGCAACGGCCACCCACACACATGCTCCAGCGCCAAACTCACAGCCAACCCGCTGACGGTGCCCATGCCAAGCCCCGTTGTGCGCCCGGTGGAATTCCCCAGGGCGGCCAGGTCTGTGGCCATTTCGACCATCCTGCTGCGCGCCGCCCTGCCCGAGGCACTGCCGAGGAAGCGCAGCAGATCACCGGCGAGGTCGCCCTCAGCACACTGCCCCGCGGGGCCCGCGCGCGGCGTAGCTTTTTCCTTCGAGGCCCTGAAATGCACTCCAGTATCCAGGGCCGCTCCCCCTCCCCTCCCCCTCACCCTGCGCCTCGCCGTGATGGCCGGCTGCGCACCGCAGGGCGCAGCCTAGGATGCGGTCAACCAATCGCTCAATGCACACGTGCGCCGCGGGCCGCTCCATGCCAACGGCAGCCAGCCCAGCAACCCGCTTGCCGCCGCGCCAACCTCATACAGCGACACGCCCGCTTAACCGACACGTCTGCCATGCCCAGCCCGCAGCGGGCCTCAATGCCAGCCAAGTACACACAGCCTGCAACCCACTTTGCCATGCGCTCCCCAAACACCCACCCACCGCCCTCCCCTCCTCTCGCCCCTCCCTTTTCCGCCATCGCAGCACAAACAGCCTCGGTATATATGCGCTCCGCACGCTCCGCCAGCCCAAGCTGCCCCAGGGCTAAGCACAGAGCAGCGGTCTGCTCCTTGGCCTTCCACATGTGCTCCCTGCTCCACCGGTTATGCAGACGCGGCAACCTGTCTCTGGACAAAATGGCTGGGTGTGGAATATAGGTGGTGCCCAGGGGGTGGGTTGGCTCAAAGTGTGGGTCGTTAGTTATGGTGCCGCAGTTTGTACAGTATTCCTCGGTGCCGGATGTGGTGGCTGTTGTGTCGAAATCGCGAGAGCCGCAGGACATACACTGCTTGAGTGTGGGGGATGCGGTGGCTGTGCTGGCAGTGTGCTTGCGTTTAGACATTTTTGGAGATTTTTATGATATGCCGAATGCGATGGAATAGGTGTCTTGGATGTAGTAATATATATACCCAAATATAGTAGTTGCGCAGTTTATCTTTCTATTTATTTTTCATCAGCACGTAGCAAAAGCCAGCCTTGTAAAAGAAACCCATGGCTTTAATTTATGGCTAAATGTCAGATGGTTTTGATACAGCCGACTATTACTTGGCGCGATTGGATGACATTTAAGCAAGCGCAATGAGCAAATAGCACATTATGCCTATAGCCAGACCTAGGGCCTCGCAAAATAGTGGCATACTGCTGTGCCACAGACAAATGCCATCAACCGGATTGGCTGCTGTGGATCTTTGCACACAGCAGTATATTTAATAATCCCCCGATGTGGTGAACATTGGTTGCTCAAGGTATATTAATTTTATCCTTGCAAGTGATGCCATAGTGCACATTTTTTTATTTCCACCCCCCCCCCACCCCTTCCTCCACATGCTCAGCTAATAGCAGTTAGGACAAAGACTAATTAAATTATGCGTAGAATAGCACAACCATACGCACAGTACGTTCACATAGCACCACCAAATAATAAACTCATTTACCCGAGTAAACTGTTTATATTTTTTGTTGGTCAGAAATTACATGGCAAACTACTGGGGGAAGGGGGTAGTATTTCAATATCTGACCCTTGGCATGCAAGTGGAATGAATCATATTTGGCACACAACACACAAAATAATTTTAAAAAATGCACATACACTATATTTTTCACACAAACCGGCAAAACATTCTTGGCAAATAAGCCGAAATATGAACTTATCTGCATTAAAGCAGACAGCGTGAACAGAGCTATCATTTAGCAAACAGCCTGTACAAGTTTTACTATGTTAGAATGCGCTAAAAATAATTATAATAATAATAATAATAAAAAGTAGTTTGCTTAATAATGGTAACTATCGACCATTGTGTTTAAAATTTTACTATATGGATACAAGTAAGGTTGTGTGCAATTATAGCTGTTTGCAGCGCAGTTTTGTCAAAATAGAAATAGACGCAAAATGAATATAATATTAACATGATTCATTTACATAAAATAAGCATTGTCAAGATAAAAAGTTTTAATAATTTTCTAATTAAACGAATAGACATTCATTCAAAAACAAATTACATCGTACAACTTATTTTACACACACTAGTAAAATTGTTCAAAAAATAAATGTTTCTTGACATTTTTAGTGATTTTTCGGGGTAAGAGCAACTAGCCACTGTTACGCAGCCCGAGGATATGGAGGTGGACGCTGAGGGCAAAAATCATGAGACAGACTCTCATCAGCTCACAGATGGATCTGATATGGACCAAATCACAGGAGATCAAATTAAGCGCCACAATTGACATCCGGACATACTGCCTGTCCCAAAATGGATGTGCTGGGCGCAAGAATACAGACATGCCAATTATGCCATATCAGAGACCCGGGTTACGTTCATAAGGACCAGTTCTCGCAAACGGAGCACACAACTCCCAGTGAGTGCCACAAAGACATTGAGACACATATAAGACGAGGCCAGCGATAATAGCACTTTAGAAACACTAGTAATAAAAATCTTTATAATTTCACACCCATTTTTAACGCTATTACAGTAGTGCTCCCTACCCCCTCTTACATAACACCACTCACATTCTTTTTTTTGCTGATTTTTTCTTCACCACTTTTCCATTGATTCCTTTTTTTAGCTTTTTTATATTTTACTCTTATGTGATGATTATTTTTTATTCTTATTAAATTATACATATATTTTCCAGTCATTTTCAAATCGACAGCATCAGTACCAACAATTGCTCGCAGCACCCTCACTTGTTATTCTTACCTACATGTTATTTTATTTTTACTTATCCACTTGCTTATGCCCATTTTCTGTTGTCTCCCTGCCATTAACAGCAGTTGCAAAACACACACCCATATATTTGGTTTGCTCGCTTTACTAATATTTATTGAACTCTGTACATACCCTTTATCATGCTGTTGCCAAAACCACTTTTAATTGCTATTGATTTTCCACTTGCCTTAACTCTTATTTGTATTTTTAATCTCCAACTAGTTAATACAACTTTAACTTAATAAGTAATTACTTTGTCTTTTTTTATGAAGGCCTGTGGAACTATTTATATTTGTTTTAATTAAGTTGTGAATATTAGGCCATTAAACTGGGAGAACTGTATTAATCTTTAAAATTTTCAGTTTTGGCAGGGAAGTAAAAAAGCATTTCGCGCTTTTTCGCAAAATTTAAATAATTAAATAATTAAAAATACAACTATTCTAAATGCCACAGGCCTTGAAAAAATCACAAGGTGACTACTGTTGGGTTTGGTTAAAGCTATATTAGCTACATGGGAGTTGAGGAATACAAGTGATAAATTGGGCGAGCAAGTAAGAATGCTGTTGTTAGTATTGGCGTTGGTGATGGTGTTGGTGATGGTGTTGCTGGTTATTGGTTGATAGCAACCAGCTTATTAACCAGCCTTGGCTATTCCAGTCAAACAATCAATCATCAATAAGTCCTACACAGTGCTAAACAAAGCAATTTGTTCTTCACCTTTTCCAGTGAATAGCACATATATTCAATAAATTTTAATACATAATATTTTATCTCTATACGTTCACAGAATGTCTTTCCCAGAATTCAATAATATTATTTTGATTAGCCACTGTGATTTGTATGTGATTGATTGTTTGGGTGGAATAGCCAAGACTGGTTAATTAGTTGATTGCCATCAACCAGTACTAAGGTGGCACAATAGTTAATCAGCTTTAATCATTAAATCGAGTTTTTTTTACTTGTTTTATAACTTGTTCAGTGGATCTTTTTTCTCTATTGAAAAGTTAAAAAAAAGTGGAATAGACTAAAAAAAAGAAAATACTTAAATACAACTCTTGGAGGCAGCATAGATGTCCACATTGATTGTACCATGCACAGAAAGCAAATGAAAAAGTTGGTGGTTGAGTTGTTAACCCATTAGCAAAATCAAGATGGAAATTTCTGATGAGTGCAAAATGTCCAGTTGTTTACAGCTGCAATTTGTGTAGCTCTAAATTTGATAGCGATACCCAATTTCCAGTTTATTATTCTTTTTTCAAAGCTCTATACAACCAACGAATGTGCGTGTGCAAATGCATATATAGCTATTCAAATACTATTCTGGCCAAGTGCGGATATGCCTCTTTATATGTCTCTACAAATATGGTACTTTCAAATTCCACATCTGTTACAATAGCTTTTGTCAATGATGGAAATGCCATTAATAAATATCTTTGGTGATCATTATTTATTGGGCCAGACTCATTGTTGGCAGCACTATACATATGCAGCTCGACAATGCTTGTTGGAATTGGCTCCACATTGTCAAGCACAACTTTGGACTTGCTATCATACACAATATTATCAACTAATAGCTTTGTTAACTTTGGCGTTTTGGAAATCAATTTGAGCAGCATGTCATATTTTATTTCTGTTTTAATCTCCAGAACGTGGAGGTTGGTCCACAGGATATGCTGTGGGCACAGCTTTGACATATCCGTGTTCAACACAAACTCTGTAAAGTTTATTTTATATGTATTCCCAAAGAGTACATTTGTTGCTTCGTAAAAGTCAGCCATATCGCTGTTAAACTCCATAGTCGCATTAATTTTGCATGAATTAATCTTTCCAACGCCCGAGTTTATGAACATTTTTGTTGCCATGTATGACCCAGAAATATTCAAACTATCTATGTGCGTAAAATTGATAGACGCGTTGATAATTCCATTGCTGTATTTTATGCCGCTTAGAGATATTTTTCTTGCTTTGGGCATGTGGACGGTAAACTGCTGCTTACCAATCAACGTGTTGGATTTAATATAGTCTGCCACAGTTCTTTTAGAATTTATTCTAACATGCTCGGCCACAAAGCTCCTTAGCTTGCCAAATATAATTGTTTCTGAATCATTGTGCTTGCGAAGCTATTCCAAGTGAACTGTTTAAATTCCCATTTATATATATTTCCTCAATATTTGCTGTATTCACTCTAGGCAGCGGCATAATGTTGGTGCTGTCAATGTTGACAAAAAGTTGACTGAGCTCGGGTGAAAACGCGTAGGCTGTAAATACAATAGGAACATAGCATTGGTATTTTTTCAGTTGGCTGGCGTAGCTGTTGGAAACAATAGTGCAAAAATGCTTTTCATATTCATTACAGTCGCCAAATGCCCGAATGTTTAGATCATTGATATTGGGCATCTTTTTAACCAAGAATTTAGCAAACATGGCTGTGGATTGCATATAATCGGCACTATTTATTATATCAGGCATTCCCGTGTTGTAAGATCCAATAATCGTAATATGCAAATCTTTCATAACCAGCCAATTGCCAGAATCGTAGGTAGTCAATTTTTGGATTCTGCTAACTGTCACATTTTTGATATCCAGGCCAGCCAGTCTTGGAAATAAAGTTGTTCGTCCATCACTGCTTTTGGGCTGGTCTAGTACAAACTGCTGGTAATCCAAATCACTATCATCACTGTCCCAGCTGTATTCAATGTTCAATCTGTCGAGGTGCTTGAAACTTATTGTTTTGGATGCAGTTTTATCTTGAAGCATGTTCCACGAAAAATTAGCGTCCAGACCGCTGAGCGTAGATATCTTAGCGACTCGGCAAATATTTTGGGAAGGCTTCTCAGAGCGTCAGAGTTAGCTTTGAGTGACAAGTGCGTCAGCTCATGGGAAAAATGGGGTTTGGTGAATGCGACTGGATGCAAAAAGCTAACATGGTTAGTTTCTCAGAATACAAGTTAAACAGGGTATTGTAAAAGTGGGCATTACGATTGCACTCACCTTTACCCAGTTTTATTTGGGTGATCTTCGGCATGCAATGCTTGACAATGTTAGCCAAAACGTTGCTTCGCTGTATTAATTCACCCGACTCCTCATACGAAAAAACAAACTCGCGCACATCGACAAGCAGATTTGTGACATTTGGCCACTGGTACTTCTCAAAGTTCATAGTATACACCAACAGATTGAATGTTGGAACAATGATATCCAAATGTGTGAGCAATGGAAAGATCAACTTGGATGCATTGCGTGTTTCCTCGATATCCGGCCCTACAACAAAAAACATTTTTAAATTGCGCAGCTTGGGAAATTCAATATTTGTTTTGCAGGTATTCGCCAGTTTACTCCATGAAAACGACGCGGGAATGTTTCTCAATGTCAATGACAGCAGGTTTTGACGGCATATTATTGGCACGTATGCTGTGCACTGCCTGCTTGCATTAATATTGAGTGCTGTCAGTTGGTTTAAATGGGCTGATTCCGTGGGTATTAGAAAATTGTAGCTTGACAAGGATTTTAAAGATTGCGAATACAACGTTGACAGCTGGCTAATCATGGATGATACAAGTCTGCCCTGGTCTATTATTGGAAAGTCTAGCTTTCTGACGTAAGGCATAAACTTTGCAACTGCTTGACAAATTGGCTGGTATCATGTACGATATTAAATTCAGAATAATGGCTCTGATATTGTTATCCCCAACCCAGCCATCAATAACAATTTTGCTGACGTTACTCCAATTAAACTGTCCAAACGAAAATACATCATTAATTTCGTTGACTAGCGAGCGATAGTACTGAGGATAGTTTATTTTGATGGACAGGGTTTTCACTAGATGTGTGTTTCCAGTAGACTTGATTAACCCGATGTTTGTGTTGACCAGCTTGTCCCCAATATGTTTGTCTTCTGAATGCTCAACAAACCAATGCTGTGCTCGTTGTTTCCATACAGAATTGCGTTACGATAGACCAAATCTGATGCTGCTTTTCTCCATTCGTGGCAAACGCCTAATAACGCAAGACTGCTTACCCACTTATCGAGGTTTTGTTGGTCAACGTCTACGACCTCGCGTATAATTTTATCAAGTACGACAAATGGAAGATGGCTAAAATGAGACATGTTAAATAAAAATAATAAAAAGTTGGTGTGCAGTTGTGCGTTGTGGTCTATACAAAGTAGTGTTTAAAGTGGTAATAATAAAATAAAAATAAAAAATATGCGGGTGTGGAGAAGAAAAAATGAATAGATTATAAGCAAAAGAATAGCGAGTTATTATAATTGTGCGACGACAAAAAAAGATAAAATAAAATATTGATAAAAAACTGGCGCTTATTATACAAAAGATAATACATAAAAAATGTTTACATAAAGCTAAAAAGTATCAATTTTCTCTTTATTTTACATAAAGCTAAAAAGGGGGGCCAGGCTAGGCATCAATTATAAAAAGTGCTTTATAACTGCCACTGCATAATTATAATATATCGCTTGGTGCGTGAAATAAAAAATGGCTAAAAAAATATTTTGCGGCCAGCTTTGACTGGCCGGTGTTTTAGTCTCTGAGTGTATTTTTGGCATTGAGGCCAGATACTTCCCACTCGATCTGACTTCCAAAATAACAACATCAGCTGACTTTTTACCCATACTCACATTGAATGGAAATCAATCGCTGGAATTAACAACAAAAATAGAACCGATTTTTGTTGACTTCATTCCCACACACTCGCTCTGTTTAACCTCCCTCTCGGCCATCTTAATCACTTTTTCTTTTATCTATACACGCAAAACACATACCATGGACAGACAAGCAGAGCAGCGCCGAGAACTTCTTTACACCAACCTCAGCAAACAGCTCACCCGCCTCAACCAAAACTTTGATACATTAGGCAAAAATGTCACTGTAATGAAGGAACAGGCCGAGCTGTCGCAACGGCTGGCGATATCACACGCCTCCATTTTCATGGCTTCCAAGGATGTTCTGTTGGGCAAAAAAGATAAATAGTTTCTATTCATCTTCTTCCGTGCACAATAATATAAACATTGTTTCAGGAATAGTATTGGTTCACTGCCACAATTTTCTATTTTATCCTATTGCATGGAAGACTGGGATAAGGAGGGGGGAATGCATCATTGGGAGCAAGAGCGGGGAGGCTCGTTTTGAATGAGGCGCCAACAATAACATCAACTTCCCTTGTTGTTTGGCAGATTTGATTACCATTGGTTAGAGCACGATTAATGTAAACATTATATGTGAATGTGTGATTGGTGTAAATACTATTAGCCCAAATATTTAAGCTAAAAATGGGGACCAAGTCTTTTTTCATTTCGCACCACCACCACCAAAAGAGAAATATTGCACCTATTGTTCTGTTTCAGGTAACGTTCAGTACAATACATCTTACAGCTTTTTTATACAATTTATGACGGAACAACAAAATGCAACTTTGTGGATATATATGTTCCAATAACTGCTTTTATATTTTTTTATTTTTATTCTGAGAAAAACTTTGCATAATATTTTATTTGGGTTGGTATAAATACAGCAAGACACAAGACATTGGTCAGAGTGAAATCAGTTTTTTAGGTAAGGCTTTTTCTTTTTTTTTTTTTTTTTATTTTTATTTTATTTATTTTTATTTTATTTTTATTTCTCTTTTTTATACTTCTTTTTTATACATAATTTTTTATGTGTTTGGGTTTAATTTTTCTCTCGTTACCAAACACATCTCAATCTCAGCCACTAATCTTTTTTTTACTTTCCCCCCACCCTTGCTCTTCTCTCTTTTTTCGTTCTCTGGATTTGGTCTAAGGATTAACTCGATATAAATCCGGTCTGTTTATTTTTTTGCTTCTTGTTTTTTCAGCGCACATCAAAATCTCCCTCTCTCCCTTCAGTTGTGTTTTCTTTTTTCCTTTGTCTCGATTTCAACCAAATTCACACCAATTCACACCAATTCAATCCAATTAATAAAAAAAAACCAATTTTGCATCTTAATTCAGCCAACATATAAGAACCCTAACCATGTTCCAAAACAAGAGTTCGACCATGCCGCTGCGCCAGCGCATACCAGTCCACCGCCAGACCGCTGCTGCTGTTGGTGCCGTCTCTGCTATCACTGACGAAAACAGTGTGGCCGCACTCGGTGTGGCAGCTACTCACTCAGCCAAGGATATCGAACCTGCTACCAAACCGGGTGTAGTGGCTAAACCCCGCAGTGCACTGCAAATGCCTACTACTTCCACCACCATTGGTATCAAGACCACTACAACCGTTACTGCCAAGACCTTTGTCCAACCTGGCGTTGTCTCTACTGCTTCGACTACTACGAGGGCTCGTAGTGCATTGGGCGAAGTAGGGAACACAAAGGTAAATACAACACGCAAATATTGCCGTCGTACTTTTTCTATTTCCATGCATGAAGGAATCAAAAGGGTGGCTTTTTTGTTTACCTTATTCTCAAATCACAAAGTGAAAAATATCACGTATATATGTTGTTTCTCTCATCCCCTTTTTCTGCCACTTCTTTTTTAGGCCCAGGCGAATGTCTCGAGACTGCCGCGCCTTGCCGAGTCTTCCATCCCAACAAACGTTGTCAAGCCTGCAAGCAAGCCGCCGGCCTATGGTGGGGGGCCCACTCGCGCGCGCCAGGCCAGTGCTATTGCGCGTCCGTCTGCTGCATCCCGGGTCGCCGGAGTGATGGGTCCGCGTCCAATCAGCAAGCCGGCAGCTAATTTTGGAGCGCGTCGTCCGCACCCTGTGGTTGTCACAGCAGCGGCCGCCGTTGTGGCTGCCACCACGAACAAGCGCTCTCGCGTCGAAGCCATTGCCGATCAAACCTCGGTTGCCTTGGGAAAACACACGCGTAGCGGACGCGTCACCAGCAGGCTTGTGCGCAGCGATAGTGCGGCCAGCATGGCCAGCACGGCCAGCAGTTTGGACATCCGCGGATACGAGTCCGATGACCGCATGAGCTACGAGTCGGATCAGAACATGAGCGTGGACTGCGCCTCGACGGCCGTTGGCAGCACAGTCAGCCTGGTTCTTCCGCCCATCGAGCCTCTGGTCCTGAAGACCTCACTTACAGAGGATGAAACCGAGGAAAGAAAGTTTGTCGCCATTGATACCATCGACTACGCTCTGTCTCACACGGGCTGTATGAGCGAGCACCCCATCATCATGACCGAGATTAACGCGTTCGAGGACGACGTTGACCCGATGGACCAGACGCAGATTCCAGAGTATTCTGATGAGATCTTTGGGTACATGCGCGAGCTTGAGGCGCGCCTGAAGCCCAACCCCGAGTACATAAAAAAACAGAAGACCTTTGATTGGACAACGCGTTCGGCGCTGGTTCTCTGGCTGGTCGAGGTCCACCATCGCTTCGGCCTGCTCACCGAGACGCTCCATCTCTGCGTCAACTTCATCGACCGCTTCCTCTCGGTCAAGGAGGTGGCCATAGGCAAGCTGCAGCTGGTTGGAGCCGTCTGCCTTCTCCTGGCGTCTAAATACGAGGAGACGCATATCCCCAGCATCAAGGACATTATTTTTATGGTCGACAAGAACTTTTCCGAGGACGATATTCTGCGTGCCGAAAGGTTCACGCTCAGGATGCTGAACTTTGACCTGGGCTGGCCCGGGCCCATGTCATTCCTCCGGCGCACATCCAAGGCCGACAACTTTGACATCACCACACGTACGCTGGCCAAGTACTTGATTGACGTGACCCTCATCGACCACCGCTTCATTGACATTCCGCCAAGCAAAGTGGCGGCCACTGCGACATACCTCTCGATCAAATTCCTAGGCAAGGGCGTGTGGACCAGGGCACATGCCTTTTACTCTGGTTACTTTGAGAGCGAGCTAATGGATACTTCCATTTTGCTGATCGAGCAGCTTTTGAATCCCAGAAAGCACAGGTCGATCTTTGAAAAGTACAACGACAGGAAGTTCATGAAGGCCTCGGAGTTCACTTATCAATACCTTAAGGCTCATGGGTATGAGAGGCTTCTGGCTCCCACTGCCCATGATTTGGTTCCCAACCCTATCTCTGGTCTTTCTCTTGCCAGTGGTGTATGATTTTTCCAGCTTCATTTTTTCTTTTTTCTTTTTCCAGCAAACTTTTTTTTAATTTTTGAAAAGCCATTATTTTATTTTTGTTGACTATATTCATATTCAATTTATTTTTACATATAAACATTTCGGGTTCATGGAGGCATATCCGCATGGTTGTTTTGTATTTGTATTTGTATTTGTGTTTGTGTTTACTCATATTTCATGTTTTTATCAATATTAAATTGAGAGCGCTGATATTGTCGCTGCCTGAAAAAAGAGTAAAAAAATTGAATCTGCGTATGGTGACTGAGGCGCACATACGATGGATCACTTTTTTTGCTGATTTGGCAGTAGTACTCAGAGGGTTTTTTCCTTCAAGGTCAATTGCGCTCTGTGACTGTGGCTGCGAGCAAAAAAACAAGGGGAGAATAGGGAGGGGAGGGGGAATGTGTAAAGAACGTTTTGAATAAAGGAGCTCATCCCTCTCTCCCCCTCTTCTCTCCTCCACTCATCGCGATGAAAACGGTGTTTAATTATTTTTTATTTTTATGCGACATTGGTAACGCTGTGGCTGCTGAGACCGCATCGAGGTAGTGAGGCTAGGCTTATTAATTGTCCGCACACTATATACAAAAATTCATCTCTCCCTCCTACCCATTTTCTTTTGTTTAAGAATAGCGCGGGTTCATTGAATGATACGTTGGAAAAAGAAATGGTTGAGAAAATGGCTATTGTAAAGTGGCAGAGACTATACGCACTAGAAAAAAAAGAAAATATTCGGTTTATCTGGATTTGTCATTGTCTCCCGCTATATTAAAATTTTTATTGGGAGATAAAAAAATTATTATTTGGGCCCGGCTTTGTCGGGCTCGAACTGGTGCGCCGAAATTTCCCGAGCCTCCCCGCCCCCGTTTTATCATGTGACTGCTACCCTACAACTTGCAGCATATGCTTATATCAAAACGCAGGTGATGACAGTGATTTGATTTAGCAGCTTGTTCAATTATACCTATTTACTTTATAACGAAAATTGTTCCACTAATATTTTATCCTAATAAATAAAATACGAGCGCGCCAGACTGTTATTCTGAGCATAGCGAGGGACCGACTACCAGGACCCCCTGAACTTGGCACTTGTGTCACTCTTAGACTCACCCGACATTTCCAACGATGGTATCGATGCTGATGCTGATTCCTATGCCGATGCCGATGTCGATGCCGCAAACCAGGACCAGACCACGGGCAGTCAGAGCCAAAACCCAATAGGAATCAGTGGTATGGATTCGGTCGATTTCAAACTAGCAAGGCGCGAGTACCATATTCTGCCAAAAATCCTTAAGGAGTACAGCGCCGCGCTGCTGACTGTGACCAGATTCACAGACCTTCCAAACAACTAGCGCGATTTTGCCAAACAAGTGAGGATGATGTTGTCGCGAGACGACTACTTTTTGGTGCTGTGCCGCAACAACACGACGATGCAGGTTCTGATCAAACGGAGCGACTGGGGACCCGTGGTATTCATCGTGATTTAACATGGACTTACGCCGCTGACTGGGTCATGCCGTGGGACAAGATTCCGGGCTGTGTGGCAACACCGCTGGAGGCGTCAAAGGCGGCTGAGAAGTACCGGATGACTGCTAGAGAACAAGAATTGTGGAAGGGCACGATGGGCATTTACGCCCAAAGTATTGTCCGGCACTGGCATCAGGACAAGCACATTCTGCTGAGGATGGAAGCGGATCAAGACGATCCAGTGCACAACCTGAAGGGAATAATGGATTATTTAATGATTAGCGACGCTGATGTTTCCAGAGTGTGCCCCGCTGAGTCCTCTCTAGAACCACCTGCTTAGACTGATGACCATATCAGCGATGTGCCTGAGTTTGTTTACGCTTCTTAGCAAGCAGCGCTCAGTGTCTCGCCTAAATGGAAAGTACACGCGCGCGGCGGACGAATGGCCATGGCGACGGTTAGCATCGAGACACTGAATGTGACCACAGCCCGCAGGAGTTAGAGCGCATCATGTAGGTATTTAATCTCGGAGTTTCGGCTATTCTCGTCGATAAGGTGACCGTAGAAGAGGTCGTGCTGCTCCCCCAGGCGTTGGCACGTGTGAATATTGTTGCTGTCGGTTCTATTGCCTCCGCAGGGATTGCTGCCAATCATGGTGTGGCTGTCCTGATCCAACTGAGTTTCGCCGGCGTTCGTCACGTACAGACTATATTCCCAACGAGGGTGGCATCGGGGGAGCAAAGAAGCCAAAACAGCGACGTTGCCGAAATCTCAACAAAACGTATCAGATCGACAGGAGAGTCAGGATCACAATGATGTCGAGGCGGGGCAAATGGTGAGGCGGACGCGGATGTTGACACTGCTAAGACTCAGACTCAGACACATGCCATTGAGTATCGACCGGTTTGAATCGAGCCAGTCGAAAAGCCAACTGGTACCGGAATCAGGATGATATTCGAATTTGCAAACGCGAAGAATTTACATTTATCGTGGCCAACATCCGCCAAAATATGAGAGCTTCGACATTGGGCGGCTCAAAATGCAGAATGTAGTGAAAAATTGGAGATCACAGTCTACCAAAAACGACCACGGCGTAATTTCCATAGGCAACTTTAGAGAGAACAGCAAAACGGGCGCGAGAAGATGTACGGCGTGCTCAGTGATACGGATGAGTTGATGAAGCCTGCAAAAGTGTTTATGGACCAACGAAAGCAATGCATTGCTTGGCAACGACGACAACTGGGTTGATTGCTTTTTTGCCTCGCGTAATCTGGGCTCGCAGTTCGATCAGTTGGTCCAAGTACTTGATCGAACCAAGCTGGACAAGAGCAGCTGCATGGTTGTCGCGGAGGCTGTGGCAATTGTTACTTTGCAGGGCAAAAGCTGCAACAGGTTAAGAAGATGAACGAGCGGCTCGAGCGTGACAGCATCAACACCTAAAGACAATGTGGGACCGACAGATTTGGATGCTCCTACAGAAGACATTCCGGCGCCAGTCCCCCCATTAAACAGCAAGCAATGACGCAGTGAGCTAAACAAGGCGCGCCTGGAATTGGTCAATATAAATTGCAAGCTTGGAAGACCACAGCAGCTGGAAAAGCTATTATACAAAAAACTGGGCGGGGCTTTCAAGGCGCTACGCGTGGGTGGATATGGTAAAGGAGGCTGGTTTTTTGCAGGGCCTGCCAGTTTATATTTTGAAGCTGTCACAAACTTGACAAACAAATTCTGGTGAACGATTGGAAGGAGATACAGCGAACTACAGCGAATTCCATTGGTAAAAAATACGCCAATGGATAAAAAGCCAAACTGTAGAGTGGCGGATTACGCGTAGTGTGGCAGAGTGCTGGTAATGTCTTTATTTTATATAATAGTATGACATTAAAAATGATAATATTAATTGAGTTGTAAAATGGCTATCACAGCATAACTTGTTATCATGCGCACAAATCACTTTAGTAAGTCAATGCAAGCAGCATGTGCTATCAAAAGTTGCTATTCCTCAACAAATTACCGCTCTAACCAACCATTTGCCCAATTCATACTATTTGCAAATAAAATTAACATGTATTTATTTAATATACACTGGGGGTATTTGCTCATAAATGCAACGGAATTCTAATAAAAATATGTTGGGTCTGCGGGGCGTGTGCTCACCGTTCATTGTCAGAGATGGGCTGCTGACATGCACGCATTTTCACTGACTGTGGGCTTATTTTAGCTTTTTATTTCTTTTGGAAATACTTCTTTATATTTTGTTTCAATGGATAAAAAGAATATTGCTAAAAAGCACATGTGGACACACACATTTGATGTACACATCTACGTTTTTGCCCACGTAGCTGCGTGGATGGAATGCAAAACAAATGACATAAAAAACCAAAGGCGTGGTGCTCAATTTTTGTACTAACAATATTTGTTTCACTTACAAACATAATTTAGAAAAATCTAGAAAACCGTGACAGATAATGTATCACATGGAATTTATTTCAGCTCTATGCCTTTTATTTTCTCTTTATCACTTGCTTTCTCGCTGATATGTTTATTGACAAGAGCTGCAATTTAAATGTTTATTTGACAAAAAAGAAATGGGTGGCTAAAAATTATTTAAACAGCGCAACTCCCCTCATATTTGCTATTCCTTCTCTTCTTTTTTTGTTGTCGCCATGTAATCATACTTTTCTCCTTTAGTTGCACATCTAGTTTCAAGTGGCAAGTTAAAAAACCCATAAACCAAGAATCTGTTGTATTGTCCTTCACTGTCTTAATTTATGACCATGTCCCCCACAGCCGTGTACAACATGCCAAGCTACCATGGCAACGCAAACAAACTGTATTGCCACGCGCAAAATGCTACTCTTATAACAACACTTTTAACAATGTGCCACAACAACACTGTGCCCAGAACCCAACACACAGAGAAACCATACCACACCACCGGTAATAAAGACAGACAATTTCCATACGTGTCAAGTCTTGGATACATGGTACCTGACAGATACGCATATAACAACCCTCGTATTTCGTCAGACACGTATGTCAAGCTGAAGGATGTTCCGGTCGAGCTTCAGTGCCCAAACTGCTACAAATACGTGCATACCAAGATTCAAACACGTGCCAGCTCGCGGACAGTCGCAATGGCAGTTGCAATAGCCACGGTGTATTGGCCACTGGCAGTACTTCCGTTTGTGACACAGTGGATGAAGAAGACTGTGCACATTTGTCCTTGTTGTAGACATGATCTGGGGAAAATAGTGACTGTGTCGACAAATCGCATGTATAATTGATACCGAATACAAGCTGAAGAGAGCTGAGAGCCAAAGAGTATGGTGTGATGCTCGATTTGTTATATTTCTTGTTTATTATTCATTTTCAATATTTCTAATTCTACACTTGTACACTAATTGTGATAATTAATTTATAAATCAAAAACAAATAATTGTTTAAAACATTCACAATTACTAATCCTGCTTGACCTTTTTGCGGTACCATGCCCACTGTGCAATAATAACCACGTCACAAACAAGCCGCATTGCCTCACCAACACTGGCGTCTGCAAAAGGGACACTTGTATTTTTTGTCAGATGTCCATCATTATCCCGACCAAGTACTGGCCGACCCCACAGATCGTAATAGCTGCGGGCATCAAGGACCCAGACTTGACGCGGTAATTGACCAGGATTTGCGGTAACAATTCGAACCAGACCACCACGTATATACTGCTAGATATGACTTTTAGAACGTATCCAAGCTCCCAGACATTCTTGTCGTTTTCAATAAAGGCATACGCTGAGGTAGCAATGAGAACAGGAAGGGCAATGGCACGCATCCAGTACATGGTGGCTTTGTCAGTCTCTTTGCGCAATTCAATGATATGTCTCTGTTGTTTGGCTTTGGTTACAACAACTGTATCCTGATCTTTTGACACAGCGTACTGCTGATCAACGGCTGTGCGACTGTCAGCATCGGCGGTGATCTCCACAGGCGGCTTTTGTCCCTGAACACGCCCGCCAAACCAGGACGGAATTTTGAATCCTGAGAAAGGTCTCCGGATATGAAACAAAACCGACATTGTGCTTACAACAGAAATTAATGCGTCAGGATTCCAAATGTCGTTATTCAGATAGACGTACATGCAGCGAAGCATGCTATCTGTACAGCAAAGAATAATAGCCGCGCGCGAAATGCCGTCAAAATTAGACACTGGACCAACCCAGTACTCCAAGGCCACCTTTAACTGAATAACAATCATAACCGCATATGCCAACATGAGCACACTCGCGATAATCAGGATTGGCATGCCGTTTTTCTCAACCATAGTCAGCGGCCTGTAGTGAGATCTCTCTTCGCTGTTATTATCACCGTCGCCGTCATTATCGTAAAAAGTAGGGTAACCATGGGCCACGACAAGGTCCTGCAGGTCCAAACAATAGTGCTTGTAGTCACGGCCAGAGTTACCCAACTGCAAAGCCATGTCCTTGATCACAATCCACCCTTGCCTAATGCCCTGCAGTTCAAGCTCCATCTCGACTGCCAGCTCGCTCGGTGCGTCATCATTATCAGCAGTAGCAGCAGTCTTATTGCTGCGGAGAATCGAAACTGGTATAAAGTCAGCTGGATTCCGCGTGTACTGATTCAACAGGAGCGGCGGTCTATACGTGGTAAAAAACTGCTTGCCCCATTCGGTATGTAAAAACTGGTGGTATAGAATGTGCCTGGGCAGCTCACTGTACTTGTATGCGTGGTCTTCGAGCACAATAGCCCAGGGTACGTTGGTCGCAGCTATCAAATCGAATTGCGGTTCCATCGACGTATCCAACACTAATTCCCGCGTGGTATTCGGGTTCTGCCACCAGGCAATCGCAGCGATGGCGGTGACCATCTGTGAATCGGTGGTGTTTGGATGTGGCGTGAACTGGCCCGCGATTTGCATGAACAAGTGAAGGTAGAGCGTGCTGTCATGCTCAGTGTCCAAATAAACTGACGCCGGGATTTTGACCTTGGCGCTATGCTGAAGCAGTGGGTACTTGTTCTCCAGGCTCTGCGGTTCGATGTGCCAGAGCATCTGGGCTGTCTCAAAAAAGTCGGTCGTATTTTCATAATAGTTTAGTCTGGTGGAAGCGTACATTTTGGCCTCGTATGTGGATTGCTCTTGCCAATGCATGCGGTACACACGGGCCCCAGTGGGCGTGGGGCCGGTGTCGGTGGTGGTTACAATTGTTTTGACGAGGAATAGCTGGTAGATCGCATAGCATGTGCCGAGTAGCGCGATGCCGGATATTAGGGTGATGCTTAACCAGAAGAGCAGGCGTATGGATCGGCCTGCCAACCTACCACAATTGATGCTGGCCATTGTGAAATTTGGAATAAAAAGAATTTGAAAAAATAGAGCAAACTAATAAAAAATTTGAATATCAGCGGAAGTGAGATGAAAGACTCTGGCTTTCGGGGCCTTGTAACCAATCGCCTACACAAAGTAAAAGCAACTAAAATAAAAAATGGAACATAGTGTGCAAATCTCTTGCAAATCCCATCATCAAGCCGTAAAAAGTTTGTTCTACTCAAACAGTAATAACCAGATGGAGGTGTGCGCAGGCTGGTCATTTGTACATATCAAAGTCGAGTACAGGTGACAAAACACGTTTAGCTGTAAACAACATTGATATTTATTTTCATTTAAATTGTTCAATATGTTAATAATCAAATCACTATAAGGTATTTAAAATCAACAAAGCTTAAAAAAATTTAACTAATCACAAAATAAAGCCACCAAAAATCCCACCCGGTGCACAAGATAAAGTGTGGGCTGATTGAAGAAAATAGATACATTAAGCAATATATAAAACAAGTAAAAAATCAAAAAAATAAAGTTGATGAATAAGACGAAATGTCTACCACGCCATCTTGCCCATCATGGGCTTTATTGCAGACCTGGCTACATGCTCCAATAACAAAAATTATTCTAGGGGCGGCGTGTCTGGGAATTCTCCAGACCTGGGTCTAATTGCCTGGCAATGGAAGTGCCAGCCAGGGTGTTAGTAAAAGCAATCCTGAGCACTCGATCTGCCAGCTAGTGCGTGTGACAACAAAGTGGATGGACATGGAGGACTTTGTCCAAAACTATAATCATTTTATTATCATTTTCTAGATTACATCAATTTATTTTATCCGCTGCATGTACCACCAACAACACCCATGATAACGAGTATAAATGCAAACACGCCAAAGATTATTCCAACAGCAATTCCGACATATGGAGTATTATGTATATTGCCAGAGTTTGTGCGCGCCGCTCTGGTGCTATTACCCAAGTAAACCTGAAAACCTGTAATTATATCGCGTACCTCTGCTCTGGCATTGTCGCGGACAATGGTGTCATTGCGGATATCCAAAATAATTATGTTACACGCTGAAGCGCTGACCTGAAACTCGAAGCCCGACCAGTTGCCACACGGTGCAATCTGGATTGTGCCGTAGTTGAAATCTGTGAATGTGATGTTATTGTATCCCATGTTGGATATTCCACGGTTGCCAATAAGCAGAATGCTAGAGGTATTGCGGAACTCGCTGCTGGGCTCATTGCTTTCTTGCTGCTAAAAATGTTAAAGCTGGCAGGTCTCGTGCTCTCAGCCAAATTGGTGGGTGCTGACTGCACAATCAATGCCAATGTCAGACAAACAAGCATAAGAATGTGTGTCAATAACTTTATTAGGAATAAATAGAAATTAGCATAGGAATTATTATTAAAAGAATAATATACAATGTTGTGAAGAACAATCACCTGCGCCTACTTTATTTGTTTTTTATTTGTGGTCTTTGAAATGGTAGAAACAGAGTGCTTGAATGGTTTTTTTGCTGGGTTTTTCATTCAACAGTTGTCAAATTTTGCCCAAAAGCAATTATTTAGGAATTTTTATGAGAAGCAAAACAATGCACCGGGCATCGTCTGTCTGCATCTTTACATATTGCACTAATCGTTTTTACTCTTTTAATTATATTCATATATACAAGCTGTACTAAAAACCAACAATAAAACTTGAAATAAATAGCCGTGATAATTTTACAAGATTCCAAAAAAATATTGTTTCACTTGTTGGAAGGAATCGAAAGAGAACAATTGCTCCCAATCGATTTTCTTGTCTGACCAGGTTTTCAAACATATGATGTGCCTGCAGCAAGCAGGAGAAGGTGTTGTGGATGTCAACAAAATATTTTAAATAAAAAAACGAATTACATGATGAGAAAACTTTGATTATAGAGTGTTTGCAAAGTATCCACAACATCAAATGCACTTCATATGGCAATATGTGGGAGAAATCAAAAAAATGTGTGGCTCGTGTCAAATAAAAAATAAACTACATATTGAGCCGAGCCGAAGCAATCCACTTTGTATGGATCGGAATATTTGTGTGTGCGTGCGTGCATGCGTGCGTACGCGATGACGATGGGTTGCACGTGCCTACATGTTTTTATGTGTATTTTGGTGTTTTCGTTTTGCGAATTTTAACTTTCTTTTGTAAACGCGTTCTCCATTTCTCCATTTATATATTTTTCATAACCTTATTAGACAAACCAAGTTAATTTCAAATTCAGTTTGCCAGTACAAGAGTAAACAGCATTGGCGATAATGTCGGGACCGAATTTTCTAGATGTGAGTGGCAGCGAAAGAGAGAAGGGCAGAGAGTGAGGGGGGAGGGGGGAGAGAAAGAGAGAGCGGTTGTTTTGTCATAACGCACAAAATGACACTAACTCGTTATTGAATTCCATCAGCTATTTTTATTTTGTAGAAGGCCGTGGAAATTATTAACAATGCAATAGCAGAGGACACGGCGGGAACTATGAGGAGGCATACAAGCAGTACATGAATGCGCTCGAGTGGTTTATGACGGCGATGAAATGTGAGTGAAGCTTTTGAATTTGACTTTGTTATACGAATCGTCATTCAAAATAACACTAGGCCTTTCACCTTTCACCTTTCGCCTTTTGTTGGAGCGCTTATAACTAACCGGCTCTACACTCTCCCACCTTTTAGACGAAAAGTACGAGAAGCGCAGGGAGCACATTCGGAAAAAGCTTGCTGAGTACATGAATCGGGCGGAGCAACTCAAGGAGCACATACTAAGTCGCAGGAAAAGAAAAAGCCAGTGGCAGTCGGCAGCACGAGCACTGGGAATGGCAGTGGGAACGCGGGCAAGAAAAAGGGCAAGGGTGACGACGACGACAGCGGAGGACTTGACAGCGAAACAAAAAAGCTGCGGCAAGGCCTGGAGGGAGCGATTCTCAGCGAAAAGCCCAATGTGCACTGGGAGGACGTCGCTGGCCTGGACGGCGCCAAGGAGTCGCTCAAGGAGGCCGTGATCTTGCCAATCAAGTTTCCGCAGCTCTTCACGGGCAAGCGCACGCCCTGGCGCGGAATCCTTCTTTATGGCCCGCCGGGAACGGGAAAATCCTACCTGGCCAAGGCTGTGGCCACCGAGGCCAACTCCACGTTTTACGCCATCTCCTCCTCCGACCTGGTGTCCAAGTGGATGGGCGAGAGCGAGAGGCTGGTGAAGAACCTGTTTGCAATGGCGCGAGAAAACCGGCCTTCAATTATTTTATCGACGAGGTCGACTCCCTCTGCGGCTCCCGCGGCGATGGCGAGTCGGAGGCATCGAGGCGAATTAAAACCGAGTTCCTCGTGCAAATGAACGGCGTCGGCAATGACGACACTGGCGTTCTGGTCTTGGGCGCAACCAACATTCCGTGGGCCCTGGACGCTGCCATCCGCCGTCGGTTCGAGAAGCGCATCTACATTCCGCTCCCCGACCCCTCTGCGCGTGCCCGCATGTTCCAGCTGCACATCGGAAATACGCCGTGCACGCTGACGCAGCGCGACTACAAGTCTTGGCCGATCGCACGGAAGGGTACTCGGGATCGGATATTGCTGTCATAGTTAGGGATGCCCTGATGCAGCCCATTCGTAAAGTGCAGATGGCGACGCATTTCAAGCGCGTCGTCAGGCCCGTGGATAATATGCAGCCGGGTGGGCCGACGCGCGAGTACTGGACGCCCTGCTCGCCGGGCGATCCCCAGGCTATCGAGAAGACGTGGTCGGAGGTCTCTGGCGACGAATTGTGGGAACCGGATCTCACGCTGGCTGACTTTTTGAAGGCTGTGAAGACCAGCCGGCCGACTGTCAACAACGCTGATCTTGAGAAGCAGATTGAGTTTACCGATGACTTTGGACAGGAAGGCTAATTCGCTTTTTTTATATTTTGTTTTGTACCAAATTGTTCTAGGAAGAAAAAATGAATTTATTCCCAGCGCTTTTCCTAATATAATCAATATTATTGTCGTAGTAGCAACAAGCTTCTTTAGGTTTTCAACCGCCTCCCTAAGATACGTGTTTCTCTCTACGTCCGCGCCATACTCAATATCCTTGACATTATTGTGTAGCGCTCTGCTGGCATATGAAGGTTTTTTATGTGCATAGAAAAATTCCCTCATCCATCTTGGTCTGGTTAATGTATTTGAACAGCACATATTTGGTATGGTAGGCTGGTTCGAATGTTGAACAGTACAATATGTTAATCAATTGCAACCCGTTTGTTTGCGCTATAGTTAGCTTGGCAGCTGCCCACAAGACAGGGACAATGGTGAAAGCGAGGATAGAGGCAAATTGCATATTTGACAGAAAAATGAGCTATGAATACTAATTATTTAAATACAGATTACAAATCAATTGTTGGCGGTTGCTGAGTAAATCTGTGTTTTTAGTACAGAACATTTATTTTATATACACCAAGCTATCCTCTATGAGGCCAGGAATTTTGTTTATGAGATTGATGTAATTGAAAAGCAACTTTTTAAAAATACAGATAAATGAACAATTAACAAATGACTATTTGTAAATACATACATGTTGAGCTCTATAACACCGCCTATTGAAAAATTTTACAATTGACTAGATAAGAATTGTTTGTTTATTTATTCAGAAAATACAAGTCACATTTTAATTTAAAGCCACAAAATGAAGTTATTTTTTGTTAAATACTATTATTAATTCACAATGAATTACTGGAGTATTGATTTAATAAATATTATCAATGAGAAAACAGTATGCAGTTAACAATAACAATTATGCAAATGTAATATTCACCAAGTGAGGATACGCCTCTTTATATTTTTCAACAAACACGGAATTGTTAAAGCTGTTGTTCCTGTGCAATATATATTTCAAACTCGGCAATGCCAGAAGTAAATATTTAAGACAGTCGACTTTCATTTCCTCAGTGTTTGCAATAATATTATTTTTCATAAGCAGCTTAGTAATGCTACTCGAAATTGGTTTCACGTGCTCGAGATTTAATTTGGAGTTGTCGTCATGCAATATGTTGTCCAACTCTAACTTTGTCAACTTTGGTATATTGGCAGGCAGATCCAACAGTGTGTCAAACTTTACCGACTGATTGAGTTCTAAATTGTGGAGGTTGGTCCATAATATCTTTTGTGAATTAAGCATGGACACATCCATATTCAGTGTCAAATATGCAAATTTTATAACAACTGTACTTCCAAAGAATGCATTTGCTGTTTTATAAAACCTGTCCATATCATCGTTAGAGTCTAACTTGATGTTAATATTGCACGAATCAATGACTCCAGCACTTGAGCTGTTAAACATTTGCAACGCCCTGTAAGATCCAATAATAGATATATTGTTCAGATGAGTAAACTTGATAGAAGCATTGACAAGTTACACTCATCGCTTATATTTTGAATATATATTCTGCGTACTTTTGGCAAGTGCAATACAAATGGCTGCCTTCCAATTGCAGTATTAGATCTAATCTGGTCTCCCATTGTGCTTGTTTCTGTGGCGATGTGGTTTATATTAAGACTTTTTAATCTGCTCATTTGAATATTATCCGAGCTGTTATTTTTTGTAGAATCTACCCAATGGAAATTGCTTAGATCGCCCTCAATGCTAATTTTTTCAATTGTTGTTGTGTCTAATTTGGGAAGCGGTAAAAAGTTGGTGCTGTCAGGGTTAATGCTTAGTTGGCTGAGCTTTGGGAACTGCATATCAGCGGCAAATGCAGTTGGTACATTGCTAAAGTAGCACTTGAGCTGGTGAGCGTAGCCATTAGAAACAATTGTTGAAAACCTTTTGTAATAATTGTTGCACTTTCTAAACGTCAGCAACTGAATACTAGTAATATAGGGCATTTTTTCTACAAAAAAATTGGCGAACATGACCGTGGCTTTCATATAATCGGTATCGATATTTTGGTCTTGTAGTTTGGCAATGTCAAGTTTAGCCAGACAAATGTTTACATCCCTCATACAAGGCCATTGGCTAGATCCATAACACATTATACTTTGGAGTCTGTTGAGCGTGGCATTAAGGACTTTTAAGCTGTTTAGCTTTGGGAATAATACAATTTGATCAGTTGGCTGTTCCCGCGTATTATTTATAAATTGTTGGTAATTTGCAAGGCTGTCTTCAAAACGCCATATAAACTGTATGTGTATGCTTTCCAGTTGTTTAAAATTGATTGTATTGGATACTGATTTGTCTATCAACATATCCCAAGAAAATGCGGAATCGAGATCAAAGAGTATTAACTGCTTCAGTGATTCTGCAAAGATATTAGAAAGATTTTTCAATGATCCGGAGTTGGCATTAAGCGTCAAGTGTGATAATTTGTTTGAAAATTGCGGCGCGGTAAACTTTCTCGGGTGAAACATAGCAATTGAGGTGAGTTGATCGGCATACAAGTTGGCCAAGACATTGTAAAATTGAATCTTGTTATTACTGTGATACAAGCCCAGGCGCATTTTAGTCACGCTGGGCATATTATTTTTTATGCGATCAGCCATACTTTTGCAGTGTTGAATTGGGGCATTGGATTCTCCAAATAAATTGGCTACAAATCCCTTAATATGTAAGTGTAACTTGGTGACATTATCCCATTGAAATCTTTCAAAGTCAAAAACATCCTTAACAGATTATATGTTGGGACTGTGATATCCAAATATTCGAGCGACGGGAAACTCAATTTGGTTGTATCTTTAATCTCTACGGCATCCAATCCGGCAACAAAAGTCAGGCTTAAGCTGCGCAATTTCAAAAAACAATATTATCTTGCTCATTGTTGGTCAGTTTGCGCCATAAAAATGACGTGGAATACTTCTTAAAGTCAGGTTTAGTAAATGCTGATAGCAAAATTTCGGAATGAATTTTGAGGAACTCACATCAAAGTCGAGCGTTGTGATCTGTGGAAAATTAACTGCTTCTGTAAACGAGTATGACCGGTTGCTTACAAATGTGTTTAGGCTCTGTGAATACAATGCGAGTAGTGGATTAACTATAGGATACACCGCATTAGTATCGTCATAGATAGGTATATCCAGCTTGCTGATGTGAGGCATAAACTTTGCAAGCTGCTCGACACAACGCCTGATATCCTGCATTGAATTGGGCTGAACTACATTTGTGTCCATTTCATTGAGGTAAAATCCGCTAATTATAATTTTTTTGACGCTGGTCCAATTAAACCGCCCAAACGAAAATACATCATTAATTTCGTTGACCAACGAGCGATAGTACTGGGAATGGCTCATTTCGATGGACAGGGTTTTCACTAGATGTGTGTTTCCAGTAGACTTGATTAACCCGATGTTTGTGTTGACCAGCTTGTCCCCAATATGTTTGTCTTCTGAATGCTCAACAAAACCAATTCCATACTTGTTGTTTCCATACAGAATTGCGTTACGATAGACCAAATCTGATGCTGCTTTCCTCCACTCGCGGCAAACGCCTAATAACGCAAGACTGCTTACCCACTTATCGAAGCTTTGTTGGTCAACGTCTACGACCTCGCGTATAATTTTATCAAGTACGACAAATGGAAGATGGCTAAAATGGACATGTTAAATAAAAATGATAAAAAGTTGGTGTGTGGTAGTAAGTTGTGGTATATAAAAAGTATAATGTAAAAGAATAAAAGAACAAAAGTGTGCGTGGAGAAAGAGAAAAGAGCCAAACACGTACTGATAATATAAATTTATTGTTGCGCATCAACAAAAAAAGCAGGATAAAAGTTTTCGACAAAGGGGTTGGCAGTCATTATACAAAGGATAGTGCAAAAAACATGCAAAAAAATAGTACAAGCTTGGCGCTAATTATTTTACCTTCTTTCCACTTTTCAAATTGAATTATTGTTTTCTGTTATTTACTCTGTACATTTTTGATTTTGATTTGGTGAAAGGAAATTAGGACGATTAAATTTTAGAAAACTTAAAGCCTAATAAATAAATGAAAAATAAGAGGAAAAAAATACTTTTCACTCGGGCAGAGCGCCGATAAAGTGCGCCTCGATACGCAATTAGGCGTCTGATCTGTACCACAAGAAAGATAAGGGTAGGGGCGCAGCGGGTTGGCAGCCACTGCTTACTCTATCAGCTGATGTACCCTGGCCACCCTTATGTCGGTCAAGGAACTCAAATAGAAAGAAATGAATCACAGATACTTGGCCATGACTGATGTTCTAGCCGGCAGACTAAGCATTTAAAAAACATTTTACTAACACCCTGACTAAAAATTTATTTATACAATATAACCCATTTAGTTGTACACCAAATAGCTTTATTTTTGTGATTTAGTAATTTTGGTAAATTAATCGATCTATTCGGCTTGATTTCACGTGATTTTACCCACTGTTTTTTATGCTTGTTTGCAGCTAGATTTTTGAATTAGTTTTTGTCGAAATTTGCCATTAATAAGCAATCCAAAAACAATACGCAGGAACACAAATAACAAACCCGGCATTTTCCCCACAACACATTCCTTAATTTATTCATTTAACAATGGCTAACCCAACCAACGAGGCTATGGAGGAGGATGACTACATCGACATCGACGACACAGGGCCAGAGGGTCTCAAGGGCGCTGACGGGGGTACGCATGGGAAGAAGAGTACAAGCGCTCCTGGGACGTAATTCAAGAAGACGCCAGCGGCAGCATCCAAAGCAGTATCACCGATCTAAACTCGCAGCGAAGCCGCAAGCGGCGGCAACAACGGTCGACAGAAACACTCCAGCGCGGAATAATCCGACACGTGGTTCTTGTAATCGACCAGTCGGAGAACATGAGCACGCGCGACCTGATGCCGTCGCGGATCCAAGCGACGTTGGCACTGTTGGAGCAGTTTGTCGGGGAGTTTTTCGACCAGAATCCAATTTCGCAGCTGGCACTGGTGGCGACAAAGGACGGGCTGGCGGAGAAACTGACGGATCTGAGCGGCAATCCGAGGGACCATTTGGGAGCGCTGAGGGATAAGGCTAGTGGGGATTTGGCTGGCGAGCCGTCACTGCAGAATGCACTGGAGCTCGGGATGCATGCTTGAGGCGTGCGCCGGCGCATGGGTCGCGCGAAATCGTCTGCGTATTCGGCTCCCTCACGACCTGCGACCCAGGCGATATTGAGCAGACTTTGCGGGCACTACAGGCGGCCGAGGTGCGCGTCTCCATGGTGCATTTGGCAGCGGAAGTGCACGTGTTCCGGCGAATCTGCCAGTCTACCGCGGGGGTTTTTGCCGTGGCCGTTGATGAGGATCACATGCGGGAGTCGCTTTTCGAAAATATTCCGCCGCCAGCATTGGTTAAGGAGCGTGCGACGGCGGATATGGTGCAGATGGGGTTCCCGGTTAAGGCGCAGATGGGCGAGGTGCCGTCACCCTGTGTGTGTCATCATGAGCTGCGGTTTGCTGGGTTTCTGTGCCCTCGCTGCGGCGCCAAAGTCTGTGGACTACCGACGGACTGCGATGTCTGTGGGCTGGCGCTAGTGTCGGCGCCGCATCTGGCTAGGTCGTATAGGCATTTGTTTCCTGAGGAGAATTTTAGAGAGGCTGGGAAGAGGGCGGCTGGGGCGGTGGTGGTGTGCTTTGGGTGTGGCGCGAAGGATGCTGGATTTGAGTGCGTCGGATGTAGGCAGGCGTTCTGCTTGGAGTGCGATGTATTTGTGCATGAGACGCTGCATAATTGCCCTGGGTGCGTCTGAGCGTTAAGTGAGAGAGATAAGGAGAGAGGTGGATTAATTAATTGTTTTTGTTTGTTTGTCTGTTTGTTTGTTTGTTTGTTTGTTTGTTGAATTAGATTAAATATTATTTATATAATTTCAATTAGTGGCATGTGTGTGCGGAGTACATATAAATGTATTTTTTTGTTTGTTCCCACGACTGTATGATTATTTATCCATGGGAATACTAAATTTACAGAATATACCTAATTAAATATAAATACGAATGTGGGGAAGAGGGAGGGGGAAGATAAATATTATGAAAATATAGATGTGCAGGTGGCAATATTCCACATTAATTACAATATTAAAAAACACTTCAGTATATGTGTTTGTTACTCGCACTAGTAAATAATGTTTTATTTTTGAAAAGATATAACTATTTTACTTGAACAAAAAAAAGAGATATAAGAAAGGCAAATTCGATGATAACTGATTACCAAAAGAAAAATTTCGCTATATACATATACATTAATTTATTTTACCTTTGTTACTATTTTTTATTTTAGATACAACCAACACTAATTATTAACATCTCATACTAATATTTCACCTAATTTATTTAATCCACACCCATAATCATTCCATTTTTTGTAAAGTCACATAACAGCATTTTTTTATTATTCGCAAATGGTTCGCAGTATTTTCATCAGCGTATTTATCGCCACAGTCACCACGATGATGACGGCCACAGCAGCGCCCGGTGGTGGCGGTTACGGCTACAACAACAATGGCGGCGGCGGTCCACGGTTACGGTAAAGACAACTACGGCTATGAGGAGCGCTGCTGCGCCACCGAAAGCACCGGAAATCACCGTCCACGTTATCCGCCCTCCCCCTACGTTCATCTACGATGTGACGCAAACAGCTTACTATACGGAGCACCATGATTGCTACAATTGCCCGTATGTCTGTGGCCCCACTTGTATCCCCCAGGGTGAGGTGCTTGCACCTTGCAATACCGGTCGTGAAATTGTTGTTCATAAGAAGCTGCGCAAACCCAAGCAGCAGCAATACTAGAAAACCATTTTTTATTGTTCTTAAATATATACTTTCCATTTAGTTAATTAAATACTATTATTATTATTATTTTCCTCAGTGCATGCCCATTAGACTGAGGAAATCGGGTAAATGCCTCAGCCGGTCCTTGACCTTCAGCGGTAGAGAGTGAGACAGTGGAAGCCCATGGTACTGAGTCTGCTCGTCCTCATACGAAGCTATCTGCTCGCGCACATTAATCAACAACCGACTCCCATCGCAAAACAGTATAGTCAACAGGCAATCATCAGCACCATTTGCACCAATACCAGTGCCAATGCCAATACCATTACCGCTAGCTCCTCCTTGGGCAGCCATGCACCATCCAATACCGGGCAAAAAACAGGCATCGCGGAACGTGCGTTCGGCCAGCAAATAACCCATTTCCGCATCATTCTTATTCTTCGATAACTGCGCGGCAGTAACACTGGTATTGTGGGTGGTGCCGCTGCCATTGATGATACTGGGCTGTAACAGTAAAGATAGCGGTGCTGGTGGGTGGTTGAACTCCTCGACTAGTTTGGTGATTGGCCCTAGGTTGGCCTTCTCGGTGGAAAAGCGCTGCCCAGTGTGGTGGATCCGCCCGGATGCCCCACACTGATCGGCCTTTGGCCCCGCTGCTGCTGGTGGTGATGCTGCTGCTGTTGCTGCTGTTGCTGCTGTTGCTGCTGTGCTGCTGTGCTGCTGTTGCTGCTGGTGTGGTGATGGTGGTGCTGTGACTGCGACTGCGGCTGACTCGATCTCTGCGGCAGCCCTCTGCTAATACTGTTTCGCGGGCGCAGTCCCAGCGGCACAAACGGTTCCGAAGCATCCTGCTGATCCCAATCAACCTCCACAGGATACAAGATCTCGCCCTCATGCTCCAGCTCGCCCTCCCTCTCAGCCATCATGTTTTCCTCAAACCCCCTCAACATCAGATCAAACCTCACCGCTCGCCGCAAAGCCTCCATCGCATGGCCGATGATCCCACGGAGTTCCCAGGCACTTTTGTTTCGGGGTTATCCCTCTTGTCGAAATCAGCACGTCCCAGGGCACACTTTTGGATCTCGTTAGGCAACCCCTCTTCATTGCATGGGATCTCCACCATGGCCCAAGCTCCCCGCTCCCCCGCCGTTGGGGTTTTCGGCGCTCTGGTGATTTCAACCTTGACTCCGTTGAAGAACAACAAGCGGAACACCCCCTCGGGCCCATCCTCATATAGCCAGGCCTTTCCCTGTGGCGTACTGATCCCCAGTCTCTTCTGCTGTCCGCGCAGCGTCTCCACACACCGGCACGCCACACGCACCGCCTTGGCAACCTCTGCAGGCAGCAGCTCCATCTTCCACGGATACGTGGTGCGCGCCAAGGACGGGTGCAGGGTTTGTGGATTATTGGGCCGGGTGAATTCATAAATACGCTGGTGCACGAGGAAAGCGCGAGGAGCTGGGGGGAGCTGGGAAGGTCGAGAACGAGGAGGTGGTCGCGCCGCAAATGCAGCGTGCCGTTCTTGAATTGCGCTTGAGCGGCGCCGGAAGCCGCGCGGTCGAAAAGTTGCCGAGATAGTCGGTGGCCGCGGCAAGGCCGGGGGCCGGTGCCGGTTCTAATGTGGGTGCGGTGCCGGTGCCGGTGCCGGTTCTAATGCGGGTGCTCCTGGCCGACGTCCGGCTCCGCCCGCGTGCCTCTGCGGCAGAATGCGCTCGCCCAATAATGCAGCTGCATTCAAGGCATTGTCCGCGTGTGGGAGGATCCGATCCCTCCCCGCGTTGTCCTCAATCCTCTGCAGTGGCACCTCAGGCTTGCCACTGGCAAAAAACTCGTGGTCCAGTATCTCCTCGCTGCGCAGCCGCTCGCGCGGATCCACACGCAGCAGCTCAAACACCAGGTGCCGCGCCTCCCTCGACAGCGTCCTTGGCAGCCGCACCTGGCGCGCCACCACGTCCTCCGTGATCTGGTCACCCCTGCCAACCGCCCCAAAGGGCTGCGTACCAGTCAGCAAGGTCACCAGTAAACACCCAAGCGCCCAAACATCGGATTCGCTGCCATACGGCAAGCGCGCCAGAACTTCGGGCGAAATGTAGCTAGGCGTGCCGCACAATGTCATCTCCTCGCCCCTATGCCGCCCCCGCTGCTGCTGCTGCTGCTGCTGCTGGGCTGGTTGGTCCGTGTGGCGAGCCCGAAGTCGCATACGCGCACGTGCATGTTAGAAGCCAGCAGAATGTTGGCCAGCTTCAGGTCCCTGTGCAGCGCACCCCTGCGGTGTATATACGCCGTGGCCTCGCATACTTGGCGCATCACCATTCTGGCCTCGCCCTCCCCCAGCGCAGCCAACCCCTCGGCCACACCCCCAAGGCGCCTCCTCAAGTACTGCCAGAGATCCCCGTTCTCACAGTACTCCATCACCAAATACACGAACCGGTCGTCCTCAAAGGACTCGTAGATGCGCGCAATGTGCGTGTGGTCCATGCTCTCGTGGATGCTCACCTCTTGCGCTAGCCGCTGCTCTGCTGCTGGGGTCTTCAGCTGCCGCTTGTCCACTACTTTTATTGCCACGGGGGTGGTTGGGAAATGCGGGTGTAGGGGGGTGGCTCGGTACACCTTGCCGAAGCCGCCGCGCCCGATCCGATGCCAGTTGGTGAAGTCGTGCGAGGTGAGCGCGGACGGCGCCGGTGGCGGGGCCAATGCTGCTGGAGGATTGTGCGCGGCCGCATGGCCGTAGCCGCTGGTGCTTGGGCGGCTGCATTGCGTGGACGCCTGCTGGAACGACGGCTGTGTCTGGAGTACATTGCGTCCGAAGCTGGAATTGCAGATTTATGCTGTGAAATGAAGGCGAATGAGAATCAAATATAAATATAAATATAAATATATAAGGGAAATAAAAAGTAAACAAAGCCCTGCGCACTCGATCAATCCGAAACAGCACCCTTTTTAAGGCTCGCCCCCTCGTCAATTCCATTCACAGGGAAAAAGCCTAATTTAAAAACAAACAAAAGCCCATTTGGTTTACTTCTTGGCCTTGCCCATGCCCGAGCGGAAGTACACGATGTCTCCGTCATCGATAGTCGCGTCCTTTCCGCGGATGTGCAGCTTGCCGGTGGCCTTCAGCTCAGCCTCGCTCCGGCGGCCCGCAGGTCCTCGTACCGCATAACGTCGACCTGGATCAGCGAATCAGCGATGTCATTATGGATGCTCCTCGCGGCCTCGGGCATCTTCGCGCCCTTCCTGCACGTCCACGCGCGCACCTCGCAGCCAGTGCCGACAGTGAAGAAGTGCATCAGGTTCAGCTGGTCATAGCCCGTAACGATGATCTTGGGGACGCAGTCGGCACACCGCTCTCCTTGATGAACGCCGCACGCTCCTGGGCATCCTCGATGGCCGCAACGTTGGACTCGAATGCGGCCGAGAACGGAATCAGCTTGTCTCCGGGGTTGTTCTCGTCGATCCACTTCTTGATCAGCGGCAAAAACTTGTTCTTCTTGCGCACGTAGTCCTTCTCGCTAACGTTGGCCAGATAGGTGACGGGCTTGGCGGTCAGCAGGAACTGCGAGTTGATCGTGTCGACCTCCTTATTGGTCCACACGCCCTTGCGCACGTCCTTTCCGGACGCAACCCAATCGCGCACCTTCAGAACGGTGTTGAACTCGTCCTTCTTCTTCTTGTCCTCGACGGACCCGTTGCCGCCCATGCGGTCAATGACGCGCTGGTTGAGCTCGATGAACTTGTTCAGCATCGCAACGTCCTTGAGCCGCAACTCCGTGTGGATGATCTCCATATCGCGCGCCGGATCAACCTCGCCCTCCACGTGCACAACGTCCGCGTCGGTAAACGCCCGCACCACATGGAAGATCCCATCGACGGCGCTAATGTTGGACAAGAACGCGTTTCCCAGCCCAGCGCCGGCCGACGCACCCTTCACCAAACCGGCAATATCCGTGATTGTCAGGAACGCCTCGATGCGCTTCGTCGGCGCATAAAGATCATGCAGCCAGTCCAGGCGCTCGTCAGGAACACCGACGCGGGCCTCCGTCGGGTCGATTGTGCAGAAGGGGTAGTTTTCCGCGGGAACCGCCGAATTGGTGATTGCATTGAAGAATGTCGATTTGCCTACGTTGGGAAGCCCAACGACACCAATCTTGAGATTGTTGCCGGGACGCCCGAGCTGGACCTTGTCCTCGGTGACTTGCTTCTTGGGTGGCATCTTTTTCTTGCTGGCTAACTGACCAAGGCTGCTGCTGTGGAAAAAAGAAATTGGTGTGGGAAAATTAAATCTTAAGGGAAAAGATTTAAAAGAAGCACAAAAGAAAGTGGTGGGCTTTTGCGCTTTGAAATAGGCGGGGAGGGAGCCGATGGGTGGGTGGCGGTGGTGGTGAGTGGTGGTCACTCCTCTCCTTTGTTGTTGTTGGGGATGGGAAAAGCCTTGGCTTTGGGTTGCTGAGGGTGCTGATGCCCGAAGTGCCGAGCTTTTTATGCTGCTGCTGCTGCTGCTGCTGGTTGTCCACACGCACCGCTTGCTTCCATTAAAAATAATGCTCTGCTTGGAAACGGCTCCTAGAATCTGAAGCGACATCTTTTTTCTCTTTGGGTTCATGAATCCAGGAGTTGGTAGAGAGAAAAATACAGTGAAAACTTTTTTTCTTCGGGTAAAGCCCAAGAAACTCCCACAATGCAAGATACGCGCCCTCGTAGCTTTTTTCTTTTCTTTCAATAGTGAGCATAATAAAAGAAAAAATTTTCAACCAGATGGTCTAAACTGAGCCGAGTCGAGACGGACCATATTTAATTGCTTGATTGAGCCGGACCGAAGCCTTCCAGATAAATGGTTCTCTCCCTCTTCCAAATAGAACCTCGACTCGCAATCACCACCAAAACAAAAGATACTCATAGTTACCCAGTATCAATGCTAAACTCCCACATAGAAGCAACAATCAACAATATGTAATAATTAAAAGATGTTACTGGTATTTGATTTAAGAAGAAAAAAGAAACAATTATTTCCTAAAATAAAAATAAAAACAAGGGGTGTTGTCTTAGAACATGGCAGCGACAACGGCAACGGCAGCGACCAGAGAGCCGGCAGCAACCTTGGCGGCACCGCTGGATGAGGAGCCAGACTTGCTCCTGGAAGCGCTAGTGCTGGAACCCTTGCTGGACTCCTCGCTGGACTCATCCTCAGTCAGCTATCCTCCTCAATATCGCTGGACTCCTCCTCCTCCTCAGAGCCTTGACAGTGGTGGAATCCTGCTGCTCCTCCTCAGAGCCATCAGCAGTGGTGGAATCCTGCTCCTCCTCCTCCGAGGAAGCGTGTCAACAATATCACTGGTGGACTCCTCCACAGAAGTGGTATCAACAGTGATGCTGGTATCCTCCTCAACGGCACCGGCGGTGGCAGGGGCTTTCCGTCAAGAGTAACCCCGTGACGCCGGCGCGGGAAAGAACCGGGTTCATGATCGCGGGGGCAATGCCGGTGGCAACATGCTGGACGAGCTGCTCGTCGAAGGCGGCGGTCAGCTGGGTTCCGCCAATAACTGCGGTGGCCTGGGCGAAAATAGCCGGCTGGGCAGCCTGCAGAACGGGGAGGTCCTCGTTGATGACGCTGACAATATCATCCCAGTGGGCGGAGATCTGGCTCAGAGCATCGGCGTTATCGGCGGTCACGCAGATGGCGGTGGTGGCAAGGACAGCGGCGGCAAAAGCAAACTTCATTGTAGGTTAATTAAAGTAGGGTTGTAAGTAGTTTGGAGGGAGTGATTATTAAGTTTGGTTTTAGACTGTACAAATAAAAGAATTTGAAAAGTGGTGGAAGAAGCGAGAGGACGTAAGGGAACAAAATAATTGTTTTGGATTAAAAACTATGGAAAAAAAGGTTGTAGGGAGAGGGAGGGAATTGGCGTTGGATTTATATATTTTTTAGGTTTTTAGTTTTAGTATAGAAATTGATTTCCTTTATTTTTGTAGTGGAATTCGTAGTCGAAGACAAATCTATTCTTGGACAGCATCTTTTTCCTTGTCCAATGGAACATACTAGCAGCACCCTGTCTGCACAAGAAATAAGTGGACAGATAGACAAGCGCAGTCAAGACTTTAAAAAAACTTATTTTGGGAATGGCGGCATTTTTTTTCCTGTCCACTGGAAGAAAGAAAAATTGTGGAGCGAAGAATATTATACCATTCCGCCAGTGTAATTTACGTATTGGTTTTTCATTGTCTACCTTGTATCACGAGACTATATAAAAATAGGTATTTTGGTTTTCCTGAGAGTCCATTAGAGAGAAGGGGGGTGTAAAAAACTAGGGTATGCAACCTATATACCACACTCACCACTGTAAAAAAGAATACATTTCTTAATGTGCCAAGAAATACACAATGAGTGGGAAAAATAAAATAGAAAAATTACAGCTCGGCATTAGCAAACAGCCGAACAGACTGATTATCCACTTTGACATTTTTATGCATTTATGGGCCATAAAATGCGATAAAAATAACAGTGTCCCTATTTTATTTCTTCAGCTTTCCCACCAGAGCGGAAAAGATGAATGGATTAAGTTCCCGGGCCAAAAAAATATATTATTTGGACAGTGCTCTTTGGCTTTTTTCCATTGACTGGCTCAGTTAATCATTCCGAGATTTTCTCCGTTGCCGTACCAATCAATAGGGAAAAAAAGTCAATGTTATTTGCCGCGCTTATACTCTCTACCAAGCCACTTTAGCTCCTACAGTGTGGTGAGGGGTATTTTCTGTTAACCCAACAGGTACGTTTAGATACACTCTGTTTTTTATATCCCAAGCTAAAAATAAAGAAATCACGATCAAGTTATTTTTTCTAATGACTATAAATCTTTGAAACCAATAAAGAAAAAGCTGTGAATGCATAATAAAAAAGCCTCAAATATTATTTTTAAATGACAAAGATATAATCGCCAATCTACTCATGCAGTGCGTGCGTGTATGCGTGCATTATCCTTTATGACGAAGCGCACTGCACTATAGTAGTTTTTTTGCTTTTTTTATGACACCAAAATCTGTTTGTTTTTTTTTTGCTTTTTTCTTTAGGTAAACAAAAATCACTTTCGTTTTTTTCGCGCTTGGTTTTATTTTCAAGACTTGAACCAGTTTTTAGTATGTTTATTGTTTCTCACATGCATATTGTAAAAAAAATTGCTGGTCCCTTCTTATTTCTCCACTCCCGCAAATCTACACTTGGAAATTAAAATGTAAAAACAAAAAATTCAAATGGTCTGTTTTTTTAATAATGATAATCAATTTTTTTGTATTTCAAGATTGATCCCATGATCTTGCTACAACCATTTTTGTTCTAAACGGGTTTTTGTTTTCTGTAAATCAGTAATCCTTTTTTGGTAGAATAGTGCTTTTTTATTTGGCGGAATAGTAATAGTGCACAATTAAAAAGCACGTCAATTACGCATATCCTTCTTGAATTTGTCTACTATTTTTCTTTTGCGAGCCATTTCTTTCATAGAAAAAACTATGCCTGTTTTTTTGTTGGTGGATTCAATTCCCGAATGATTCACTTTTTAAATGGCAGAAAACTGATACCAGGTGTTATCTAGAAACATGAATTGCAAACAAAATACGAAATGCTGAAGCCAGTGTTTACATTTTTCCTTCACAAAGTAAAACCAACAAACAACAAAAAAAAAAAAAAAAAAACCAACAAACAAACAAACAAAATGTGCTTTTATCCCCACACACCACCAACACCGACTGATATCAAGTTATATGTTTACATTTCAGAGAGAAAAAACAAAAGGGATATATGTCCATTTTATGCACATGCCGTATACATATATGTGTACGTATGCAGCTTAATGCTGCAGCCCGAAATTACCATTGTCATCGCTGGAAATAGTGGGTATTTTTTCCCGCTTGCGCCAAATGTGCTCAGATAACAGGAGCTGTATTTTTTGTTTAGCATAACAACCATAAACTTGAATTACCCACTGTATTCAATCGTTTAATCTGCTTCAGGATTAGATTGAAAAATCAACTGCAAAATAAATGTATTTCACACGCATCGTTTTGGACGCACTACTACTTTCTTCCATTTTTCTCAAAAAAGAGCTTGCCATGGTTTTTTATTTTAGCACATGCTTCTGCTTGCCGCCATTTGTTTGTTTTTCACATGAATTCGGCCTATGTGTATTTTTTGGGAGACAAACCACCGCCAGTTCGGCCAAGCATTGGGCAACGGCAATCATTTTTTGTAACTTCATTCATTTCACATGAAATAAAGGAAAGCTCCATTTTTGGACACATTTGGTGACAAAATAAGCACGAGGACACATACAATAATATATTTTACATTTCACTCATGTGCGCTCATATGTCATCAATATGATGCTCCGTTTGTCCTTTTTTCTTATTTTGGTATTGAACCACACGCAAAATACCTTTCCTGTCACTTAAAAAGTGGTAGAAGGATATTTACAATAAAAATTGTTGTTGACGATACAAAGTGTACAATACTTTGCAATGATTTATCCTGACCTTATTTTCATAATCTTAATTTGTTTTTTTATATTATCTCTGCCTAAACCTCTATTGTAAATTATTCAATTGATACTGCCCTGCAGTTCCAATTTCCCTCGTCGTATCCCAGAACATGTGCTCATTCCATGTCATTTGCTCACATGCAAACATGCGAACATGCAAATGTAAATGCATTGTGTGTCCTATGCTTCCAATGGAATAAAATGAATGTCTATTATAGTGCATTATTAGAATGGCAGGCCATCCGCTGGTTTTAAATAAAACATACATATTTTTAAAGATTGTTCCACGCTTAATGTATGCAGGACAGCAAGCATGGAGTAATGTGCGTGTCCTACCACCGATGCAAAATAATTTTTATTTCTCCAAACGATCAACACCCATGACCACTTTTTCGTATTTGTTTGGTACGGTAAAGTAAGAAAAGGAGATTGACACAAAAGCAACTACCAACAACATTGGGGATGCCGTTCCTATTTAGTGGGATTGGAGGGGAGGATTAGCGTATTGGGATATTTTTCCCTACACTTATTGCGCAGTAGCAGGGGGCATCATTACTTTTTTGTTTGGCTGTATTCCATAGGGCCTGACCGCACTAGGGCCATCCCTAAAAAAATTGAATTTTTTCCGCTCCTTTCTCCGTCTCCCATCCCTTTTCTCTATACGAGTGGGAAAAAATTGGGAAACAAATAAAGCCATTTCAGTCAGGCGATCGCGTGGCCCACTCGCCAGTAAACCTTTTTAAGCTAATTCCTCCTGCAACAAATTGACAAGTGTTATTTGCTCGTTGCTCGTTTTTTCATCTCACGAAAATATGTACCGCGAATCTTTGTAAAAATGATACTGGTAATTTTCTAGTTGGTGTTGGCCACTCTGCATATTTCCTTCCCCCCACCCACCTACCCACCCACCCAAGTTTCCTATCCAGAGTAAATAAAACCCTGCTGCTTAAAAAATATATATATTTGGCGGTTGGCTTTCCTTTTCATTCCACTTGGCTTTTGCATCAAGATATTTCCCCTTCAAATTTCTTAATTTTTTATTTGTTAAACTTTCTATTATATAATTTCGTCTGCGCTTATTTCCTACGCTAATACTAATATTTAATATATTTGAATAATGATCGGAACGGCCCAAGCTATTAATACTGGGCCTAATGAGTCGCCTAAAAACTCTGTCGAGAAGGCACCCAACAATGCTGATGATTTCGTTTCGCCCGTGTCAAGGGCCAAACTCATTGTCTTTTACATCGGGTAAGTTTTCTGCTAATCTGTCATCTTTTATTTTTAACACACATCTGTGTTTACAACCATTTTCCAGGGTCTTTTGCTTGTACCAGGTTCTGGTTCTAGTTCTGGTTTTATTTATTTTTATTTCCAACACTCTCCTTTCTTTGCAACCCATGGTTCAACCCCAAGATTACAACTAATAGATGAGTGGGCTATTTTTTTGCCACGATACCCGTATGCGGAAACCTAGAAATTTACTCATTCGTTACGAATGGATAATCCAATTGAAACGTAATTGATGTTTCTTGGTTGTCATTTTTTTGGTCGGCCGCTTACTTTTTCTGGCCCGTTCACTAAAACCAAGAGGCCAATCCCAACGCACATACTTTTTTTACCCATCCCTCACAGAAAAATTTCACAACACTTTCTTTTTGGACCATATGTTTTTTATTGGGAAATTGCCTTTTTCATCTTTGGATTGATATCTTTTGAGATGAATACAGATCAGTATTTTAAGCTTTTTTGGCGGTTCGAGCCAGAGGCAGAGCCGTATCTTATTCTTTCAAAATTATAAAAACAAATGTATCGTGTCTTCATGTGTACATGTAAAAGTTATTAAAAGTTTACTCACCTAAATTGGCATCTATTTAATTATCTAGTTGGCCATACAGCTCTACATATGATTACATGTTCACTTGCTGCTGCTTTTATCCCCCAGAACCCGTGTGACATTATCTCGTGCTCATATCTCACCTCAAATATGCAATGCCGATCATCCCCCCACCAGCGCATATATTAGTTATAACATATTGCTAACTAACCATTATTTATTTAGTTTTAAATAATTTGTAGTGCTCTGGTCGCAATCTTTGTCACCAATTACCAGACTGTGGTCCCGGCCTCGTTCTTTGTCCAAGCAGTCGCTCCCTGGGGTGTCGGGGTGAGCTCACTGTGGATGCTTGCTGCATATCTCATCGGCTACGTGTCTTTTATACTTCCAACGCTTCGCATCTCAGAACTAACTGGTCGTCTGGGAGCTTTCTGGTTCGGTCTGGTCGTATTTGTCATCTTCACCGGCGTTGCAGGCCATGCACACTCTGCGTATACTTTGCCGTTCTGCGTGCCTTCCAGGGTGTTGGCGCGGTATCGTTGCATCGGTCTCATGGCTGACTGTTGCTACTAACTCGTCCGAACGTAGTCGCTCGTTGTTTGTCGCCGGCCTGTGTGCCGCGCAGCTGTTTGGCGTTGGTGCTGCCCAATCATTGGCGGTAACTTGGCGGCCAATGGCAAGTTCCGGTGGAGCATCTATCTGGCAGCACCCCTGATGGTGATCCCGGCCATTCTGTGCACCCCAGCGCTTATTGCTGACAAGAAGCCCGCCGGGAGCGAATCGCTTATTCGGAGCATCGTGCATTTCGATTATGTGGCATGCTGCTGCTTTTCGGCGCTGTCATTATGCTGACCATGGGCCTTGTCTTTGGTGGCAACGAGCATAAGTGGAGCTCGGCTACGGTTCTTTGCCTGATTATCTTTGGTGCCGTTTGCATTGCTTTGTTCCTCTTGTGGGAGCGGTTTGGTGCTCACAGCCCGATTTTTAACGTCGCCTGGTTGCATGAGCATAACTTGCAAGTGTGCGTGGTCAATATCCTGTTCATGTCCATGGCCTTCTTTGCGCACTCTGTCTACGTTCCCATTCTGTACATCACCGCGCGCATGAAGGACACCGCCACGGCGGAGGCAAGACCGCTCCCTACTGGGCTATGTCGATGGGTGCCGCGCTGATCGCCGGTCTGGTGCTCCGCCACAAGGCCAAGCTTGCCCGTCCTATCATCTGGAGCGGCCTGATCATTTCCATCGTCTTCTCTGGCCTTTACTACACTATCCCTGCTGCTACCCCACGAATCCAAGGAGAATGCATACTATGCTCTTGCAGGTCTTGGAATGGACTTGCGTTCTCTGCCATCAGCTATCTTGCCAGATCAGCGTCCCCCACAATGAGGTTGGCGCCGCCGCCGTCATCGGTCACTTCTTATCTATTGTCGGCGGTATGCTTGGTCTCATTCTCTACCAGGCTTGCTTAAGAGCCGCTTGATCATTAACCTTGATCCCGTGTTCCAGTCTGACAATTTCTTGAAGGTCTTTAATGTTCGCACGATGGATATTGCCGGTCTTGAGCTTTCGGGATCTTCTATTGTGAAGTATGTGCCTCAGCTTGCAGGGTTATTGGCGATAAGCTCGTTGAATCGCTCCATACGACTTATATTATCACTGTTCCGCTTTTGGGCTTTGCTCTGTTGATGACTGCGCTGTACAAGCACCGCACCAACAGCAGCAGCGACTAATAAAGCTGCTTGATAACGAGCTTTTTGCAATGGGTCATTTATTTTTATAAAAAATTATCTAGAAAACTAATGACATCCAATTCGTGAAAGAATGGTTTTTGAATTGTACAAGGGAATATCAAATTACCACCTGATTAATATGCGAATCAAGATATACAAATTCAGCGGTTAGAAGACACTAAAAAACAAAACAATTGATGGTGGTCGAGCGCTATAACATGATTAGATACAAATAGTACCCTTTTCATATCGGCTGACCTCCCTGCCAGATCTACATTCATTGCGACAAATGTTGATTTTTTGGAGCGCAAAACTCTTCATATTTGTTTTATTGATCAAACGCTCGCATAGTTTAGTTGGTATCAAAAAATAAATGAGAGAAATTAATATAATGAAAAATGGAATAATCACAGGCTGGAGTGTGTCATGCCATTTATCCTATCAAGATCTATAGATACCACATAATCACTAGGCATTTTAAGCTACGCTTCAGTGTGTTACAAGCTAGTTCAGAAAATATAACCATAGAATACAATAAAAATAGTTAGCAACACTAGCTCAACTATTCTAATAATGTAATTTTAAAATTTTAAAAATACAAATGCAAAGCAATCAACTAATGCTGTTAATAGTTGGCTTACAATTTTATTTTATTTAATTGTCGTTTCACAGCTGGCTCAAAAGAACAGTATTCACAAAGACAATTTATTTATGCCTCCAGATAAATCATAAAACGATGTCTGAAATTATACAGAATTTGAAGCCAATACTTAATGATAAAACCAAGGCTGCTATCGACTCCAACATCAAATTCAGATGTCGGAATCGTGACATTGCATTGGTGTGCAATTTTATTATGATATTCTTATATCGTCGCAGCTTTTTAAAGCACCGCCCAGCTTTTGAGTGTTTTGCTAGACTACCAGTTGATCTGAATCTCATGCTCAAACGCAAGGCCACACCCAAGTGCAACAAGACTGGATACTTTTTTATAATTTTTCTTACATCATGGCGGCTATTACTACCTGACAGCTCAATCCCTACTGGGTAAAGTCAGTGACCACAAAGTAGAGAGAGAGAAAATATATAATTGAGTAAAATATAAAACAAGCAAAAAACATAAACTAAAGTTGATGAATAAGACCAATTGTCTACCGCATCACCTTGTCAGCCATAGGCTTTATTGTAGATCTGGCCACATGCCCCTATAATGACAGCAACCACAAAGTGGGTGGAGGACCTTGTCCAAAACTCCATATTAATTTTTCTAGATTATAATTTTTAATTTTTAAATTGTGTTAAGCCCACATTATTTTATAAATAAAATAAAAATAGCGCTTTAAATTAGTTTCCTGTATTGAAATTTAAACATAGTCCAAAAAAACGCGTAAAATTGATTTTAATGCATTTTACGGCTGCTACTTTCGATTGTGGTCTAAGATAGCTGATTTCTGACAACTACTTGTCTGCTCTTTTGTTTGCTTTTTTCTTTAAAAGTTAATTCAGTTGAAGAAGCCCGTGGCCAATAAGAAATATTGTTATTTTTGCTTCAAATCCTCCACGCCATAGATTTTATAAAATTTTAATATCAGAGATGCGCATTGTGGATTTTGTAAGGCCATATGGGATTATTGTATTGTAATTTTGTTTTCTGCTCCTATTAGTCATAAATTGTGGTCTTATTTTTTGGCCCTCTTTTTTATTCCTTTTCGGCTGAAAATTTTACGTGGGACGCGGCCCATCGAAACAATTTATTTTTTATTTTTCTGCAAAATTTTGTATTTTACATACTCAATGATACATCTCTGCTCTATAGATTACTTTTTTCATACTGTTGTTTTTTACTGGCCCCATTTGGCCAGGTTTACAAGACAGACAACTACCAGTAAACGCTGTTATAATAAGGATAAAGTATATTAGAAAACTGAGCTGTTCCTGTGCTCATGGCTGGAACACCTTAGCATATATATCAAAGGCAAATTATAATAAGTGCGCGGCATCTCCTGTGCCGCACACATATACACAAATATTAAAAGAAACGACAATAGCAAAACAAATGTTATTTTGATGCACCTCGAAATTGCGTCAATTGCTACTGTCATCAGGATCTGGCAAAAACAGGGTTAATCGTAAACATTGTGCAGCTTCGTAATCGATGTAATTGTATCAGGGCTTCGGGTGACGTCCTGCATCTGTCCGATACAGCTGTACGTGAAGGGGTCTCAGCCCAGGCCACTGGCCTGGGTCGCAGTCCCCCCCCCCCCGCAAGATGGATATTGCCGCCCTTGAGGCTTGGGAGCCACAGTTTTAAAGTTTGTGTCTCAACTTGTGGGTGTAATTGTCCAAAAGATGGTCGAATCGCTTCATACGACTTTCATCTTTTCCATTTCATTTTTGGGGTTTGCTCTGCTGATGACTGTGTTTTACAAGCACCATCTACACTGACCAAGCTAATGTATTTAAAAAATAGTTTTGTGTGTGGGGGGGGTTATTTTTTATTTTTCAGTAAATGGCGGTGGTCTATTAACCACCTATATTTTCGTATTTATTAACACATACATATCGATATGAATATTAAACCATATGAGTTGTTTTTCCACAGCCTCCATAACATACCATTTGGTATCATTCGCTCAACGCCCAAGAGAAATTTAAAACCTGATTAAGAACCCCGCTGCTTTATGTGGAATTCCGCGTTCATTCGATTATCTTGACTGTGGTCGCTGATTAATTTGCTGTGAGCTGAGCGAGCAAATGAGAGCGGGAGCATAAAAAGGCCATGAACAAATAAGAGTGGAATTGTGCGATTGCATTTTGCGTTGCACAAGAAATGTACACAGATATGCCAACAAATTTATTTAAAAGGGCAAAGGGAAAGGAGATGGTGCTTTTAAACTTTATATTTACTTATTGTTTGTCTCAAACCTTTTTATTCACTATGGTTTCATCATCATCTTTAGCTGCAAAAGCACAGCCGCAACTTCCAGTGCGCCGAAATTCCAATCCAACCGAATACACCGTTACATACAGATACGCCCCAGTCATAGAAGAACCGTCCAAGAGAAGTAGTATCATCTACCCGGAGTACCGGAGATCAGGAATCGGCGGCCACACAAACTTGAACACGCAGTCAGGCATTGGCGGCCATATTAAGGAGCGCATAGAAATGGGAATGGGCAAGGCATGTATGTCTCCTTTGCCTTATCGTAATACCAGTGAAGCATCAGCGCCTGGTTCTGAAAATATTCCGCTCAAAAAGGCTATATCCGTGAGCAGTTTGCGCTTGTTGACGAGATCGCACCCTCACCCACAAAGAACTGAGAAGCCTGTTAGCGAGCATTAAGTTTTCTATTTTTTTTGTAATATATTAAATACATGAATATATAAAATAAAAACATTATGGAATACTTGCGAAAATAAATAAAGACAATTTTAGGACAGGCGCTAATTACTAAAAGTGCAAAGTGGACCGTAAAATTACAATACAGGAAATAAAAGTTCATATGTCACTAGCGCGGAATGCGCCGCTTTCCCTTGCCATGCTTTTTTGGGGCCTCAGCAACGCCAATAACAGTGGCACCGTGCAGCTCGCCACCGTCACCAGCACCAAGTTCAGCCGAAATAGCCTGCTGCGTGGATATAAAGAACGACAAGTCACGCACTTGTTCCTCCATATCAGCAATTTTGGCTTTCAAATCAGCAACCTCCGACTTTAACACGTCCTGGTTTTCGACCAGATTTTTGGACATTGCGCGCTCCTCCATCAGAAACCGCGCGTCCTCGGTGGATTTTTTAATCCATTTCGCCACTGCAGCCTCCAGCCGGCTCTTCTCTGCGACCCACTGCCTGCGCTCATCATCGGCTTTTGCCTCCCGGGTATCTGCCAGTTTGCACTGCTCCCGGAGCTGCGCCTGAAGGTCCGTATTCTGGCGCTGCACATCAGCCAAACGGTGCTCCAGGTCAGCCTGAGCCTTTGGGCGCTGGGCCAGCTGGTGCTGCAGTCGAGCGACCTGAATATCATAGTGCTCCTTCTGCGACTCGAGCTGAACATTAAGCATGATCTGGGCCTCTGACAGCGCAGCCTCCTCTTTTTCGTCACGCAGACCAGCGCTGCCAAGCTCCATCACAGCTGCGGCACTGGCCGGGCGCGCTGGTGGCGTATTCATAGCGACCACCTTCCCTCCTTGCGTGCTCTGGAGCAGCCGGTGCACATATCCATCGCCAATGTAGTCCCAGACCACCTGCGACTCGAGCTTCATCGAATATGGGTGTTGGGTGTTGGTGAAATGATCCTTGGCATGGGCGTTGGCGTAGCGGCCACAGCCGATGGAGCCACAGATAAGGCAAATCCACAGATCATCTGTGCGCCCACACTCGTGACAGCGACTGACGTTGTCTGGTGAGTGATCGTGGTCCAGAGAAACCGTCTTTTGGAACTGCTCGTGGTCCACGAAGGGCGCCGTTTGGCTGTAGCGGCAGACCGGACAGGTGCCATCGCCCCATTGTGCTAGGCAGCGCCTGTGGAATGTGTGTTGGCAGAGGATCGTCAGAAGACCCGCGGTTGTGCTGTCCAGCCGCTCAAGACACACCGGGCACGCGGGCAGGTCGCTGCTATCCGCTTGCAAAAACAGTTTCTCGGGCAATACCTGCACGCAACCGCTCTTATATTGGCAGTGCTGCACTTCGCGCGCATCACACTCAACCAAATTTATAAACACCACGTAGCATGTCTCGGGCTCCAGCGGGCTGAACGTCTTTCCGTTGTACTGCGTGTAGAATTCGCCTGCTTGCGCTGCGCTGGTGAACTGGAGCATGATGATGTAGTGGTTGTGCGAGTCTGCGTCTCGGATCACCCGCGTGTGCCCGATGCTGTCGCGAAAAAGCCCGGCAAAGGACATAAAGTCTGTCGGTGTCATGTACCCGGGAACTGCCAAGACGCCAACCACCTGCGTCTCTGTCCCACTGTCTGCCTCTGTTGCATTGCATAGTACTGACTCATTTCGATTGTTGCTCTCGCCGTCGCGGAATAGGCGCAATAGCCCAGTCTCCCTGTCCTCGGCAGACCACTCGGCCCGTGCTTCAAAAATGCCCCTCAGTCCTTTCCGCTTTGCCGACGCCTCTGGCTCTGACTCTGTTGTCTCGAAGGTCGTTTTCAATGCCGAAGCCGATTGCTTGTTCATTTGGCATAAATCGTTAATTTGTGTAATGCAAGTGAAAAATATGAAAAATTAATAGAACTAAAGGAAAAAGAAAATATATGCGTGCTTGTTTAAGAAAAAGACAAAAAAAGCCTTGTGACAAAGTCACCTTCGCACAAGCAAAAAATGTATGCCTTCTACCAGAATCGAACTGGTGACCTTCTGCTTACTAGGCAGACGCTCTGCCATCTGAGCCAAGAAGGCATTTAATTGCTTTCTCAAGCTAATCAATTACTCTGTTTAAGAATAATATGTACATACATAACTATGCTGTCTTGACTTATTGGATTTTTGTTTGTACTTTTATATTTGTGCATGGCTAAATCAAAGCAAGGTCATAATTTGTGGACATGAATAATGATGACGATAAAGTTTCTTTTATTTATTTATTTGTTTGCGTGGCAAGTCCCAGTCGACTTGTTCTGTTAATTTTGCGACAGTCGCCAACCACAAAAAAGCACCTCACCTCCCCCACACAAAACGTGTTTCTTTTACTACTTTTCTTTTCTTTCTCTACTTTCTTTTTTATACTATTATTTTTATATAAATTCAAAGTTTATTTATGTTTCACAAGACTCATCGGCAACTCATACTATTTATACTGAAGCTGACAATATTCACCGTACTATTTATTGAATTCACTCACATTAAACTCCAAAACACCACAGCGGACAAAGACATGTTTAAACTACCGTCAGCCGAAGAGCAGCAAGCCAAGCTTGGGCAGTTCAAGTACTTGCTGGACGACTACTATCTTGAAGACGACCTGCCCAAGGAGGGAGAGGAGGCTGTTCAGTCTGCTGAGCCTGTGACGGATACAGGTGTGTTGGCCTCAGCTGAGGGCGATGATCTGAAGGGACAGATGGTGGTGATGGTGGGATAAAGAAAGTCATTAGATTGTCGACGCTTCCTCAGCCACTGCGGGTTATTAAACCGGGGAGCCGTGTTACTCGCGATTTGAGGCCTAACAGGCTGAACGTCTTTATTGATGAGAATGACAAGATCACGCGTGTTGACTTTTTCTAGTTTTGGCTTTTATTCCATGTAGATTATACACTATAAATCAACTTATTTTTACTTTTTCTTTGTCTTGTAGAAGCAGTAACTTGAAAATAAAAAAGATAGTGTACTTGTATTTCAGACTTAGGGATCCTTCTCAATGTCTCCCCCTCGTGCAGTAAATTTACGACAATGTGAGTAAAATGGAAAAAAGATTAAATCGATAGCATAAAAAACATGACCCCTTTGTTGTTTTAATTTTGTACTCAGCGTGACAATGGGAAAAATGAGAGTCAGCTGAGAAAGGTACTGACATGACATGAATGAAGCCATGCTTTTTTATATATCTCTGCTCTTGCTGTCAGTGCGAAGGAAAATTGTTGAGAAAAAGTGGTTATCAGGAGAGAGAGAAAACAAATGGACGCCTTCTCTTTATATTTCCCTTACATTTTATTTATTTGAACCTATTTTAACAACGCACATCTTATTTTTCAGCACAATATAATACACATTAACCATGGCTGGCTGCACTACTAACCATACCTTTGCTAATGTTGCAAAGGGCGAGACCGAGGCTAGCGTTATTGCTTCTCTCGGCAACCCCAGCGAAATAGACGGCAACACTTACATGTGGAGATGCACAGCCAATGCGGGTTACGTACTCAAGATTACGTTTGACAACGGTGTTGTCGCTTCCGTCAGCCATTAATACACTAATTTACTAATAATATCAAATATATTTTTTATAGCAGACAAATACGTCGAAATGTGCTGATGTGATTGTTCATTGCAGCTAAAAATGTAAAGGAAGTTAAAGGTGGTTGGTTAGATAGCGTATAATCTCGAATAGGGAAAGTGGTAAAAAAGGAGGGGTGATGACGATTTAAGTAAAGCAAAATGGCTGTTGTTTTGTTCTGATTGGACCTGGGGCTGTTTTCTTTATGGCTTTACTTTTGTTTTTTTTGCGCACGCCAACACGCCAGAGCGCCCAAAAGCGTAAAAAGAAAGCTTTTCTTTACATGCAATTTGGCTTAGAAAAAAACACTCAATTCGCCTTATTTCTTCTAAATTCGACAAGCAGCAACAGCACAGGCCTACTATTTAAACACATGGGCGCGTTTGCAGAGCTTGTCCGGCTCGGCGGCCTTTTCAGCGCCTACGCTCTCCTCCTCCTGTCCTCACACGCGGAGGACCCGCATCCACGGCACTGGGAGCCGAGACAAGCAGCCATATGCGCGGGCTCCTCTCTAAGGACATTACCCGGGATATGCTCGAGTCGCCGCGGTTCCAGATCAAAATGCTCAGCGCGCTGATTCCCGAATCCAAGCTCCCCGCCACCATCAGCCAACTCCGAGCCGAGGCCTCGGAAGGCCCCAGGGTGTGGGTGCGGATACTGCTGGCGACGAGCTTATTGTGGATCCCGTGGTTTTGCGCGTCGGCCGGCAGCTCACATACTTGTGTCGGGTGCCGCGCGTGGGCAGCGACCGGGTGGCAGCGGAGGCGGGGCGGAGGCAGCGAGGGCAGCGGCTCTGGCCACAGAAGAGCAGCGGCAGGGCGGCACGGGGGCGGAAGAGGCTGAAAACGCGCTGACGGTGCGCCGCGGGCTCAAGCTCCTCGGCTCGCTCGAGTCGCAGTGTATCTCGCTGACGGTCGGCTTCTGGACGTACGAGTACTGCCACGGCCAGCACGTGCGCCAGTTCCACCAGGAAACAGACAGCAGCGGCACAATCCACGTGCTGGAGTACCTTTTGGGCGACCACAGCACCGCAGGCCATTCGCCGATTTGCTGCAAATGGCGCAGAGGCGGCGCCTTCCGTGGGAGAGCGGCGGCTTGGCGAGGAGCAGCAGGTGGGGGGCCAGTTGACCAAGGTTATTCGCATTGGCCGCAAGCGCTTCCTGACCCAAGTCTGGGGCGGCGGCACCCTGTGTGATATCACCGGCAAGCCGCGTCAGGTCGAGGTCCAGTTCCACTGCGACCCGAACGGCCCTGAGCGCATCTCGCTCGCGGACGAAGTCGCTGTCTGCCGGTATGTGCTTATGGTCAATACCCCAAGGCTCTGCGCCGACCCGCGGTTCTACGATACGCAAGAGTCCGCCGCCTATGACATACTGTGCCAGCACGTGGTGCCCGATGAGGAGTACGAGGAGATGCTGCGGGAGGCGAAGGGGAAGGAGGACAGGCGTGCGATGCTTCTGGACAGGTCCTTTGATGCGGACAAGGAGCATGGTGGTGGCATGGGGCTGGGACGAGTACGATGATTATGGCTTTGGGGATGACTTTGATGCGGGCCTGGCCGATGCTGCTGCTGGTGGGAGGGGCCGGGCCGTGCGGAGAACCAGCCGATGGAGCCAAACCAGCCGAAGCACGCGAGGCACCTGAGGCAGCCGTCGGAGGACGCGCCTCAGGTGGTCATCAGCCTTAACGACCCTAGGCTTGCGCGTGCGCCGCGGGAGAGCCGTGAGATCCTGCACAGCATGCTGGCGCTGATGTATGGCGACAGCGACCTTCGCGTCAAGTTCGCCGACCCAAACGAGCCATCTGGACCAAGCGAGCCATCTGAACCAAGCGAGCCGGCAGTGGACAAGGGTGGACAGACACTAAAGCAAATGAAGAAGAAGGCAGCTGCGGGCGTGACCGTATCTGTTGTGGATAAGGAAGATGCGGCGGACAATTTGGAATCCAACGACAAGGATGAGCAGCCACGTGCCCATGATGAGTTGTAATTGTTTGTTTTTGTTTTTCGTTTTGATTTATGCACTTGTGCATTTATGTGGATACTTCCATACACTGTGAGGTTTATCTTTCCTCCCCTTTCCGCAGCACTTTCTTTTTTATTCTCCCTTGCACTCTTGCGAGCACGAGCCATACTTTTCCTTGTAAAATAGAAAATTGGAAGCAAAGGAAAATGGAGCGGATGGAAACATTCCAAAAAGCAAGAAATTAAAGGATTGTCCTTTTGGAACACTTCCAAACCCAGGAAATCAACAAATAAAAAGCAACCAACCATTTTTACTTTCATTATTTTCTTAGTTAAGACGAACAAAAAAACTATATAAACTTCAAAAAAATATAAACGTCAAAGCGTCCGCGTCCTCTTTTTTGTTATTCATCCTTTTGCTTTCGTCTATTTTTTTACATAGCATCATTACCATTTATTTTTTATTTTAAAAATATTAGTTACTTATTATGCGGCTTTCCACAGCTTTTCTTCTATTCATTTGCCTGGCATTGGCATTTGCCGTGCAAGCAACAACAATAACAACAACAGCAGCAGCAACAACGGACCTGCTGGCTGAGCGTAAGGGGTCTAGCGGCGGCAGCGGCGGCAAGGGGGTCGGCGGCTCCAGCAGCGGCAAGGGGGTCGGCGGCTCCAGCAGCGGCAAGGTAAACACTGGCACAAGCACTAGCACCAAAGGCGGAGGCGGAACCACAGGCAAAGGCACAGGCTCCCTCGGCGACAAACCCCCCAGCTACGCCTCACTCTACCCGGACCGCTCCGGCACCAGCGTCAGCGCCAGACCCGTTGGCACCGGCGACTCGTCGCGCGCATACAGTCCGCCACCGGCATACTCTGCCAACGCCAATTACATGCCGATTAATCGCGGCCAGACCCTGCCCCCCTATTCATTTTCTTCTAGTTCTCCCGCCGTGTACTATGCGTCGACGTCGCGCAGTGTGTATCCGGGTGCTTGGGGCTACGGGTTTTATCCGATTTACCCCTACCCTTACTGGGCATACGGATCGGGCTCTTGGACTGGCGGATCCTATTATACGGGCCAGTATAACCATGGACTCAACAGGTACAGCAGCGAGCTCCGCAACACCACTGTACTCAACGGTACAATATTCCACTTATCGGCGACCAGGACATATTCAACACGGATAACAAGAACATTACGTTTACGGACTTTAACAACGGCACAATTGAGATTCAGCCATGCGGCAATTGGTCCAGCTCTGATCTCCAAGTCAAAGATTCGGACTGTGGATTTATTGTTCTGGACCTGCGTAATGGCGCTGTGGTCCAGGGTAATGCCAGGGCGGAGGTGCGCGATGAGATTACGTTTTTCCAGTTAAGCCTGGGTAACAGGACGAGCACCCTGAGGACCCAGACTATTTCGAGCACGGAAAAGTCAGTGAAGGCTGGGCCGGTTGCTGGAATTGTCGTTGGAGTGGTTGCGTTCATATGTATTGTTGCCGGTGTCATTTGGTGGAGCATACGCCGGAAAAGAACTATTTAATCATTGAAGTAGACTGCGCTTCATTTTGTAAATTAGTGATATTTATTTTTGATACCTTTTTTATTATCTTTAACATAAATACAAGTGTCCCTTTTGCAGACGCCAGTGTTGGTGAGGCAATGCGGCTTGTTTGTGACGTGGCTATTATTGCACAGTGGGCATGGCACCGCAAAAAGGTCAAGCAGGATTAGTAATTGTGAATGTTTCAAACAATTATTTGTTTTTGGTTTATAAATTAATTATCACAATTAGTGTACAAGTGCAGAATTAGAAATATTGAAAATGAATAATAAACAAGAAATATAACAAATATAGCATCACACCATACTCTTTGGCTCTTAGCTCTCTTCAGCTTGTATTCGGTATCAATTATACATGCGATTTGTCGACACAGTCACTATTTTCCCCAGATCATGTCTACAACAAGGACAAATGTGCACAGTCTTCTTCATCCACTGTGTCACAAACGGCAGTACTGCCAGTGGCCAATACACCGTGGCTATTGCAACTGCCATTGCGACTGTCCGCGAGCTGGCACGTGTTTGAATCTTGGTATGCACGTATTTGTAGCAGTTTGGGCACTGAAGCTCGACCGGAACATCCTTCAGCTTGATATACGTGTCTGACGAAATACGAGGGCTGTTATGCGTATCTGTCAGGTACCATGTATCCAAGACTTGACACGTATGGAAATTGTCTGTCTTTATTACCGGTGGTGCTGGTATGGTTTCTCTGTGTGTTGGGTTCTGGGCACAGTGTTGTTGTGGCACATTGTTAAAAGTGTTGTTATAAGAGTAGCATTTTGCGCGTGCGAATACAGTTTGTTTGCGTTGCCATGGTAGCTTGGCATGTTGTACATGGCTGTGGGGGACATGGTCATAAATTAAGACAGTGAAGGACAATACAACAGATTCTTGGTTTATGGGTTTTTTTAACTTGCCACTTGAAACTAGATGTGCAACTAAAGGAGAAAAGTATGATTACATGGCGACAACAAAAAAAGAAGAGAAGGAATAGCAAATATGAGGGGAGTTTGCGCTGTTTAAATAATTTTTAGCCACCCATTTCTTTTTTGTCAAATAAACATTTAAATTGCAGCTCTTGTCAATAAACATATCAGCGAGAAAGCAAGTGATAAAGAGAAAATAAAAGGCATAGAGCTGAAATAAATTCCATGTGATACATTATCTGTCACGGTTTTCTAGATTTTTCTAAATTATGTTGTAAGTGAAACAAATATTGTTAGTACAAAAATTGAGCACCACGCCTTTGGTTTTTTATGTCATTTGTTTTGCATTCATCCACGCAGCTACGTGGGCAAAAACGTAGATGTGTACATCAAATGTGTGTGTCCACATGTGCTTTTTAGCAATATTCTTTTTATCCATTGAAACAAAATATAAAGAAGTATTTCCAAAAGAAATAAAAAGCTAAAATAAGCCCACAGTCAGTGAAAATGCGTGCATGTCAGCAGCCCATCTCTGACAATGAAAGTGAGCATACGCCCCGCAGACCCAACATATTTTTATTAGAATTCCGTTGCATTTATGAGAAATACCCCCAGTGTATATTAAGAAATACATGTTAATTTATTTGCAAATAGTATGAATTGGGGAATTTTGGGTTTAGGCAAACGGTGATTATGGGGTCTCTGCCACGAAGCCACCATGGTGTACTTTCAGGCGGCGCGCAAATGATGTCTTTTACGCTTTTATCAATGTCAGCCTGTACTCCGACGCTTCTGCCTGCTTTTTTGTAAAAAGTTGTAGTTGTACGTGCTGGGCGAGTGAAGATGGCTATTGGGAATGCATCGAGTGGACAAGGCGACTCAGCCCAGACTTGTCTTCCCGAACGCTTGCTTTGGCGAGCCAGTTGATATTATTTACCAGAACAATTATCACTGGCAAAATGCTTTTACAGGCTGTTTTTTATTAACGGGTAAAACGCGTTTGAAGTATATTTATGGATAGTTGCCATGTTGGCTTTACTTTGCCCCATTTATTCGTGTATTCGATAAAGATATGTCCTCCAACACAAACAAGTAGGGTTAAAATGGTTAGCTTTATGTGAAAACCTCGAGCAATGTTGCAAGCGACTAAAGTATATCAAATTGTATGCCATTGGGAATAGGTATTGGTTCATTTTATATTAGTACGATTAATTATACAAAGTTGGTGTTGTTGCAGGTTTCCTCCGATTGTTAATACTTTGAACTTTCAAAAACACTGTCGTTTGTATTTAAGCATTTAAAAAATAATCAGTAGCTGCTATCTCTATGCAGATATGAAGTTTGCACATGTTGCAAGGATTCATATTTCGTAATTACGAAATTTTTCATACAAATCTCCAGGTTCCCCGCGCCCATTATTACTATCCTGTCTTTTTTCCTTTCTTTCTATGGACCTCTGGTTACTGCATTTCCAGTGCGTTACCTGGACCTGCGACACCAGCCACTGGTCGAAAGACACGAGCAGCTCAGACATTCTCCAGCGATCATACTGCGCTCTTTTCTGTGGATCGCCAATAACATCATATGCCCGGCGAATATCGTACCACTGCGAGTCACCCGTCACCCTGTCTGGATGATGCTGTAGTGCCAACTGCTTGTACTCTTGGTGTATTTGCTCTTGAGTAGACTGTGGGAAGCAGCGCAAAATGTCGTAGTAGTCGGGGATTTGTGCCTGTGCGTTGGGCTGACTTTGCTGTGTATTTGTGTTCATTTACTTTGTAAATAAAATTTTAAAAATAGTATGGATAATTGGCATATCTTTTGTTTAGGGTATAGAGAGCAAAATAAAACTGCGCGCCCATTTGTTTTTGCTGATTTGTCGCCAATTTTCACATGGCCTAGAAGCCATGGGGGAGGGAAAAAGTGGTTGTATCAGTGGTGCTATGAATGATTCCACGCTGATTGTTCCTTAAACACAAATCGGGGTATAATTTTCTTTTTTTCTTCTCATAAGAATTCTGACAGCTACCAATTTCAAATTAAAAAAAACCACTTTTGATCATGCGTGTAAGCCAATGAAAAACTTGTATGTTATTGATGCAATGATTAAACATTGGCTGGCCTTGCCCCGGACACCAATCTCCCCACAAAGCAGCAGTGTGCTAAGAAATCCTGGTGCGGATTACTGTAGTACTCACGAGCAGCAAGCAAAAAGCAAAAAAAGACAGTCGTACTTTTTCTTTTCTCTCATTTTTTATTTCTATTTTATTTATTACATACAATGATAAACGTTACGCCAATATACGGAGTGATCATTGCTGTGCGGTAGTCCTGCTTGTGTTCACCAGTTGGTATCGACGCAGACAAATAGCCATACAGCAGGCGCAGTTCCAAGATAACATGGCCACGGGAGCACTGAGCGCGGACCACACATACAGCATGAACTCTGCTGGCGTGCGCCCGCCCATGGCCGCTCACTTCAACAACCTGCAGACTGAAGAAGACAAAATAGAGTATCTGCCGCCCTACCAACCACCAGTCAAACCGCTGACCACAGAGCCACCGGCATACACAGAAGACATTGGGTCCAGTTCCCTGACAGCGCCGCCAAGGGTCGCTAATGTATAATAACAGACGAAACTAGACTAAGCTGGCCAACTTTATGTTATTGTTGTCGATGTTGTCGTCGCTGTTGTTGTCGCTGTTGTTGTCGTGGGGCTTGGCTTTGTAGGCGGATGTTCCGAAAATAATTCCGATGAGGATTCCGGCCGATATCCAAACAAAGGCGCAACTGAATCCGTGGTCCATGGTTTGCTCATCCATTGGTAGCAACGGGGTGTCCGCTAACAAGAGCTCACTGCGGCCCAGACTAGTGTTGGAAAAGGCAGACGCAGGAGAAAACTGGCAGCAAATAGGGCACAAGTAAGGGCGGCGAACATTGTTGTATATTTTTCTATAAGCCTGAGATAAGGGGGTGATGAATAGGATGTGAGGCGAGGGCAATACTTTGTATATTAAACAGTTTAGAGAAGAAAGTCACTGCTATTAGCAAACGACCTCTACTATTTTATTTATACTTATTCTGTTAATACAATGTGTGAAAGCAAGAGATACCGTGTGCAGTTACTTGGTACACACATTGCGCACTACACGAGTCTCGACAGTGGAGGTCATCTATTTTTGGTCGCTGTAGTTGAAATAACTGAAAAATTTGCGAACATGTAAACAAAGGCGAGTTTTCGACAGACATTGTTGTTCGTTGTTAGTTGACTGATATTGTCAGCGCATATTGTTATTTGTTGCTTTTGGACTCTTCCAACTACTGCTTAATACTGTTTTGGGAACTTTTTCATTCACACTGTGGCGCAGATGGGTGTAACCAGCCACGTTGCAAATCAACCACAATGTAGTAATTTTTCTTGCGATATGGACGGGATATTCCCACAAGCATCAAAATGCAAAATTTGTTTTATTACTTAAATCAACTTTTTTTATAGTACACGCTGTTCAAGCAAAACATTTACAATTACAATATAATACATATTATTTCTTTACAGCAATATTTAAAATGACACAGCCCCTGGCATCCAGCGGTGCATGCTGGTACAATGGTGCATGTCAGCACAACTCTTCAGCGAAGCAAAGTTTCGACAGGAAATCAGGCGCATTTACAGGGACAATGAGGTCGAAATGCAAGAGATAATTGAATCAATTAACAACAGCCTCGCAACGTACTCGCTAGAATTGCGCAGCATTATGGACCAGATTACGGGTGAGCGCATGTGGGCATTGTCAAACACCACCGCGGATTCCATCTCCATTGCGGCCACTCCGTATTCGTCAAATGAGCTGCCTATCCTTAAATCGCTGGTCGAAGAAATATACACAGAGAGGGCAGGTAACTACGCATTGTCATTGCATTCTGCGCTTAAGTATGCGACGGAAAAGGGCCCCACAGGGTTTACAAAAACCAATGCCGAGGCCCTGATTTCAAGGTTTTGTCAGGATGGCTGGCTCTCGCGTGACAACAGCGGGTATATTGTTTTGGGCGCCCGAGCGGCTATCGAGCTGCGCTCGTTTCTTGCAGATGGGTTTGGTGATTACCAGAGGCAGTGCGCCTTGTGCTCGGAGTCTGCCACTAGGGGGATTGTTTGCCCGGAGTGCTCGGCTGTGGTGCATCCGTATTGCGCAGAACGTATTGCTTCTTCTGTAGACGGAAATCAGTTGTCGTGCCCTGGCTGCCATCAGCAAATGGTCAGACCAAGGCGGTTTGGGCCGGAGAAGCTGGTGTCCCGCATGTGTTTGAGGCGACGCAGGCGGATTCGGTAAATTTGACTCAGCAGGGAAGAAAACGTGTCATGGAAGACTCTGAGGACGAAGACGATGAGTAATTATTAAGGCGCTTTTGCTTTTTACTGTGCGTCGTGGAAATTTTTGCGACCACGTTTCGACTTTCGCATTTTTGTGCTGACCAATAGCAAATAACAAACAAAAGAAGTATCACACCGCCCATTATTAAGCCAAAAACAGCATATGAAAAGGGCCCAATCTTTTTATCAGTATCGGCACGTTTGGTGAAGTGCGACAGTGCCCAATGTGTAGAGGGTCCGGTTTTGTCTGGATTTGCGCCTGTGGAGCTCCCAGAGCAGCCAAAAGAAGGCAGTTTATAACAGCGCACATGGCTGTTGCAGATAAAATTGAAGTTGATGCATGGTAGCTATAAAAACTTAAGGTTATAAATGTTACAAATTAAATATGGATAGAAAATGAACGGATGGATGAATGAAAATGTGTATGATGTGCATGTAAAATAATAAATGTACTTATGCTTGTTTTATAAGTGGCAACTAACCTTGTCGAGACACCGCACTTTTTTATTTATTTTTTTTGTTGCAAGCGAATATTTGAATAGAAAACCTTCAACCGCCTTTACTCCCTTTTCATTTTGCATTCTTTCATTGTTAATTTTGCAGCCCATAGCCAAATACAAAATTTATTTTATAAAATATAAATAATACATGTGAGTTTATAACCACATGCTCATTCTGTCATTAGGCTGATGTATTAAATACAATAATTGTTTAGTTGATGCAGTAGATATGCAGCAATTTTTTTTGCATTTTGTTTGACTTGGATTGCCAATTCCTTTATAGCAGCGCCAAGATAAAGAAAGTGTGCGCATCACAGGAGGGACAGCATGCACTTTGCACATTTTATAAAGAAACGTGCGTCTACTGAAAACGCTGTCTATCTAATTTGTTTTTGCTTGGTATGACAGAATGTAAAAAAACTTGACTCAAAAAATATATTAGAAAAGAAAACATGTCGCAGCGAAAAAAGGGCTATCAAATGAATGGTCGAAGTACATGAATTTTTCACTCCGACCACTTCCACATGGTTCCAGGACCTTTAGTTGATGGTTCAAAGTACAATGTATTTTATAGTAGGGAAAAATAAAATAATAAATAGTAAAAATAGCAAGTATAGCAACTAATGAAAAGTATTTAAAAAATATTTACAATTCATGTTTGCAAAGAATACAAAGCCTTTTTTTTTAAAAAAATTGCTAATAAGACAGCGCCATCATTGTATATTTAGTGCAAAATTAAAGCAAAACTAACAAAAGCAGCGCTAGTTGGGATCTGCACTTTAAAAAGTGTACTAAAAGAAAAATGGTAACGGTGACAACCATCCAGTGGTGGTTCCGTAGCCCAGCTCGCACTAGCCCCACATTGTTGTGGACATGCACATAATAATGTTTTAATGTATCTTGTATACTAATGCAAGGATGTGTGTAGGCGCAACGTCAATTTATCCATTTATTTTGAAGGGAATTGATACATACACTTGATTGTCCAGATAATAGAGCATTATACGATATTACAGGGTTACTTACGCGTTTTTGCAACGCAGTAAAATGCGCTGAATATGGATGCTATAACTAGCAGGTCAATCACCACAAAAACAGCAATGTGTATTGATTTCGGTGTGATTGCGCTGTCCTGTCTTTTAAACTTGTCCGACAACAACGCACTTGCGATTCAATCGAATTGTAGGCTGAGATAAAAACTGGAGCTCCTTGAACACTTGTGAAATACAAACTGGAAAGTAGGGCGTATAATACTGTCAATTGAAGAAAACAAACCAAATACATGTCTAAAATATATTACAAAATATATGCAAAGGAAATACAATTGATGAATAAAACTAGCAATACTATTCTCGACTATTCTATCGAATGTATGTTCTCTTGGATTTACTATTACATTAGCAAACCATTCTTTGTTATTGCTTTTCTTGGAGGCATGGATAAAACCAAGCTTTTTTCCATTGTAAAAATCACTTTTTTACGTCGCATTACCCGAATTTAAAAAAAAACAGCAATGCGTACTGGACCAATAGCAGAGCTCAATCTTTTACTTGGTTGGGGAAACAAATACAGCGAGCTTGAATATAATTGTCTGGAAAGCAGCCTACAAAGAAAACTAAAAGCGCTGCCTACAAAGCTTTAGAAAATATATCACCTGCGCTTTTCTGTTATTTTATTGAAGCTTTGAGTTTTAGCATTCTGTGTTTCATCAGGCAGCGCTTGGGGAGTTTTTTTACGGAGCATATTTTTTTGGGGATAAAAGGGAGTAATCGTTTTACTGGCAGTCATCTATTCAAGTTTTTTCTTTTCAATAATTGGCGTGTCTTGTTTTAAAGCAACTCGCTCAAAACTATACGATTTTAGTGATATATATTTTCACTGCTCAGTAATGCGCTCATAGTTTTTTCTTCAAAATTACAAGCAGCAAGTTGTGCGCTGCTTTTTTGCACATTGTGCGTTGTTGGCCGCTGGGTTTTGGGTGTTTGCATCATTCCTGCTTTTCCTTTTAATTAGCACACATCTTTCATTGTAACGCAAAAAATATTAATGAGTACGCTTTCCATAGAGTAATTTAAAAGGATTCTTTGCTTCTTTTGTTTTTATTTATTTTAAAAAGGACAGTGTTTGCAGTCTTGCACGTTGTACGTGCCTTTTTATTAAGGCTTTCACTTGCTCGCATTGTCTGCTCGTTTATATATATTTTTGTTTCGATTCAAACAATAGGCGACTAGTGATAGTTGTGACCATGGAAAAAAGAGGTTTATATAGATGAAAATCCCACTTTTATTTTCAATCTCTACTCCCTACTTGCATATTTATTTCATCTATTCTTGCATCTATTCCAACTTTAATCTTTTTACCATATCTAAATATCATTTATACTTAATATGATAGGAAACCCTGCAAACCTGGTCAAAAACATGGCGGTAACCTGCGTGTAAGCAAGTCTACTCCAAGAAACAAGCCAGCGTTACGGGCATACAAAGAGACAACTTTTACAAAATATTTGCCCGGTATACGACCTTCGACAACGGCAAGCTTCATCTAAACTATCAGTACGTCAAGACAAACATTTTAAACATGATGACTGGAACGGTTTACTTCAATACATCCGCGGCTACCACCTAGAGACCCTCATTTTGATATGGCGGTCATTCATTATCTAGAACAAAAAACCGCAAACTTTAAGACCAAGTATGGCTACGGTTTGCTGCTGTTTTTGATCAAGCTGTACAAGGCCGAAGAAGGAGCAAGCTCAATACAGCAAATTAACAACAGGGTCATGAACACAAGAATCAAGTACTCTCTGCCATTTACAAACCTCCACGAGACTGGCTACCTCATCAACTACAGCAATATCAGGGGAAAATCCAAGCTACCCGAGAAAGGTATAAGTGCCGCTTTTGTTGGCATAAAAACAAATCTTTGCAAAAAAAACCTCATCATTATTAAGGCTCTGCTGCGGTTTTCCATTGACAGAGATATATTTTTGTCACAGTCCTCCATCGACAACGAAGATATTGACGAGCCCTTGCTGGAGGTCGAAAAATGGATGATTGCCATGATTCGTCAACACGGACAAAATATGGTCACATATTTGGATGAGTGTAGCAGTACTTTGGTTAGTTCATTCCTAATCGAGCTATGTACAAGGGGACTGAGCAACGAGGCAGACACGTTTTCATCCATGCCCACCTTTGACATGACGTGCTCTATTTTGAAATGCATGACCGACATTGTCACTAATTTGCCGATAATATTAGTAAGCAAGACGTGTTTGTCAAAGTGTACAACGACGCCAAGGACAACCTATACATGCTGAACAAAGAAACTCGTCAATCTACATATAGCAAATCCTCAACTTAAGCTCTTCTTCAGATACAAGTCCTTCGAGTGGTTATGGAGCAGATCAACATGCAGCCAAAGCACTGTCCACCCCCAAGTAGAAGTCATTCGTCTGCGCAGGACAACTTTTTCTTTGATATTGTCAACCCATTTTTATCTGAGCCCGAGCCGTCATATTACTCGCATATTATGTAGTTTATGCAAATATTTGTATGTTTCCAGCTTATTGTTGGCTCTACCAAAAAATTACAAGCAGCATGTTAGCCGTAATTTGCAGGTTTAAATCGCTGTGCTGGTATGCTTAATTACTTTATTTTATGCACTGCAGTGTTTCCTTATTTGTTAATTATTTTCTAAACATCAATGAAATTCAAGTTTATGTCAAGCTTCTAGCTTTTTTAATGAGCACTGTATTCTACTAATACATTGTGTGGTTTGAAAGTAATTTTCAAGGCATTTTTTAAAATTAGATATACTGGAATACTAATAAAAATATGTTGAGAAAATGTTTTGTTGATGTCTTTAGTACATAAACTCAGCTTTGTGAGTAAAGTATTTGAAAATTGAATGTTGCACGTTGTCTTTGGTTTGCTTAATGTGTTTTTAATTGAAATATTTTGCTTAAAAATGTAGAAAAGTAAGTAGGTACATCCAAGGAAGTAGATGCAACATAAAAAAGGCATTTTACTAAATCATTTTTTCATAACGCATGGTGGCAAATTGTTGCAAATTTAGGTATAAAAACAGCCAGTTAATCATACCATATTAACTAAGTCCTTATTATTCAACATCCTGTTTTACTTGTATATCAATTAACCACCTCAATTTTTAACAATGATAAACCATTGTACTACAAACCCTAATCAACCTCCTAAAGATAGATGCTATATGTTAAATTGTTCAAATGAAAAATACGGCCTATATTATTACTGTTATAATTGTTTAATTTTTCTCCGTATATACTTATAGGAGGAAAATGATAAATATATGCAAAGCATATTAACTTTTAAGCAATGTTATAGAGATAAATATATCAATGTGCACCAACCAGCATAATAATTTAGTTATACAGGTAGAAATGGACATATAAATAACATTGCCAAACTAAATTGCAATTGTAGATTGCTAGAGTTGATCAGAATACTAAGCGATCAACTTTGTTCATAATTTTTTTTACGTTCCAAGATTATAAAAAATAAACTTTCATAAAATAAACCTTGTAACTATATGTGCTCAAATTAAGCAAAAGTTATTAATCCAACCAGATATTGTGGTTGGAAGACAAAATAAAAGTATGTTTATATTTATTGTTGTTTAAATATAATTTGTGATGGTAAGTTATTGGCTGATGGCGATCAACTGATTAACCAGGCTTGGCTATTCCAGTCAAATACACAATTATCAATAAGTCACAGTGACCAAAGTAATATGTTCTTCACTTTTATACATAGTATTTTATCTCCACACGTTCACAGAACGTCTCTCCAGAATCCAACAGATATATAAGCCTGCACCCTCTTTTCCACAGGCTGCAAACTCTTTATATTCGTAACTACAGACGCTTTGAAAAAGGTATGTTGCAAGAAAGCTGAGGCAATTGCTTGTGCAAATCAGCTCATTAACTGCATGTCGTATTCCTTTCGGTATATTGGATGAGATGGTTGGCTATTTAGATGAGGACTATAGTAAAGCCTATCCTCATACAAAGTCACTTTTCATAGCTGAAGCCTCAATCGACAGATAACCAAAAAACGCCAAATAATAATTTAGGCGTGTTCATAATGCAGTTGGCCAGAGATACTGTACCCCTTGGTTCTGTTTCCAAATTGTTGCATCTTTTTCTGTGTAGTTAATAAAATCACCCCATTTAATAATTCTAGATTATTATCAAGTTAATTAAAAATTAATTTGAATACGTAAACACAGGAGCAACCAATAACAACAGTATTTGTCATGCATTAATCCGGATTTGTTTATACGGCACAACTGACAAACATGAGAAATGTAGAGAACAATGCATGTCGCGGGTATTGAACATTGTTCAATTAATCCGGAAAATAACAACTTGAATTGCGTGTTGATTGTTTGACCATGCGGAGCGGAGAAAATGGATAGACAAGATTTGACATAATGTGTGAATATAAACAAAAGTTTCTTTTTATGAATAACAATGATGCATATCGCAATAACATTATTTTATTTTTCTATTGAACAATTTTTCAAACAAAAGTAAAATAAAAAGCAACAAAATTTCCACTATTTATTATCCCTTTTCTTCCAATTTCTTATTACATAAAATATTATTTTCTCTCTCTCTCTATACATTTATACAGTCAGCTATTTATGTATATCTTTTTTGTAACATATGTGCATTAACCAGAATCGCAGAGCTTTGAATTGAATACCACGATGCCTCCCAAGCGCTGGCCAGATGTCCGCGATGCAATTTTGAATTCACTGGGTTTGATGATATCGAAAGACACTTACATTTTTGCTCCACGTACATTCACCCTTTTGACAAAATCACAAAAACAATAGTGTTTCTTTTTCCCTTATCTTTTCCATATAAAATATTTCATAAATTGAATAAAATGAACAAATGAACAAATAAGAATGTGTTTATAAAAATTAAAAACATCCTGTTATATAATCACCACCATTAGAGCATTTGCCACGCTGAATACATCCTTTTTTGTTTTCTGTTTTTGCCGGAGCATTCAATCAGAAATAATAGCTAAACCAAAGAAATAGGATTATTATTGCTATGCCGTGAGCAGCTATTCCTCCGACTGCGTCTCTGGATAGCACAATGTGGTGCGAAGAGTTGCCTGTTGAATTGTCCATCAAGAAATATATATATATATACATATATGTTTTGTGTGAATTTTTTAACCAATGGTATTTTGAATATTTGGTGATCAAATAAAGAAAAGGAAGAAGAGAGAAATATATAATAATGAATTTGTTTGCTATTTGTTTATAAAAACTGATAGAAAAGAACATATATGTGAAAATCCACTATAGTGGATTTTTACACCCACATATTTATATCGCTTGATTCACCAATTGTATGTATTTATAAAGAAAAATTATTAAGAATAATCATAAAGACCCTTTGGTGCTTCTGGCGTCGACGACCCAGTATCCGCACAGGTTTTCCCACGCTCACCACACCACTACCACATCCACTGCAATCCTCACTCTCCTCCCTGTTAGCAACATGCGGGCTGATCAAAAACTCCAGCGGTGAAATCCGATCAAGCTGATCCATAGTCCTAGGCGTCGGCGGATTAAACTTATACTTTCCACCGCTCCCACTATCCTTTCTTTCCACACGTCCATCCACATTAGCCTTGACCATAGGGCCGACCCGCTGTCTGATAAGCTGCTCGCCCTCGCGCATTTTTTTATGAAAGGTATCTGCTGACTCGCTAATCACACTGGTATGATCTATACGGTTCTCGCCGCCAAAGCTTGCTGCTGCTGCTGCTGCTCGTTAACAACTGGGCGTCTAGTCTTGCTGAATTCTGGGTATATATGCGGACCTAGCTCATTAACCAGCTCCGTAATATCGTTCGACAATTCGTCCCGCTGAGCCACCAGCAGCTCTGTGTGCTCGGCACCCAAATCAGGGTCAAAAACAGCGGGCGCACAGACTTGACAATGTCAATCGCCTGCTCGCCAAACACCAGCGCAGTGTAGCTCATGAATGACGCCAAGGCCCAGCTGCACAGGTAAATCGACCAGCTGCGCCATGTCACCACCGATGCCAAAGCCGGCACGAGCGCGACCAGCTCAGAAGCATATCGGCGCACGAATACCACAGCAACACGGAGTACACAGTGTACAGCAGGGGGACAAGCCCCAGGGCAATGAGCACTTTCCAGGTGGCAATGACGTCGCGCGCGCGCACCTTGACGGTGGACGCAGCCAGCGCCGCCCGCGCCTTGCGCTTGCTGGCAACGCCGGTGATGACAAACACCGGGATATTCAGCACGGTGCCGGGCAGCGCGACCAGGCCCATGATGAGCAGCCAGAGGAGCCGCCAAAGGAACAGCGCGCCGGCATGTGTCGGCCAACCTGCATGGTGTCCACCTGGTGGTCGCGGATCCCATAGTAGCGCAGCTGCGTGTTATAGTCATCGATGCGCTCGCGGATCTCCTTGACCTCGGGCAAGTCGCGGTACACATTGTACCCCTTGATGAAGCGCCGGGTGAGCTCCACCTGCTGCGCCATCGTCAGCGAGTGCTGTGTTGGCTTGTACAGGCGGCGGCCGGCTTGGATCAGCCGCAGGGTTTCGAGATCCGGCGTGTTAAGCGTCACTTGCTTCAGCCCCTCAGTGACCGTGGCCAGGAGCTCATCGCAGGCCTGGCGCTTGGCCTCGCCGCCCATGCGGTACTTCTCTACCAGGTCCATCGGCACATCGATCGGCTGGCCAAAGTCAATCACCGCGCGGGAGCGGAACTTGCTCGGGTGGAAGTAGTTGAGCCCAGTGGGCACGATCTTCAGCCCCAGGTCCGGGTTCGCCGCTGTGGCGCCCAGCGCCATGATCGTGGCGCCAGCCTTCAGCGGGAGCATCTCCGTGCGATCGTGCGACCCGCCCTCGGGGAAAATTCCAATACACTCGCCGCGGTTCAAACTGGCATACACCGCGTTAAACATCTCGTCCTGGTTCACATGCGGGATGACCTTGTACGCGGTGCCCTCAGAGTGCGTCAGCGCCTCGATCGCCGCCAAATCCTTCATCTCCTTATCCACCCGCAGCTGCGTGTCCGATAGGATCTCGTCGACGCGCGCTTGGCCAGCGCTCTTGGGGAGGGCGATTTTCATTCCGACTTTGAGCTCGCGCGTGAACTGCGTGTTGATGCCAGAGATAAGCGTGGGCGAGGCGTAGCGGTCCTCAAGCTTGATTTTGCCCGACCCAGGCTTGGCCAGATCCTGCTGCCGCTCGACTGGGATACCGCGGAATCCGCGCGAGTAGAACCCAATAAACTTGCGACGCATCGATGCCGCTGCCACGAGAAAGTACACTCTCCGGGCGGCGTGCATCAGCAGAATAACCGGGTCGATAAACTAAAGTGAGAAATGCAAAACAAATAATTTTTGGAATGTTATTTGGGGTTTTCTGTTTTTAGTTTAAAATTTGCATTGTGCTTAAATTTGCAAAATAAAAAACATTGTTGCTGCATACCTGGTTGTGGTGCGGTGCCACAATAAACATGACAGGGCCTGTTTTTGGAATCAAATGCGCGTTACGCCCGGCCACTTCTCTGAAAAACAGGCCGACTACGTGCGTCCAAAACGTGCGGAACAGGTCGTAGACAAAATACGACCCGCCAGAGTCAGCAGCGCCACCGCTCGCCTTTTTTCCTGGTGTTTTCAAAGGCATAATTACTAACGAAGAATAAGATATAAATTAGAATAATAAAATGGCAGTAAAAAAATAACGGGAGGAAAAGAAGAAAAAGCAAGAACGCAAAATAAAATTGATAGTCACAAGTGCGAAACAAAATAATTGTTGGAAATTGGTTCCAACTTTTTTTTTTACCCTGCAGCCTCCTGATTGAACACCAGCGCCTCATGCATGCATGCTAGGACAAGGGGAGCAAAGGGAAATATTTAGAAATAGTATTTCAAAATTTTTTGATCCACGCTTTCCACTCTCTGTCCATTTTTATTTTATTTATTTTCTCAGTGAAAATGTATGATAGCAGGAAAAATTAAAAGGCTCGCAAATAAAAATAGAATACTGTTATCATTCCATTTTTTCATTAGCTCCTTCCAACTTGTATCACAGCAGCCAATCCATCAGCCCTGTTGTGCCATGGCTCTCCTCAGCACATCCATCCGCCCATTCCCAATGCCACTCCAATGCCGCCGCGACTTTGATTCCGACTGCCGTCGTTCTTGTCGGCCCAAAGACTCCATCTCGGAGCTCTCCAGTTTCTCAGCCCACCCACATCCGCCTCAAACACAAACCCAGCAGCCAATCCCACTAAATTCACCTCCACCCACCCTTATAAGCAAAATACGCAAACCATCCGCAAACCATCCACTTATCGCCAACCCTCACGACCCCCCTCCCATTAGTGCCACTAGAGTTATTGAACCATGGCAAATGAATGCTGAAAAACATGTGCGACGGCACGTGTAGCCAAAACTGCACCAAACACGCAAGCAGCACGCCACCAAGCAACCCACCATTGCCACCATTGTCACGTTCACTTTTCAATGCGGAAAAAGCAGTACGCGGCATATATATCCCATCGCTTGTGTTGTGAGAAGAGACACAAGGAGAAACGAAAAGTATTTGTGTGATCCAAAGATACGCTCCAGCGCGCGCAGCTGGTATATTAGCCCGAGCGCTGTGAGAAAATAGACGGGGGAGGGGAGAGATAGCACCGGTGGGAGGTACCGGTGCAGGTTGAATATGTTTACGCTTAGTGCCGCGGTGACCAGCGACATTAGCCATGCTTTGGTCACTGGGGCGCCCGCCAGTAGTCCTGCTGTGCTGCTTCTGCTTCTGATGTGTATGCTGCTGTTCAACATTTGAAAGAGACAAAAAGCAAATGAATTAATGAATGATGAATGCAAAAAAATATGTATATATAAATTGTGTGGAATTCAAATGTAAAGAAAAATACGAAAAAAGAAACAGCTTTTACCCTTTAAAATCCAAAAACATTCATAATCGCATATGAGTGCGTTATAGAAGGTTATGACATCATGCATTTATTATTGCTGATTTAATCCCAACTAGCCTCACAAAATCAATCAGTGGTTCACTTCAGGTTGGCCTTGGCATACTGCTCGGCGGCCTTGATGGCCTCGTCGATGCGCTGCACCTCGGTGCCGCTTCCCTGCGCGGACTCGTCCTTGCCGCCCTTCTTGCCGCCAACAATCTGGCTGACGCACTCGGCCCACTCATGCGCCTTGAGCCCGCGCGCAATCAGCGGCTTTCCGACCACGCACTGGTGCGCGACACGCGGCCCGTCGGCGGCAATAAAGTAGACGGCCTTGTTCTGCAGGCTCTTGGCATACGTGGCAACCTGCGCCATGACCTTGCCAGCAATCGGCAGCCGCAGGACAAAGACGTCCTGGTCGGGGTTCTGCTCAACGGCCTGCTGCACGAGCTCCGTCGCCTGCTTGCCCGCCAGCGCCTTGGCCGCCTTATCAGCCTCGGCAAACTTCTTGCGGATGTCGTTGAACTCGTTGAGCAAAACGTGCTTCTCGTACACGCCGATGGCCGCCGTGTCAAGCTCCTTGGCCAGACGCTTGATCTCAGCGTCCAGCTCGGCATCCGTCAGCGTGTGCAGACGTTTGACCTCGGTCTCGAGCGACTTGTGCAGTTTCTGCGCGTCAAAGGCCTCGTCGCCCGTGACCGCCGTGATGCGCCGGATGCCCTTGGCAATGCTGGTCTCCTCGACAATGGCAAACACCTTGAGCTCGCCCGTGCTGTCGACGTGCGTGCCCCCGCAGAACTCGATGGAGTAGTTGGCCCACTCGGGGTTGCTGGGCACCTTGAGCACCGCGTCAATGTCGGCGCCAATGGAAACCACGCGAACGGGGTCAGGGTACACCTCGCCAAAGACAGCGCGCAGGCCGTGGATCTGGCGCGCGTCGCTCAGGGACACTTCCTTGGAGTACACACGGTGGTTATTGAGGATGGCCTTGGTGCAGATCAGCTCAATGTCGCGGATCTCCTCAGGCTTGATCGCGTTCTTGTACGAAAAGTCGAAGCGCAGGCGGTCGGGCGCCACAAGCGAGCCGCGCTGGTCGACCTCGTCGTCCTGCAGAACCTTGCGCAGGGCGAGGTTGAGCACGTGCGTGGCCGAGTGGTTGTTGCGGATGGGCAGCCGCCGCTCGTCGTGGTCGTACTGCGCCTCGACCGCATCGCCGACGCTGATCGACCCGTACTTGAGGTAGCCGGTGTGCAGCACGTAGCCGTTGTACACCTTGACGCCCTCGACGACAAACTCGGACGACATGTCCGCAGACACGATCGACCCGGTGTCGCACTCCTGGCCACCCTGCTCGGCGTAAAAGTTGGTGCGGTCCAGCACAACGCCGACCATGGGCGCGTCGTCGGCGGTGGTGCTGGCCGACCGCGACTCGGTCTGTACAAACGCCTTGCCGTCAAAGACCGCCAGCACGGTGGCATCGACCGAGCGATCCGAGTACTTGTGCTCGTCAATGGTCTTGGCCACGCCGCGCTCGTTGAGCTGCGCAATGGTGTGCACGTCCAGCTCCACCTTGGTCACGCTGGCGCCGCCCTTCTTCTGCTTGGAGATCTCGCGCGACTGCTGGCGCGAGCGCTCAAACGCAGCCTCGTCGACGCTCAGCCCGCTCTCCTCGGCCATGATGCGCGTGAGGTCAACGGGGAAGCCGAACGTGTCGTACAGGCGCCAGACGCTAGCGCCGGGGATCAGCTTGGCGCCCTCGGGCATCTTGGCCACGGTCTGCTCGAACAGCCGCTCGCCGCGGTCCAGCGTGCGCGCAAAGCTCACCTCCTCCTCGCACAGAATTGCCTTGATGGTGTCGGTGTTCTTGCAGATCTCGGGGAACGCTTCGCCCATGTTCTCGGTGACAGTGTCCACCAACCGCGCAAAGAAGCTGCCGAGCTCGACGTTGAACTTTCTGCGCGCGTAGCGGGCGCCGCGCCGCAGGATACGCCGCAGCACGTAGCCGCGCCCGTCGTTAGACGGCACACCGCCGTCGGCGATGGCGAAAGTCAGCGTGCGGATGTGGTCGGCGATGACGCGGTACGCCATGTCGATGCCGTCCGTGTCGTCGGCGCCGACGTTGCCCGTGTATGGCCGCGCGCCAGTCAGCTCCTGGATCGTCGCAAACGTCGGCATGAAGACGTCGGTGTCGTAGTTGGACCGCTTGTCCTGCAGCACTGAACCAGGCGCTCAAGGCCCATGCCCGTATCAATGTGCTTGCTGGGCAGCGTGCGCAGCAAGCCGTCGGCCTCGCGGTTGAACTCCATAAACACAAGGTTCCAGATCTCGAGCACATCGGGGTCGTCCAGGTTCACCATCGGCCCGGCGTCGCGCCCGCCAATGCGGTCGTAGTGGATCTCGCTGCAGGGGCCACAGGGGCCGACCTCACCCATCTCCCAAAAGTTCTCCTTTGAGCCGAAGGGCAGGATGCGGCTCTCGGGGAGTCCAAGGTCGAGCCAGTACTGCTTGGCATCGGTGTCAACGGGCAGGCCGTCTGCCTCGCTGCCGCCAAAGTACGTCACGTAGAGGCGCTCGGGGTCCAGGCTGTACACGTTTGTCAGCAGATCCCACGCGTAGCCAATGGCCTCTTTCTTGAAGTAGTTGCCGAACGACCAGTTGCCCAGCATCTCGAAGAACGTGTGGTGGTACACGTCCTTTCCGACATCGTCGAGATCGTTGTGCTTGCCGCCTATAAAACAGTAGAAAAGGCGGTTGAAGAGGCGCCGCGTGACTTAGTACTTGGAAATGAAAACAGACAGCAATCAGGAAAACAATGCACGAGGATGGTTGCAGATTGGAGCAAAAACGTGAGTCACTCTGAAACGAATGATTTCGCTCTTTTTTCCAGCGCAAAAAAACAAAATTTAAAGGGCCGAGAAAAGGGGATAGAACGGCATGTATGCGTGGGCGCTGCAAACAAGACCAGAGACATCTATCTTGCGCAGATCGTACCGAGATAACAGCACCAGCAAAAAATACGTCTCGCCACTCTGCCGCTCGACGGAGGATAAAAGGACTGAAAGGCGCATTCTCCGGAAAATAAAAATAACAGATGGCTGGCGATAACAATCACCAAGGCAAACATAGGCCGGCAGCAGTATAGTCTGCCAGACATCAATGCAAAAAACAATGTAATGTTCCGCTCACATTCTTGCCAAATGGCTTTTTTGTGTAGACGGTGCAGTAAGCGATGGAATGAAAAAACAACAAGCACAGTACGGTAAAAATCCATTATTTTTGAAAAGACTTACCGGCACGGATGCACTTTTGGCTGTTGCAAGCGCGGGTGAGCTTGGCAAAGTCAGATGCAGGATCCACGGTTCCCTGGAAGATTGGCTTGTACTGGTTCATACCAGCGTTGGCAAACAGCAGGGTCGGGTCGTCGTGGGGCACCGTCGGCGATGACGGTACGAATTTATGGCCCTGCGACTCGAAGTACTCGATGAACGTATCACGGACCTTGCGTCCAGTCCACTCGGTGTTGGTCATGGTTGGAGAGGGTAGGAAGAAAAAGGTATTAAAAGCTTTGAGGAGGGGTTTTCAAAAGAAAATGATGAGGATGAGAAAAGATAAAAACAATAAAAGGGATCGGATTTTGGTTTGGATAAAAAATGAATCGCTCGTGTACACAGCTGCGTGTGCCTTTTTATACTTTGGGCGTCACTGGGCACTAAAATTTTTTGTTGCTTTCACCGCGTCTGATGGAAACTAAGCGTAGAATAAACGTGTATGATTGGATGGTCCAGCATTCTCTTTTCCTTGATGGCCAATCAGCAGCTGAAAAAATCAAATCACGATCTGTGCTGGTGGGCATTTGCGTCGCTTGGTTTGGACTGGACTGGGACGGATTTCATGCAAAAAAATGTATGCTGCGTAAGTTGCTGCGCATAAAAAATTTCGATTTTATTCTTTCTGGCATATCAGCCCAATTTTATTGTTTTAAAAAAATTGCACTGCATAATACTGTAGGGAAATATATATAGAGATCAAAAAATTCCGCCACGAATATAAAAAAACTTGTCATTATCGTTCAATCTCTTTTCTCTTCCATTATTTCTATTATTTAAATTCTATCATCCTCTGATAAATTTCGACATGAGCACGCCTTTGACATTCCAAAATCTGCCCTGGCACATTATCGAGTCGGTTATTGACTTTCATATTAGCTCTTTTAATTGTATACACAATGCTGACAAAACTCTTGCGACAGCTATTCTCCACAGCTGCCACAACTGGCGCTCCATTTTTATAAATAAAACTTGCAGCGTTGTTCAGTTAGACTTTCAAAAATCTACTTCCTTTTTATTTTCGTTTCCTAATTGGCCCAAGGCCTCAACCACCCGGATATTCTGACAGGTCGTTCTGTAAGGACCGTTGATATCAATATTGGTCTAGGAGTTCTAAACATGGACGGCGGGGTGCTTGCTCAATTCTTGCAATTACCACTCACAGACGTTGTTTTCCCAGCCGCCCTCACGCTCCGCTTTGCCGCACGCTGCGCTTGTACTTTTTTAATACGCGAGCCTATTAATCCAGCTGCTGCCATGCAGAATGTCATTGTAATCTTGCGCAAGTTTAGGCAGATGGCACTGACTATCCAGCAAGTTGAAATAGCATGGCCTGAATTCTTCTATCAGTATACCAGCGGGCAATCCGGCGAATTACTCAGTCAGATCGCAGAGGAGCTGCATCGGGGAGTAAGCGGAATTTCCATTCAGCACAATTGCAGCCTATTTTGTATTGGTACCCTAGAACCCCTTGGTCAATTGTGCCTAAATCAATTGGCGTTTGGCGAAAGCAGCAATCCCGTGTGGATTGTTGAATGCATTCAGCGGAATGCAGCATCGCTGAAAATCCTTTCTTTAGGATGTTTGGATATACAGATGGCAACCGCACTGTTACGCAATGTCCAGGAAGCCCTCATCGTTTATCAATGCTTGGAGTTTTTTGAGTTTATATGCAGAAGCTACACGGATGTATCGATTATATCGAGATTATCAGCAGCTGCGGCGGCGACGCAACCCACAGATACGACTGTCTACTTCCCCGCACTAAAATACTACAAATTCAGTGGTCCTTATCCGTTTGTTGACGATGCTCTGTTCAGAGGCAACAGCCGCACGCTAGAGAGACTGGATATCAACATCACCTCTGAGTTTATTGACATTGCAGACAAATGTTGCATTTTTACAGATAACAAATTCCCAAGCGTCCAGTAAATTGGTCTAACATATGTTGGTCCATATCTTATTACCGAGAGATACCTGGAAACGAGATTTCGGGAGTTTGTTCTTCAGATTTTACCAGCACTCGGCGCTTCAACTCGGATCCATACATTTAAGCTTTTTGCAGATGTGACAAGGATATAACGTTCAAATGTATACGGGAACTCTGTCTTGAACTGTTTGCAAGTCATAGAATTCCCACAGTGTCACTAAATTTTGCGGACATTGTTTCCATTATGCGACATGCGCCTTATATTCAAAAGCTGCGTTGCTTGCCAATAGATGTTGCTCCCAGTATCGACGGAATTGGCGACAACAAGATTTGGTGTTATGTCAATAGCATTAGCGGCACTTTTGGCAAGCATTTCCGTTGGTTGGCGCTTGACAGTAGATGCTGGATAGTGTCAATAATAGGGCTAAATCCATTGCACTTATTGCCATTGCTTGTCCGCAGTTTGCAAAATTGGATATTAATGAGTTTGTTAGAAAACATTAATAGGTTGGCGGGTTATAAATATTTATCCAGGTTTGCGGACAGTATAAAGTCGTTGGCAGTTTAGTTTTTTGTTACTTTTTATTTTTTGGATTTATATATTTACAATATTTGCATACAAGGGCTTGTTCAAAACATATTTTTTTACAATGGATAATGAATAATGAATAATAAAATCTAAATTTTGTGGTTCAATAGATAATTTTTATTAATTAGATTGTGTAGAATGACCAGCTGTGGTTGTTCATATCTTCTATGATATACCCAAATATTTTAATTTACTTTTTATATTGATACACCCAAAAAACAGCTGATACATTTATAAGAAAGTTATCAAGTGAACAGTTTGTCAATTTGCGTAATATTAATATATTAAAATAAATTAATATACATTTCCTAGTTCGAAGATTTTGACTTGCTCGAGCTGCCCGCAATGCTGCTCGAGTTGCTCACACAATCTGACCATTTTGATTCAGACATAATATCTTCAGCAATTTGGCCATCGACAAATGCGTAAGTAAAACTGGGAGCAAAGTATAGCCAACATGGCAACTGCCCACGCCATATACGTCAAATGTTTTTCTCCTTTGGTAAAAAAACAGCTGGTAAAGCACTTTGACAGCGGATAATTGTTTTAGTAAATAATATCGACCGGGTTGCCAAAGTAATCTTTGTAATCGCCGTTGACAGTGGCAGGCTCCTCAACCCAACAATAAAGCCTATTCAGCGCAGGAAGGTGCTCAAGCAAGTCCAAAATGTCTTTAAAAGACAAATTTCCCGCAAAGGTGAGCCGCTGAATGCTGCTGGTCCATGGGGCTGCTGTCTGCATGCCACTATGAAACATTTATTTTTCAAAGTTGCCGATAAGCATGAGCGTGTGTACAAACTGTGCCGAATCGAAGAGCTTGCTTGCAAATCGAGTTGCTTTGGCTTCTGGTAATACCACAGCCGCATTTCTGATCCAGTTATACAACTTTATATGGCGCAATAGCGGCAGCTTGTTTGCAAAAAAAGCCATTTTGTTCAAACCTTGTAACTGAATCAACACTAAGGCCCAACAAAAGCTACCCGAGCGTGCTGCTGATTCCTTAAACGCGTGTCGGCATGATCAAAGTAATCAAGGCAATAAATATTTAACCGTCGGAAATGCAACTGTTTGATCAGCATCAGACATGGAGAAGTGTGATTCCTATAATGCAGATGATAAGTTTTTCGAGGAGTGGATAAACGATGGCACGGCCAGAATCGTCGCTGCAAAGATCGCTAATCTTTTGGTCATCTTTCAAACGCACCTCGAGCGACTGCAGCGTGCCTGCGTTCCGACGAATGAGCTCAACAAAGCGGGTGGTCGCGTTGTGAATCCTCGTACTTTCTGTCTGTGAGCCCATCTCCCACTCTGATCCCACATCATATTGTTGCACACCGCATGACCATTTAATGGACACTTGGCTCACTGACTGGCACAAATCGATGCTGAACCTGCCCAAGAGATGGTTGTTGGCCATGTCATAACCATCTGCGTAATGTGGATCAATGCTATGGATTGCAACGCCACGCACCGCTGGAACCATCCGCTTGATATCTGGGCAAACTCGCTCGCACCAAGTTCAATAAGATTTGCGCTGACAGAACGACTATCCCTATAGCTGGGTAAAACAACCTTTAATGCAATGGCATTTGGAAAAAAACTGGGCTGGCTAGACCTGTTGATCAGATGCTTTGCTCGAGGCCATCTGCATTCGGCCAGTGCATACAACTACAACCCTTTTCACAAGATGGGTAATCCGAAGCGTCGGAGTACAGGCTAACTTAGGCTAGCGTTTAAAGGACATATCGCTCACTGTACCATCAAAAAGCACTCCATGGTGACTTCACGCCAGAGACCTTCCAAAATGACCGCTCGCCAAATATCGCTACACTGCATAAGAGCACCAGCTGCCATATCCTCGCTTTTTCATTAATGTCACCAATATAAATAACATTGGCAAGGTTGAAAAGATACTTGACAATTGAATTGACAACCTCACGAGGAAGAACTTGAAATTATGACAAGTTGGAATTGGAATACATTTTTTAGAAAAAAATTAATAGAGGAAAGATAACCCAATGCCAAAACGTGCAAGGAAAATTTCTGATTTGCACCTAAAAGGCATGGTAATCCATGACAACCAGGCAATATCGTTTTTTGCTACATTTGATTTAATTTCACTAGATCAATTGCACGTCAGCCAATAAAGTAGATACATGCATAGAAGTGGTGCTATCCTCAACCAAAAATGTGGCTGTAGTTTCGGTGGTTGTACATGTTTCGGTAAGCCTCCGTCGCATAACCGCTTCCTATACTGTGGTATTGGTTGTATTGGTCGTGTAGTGCTGTATTCCAGTTTCATAGTCACCAAAGAATTCTGAAATCACTGGGTATGCAGGACCGTAATTGGCAATAGTCATTTTCTTTCCAGTGTATGATCCAGGTGGGCCCTTGATAGAAATTCGCCACAGTTGTTGTAGAACTCGCGATTGCCAACCGCATTAACCCAAGTCCAAGCAAAAATGGCGTTGCTGGTTCCAGGAAGACCCGCGGGCAGAGTAAATGTGTACGCGCGAACAGCATCGACGCCTCCAGCTTTGGGCGCAGCCGTGTAAAAGCAATAACGTAGTACCTGGTGAACCACAACATATGTGCTGCCGCCATCATATGACAACGAAAATTCGCAATGACCGCCACTATGAGTGGCCCCACCAGAATTAAACAAAACAGTAACCGGCTGACCAGCGGCCCATGTCTCTGTGGCTTGGGGCCACGGCGTGGTATGCTTGCATAAGGGTTCCAAGATCTGCCATTACTACCAATGGCACTGTTCAGATCGTAGTCAATGATTTTGCCAGTGGGAAGTGCTGGTTTGGTAGCACACTTGGAGGAATAGCGGGGGCAGGGCGCAACCAGCTCCATATGGCCAAGTGCGGCGGCTGCAGCAATGGCAAGCACTAAAATAAATTTTGGTAGCATGTTTAGTTGTTGAGATTTAGTATTCAGAGTTTAAAACAAGTCTGGAAATAAGATAGGTAGATATTGTAAATATATATATATATGTGAATAAAAAGTTAAAAATTAAAAGTGCAATGCATTACAGTTGTTTAATAAATAAATACATACAAATAGTTGAGCGTATTTTATTAAAAATGCAAATGTCAAATTCCTCAGTCATTGCTAGTCGCAACAAACCAATCAGTGTCACTTGTACGCATATTTATTATATAAAGTTTAAAAATGTAAAAATTTTGTATATCTACGGACATATGCACACACTGGTGAATCCCATTTCGGCCCGTATAGACAGGCGTGAATAGCGGCTAATTATATACCTTTTCTAACACGTAAAAATCATTCACCTTTTTATACTACAATTTTCCAGTGTTAGTTTCACGTGTTAATTCGAATTTTCTTTTGCATTGATACTTTATTTGCAAATGCATTAAGAATTGCATATACTAACAGACACTGCATGCAAAATTTTTTTTGTCAGCACAATACGCCCAAACTGTATATCCGTTCAAATCACATGCGCTTTTGGTAAAATTTAATAAACGTACGTCACTTGGTCCAAATTTGCCGGACACACTGTACGAGTTGTAATACCATATGGCAGGCCACCCAAAATAAACGACCAGTATCCATTCAGCTGGGCAACTCCAGCAATAGTGTAATTGGAGCTTGTTACGTCGTCATAATATTTGGATGAAAGCGCATCGAGCATTGTGTCTGTGTCCGTGTTCCCCTGGCCAGCAACCCAGTACAGTGGGCTAATTCTGGGGGCTTTCTTTTTAATTGTTCATCGATTTTGCGTGGCTCGCCAACAAAATAATGACCCAGCGCATCCATGAGCTTGACTTGCTCTTTGGCTTCGTCGCTCAGTGCCTTGTGTACAGCCAATGGTCTGCGGCCGGCTTTGACGCGCTCCGTGTTGATAGAGCATAGGATACGCGGGAGGTTTACGCCGTTTACAATACTTTCTGGTACATAAGGAGTGGCATAAGTCGGGCATGTATCGATAACCTGTGGGACCTGACTCACCCGTTGGCCAAAACTATGGTGTATATCCCGTTAGCATAATACAGGCCAATGGCGTCCAGAGATGAGATAATTAGCTTGTTATAGATCCTTGACACAATGGCATTGATGTAAGCATCGTCCGAAGTGTACCGGTACATGACTTGATAGCTCGCCGATACGGTCGAGCCCAGGGGTGCAATCATGTTGTTGTAAAGTATGTCAAAGTTGGACGACAAATTGCATTGTTGTTGTAGTTTTGATGAAGAAGCTCGGCTACACCCGAAAGGGTGCCATGGAGGAATACGGGGTCAAAGCCCTGGGTATCACGGACAATGTTATCCGACAAAGGATTTCCTTAATGTTTCCCTGGTTTGCTGCTCGGACAGGCGGGGGTGATTTGGAGCTATCTAGCGAGTCCAAAGAACCGAAGGCGCGGTGGCAGCGGATGCCAGGAGCGCTAGCCCGAGAGATGCAAAAAATCGAATTGCAAATTTCATGGTAAAATAACAAACAAATACGCTATTTTAATAATAAGAGTAAAACTAAAAAGGTTTTCAACCATTACCAAATAAAAAAGTTGTGGTAAAACGTTTTTTATAGCTACGCATAATTATGCAGTAAAAACAAGCAATGTTTGATGTCTATAAAGTAGACAGTTAGCAAGATATTATTGAAACTGTGGATATATTAATTAATATTATTCTGCAAGGCGTGGTGCCCGCGCTTTTTTTTACAGATGCAATGTAAGGTTACATACAATTCCAAAATCTGTGCAAGCAAACATAATAAATAAGTTGACTATATTGCTCCAATATATCTAGATTCTCTTTGAAAATTTGTATTTTAAATTGATTAACTGAAAGACAAAACACGGCCACAAATATATTTCTAGAATATAAATCTGACACCTCGTTTACGAGATATTTTGATCCTTTAAATTATAAATGATTATAGGATTTCGGGTAGAAAACTTATGTATACAAATTAGATACAATATACATGTTATGATATATTAACGCATGATAGCGTAATGGATTTATATAAAAAATTAAAAATTAAAAAAAAACCTACCTCGTCTGTTCTCTCGCCGGACGAGTAGATGTGCCCGTATGACGATACGAGGAAAACACATTAGTGGCAAATTCCTCATTATCCGACTCATACATCTCCGTATACGGCACCACACGCGCGTCTCTCTGCCTACCAGTCATTTTAGTCTCCGGCTCCAAATCCATTTCCTCGTCATCCATCTCATCATCGCTCATCGCTGGCCAATCCTCTGGAACCTCCTGCATATGCACTGAGGGCGCATGTGGAATTCCCCTCAGCTGCTCTCCAATGTGTGCAAACACCTTGTCCAGGTACTCCTTCGTATTGGCATTGTCCATATTGCTAGCCGGCACGTCTAGGCGGAACTCAGGCCCGTAAAAGTCATAGTAGTCGTTGTACGGCAAAACCGGATCCAGCTCCATGTCCAGCAATACCGAAGTCTCGTACGCCCATGTGCGTGCAACATTGCGAATCGTATACCCGCCACCGCCAAGGCAGAACAGTGGCACATTGAACGACTTCATAAACTCAACACAAGCCGCGTGGCCCTTCATGCTGAGATTAAAGCAGCCGATGCGGTCTCCTGAAAGCGAGTCTGTGCCGCACTGCATGACAATTGCGCCGGGTCGGAACCTCTCCATGACCATGCGCATGACGGGCTGGAACAGGTTCTTGTAGCTCTCGTCATCAATCCCATCCCGCAGCGGCACGTTCACCGCGTACCCTTTGCCCTTGGACAAGCCAATATCGTTGAGGTTGCCGGTGCCTGGGAAAAAATCACCATGCTTATGGAAGCTCACAGACATGACGCGGTCGGTTGTGTAGAACGCCTCCTCGACACCATCCCCGTGATGCACATCAATGTCCAAGTACATTACACGCTGATTATACTTTAGCAGCTCCAAAATAGCTAGCACAATATCATTGATGTAGCAAAACCCTGAGGCCGACCCTTTTTTCGCATGGTGCAAGCCGCCTGCCCAATTGATGACCACGTCTGAATCACCATGGTTAATGCGCTTGGCTCCGGCTATCGACCCGCCAGCCGAAATCGAGCTGAACTCGAACACGCCGTCAAACGCCGGACAGTCGTCGCCGCTCAGGTACAGGTGGGTGTGGTCTGAGTGCTGTTCGGCAATTTCTGGTGTTACGCGCGAGAGAAAGTCGACGTAGTCGTCGGAGTGGAAGCGCGTCATTTGGCGGGCGCTGGCGCGCGGAGGCCGGATGACGGTCATTTTCTTGTCGAGCTCGTAGGCGGCCACAAGGCTGTGGGCCATGCGCATGCGGAAGGGCTTCATCGGGTGGTTGTACCCGTAGTTGTAGTTGCCGACCTCCTCATCGTAGTAGTATGTAATGCGCTTGCTGAGCGCCATTGTGTAAAGTGCGGGAATTTGGCTTTGGCTTTGGCTTGGAAAATGAACAAAAAAGAGTGAATTTGGGTTGGTGTTTTTTAAGCGGAGTAAAAGTGCAGGAATGAGAAGGGAACAAATAAATATATGTGGCTTTGAAAAATAAAAAGTAAAAAATAAACAAACGAAGCGAAAAAAAAAAGAGAAAAGCTGGGTGGGAGAGTGGGCAGCCATCGGCCTCACGCACTAAATAAAAAACCAGGGAGGGAGGAGAGGGAGCATGCATGTATGCCAGAGGAGAGCTTTCTTGATCCCCAAGCCTTACGAAATCGAGCTGTGGCCCAAGCTCTCGTTTGCAGGCGTCCTGTGGTCAGAAAAGTTCGGCTTGAGCTCATACACAGCGACAACAGGCGTGTCCTTCATCTGCATCCACTCGCCTCTGAACGCCAAAAAGTACACCGTGCTAGCAGTCTCGTCATCATCGAAAAAGTTCCTCGGAAAAAGCAGCGTCAAACTGCGCACACTGCCGAATTTGGCCGTTCTGGCCGAGTACTCGACGGGCTGCCGCGCGCCCCTCGCCAGGCTAAACTCCTGCGTGGCTGTGGCCTCCCTGACATTGTCGAAATCCAGGTCGTCGCGGTTCGCGAATACGCGCAGTTCACTCGGAGCCGAGTCGCTGGACCCGCCCCACAGGATGATGGACTTGAGCTTGATCATTCCGGAAAATGGCACGTACACTAGGAGCTCGGGGTCGTCTTCACAACTTTCGACGAAATGCTGCGTATCTAGCCGCTGGTGCCACGGTTTGAACACTTGCTGGATGGCGCCGGGTGTGCTCTCGTTGAGGCAACGCACGTGTTCTAGGAGAACCTTGCTGAAGAGCGAGTCGGCCATGCCTGTGTCGGGCTCGGCGTCGTGGCTGTGGTCATGGCCGTGGCCGTGGCTGTGGCCGTGATCATGGCTGTGGTCGTGGGAATGAGGGTGCTCGGGTGGTAGTCGTCGTCAGTCGCCTCGTTTGGCAGTTCATTGCTTTCGTCGTCTAAGTTTATCCGTATGTAAATGCAACACTGGGTCCAGGTTCAAAATGAGTGGGTTAGGAAGGATTCAATTCAATTGAAATTTCAAGAGCACAAAAGGGATTGAGGCGTGAGCTCATAACCCCCGACCAAGCCTTTGGGTTGCTTACCTCAAAACAACACTTGATTTGGCGATTTATTGCTCATTCATTTTTTCTGTGAAGGCTTTGATCAAGCACAGGCAAAATCACGCGGCGGATTTCCAGCCCGATGAACGACGTAATCGTCTGCGACACGAATCAAGGAACAGAAAGCAAGGCTTTCTGCTTTTTTAATTTTAATTTTCTTATATTATCTCGTTTCTTTTTTCAATTGCACTCTTTACTTTCTCTACATTCAGTACTGACAAGAAAACAAACCACTACCGACTCCACAAATGCGCATGCTATCTCGCACCCTGCACCTTTTGCGCCAGTCTAGCACGCCCAGCTCGGTGCTGGCCATGCGCAGCTACAGAACGCCGCTTGGACTGGGCAACTGGAACGGCCAGCCTCCATCCGCCCCCACCAGCTCCCTCGTCCCCATCGTCATCGAACAGTCCCCACGGGGTGAGCGCTCCTTTGACATATTCTCGCGACTGCTCAAGGAGCGCATAATAATGCTCAATGGGCCAGTGAACGACTCCATGTCCTCGGTCGTTGTCGCACAGCTTCTGTTTCTCGAAGCCGAGGATCCCGAAAAGCCCATCTCCATGTACATAAACAGCCCCGGCGGCAGCGTCACCGCCGGGCTGGCGATTTACGATACAATGCAGTATATCCAGTGCCCGATTTCCACGTTGTGTACGGGCCAGGCGTGCTCGATGGGCTCGTTGCTGTTGACTGCGGGGTCGAAGGGACAGAGATTTTCGCTGCCGCATTCGTCCGTCATGGTGCACCAGCCGAGTGGTGGGGCAGAGGGCCAGGCCTCGGACATTGCTATTCATGCGAGGGAGATTCTGAAGACTAGGGAGAGGCTGAATCGCATTTACTCGAGGCATACAGGCCAGGGCTTGGATGTTATTGAGCATGCGATGGAGAGGGATAACTTTATGACGCCTGAGGAGGCCCTGGCCTTTGGGCTTATCGACAAGGTGCTAGAGAAGCGCGTGCCGGAGAGTACCCCCGACGCCCCTCCGTCCCCTCCTTCTGCTGCACCGCCGAAGCAGTGATTGTTTTGGGTAGGAGGGCCGAGCACACACCCTTGTTGAAGACAGCTTGGCAATGCATTTTACTATAATTTTCTGAAGCAAATGGTTTCTAGCAAGCATCGGAGCATTTGCGCCAAAATTAAACTTCAAGTAGCTTTTTTGTCCCCTTTCCTCCTTCGTTCGCAAACACACTGGGTTACCAAGTTTCTGGTAATTTTTTGTAAAGGGTCTTCAATGTGTTCACAAGGAAAATGCATGATGAAATTCAACAAGGCCCGTGAGAAGAAAAAGTGCATGAGAAAGGCGGATCCTTTGCAGATTTTGGGCCCAAGCATGGTGCAAAAATCGCTACACGGTGCGCCGCGTGACAATGCCATTAAAAGTGTTTTTTACCAATACAAACATATTTTTGACAAACTTTTCAATAGGCCAAATTAAAGAAACTAAAAAGCACCAGTGTTTGCAAAACTGGCACAAATTAATTCATTTTCTAGAAGCCGACAATAAAAACAGGTTGGTTTGGTTCCTTTTGGCCGAGATAAGATGAGTAAAAAATTCAAGTTTATAACCGAATTCTTATTCGAAAGAAATATATGCATTGGAAATTGAGCATGTGCCATTTGAAAAAGACGAGAAGAATAAACAACGCGGATGTTTATTTTTCTAATTTATTTGCAGCAATTCCATCATGTGGTCAAAGCGGAACATGCATTTGTCATCTGGCCTTATACATTTTGTTTTAGTCGGAAATAAAATAAAAAGTATTCGTTGCTTCTGTTTGCTAAAGACATTTTTTTACCTTTTTAAAAATAAAGTGAGCAAAATGTCTTATAATTGATCGACATATTTGCTGCGCTAAAAGGTGTGAAAAATGTGCGAAAATGTGAAAAATATGCAATGGGTAAAAAAATATCAAGACAAGAGATAATATGTCAGCATTGTTTAAAAATGACGCAAAAAAGACAATGCCCTAGTCCTGATAGTATACACACATTTTCCTGGGTATTTTTAACCACATGTGATAGCAAATATCAACGCGAATAAATACAACCGTATAAATACAATCTCTCATCTCTCTTCTAAATAAATGTCTGAGCTTCAGTACAATCTAATCTCTCATCTCTACATTTACATATAAATTATACTAGCTTAGCTTTATTTCAAGCTTTTTAAAATAACTTTTTTGCTTAACACAACTGCAAACATTTATTAAAATGAGAAGCACCGATGTTCCATTCAACCAAATCTTGGTACCCTCACCACAGGTACAGGCAACCCAGTCCAGAAGAACCAGACCTCGCAAACCGCCGGCTACTACGGCCCCGTGCTGCTCCAAGACTTCCATTTAATTGACAAGCTGGCTCACTTTGACCGCGAGCGCATTCCCGAGCGTGTCGTCCATGCCAAGGGAGCCGGTGCGCACGGCTACTTTGAGGTGACAAAGGACATTAGTCACCTGACGTGCGCCAAGTTCCTCAGCGAGGTCGGCAAGCGCACACCCATCTTTACCCGCTTCTCGACTGTCGGCGGTGAGCTAGGCTCGGCGGACACTGCTCGCGACCCGCGCGGTTTTGCTGTCAAGTTCTACACCGAGGAGGGCAACTGGGATATGGTTGGAAACAACACGCCGATCTTTTTCATCCGCGACCCGATCAAGTTCCCTGACTTTATCCACACGCAGAAGCGCGATCCGAGAACCCATTTGAAGAATCCCGATATGCAGTGGGATTTCTGGTCGTATGTTCCTGAGGCACTGCACCAGGTCATGATTTTGTTTACTAACCGCGGCACTCCTGACGGATACCGCCATATGCACGGGTACGCAAGCCATACGCTCAAACTGGTCAAGGAGGATGGCTCCTTCCACTACGTCAAGTGGCATTTCCGCACAGACCAGGGTATTAAGAACTTTAGCGCTGCTGAGGCTGCCAAACTCGAGGGCTCCAACCCAGACTATGCCACCCAGGATCTGTTTGAGGCTATTGAGCGCGGTGATCATCCATCCTGGACCGTCTATCTCCAGATTCTGACCGAGGAGGAAGCACTGAACTACAAGTACAATATCTTTGACGTTACCAAGGTTATTAGCAAAAAGGACTTCCCGCTGCAGGAGGTCGGCCGCATTGTATTGGACCGCAATCCCGAAAACTACTTTGCTGAGGTCGAGCAGGCTGCCTTTTCGCCCTCGCACATGGTGCCGGGCATTGCGCCGTCGCCAGATCGCATGCTGCAGGGCCGCCTGTTCAGCTACCCTGACACCCAGCGCCACCGCCTGGGCCCCAACTACCTGCAGCTCCCAATTAACAGTTCTTTGTTGCCCATTCGCAACCACCAGCGCGATGGACCTATGGTTTTCGGCACCAACGGTGGTCGCCAGCCTAACTACGAGCCCAACTCGTTTGGTGGCCCGCAGGAAAACAACGCTGTCAGGGAGATTGACTCTCAGTCTAAGCTTGAGGGCCTTGTTGGGCGTCACAGCTATGAGCTCACAGATGTGGACTTTGAGCAGCCGCGCGCGCTGTTCAACCTGCTGAGTGCAAGCGAGCAGCAGGATCTTATTGACAACATTGCTGGAAATATTTCCAAGGCACAGCTCGTGTTCCAGCGCAGGATTGTGCCGCACCTGAAGCGTATTGACCAGGATTACGGCTCGCGTGTTGAGGCGGTTCTCAAGAAGGCAAATCCGGACTACTAATTTTATTTTTGACTTTATTATCAATCAATAATTCTTAACTTACAAGTTTATTTTTTAGATGGTGCAGGTAGAATATGTTTGTAAATGCATGTCATTTGCTGTTGGACAAATGAAGGCAAAGAGAAAATATACTAATCAATTACATTCTTGTCGATTTTGGAAAACGGTAAGCAAAAATGGTGCGTGTATTTATAGTATCTATTAAATGAACAAAGACAATTGACAATTACCAATGTATTATTGCGTATGCTCAAGATTCCATCTGTAGATGTATACACAAGTTTGTGTGCATTCACTATATACAAAAAAAAAGAAAATTAAAGATTAATTATATAATAGCGTACGCAAAAAAATTCCTCCAAAAAATCATAAGGATACTCGTCTAGGGCTTTATTAGTCCTATGTTGTCAAATAACCTGGGCATCCAATATGCAAACGTGTTCATTACATGTCGATGTAATAATATATAAATTAAGTTTTTGTTTGTCGACAAAATGACACAGTTGCAACATAGAAAACAAAAAGATTTTATGTGCAACGACAAACCTAATCATCAAGCCCCAAAAAGATTCTCTCGCGCGTGCCCACTACCCTAGGGCTCTGTATACGTTGTAAATAAGCATAAATGTTTTTTCTTAGCCGGAATCAACAGTCACTCACACATGGTTGGTGGCCAAGACATACTGTACAAGTTTAGCGAGCAGCGCAGCGACTTTATTATTTTTCCCCCGAAATATTCGGCATTCGTGTTCAGCGTTATTCGAAGGGATACAGCTTGTTATACAAAGTGCAACCTTTCCATTCCAACCTCCAATACTGGCTATTCCATGACATAACCCGTTGTTAAAATTTTCAGTTGAATCACTTTCAGTTGGCGGCGACTTTTACGCAAGACAAATGGACACTGGTACATTAAGCCAGAACTCACAGCAAGCAGACAGCACACCCACCGACAATCCAGAAAAACACCTTGAGCTCCGACCTGACTGAACGTAGCAAAAGTGGATTATCAAAGTAAAGTGTTGCTATTATTGGTACATGTGCGTCGGTAGGCGGAGTATTGATTTGTTGGCGTGTTGCTAAGGAATATCAATATGAAAGATTGCAATTTTACTCCGAGTTACAACGCCAACAAACTTGGCTGTAACTTTATTGCACTAGTTTCTAGCAGCGCGCAACTAATTGAGCAGGCAGAAACATTTGGGTTTAATACGGCTTTTGTTGAAAAGTGCTAATACTGTAATACACTAATTAATTCCTCTATTTTATAAACTCGTCTGTCCGACTAATATTCTTCAGCAAATGGTCGTGTTGCGCAGCCTAAAGACATGGAAGTGGATGTCGAGGTTGAGAATCGTGAAACAAGTTTTCATATTCATGACGATTAATAGGGTATTAATTGGATCATGCAGGCGTAGATTAGAGAGGTATAATAATGATGCCCAGTCATGCTCCCCATTTTTTAATCCACACGCGTGAGTGCACACACAAAAACTACAATATTGATTTGTTAAGATACCAGTCTGCTTGCAGAAGAACCAGCTCTCGCCAATGGAGCGCACAATTGGCAATGGACACAGCAAAGGCAATGAGATACATATATAGGATGAGGCCAGCCCTAGCTCTACTTTTAGTTCCTTTGATAATAAAACTATAACATACTTTTAACACTAGGCGACTAGTGCTCCCCTTAAATCAAAAAACCCTTAACACTAGAAAATTAGTTCTCCCCTCAAATCACAACAGTCGCAATATTTTTAAAAATTCACACATCTAAGGAAAAATCAAGCCATGTTAAAAATGTAAACCAAGCAATTAAACTAAAGCAGTTTATTATAAAGTTTACTAATAATAAGTCCTTCTATTCAAATATTTGACGTTTTGGAGTCGGTCAGCGTACTTGCCAAAATCACCATTTGCGTTTTTCCAAATTGGTCTGTAAATTAGATGGTAGTAGATACTGCCATCGATAAATGCGCGTGTAAACGTGGGGCATATAATGGCAACCAGTGCAATAACTGTCATAATATGACTAAGGCAACCTGTACCATTATTATTTATATACCAGGTGGTAAAGCACCTCCCGACCGGATAATTGTTTTGGTAAATGACATCGACCGGTTCGTCAAAGTAGTCGTCGTAACCGCCGGTGCCAATGGCCTGTCCGTTGATAGAACAATCAAGTTTCCGCAAGGCAGGAAGATGTTTAAGTAAGAGCACAATGTTTTCAAAAGACGCACCATCCCACATACTAACCAACCGAATGCTGCTGGTCCACGCTGTTGTCGACTGAATACTGGTATAAAACACGCTCTTATCAAAATAATTGGGGATTGAGATTTCGCGCACAAACTGTGCTGTATCAAGGATCTTGATTGCAAATCGCATTGCGTCGGCTGCTGGTATTCCAATGACATTATTATTGCCCACGTTGATCAGTATTAGTTTGCGCAGTTTCGGAAGCTTGTTCGTCGTAAAGATGCCGCTCTGTTCAAGCCTTCTAACGGTATCGGTGCTGAGCTCCAAAAACAGGTACTCAAGCGTGCTGCTGATTCCTTTAAACGCGTGATCGGCATGATCAAAGTAATCATGGGCAATAAGATATTTAAGCGTCGGAAATGCAACTGTTTGATCAGCATCAGACATGGAGAAGTATGAGTCCCTATGACTGTAGATGATAAGTTTTTCGAGGAGTGGATAAACGATGGCACAGCCAGAGTCGTCGCTGCAAAGATCGCTAATCTTTTGGTCATCTTTCAAACGCACATCGAGCGACTGCAGCGTGCCTGCGTTCCGACGAATGAGCTCAAACAAAGCGTGGTGGTCGCGTTGTGAATCCTCATACTTTCTGTCTGTAAGCCCATCTTCCCACTCTAATCCCACATCATATTGTTGCACACCGCATGACCATTTAATGGACACTTGGCTCACTGACTGGCACAAATCGATGCTGAACCTGCCCAAGAGATGGTCGTTGGCCATGTCATAACCATCTGCGTAATGTGGATCAATGCTGTGGATTGCAACGTCACGCACCGCTGGAACCATCCGCTTGATATTTTGTGCAAACTCGCTCGCACCAAGTTCAGTAAGATTTGCGCCGACAGAACGACTATCCCTGTAGTCAGGCAAAACAACCTTTAACCCAATGGCATTCGGAAAGAAAAAACTGGGCTGGCTAGACCTGCTGATTAGATGCTTTGCTCGAGGCCCATCTGCACTCGGCCCAGTGCATACAACTACAACAACCCTTTTCACAAGATGGGTAATCCGAAACGTTGGAGTACAGGCTAACTTAGGCCAGCGTTTAAAGGACATATCGCCCACTGTACCGTCAGAAAAGCACTCCATGGTGATTTCGCGGCAGAGACGCTCCATAATGACCGTGCGCCAAGCGTGGCAGCACCGAATGAGAGCAGCAGCTAGTTCATAATGAAAACCTGTGACCAGAATCGACTCATTTCTTGAATTGGCAGAGGGGAAAAGGTACAAGACAATTAAATTGACTATGTCAAGGGGAAGCGTTTGAAATTGCGACAAGTTGGAATTCATTTTTGAAAAACAAGTATAAAATAAAATATTATTAGTATTAGTTAGAGAAGTTCCAAAATTAAAAATTAAAAATATGCATTTAATAATGTTAAAATATTTTATGCTTGCGTAACATTGAAAAATCAACATTCTTTGATTTGGCAATTGAAGAATTGATTTTGGAAAAATAATTGCCCACCAAATTTCTGCAATGTGCTTAATCTGCGTGTGTCATGCCATGCTAGCATATAGTCATTGTCCCATCTTGTCGCACATGTTCAGAACTAGTGCCAAGTTCGGATCAAAACGCTGGTATTCGAATCATGAAAATGCATTTTTGCATAATTTACTCACAAAAAAATAGCTATCCCGTTTGGTAAAGCGATTTCTTTTAGTTATCAATAAAGCAATTTAATTGACCATTTTTATTTATTTAAAATATAAATATTTTTTGATATTGATATCAAGGAACTTGACCTGTTTAAGTCTCTCTTTGTGCAGCTCAAAGCCTTCGGGCACAACCGGGCATCTTGAAACGACCCGAAAATTACTAACAATTCGACTGTATGCAAATGAGTGCGTAAAGTTGGGGCAAAGTATAGCCACTAGTGCAACAAACCGCTCAACATTGAGGTTGTACTCATCGCCCTCACCCAAAATATTCCAGCTGCTAAAGCAATTCCCCAGCGGATAATGTGTATTGTAAATGACATCAACTGGGCTGTTGAAATAATCGCCTGCTTGATTATCGCTGTTGTCGTTGTTGCTGGTATGTGTCGACAATTCAATTTGGCTATGAAGTGCCTGCAGCGCGGGAAGGTGTTTAAGCAGGTGCAGTATGTCCGTAAAAGAAAACCCCGTGTGTGGTAAGATGAGTGACTGGATGCCGCTAGTCCATGCTGCCGACTGGATATCCGCACACAGTAGATGCTTGTCAAATCCTTTACGCAAAAGCACCAATGTGCGCACAGACGATTGTGCGGCTTTAAGGATGTTAATCGCAAAACGCGATGCGACGGCTTGCGATTCAGCATTATGACCCTCAATGATAGGAACAGTTAATGAAAAATGTCGGAGTCGCGGATACTTAACTGCAGCAAACGTGCCCCATTGATCATACACCCTTAGCGAACCTGTGTTAAGTGACATAGACAGGGACTCGAGCGTATCGTGGTTGCCTCTAAACATGTAGCTGTCGTTGTGAGTCAAGGAAAATGTTTTGATGATTTTGAGATTCGGGAACGGAACCACTCGATCGAGATCGGCCGGGTGAGAATCGGCAGGGCCAATAAAATCCGAAATAACAAGCTTCTCAAGCGCAGGATACACCATCGCGCGACCAGTGCAATCAAACAAAAGATCTCTGCGCTCTTGGAGGTTCCGCAAATGCAGCTCCAGTGACTGTAATGTGCCTGCGTTCTGGCGAATAAGTTCAAAGACGGCGCAATGATTGATTACTGCTATATGGTTGTAGCAACCCAGAGCAACCCACCACTCTGGTCTTAAATTGATTGACCATTTTAGAAAGGGCGAGTAAACAGATACTTGACTCACTCCTTGACACAAATCAAAGCAGAATCTACCCAAGAGATGGTCACCAGACTGCTGTTGATTGGCCCTGTAATGCGGATAGAGACTCTTGATTGCTATTTTGCTTATCTCTGGAACTATCTGTCTAATATCCTTGGCAAACTTGCTTGCCTTGCGTTCGCTCATATACGTGTCAGAGAATTTGTCATTTCTGCATTCAGTCAGTACGACAGTCAGCGTATGCGCATTCAGGAAAACGAGGTTTGGTTGGCGCGGCTTAATTATACGCAAGCTTTGTCTGTCGCTCAAGAATGGCCAATTGCACACAACCACGACGACCTTCTTCACAAGATGGTTGATCGGGAAGCTCGGTGCGCAGATTGGGTAGGGCCAAAATTTAAAATGCCAGCCTCCCGGTTTGCCGTCGGATAAATATTCCAAAGTGACTTCATGGCAGAGGCGCTCCAAAATTACTATGCGCCAGGCGTGGCAGCACTGCATGATCCCTGCCGATAATATAATCTCGTGGCTGTCGCCAACTTCATCGATCTTATCAAAATCGCGAGCTTCACTAAGATCAATAAGGTACGCCACAATTGAATTGATAATGTCGCAATGAAGTGTTTGAAATTGCGACAAATTAGAATGCATATTTGAAAATAAAAATAAAGTGAGAAAAAGATAAAGAGGGAAATTAACACTGTAGTCCAAAAAACAGCCTTTTTCTGTGAAATCACCATTAAAAAAACTTACTACGTCATGCATAAATGGATGAGCGAATAAATCAAGCCATTGTTGATTTTACGTTAAATAGCGTGTGGCTAACCTATTAAAACAAAACAATGAAATGTTCAAAAATATTTTATTAATATTAGCAGGGTTAGGATATATTTCACAAAATGAGCCAACATATGATGCAGCCCATATGTGTGTCGACTTTCTTGTCAAGATGATGATAAATAATTATTTTCGAAATATTGTTCAGGCGTACTGCTACTCTCACCCACCCACATCATTCAAACAACATCAACTAGTCTCCAGTAACAATTATTTTTCTATTAAAAAGAATGACAGGATTATCATCAAACATGTTTAGCAGTCACAAAGAGAACAAAATGCACTGGGAGCAAGGTGCAGTGCTAGACATAAGCTGGAGCAGCGACGGCAGTCTACTCACCGCAGCTGGCACAAAGGGACCACCACGGACATGGCGTCTGGAAAAGGGCGGGCACAAAGAAGGAGAGGAGCTCAAAGCCCTCGGTGCATCCATCGAGCGACTCTCTTGGTGCCCCTCTGCCCACCAAAGCTCCCTCCTTGCAGCGGCATCTTACGACCGCACCATATATCTCTGGGACCAGCGCCAATCTGCGGTTTCATACAAGCTCTTGACGAGCGGCGGCAATTCGGATATAAGCTGGAGTCCGACTGGGAGATTTCTGGCGACTATCAATCGGGACGACAATAAGGTGGAGTTTTTTGATATGGCGCAGAGAACAGTGTTTGTAAGCGCAGATGTAGAGGACGCGGTTTACTCGGTCAAGTGGGATCACAATGAAAGTATGGTTATGTTGGCGACGCAGCTGGGCACCGTTGAGGTGTATGAGTGGCCGGGGATGCGCCATATCACTAGGGTGGCGGCCCATGCGGCGTCGTGCAATTGCGTGACTATGGATGACCGCGGTGTCATGGCAACTGGTGGGGCGGATGCATTAGTGGAGCTGTGGAATATGGAGGACTTTTCTGTCACAAAAACTTTGGTGGCGCACGAGTCGCCGCTGCTTTTTGTCGATTTTAGTATGGATGGCCGGTTCCTGGCCAGCGCGTCGGATGACTTGGCGGTGCGCATCCATGAGGTGTTTTCGGGCGAACTGATGCATAGCTTGCCGGTTGATTCTCTGACCACAGCTCTGGAGTGGCATCCACGCAACCAAGCGCTGGCCTATGGCTCGGCAGGATCCGGGAAGGACTCGGCCAAGCCGGCAGTGACTATTTTCTTAAAATCATAAATTATATATATGTTTTTTTTTTTAAAAAAATTACATTGCTATCTATATATATATCAGTGGTTGTTTTGGACCGCAGATTTCAGCGACTTGACGGCGTCAATGAGGCCCCAAATGCAAGCGACGGCGCCCACGGCAGCCAGAATAAAGCATAAAAGGAGCTCGTATCTGGGAATCCGGTTCCAGCCAAATAGCTTGACATAGCAGAAGACAGGCACCAAGAAGAAAACCACCGTTGTCGATATGGCCGACACGAGATCAATGACTTCGCCGAAATAGGGAATTGCAATGGACACGGCAAGCAAAATGCCAATAGTCAGCGAGCGCATAAACAAGCGCCACAAAAACTCCTTCAACTTACCCATTTTCTCCTGCATAACACCAAAGACCAATTCAAGCTCAAGGTTGGCGGCGACCAGCATGACGGGCGCAGCACACACCACATGCAGGATAATAAGAATCGTGGCAGCGTTGACCACCGGTAGGTTGGGCAGGTTGTTGAGGATAGGGGACAAGGTTTGGTCTCCGTAGGCAAGGTATCCGGGTACTGCCGAGAGCAAGTAGGCGCCACACACGAGGGCATTGGCCAAGAACATCATCCACCCAAACTGCTTGGGCTTTTTCATATTACCCTCGATATGTGGGAAAGAAACAGCGCCAGCGTACATGAATGAAATCGAGGCCAATGCGGAGGGTATGCCGGCACCAATGATGAACGTGTGCTTGGGTGCAGAGTCAAAGCTAGGCAAATGGTACGACTCCGTATACGGGTGCTTGAGAGCAGTGACGGCCAGCACAATGACCGTGAACATAGCTGTGAGAACGCCAAACACGGACGAAACCGTGATCTCCTTCAGTGACTTGAGCAAGGTGAAGGGAACCCACATGACAAGGGCAATAATTGTCATGCTGATTTTCTTGTCCAGCGACACTCCGGCGTACCCCAGGAGCTTTGTGATCTGCGTGCCGCAAACGATGATCCATGAAACAACGGTTCCACAGCAGTACCAATAGGTGATAATGGTGGCAAACCAAAAGCCAGGCTTCCCATATGCTTCCTTGGCCACCAGGGCGAAACTGGAAATGCGACCACGGCTGGGCCTGGCGTACATGCAGCGGCGAAAGAGGACGCCAACGTACCAGCCGATGACTGCCATAAGGACAAAAAGAACGATGCCGAACCAGCCGCAGCGCTTGACTACGGAGGGCAGATTCATTGTGCCGGTGCCGATGCTGATGCACATGATGTTGAAGACCGCGCCGACCCAGTTGCCATTGCGCGAAATGGAATGTTGGTGGGGGTCCGCGTCTTCAGCCTGTGAGGATATGGAGGGCTTGGAGTGGGTATTGACGCTGGAAGAGTCCTCGCTCGGGGCGGACAACCCCTGTTTAGACGACATTATTGTTTTGTGGGATAGAGTATAAATTACAAATTAAGTATTAAAATAGGCTGGTTACTGGAGCAGCACTAGCAGCAGCAGAAGCAAGAGCTGTTACTGTATTGAAAATTTTAGATAGATGGATAGATTGATTGATTTGAGTTGGGTTGGGCTGGGTTGGGTTGGATTGGATTGGATTGGGTTGAGTTGAGTTGAGTTGACAGAAGAATGTAAGTGCAGCTGCTGTTAGGTGTCCATTGTTGTAGTATTTATATTGTGTGAGAATGTTATTTTTCAGTATGCAAAAAAAAATTTGTGTGCAAAAAAAATGGTTCTCGCTAAATATTAAAACATGCGAGTGTAAAAAAGAAGAGAAGAGAGTAACTATTGGGACTATTGCAAAAGTTGGACTGCCAATTGCGCCATCTGCCCATCGATTCATTACGCGCACATGCTTCATTTCCTCGGCTTTTTCATGCTAACAACTCGACAAGTTAAGAAGACGTTACGATTAGCAAATGGTAGGAGATCCCAATAAAGATTAACGGGAATATGGCGCGATAGACAGTCTGAAAGGGCAAACAGCTACAAACGACCACATATAAAAAACAGTGTTGCATGGGCGATCAATAGAAAATTATAAATTTTTTCAAAAAATACTATTGAAAGCATGATCTAATTAGCCATACTTTAATCAGGATCAGGATCCTGGATTTTGTCATCCGTTTGCCCCACATACAAGCGTGCAGCAGGGATTGGATCGAAACTGATATTATATAATTTTTTTTCTCTGCTCCAACATTCCTTTTACCCTTTTAATACTTTAACGTTGTAGAAAATTTGTAAATTTGTAAATTTGTAAAAAAAAAAAGCCTCTACAAGCAGCATTAAATAAAAGGCCGAAAAAACGCAATGCTCCGGGCAACACTATCGCGGCGAACAGCACGGGTGCTGCAGGCGACGCAGCGCAAGCAGCCCACACAGAGGCGCGCTTACAGCACAGCAGGCGAAACACCGGCGCCAGCAGCCGCCGAGAAGACCAAGGAGCGGCCGCGCATCCGGTACATGGGCATATCTGAGCCGTCAGCGGCGCTGCGGCGAATGACACAGCAGATCAGCACGGGTGAGCTTGACGTCAACACGCAATCGGACATCGACGCCTTCCGGTTCACCACCGACGACCTCCTGCGCGACTTGCCAATGCAGCGGGCGCGCGTGCTCGGCGACGCCACCACAGCGGCCATGTCGCTGGCCGTGGCCTCGCGCGAGGAGACCACCGAGCTGCTGGCCGTCGGGCGGCGGCAGCGCGCAGAGCAGATCAAGCGCGCATTCACGGCCAAGCAGCTCGGTGCATACCTAGGCGCCCACGGCGAGCGCAGGGGCGGCACAAAGTCCGAGCTGGCCATGCGCATCATCGACAAGCTATGGGGCATTTCGGCCAGGGAGTTCGCGGCTCGGCTCGAGAAGCCGCGCGAGCCGACGGCGGTGGCCGACGGGCTGACGCTGCCGCTGGGCGAGGGCGCGCAGGAGCAGGTGCGGCAGCTGGCGCCGGGCGCGGTGGCCGAGCTGGAGCGCGAGTACGCGGTGACCATCGCCATTGCGCCCGATTGCGCGACCGTCCGCGCGGCTGGCCCGATGCACGCGGTGCGCGGCGCGCTGTCGGCACTGCGCGAGCGGCTGACGGCCGACACCACGGTCGAGGTCGACGTGGCCAGGTACACGGCCAGGCGGCCGCTGTCGGCGCGCCACGTCTCGCGTGTGGCCGGCAAGCTGGCCCATGCCATGGCGCACGTCACTGTCAGCAGCTGCGACGGCGAGCTGTTTGTCGGCGGCGAGCGGCGTGCAGCGCTGGACGCGCAGCAGGCGCTGGTCAGTGCGCTGGGCGAGTCGCGCGACGCGTTCTTCGGCGTCGTCCCGCGCGCGCTCTCGGGCCCGGTGGCCACGCTGGTGCCGGCTGCCGCGGTGTTCTCGCGCCCGCGCTCGTTTGTCCCCGACGCCGCGCTGCATGTGCAGGGCGTGTCGGAGCTCGCTGCGCCCGTGGCCGCACTCAGCCACCACACGCTGTTCGCCAAGCCCGGCGGGGCCGCGCTGCAGCTGTCCGCCGGCGCGCTGCCCGAGGCGCTGCGCGCGTGGTGCGGCGGCGCCGGGCGCGTGCGTGCGCGGCTCGGCCGCGTGCTCATCGACGCGGACTGCGGCCACGCGGGCGAGCCGCTGGGCGCCCGGTTCCACGACGCGTCCGAGCTGCTGCGCCAGCTGGGCGAGCGCGCGCCACTGTTCGGCTTTGCGCCCGACGTGTCTGCGCTGCGCTGGCTGCACGGCAGCAAGGATGCGCCGCTGAGCCGCTACGTCGAGCTGACATTCCGGCGCATCGCCCTGGCCGCGGGCGGCGCCAAGTGTGCGTACACGCTGCCGGTGTACGCCGACGACTCGCTGGTTGTGCGCATCCCGGCCGACTCGGCGCAGTTGCGGTTCGGCGACATGCGCGTGCGCTGCCACAGCGACGAGCGCGCCGCCAATGTGGCGCTGCTGGGCGCTCCGCACGACTTCCAGGTGCTCGCGCACACGGAGGCTGCGGCCGACGGCGTGCAGGCTGAGGAGGTGCGCCGGGTGGCTGCACGCCTGGGGCTGCTTGGCGACGGCGCGCAGGTGGACGCCCGGCGCCACGATGTCGTGCAGCTGGGGGGCGGCGGCGAGCGCTTTGCGCTGACTGGCGCCTCGGTGGAGGCCGTCGTGCGGCGCCGCATTGTCGGCGGCTTGGCGGCGTCAATGCACCAGACGTGGGACATTATCGATGATCTGCGCTTCAGCCAGGTGCATCTGCACGCGCAGGCCGATGACATTGAGAAGCTTGACTGGGACCGCTTCCTCGTTCTGGTGTTCCAAGCAGCCCACGAGCGGCCGACGACGCTGGCCACCAGCACGCCCTTCCACTAGAGGCTAGCGCTTTAGATGGGATAACAGTATATTGAGAGAAAATAGCTATTGGGACTTTAATGTGTGTACGCTGAACAAGCCATGAGAGGAGAGGTGTTTTATTACATGCTACATGCTACATGCTACATGCTACATGCTACATGCTGCATGTTACAAGTCGTAGTTGGCCTTGTTAAAGTCCGGGTCTTGGATGAACGCAACCAGCACGCGGCTCCCCTGCTGCAGCAACGGATGCCCAGCGACAATCTGCAGAAACCGCTCGAGCCCCTCCCTCCTCTGCTCCACGACCTCCTCAGAAAACCTATTAGTGAACACCTTTCCAGGCAACGGCGGAATATTCACCTTATTTGTCTCGCTCTCCAACCTATCGCGGAACCACTCAAACTCACTGTACCGTCTGCGAACCGAGGACGTTTTCAATTTGAATACTGGAATGTTCGTGCGGCACACTATTTCGTAATCTGTGTACTGATTGCGCCCTGCTGGGTGTGTTTGTGGATTTTTCACCTCTATTTCGAGGAAATTCTCGGGCTCGCCGTACTGCTCTTCAACGGTTAACTCATGCTTAAATTGGCTGGCGATTCCTCCAAACGCTCTGTTGTGATGACCAAAGGACATTGATTGTATTTGTAATAATAAAGGAGTTGAATTTCAAGAAAACAAAAAAATAGTAAAGAAAACAAAATACAAAATACAAAATACAAAAAACGTGCTCGTCAGCACTAGTTTCTTTTCTGCGCACTATATTCTGAGACAAATCCCCAACCCGCAGGGTGATTTTCAAGATTAAATTGCGTTAAAAGGTAAGCGTGTAAACACAAAGATAAGTGCGTTAACGCCTTTCGCCAGAGGTATGAAAATGGCAGCACACACATGAAGCCCTCATAAGCATTTAGTAGCGGATTTTACTCTTGAATTTTTCTTTTTAGGATTTTGTAGCCTCATTCTTTTCCTCAGTGTATTTGTGTCCTCCCCTTTTTTTATTGTCAGATTTTCCCTCGTTCATTCTCAGATGGCATCACATCAACTTTGAGGCTGATTGGCCCGAGATGACGCGCGCATTTTTATTTTGCTATTGTTGCTGACTCGAACCGAGCCTCAGGCTCCCCACATGTAACATGTACATGTACACTAAATAATGGTTTAAATTACAAAGTAAACCTCAGGATGTATGAATAAGTTATATCAAGCAAAACCAAAAAAAATAGTACAATTAACTCTTTTTCTTCTTGTCACGATTGATTTCAGCCGAAAAACACGCATACGACACAAGTGCGAAGCAGTAGAAGCACATGCACACAATAATAAGGTTTCTGTAGAACCCCGTTCCCTTTCCAGCATAAATTATAGTAGACTTGTCTTCGAAAAACACTGCATCCAGCTGTCTGTCATTGAGCGCAGCTAGCCCAGTGGCAACCATGCCAAAGATACGATTGAGTTTTCTCCACCAGCGACGTCTATCGTGATATTGGGAATAATGGTTACGCAGCATCCACAGCCAGTTTAGACCCGCCGAGCCGCCAATTGCGCAGCGAGTGAAAATATGAACAGGCCAGTACAGCGCATAGTATTTAGTTTTGCCGCTTGAATTGGCAAGATTGACCGTGTTTTGCTCCCACACGCCGAATATGCCCGTCATTGCTAATACTGGAGCAACCCCAAAAACTAACTGAACAATCAGTTGGATTATCTCAAACTTGTACTGGCCAAAGTACCCGGGCAACTTTTCTTTTTTCGTTGTTTGCGTCTCGATTGATATGCCTTGTTCGAGCGTTGGGGAGTCACTCATTGCTAAATACTATGTAATATAATTTCTGGCTTGAGTGCTTAGTTTACAGAGAAAAATTGTTATGTAGACAAACTTTATACAACAAGTGCGGGGATTAATATATAATAAATAATATGTAAAATGTAAAAATATCGTTATTAAACTGACAAGTAGAGAAAATAAAAATATAACAATACAATCTTTCCTTGCTGCCAGGTAGGTTTGTTTTTTTAAATAAATTTCTTGTAAACAGTAAAAATTCGTTTATGGTTTTTCTTTCACAAAATTTATTTTGCTTTATAGGACTTTATTTAATTGTGCCAAGCATAAATATAAAGACAAATGTGTTTCTTTTTACTTCAAAACAAACAATTTTATTTTATAAAGAAAATCATTTTTCGCATTGCATCTAAAAATAAAAAGCTGACACGCGTGTAAAGACAGTTAAAAAATTGTTACGGTCAAGCAAATAAATAATGCGCATTTATATGAATACAAAGTAAAAGGGAGTAGAAGAGAGTAGACGGAAGATGGGAATAGATGGAAGTGGAAAAAGGTAGAAGTATATAGCGCAAGGTATAAAATATTTAAATTGCTATGCTACATTTAATGCTTATAATAGTAAAAATAAAATGGGTAGCATGTAGTGTTTAATGTAGGCAAATTTGCTAAAATAATAATAAAAGTACATATTTTAATATAGCATAATTAGTGATAAAAAAGGTAAAATAAAACCCATAAGCAACCAGAACTCAACGTCTCTTGTGCTTAATTTCAGCCGAAAAACACGCATACGACACAAGTGCGAAGCAGTAGGAGCACATGCACACAATAGTAAGGTTTCTGTAGAACCCCGTTCCCTTTCCGGCATAAAGTATAATAGACTTGTCTTGAAAAAATACTGCATCCAATTGCCTGTCATTGAGCGCAGCCAGCCCAGTGGCAACGACGCCAAAGATACGATTGAGTTTTCTCCACCAGCGACGTCTATCATTGTAATCGGCATAAAAATTGCGTACCATCCATAGCCAGTTTATACCTGCCGAAACACCAACCGCACAGCGAGTAAAAAGATGAACAGGCCAGTACAGCGCATAGTATTTAGTTTTGCCGCTTGAATTGGCAATATTTACATTGTTTTTCTCCCATACGGCAAAAATACCTGTCATTAATAACACAGGTGCAACTCCAAAAACCAACTGGATTATTAATTGAGCAAACTCCGGTTTGTTTCCGCCGATACGCCCTTTTGATTTTTCTTTGGAGGAACTTTTTCCTGCTTGTTTGTTTGGGCCAGGTCCTGGAGCTTGTGTTTCTGTATTATTTTCTACCAATTTGCTTGAGTTTGAATCCGAAAGTTTTACTGCCGCATTCTTGAGGAATTCGTCTCTTTTTTCTGCATATGGGTTATAGTTATTAATGGGGACTGGATTCCCTTTTTTATATGGGTTATAGTTATTAATGGGGACTGGATTCCCTTTTTTATATGGGTTATAGTTATTAATGGGGACTGGGTCCTTTTTTGCTGCTGGAGCGGATTTAAAGGGGTTTGTTGACGGATATGAGGCCAAGTCTTTTTTACGTTGCATAATAGCCTTGTAAGGGTTACTCGAATGTAGCGTCGCCGGGCCCCCTTTTAAAGATGCCATTTTATTGTATAGCTTTCTAACTGCATAAACAAAAGTATAAGGACCAACCGGTATTGAGTTTGTGACGCACTGGCTATTGTACTCGCTGGAAATATGTAGTTGGGATTTGTCAAAAGAGGGGATACAAAAATATGTTAGAAGGTAAAATAAATAATAATAATAATAATAATAAAGACAAAGCCAATATACTGGCATTCTCAGTTTTCAATTCAATACATGGCAAATTTATCTGGAGGCTACTTGACACTATTATTTTGAAATGTTTACACAACAAGCAGGATTTTTTATATAATAATATTTATTATCCTTTATATTATTAATTTCAAAGGATAATAAAAAACATGTTTGAATTCATTTTCTTAGCAGCAAAAGTAATTTTTTTATAAAATGCAAACACTCATGCAAAATTACCACGTGGGAGGCATTGTGACAAGATCCAAAGTACAATGCAAACAAAAAGATGGGCCATTCGGGTTTGCTTCAAAATAAACAGATTTTTGGCACAGTGACTTAGTGCGAAGCTTATTATAAAAACAATAAAACATTAAAAATAAGATGATCACAATAATCCACTTTTATTGGGCGGGGGCACTGCGTTTATAGCCGTTGAGGGGACGTTGGTGCTGATGTCCAAGTTTGAGGGATTGCACTGTGCGTGGTAATTGAGGCGGCTGTCCTAGACTAGAGTGTTGCAAAACTTAAGCTTTCCAATGAGCTCTTTTTCCCCAGGTCAAACTGAAACCATTGACACGGCACCCGTTTGTCCAGCGGTCCTTGAATGTGCGAACGGCCTTGAGATATGAGATTGAATAATGAAAGTCTTGTACGTTGCAGCTCATTACTGTATATTTTCCAGCGACTAAACATGGCATCAGACGTGAGGTTGATATTGTCCATTGAAAGCTCGGCGTGCGCATGGTATATCTTCCAGACAGTCAAACTGTGGAGTGCGTCTGCATTTGGAAAATAATTCCTCGACATTCCAAAGTGTTGGAATATAGGAACGTTCTATGAACGTGTAGATAAAATATAATGATATAAAGTATATTTAATAAATAAGTGCTATGCACTGTGAAAGGTGAAGAGTAGAAAAGCATATTGCTTTGGTCACTGGGTGACTTATTGTTTGTGTGGCTAAACAGCCAACACTGGTTAATCAGTTGATCACCATCAACCAATAGCTTCATCGCCTTTTGCCTCGGAGATAAAAACAAACCATGCAGTAACAACCTGAACAATGCAAATAGCAAACTCGTTAACAAGCACAGGCACACGTTCGTCGAGGAGACCAAGTTTGAGTGCCCGCAGTTCATTGGTGCAGATGGGGTTGCTAATTATGAGGGACCGACAATTCTGGCGGCGTATAAATATCATATCTCAGCGCTTTAACAGGCAGTTCAAAAATATGGTTGACATAGCACTTGACGTAAAGAAAATGACTGAATGGCAATACAAGGAACTTACGAAGGAGGGTGGCTACACCAAAAAGGAAATACATCTGATTAGCAAGGAAATCAAAATTCTAGCAGGCAAGATGAAGTGGGCTCTGTTGTCTGCTAAAACCAGCAAAGCCGGGAAGCAGATCAACACCAAACAAATTTCAGACACTATGCTTCGCGACAGAATGGCGTGCGTAATTAAGAAGGTTTTTGACACCTACCCTGAGGACTACAGTTTCGGTGACAAGGGGCTCCAGTATGACTCTGTAGCCAATACAGTGAACCACATTGGGGCTTTTGTTGAGATTTTCCGGGTTTTAAATCTCAACAAAGGTGTGGGACGATTTCCCTTTTCTGATGAGGACGTCTATTGTACCCAGGGTTTACGATAGTTGACAAGACTATTCTTGCATGGCGTATTCTGTCCATCACAATGAGCCGACTCAGAGCACTACACAAGGATGGTCTTTGCCTGGATATCAAGGTCTCCAAGATTCGGCCTACGAGGAAGCTTTTAGTCAAGTCACCAGAGAAAATTTGGTCACCTTGTGATATCTCATGTTGGCCGTTTGCATTCGATTATCAAAAGGTCGAATAACCACAGAAATTTGGAGGGATCATTCGTACCGATGGTGTTGCAATAATCGTATTACTTGACTCACCTGCAAACACACAGAAAAAGAGGATCAAGGTTAAGAGTATTTCACAGTCTTAGAAAGGTTCTGACGATGCTGACAACAACAACAGCAATGTCGGTAAATTTGCCAATGGTGTACCCCACAGTAAGAAGGCACCTCCTCCCAAGTACATTGATAATTTACCAAAAATGGCATTCATTATATTGTTGGCAAATCAGTTCCTTGTGATACAGGTCGACGGGATATGCTCTATTGTCTGGGATGTAAAAGCAACTGCAAAAAGTGTGAGAGAAATAGTTTCTACCACACCAAAAATTCAGAGGCTAATAAACATCGTGAACGCGTGTTTCCTCAGATCCGCGAAAATGCAAAAAAAGTATTCCAGCTTAACCCCGCGAAGCTCGCCAAGACGGAAACAAATGATTGGTATACGTCTATTGAAGATTCTGAGCGCGCTCAACCACCCTAACCCCAGTACACTTGATTGCAAGCTATATGTTGAGTACCTCCTTGAGTGCCGTAAAGGCGATTTTATTTTGGGAGAACATTATCACAACACGCAGACCCTCGGCAAGAGTCGAAAGTACGACGGCAGCAGCTCAAATGACCCCCTCCACCGCAAGCTCCGCTATCTTTTCTTTGTTAACAGAAAGCGCGCCGACGTCGAACTTGCAAAATCTGGACCAGATCCAGTCCTTATTTTTAGTAACTGGATCCCAAGCATGACCTGTCATCGTGAGTCAATTCGTGGCAAGGGGCTGCAGGAGATGCTAATAGGCGTTAATACAATTCCAGCAGTAGAAAAACCTCGCCAAATTTTATTACACGACTTGCTCCAGTGCGTAATGGAAGACTGCCTGTAAACCTTTAGGGCCGACGGAACGCGGGTTGGAGATAAAGAAAGTGACATCAGGCAAACGAAAGTGGAATCGTGACATGGCTGCGGTGTTGGACTTTCGCATCATTTTTATGCCCTGCTTAAGGCAAGCGTCCTCCTCGTTTCTTGTGTAAAAAGGTACCATCGGGGTCGGCTGAGCCCGAGTCTACAGCGATGGTCAAGCCAAAGCCAAAGCCCAAGCGTGTGCGCAAGAATCCATTTCCTCTGCTTCTTCTCTTCAAAAGAAGCAGCGACTGGATAATATCGTCAACCATAGTGGTCTATTGCCATTAGTTTCTAAACACTTTATCTGAGGGAAGGATGTCGGTTTGCAGAATATTTGTAGCCCCATTTTTTCTTATAGCGTAACCAGGAATCGCAGAACCTCGTGTTGGATGTCAGATGTTAGATTATTGGGTTGTTGGTTGCTATGCAACAAGCGCTTTTATAGTATGGAGGCGTATAACAAGCACTTTGCACACGTTGCACATACAAGCCGATATTACAAGGATAATAATCGGCGTCTCTGTGTTTTTGTTTAACAAACATTGTTTAATTATCTAAATAAATTACTAGTTCCATTGAATTTAATTACAATACTTTAATGCGCCTGGCGTAAGTTGATAGGTCTGACGCCATGTTAAAATAACTTTGGTTATGTCATTCCAGCGGCGTTGTTTTCCTTTGACAACATTTGAGTGATTAAACTTTTTGAGAATAAAACATTTTTTAGATTGAACATTGTGTTTGCAGTTAATCAAAAAACATATTTCTCAAGGGTAAAGTTGCTAAATGAATTGGTATAAAAAGCAGCCTATATTAGATTATTTTGAGCAGTCCTAGTACATATTCGTATAGTATATTCTTAAGGCTTTTTTTATACAATATTCATTACTTTATAAACATGCAGAAATTGATTTTGCTTATTGGTTTCCTGGCGGTCATTGTGATTGGAACAGATGTTGGAGAGCCCAATGCAGATGCACTCGCTCAAGGAGGCAGGTGGCCCGGAGGTGGTGGCGGTCACGGCGGTGGTGGATGGCACGGAGGTGGTGGTCACGGGGTGGTGGCACGGCGGAGGTGGTGGATGGCAGGAGGTGGTGGCGGTCATGGCGGTGGGGATGGCATGGAGGTGGCAGACATTAATTAAACCCAGTTTTCTGCCCCGACAAGTTTCACGCGAATACCTTGAGCTTTTATTTTGCTTTATTGTCCCATCTTTAATGACCCAATGAAACTTATTCAACGCGCTTGTTCAAATTATATGGATGCATATACACGCTAAAATGTTCTAAATGTGTGCGCAGCCAAAGCAGACCAGTATTTTCGAGCCGAGTCGATGAGCTACACGTGTCATAAGAATTAAACAACGCAGGAAAAAATTGCAGTAGACTGAAAAAAAAGTATTCTTCGATTTTTAAAAGATGGACAATATAACCGCAGGACTGGAGTGGCTTGTGCTGACATAAACCCAGCAACAGAAGCTAGCTATCCTTTCTTTATTTAAATTCAGCACCAACTGTAACTTATTTTTACTCTTCCCTTTTTCCCTTTCTCTCCCACAAAGCAGCCTTTTATTTATATTTTCATCATGTGGAGGACGCAGTTGCTACTACGGCCGGTTGCGTTTGGGGCCAACCGGCGGTACACCACATCGGCATTAACAAAAACGCAGGTCCAGGCATGCATCCGGCGGTTACCACATTATCATCACCAGGAACAGCAGGCGGCGGCAGTGGCAGCGGTGATCTCGCGGCGATCGCTGGCGACGATCCAGCCAGACCGGCAGGATCAAGCGCAGGCGGCCGAAACTGCGCCTGAGGCATTAGCAGACAACATCCGCGACTTTCTAATGTCAACACGGCAGCGGCCACGGGCGGGCCTTAAGCCCGATGAGCTCCTGGTCAAGTGCCCCGAGTGCTCGCCAGGCAAGCCACGGCGACTGGCATACAGCGCGCACCTGAGCACACACACAGGCGACTTTGTGTGCACGAGCTGCTTCGCGCAGGGCTCATGGGACAAGTATCGCGAGCTAGCGACGCGGCGGCCGTTCCAAAACAGTATCCCGCGGACAGCACGCATGGCGGAGCAGGAGCCATTCGAAATCGATGACGAGGCGTTGGCGCAGCTGCAGCACAACCTGCGCGAGCACGAGGCCGCGTGGCAGGCGCTGACCGGGCAGGGTGATGGCCAGCTGCGGCTGGCACCTGAAGTGCTGGCGCAGTATGGTGTCGGGTTGGGATTCGTCGACTGCGCTGTACCTGAGATCGTCGATATGCGGGCGCTGGCCAGCGGCAGTAGCAGCCCAAGCGCTGTGCCGTGCCTGGTGTTTCCGCGCACGGCATTCCGCACCAACAGCTTCATTGGCGCGGCCAGCAGCGGTGCAGCCGACGCGCAGCAGGCGTTTGCACGGTGCAGGTCAAGGCCGTTGGATTCCAGGCCGGCGACGTGCAGGCCAAGCCCGGCGACGTGCAGATGTACTACCCGGCGGACGATGCGCAGCCGGGGCTGTTTGGATTCCACGTAGCGGCCGGTGCGCAGGCCGGCGACGTGGTGCTGACGGGCCGCGAGCTCGACGCCCTGGCAGTGTTCCAGGCGACGGGCATCCCGGCGGTGTCGCTGCCGCGCGGCGCATACCAGCTGCCACTGGACGCGATGCGCGCGCTGGAGCGATTCGAGCGCGTGTACGTGTGGTTGGACGACGACCATCAGGGCACGGAGGCGGCGCGTCTGATCGCGCGCAAGCTGGGCGTCGACCGCTGCCTGGTTGTTGGCCCACAGGCTGGGGGTGACGGCGCGCGGTCAGCCGGTGACGCGTTGGCGCGCGGGTTGAATCTGGCTGCGCTGCTGGATGCCGCACAGCCGCTGCAGCACGACAAGGTGCTGGCGTTTGCGGCGCTGCGTGACGCAGTCAAGTTTGAGGTCACTAATCCGGAGCTGATCCGCGGCGTGCCCAGCACTGACCTGCCCGGGTGGAACGCGTGCTTCAAGGGGCTGAGGCCCGGCGAGCTGACAATCCTCAGCGGCGCCACCGGCTGCGGCAAGACCACGGTGGCGTCGCAGCTGTCGCTGGACTTTTGCCGCAGTGGCGTCAGCACGCTGTGGGGCAGCTTCGAGATCCCCAATGTGCGGTTGGCTACGCGCATGATGAGCCAATTCGCGCGTCGCGACATCTCGCAGGCGCCTAGCGAGATCGACTACTGGGCGCGCAAGTTCGAGCAGCTGCCCATGTACTTTCTCAAGTTTCACGGCAGCACGCGGCCTGACACCGTGCTGGAGACCATGCGCCACGCGGTCTACGCGTACGATGTCAAGCACATTGTCATCGACAACCTGCAGTTCATGATGTCAATGCAAGCCAAGGGTATCGACAAGTACGATGCGCAGGACGCCGCCATTGCTACTTTCAGGCAGTTTGCCACGGACGAGAACGTGCACATCACTGTGGTCGCCCACCTGCGCAAGGACGGCCAGCCGCAGTCCGGCGCGGCTGCCGCGGATGCCGACATTAACTCGATCTTTGGCTCGGCTAAGGTCACACAGGAGGCCGACAACGTTGTCATCCTGCAGCGCCACGGCAACGCCGCTACCGACAACAAGATCCGCCGCCTGAGCGTGTTGAAAAACCGCTTTGACGGCACCCTGGGTAAGGTTTTTATCTCATACAGCACCGAGTCGCTGACCTTCCACGAGATCCCGCCGCCGCGCCAGCGCAAGTCCGTCAAGGTCGTCAAGGCCGTATCGGGCAAGCTCACCAAGGCCGACCGCCAGATGGCCGAGTCGATGGCTGCTGAGCACGGATTTGACGACGACATGTTTGAGCAGTCGCAGTCGCAATCGCAGTCGCAAGCGCAGAGTGTTTCTCAGGACGCTGCCGACAAAAACATAAAAGAAATTTAATACGATATTTTATGTTCAAATATATCCTAATCGGAAATACCTTGGTGATCCATCTGTGATCACGAAATCTTTTTTGAAATCCGCAAATAACCCCCGCAATCTGCCGCTTGTGCGTTTGCCTTTGAGTGTGATTGGCCCAGTCCATTCCTTGTGTAAGCTTTTCTTGGCAAGTGCAGGCTTTTTTATTTTGGCAGATAGATGGCATTCGATCTGGAGGGTTTTTTTCGATGATATTCTTCCGCTTTCTCCTTCCTTTTTGTTTCTAAATACTCCTCTTTTTTGTTTTGTTTTTTTTCTTGCTCTTATCGAGATTTACCTTGCATTTTTTAAATTCTTTTTCTTTTTAAAAAATGCTTCTTTCACACTCGCAGCGGGCGCCGCTGGTCGCTACCAGCAAGCTGCTGAATGCCTCGATGGTCTTGCGGTCCGGAACAGGTAAACCAAACAACCCGAATAACTCAGATGTTGTATCCGTCCGTGTGCGGCTGAGCAGATAAATCGATTAATTTGTTGATAGATAATGAGAGCGGCTTCCAAATTAAACTTTTTATTCGAATTGGAGGAGTAAAAAAATACTAAAAAAAACCGCAATTATTTATCTATATTTTCTCTTATAGTTGGGCTTTCGTTTGCAGGCGCGCGCAGCAGCTCTGGCGCCAGGCAGCTTAGCTCTCTTCTTGTACCGTCCACAGGCCGCCAGACCAGCAACAGGCCGGCGATCGCCTCTGCGCGGCGGCAACAGCTGCTCGAGCAGTACCAGCGCAAGGCCAGCGTGATGGTTCCAGCACGCGCACTGTATTTCTCCTTCCAGCAGCAGCAGACATCGTCTCTTTCCACGCTGCGCAACACTCAATCCGCCTCAGTGCTCCTGCGCACGGGCGACGAGGCAAAGAAGCCAGTGCCGACCAAGGATTTGGGAGCAGAACCAGTCAAGGTAGCCACGACGGAGGAGCCCAAGAAGACATTGATGGAGAAGATCAAGCACGAGGCGTTGCACTACTGGCACGGCACCAAGCTGTTTGCCAAGGAGGTGAAGCTGTCGTCCAAGCTTGTGAGCAAGGTGGTTTGGGGCGGTAAGCTGACCAGACGCGAGCAGCGTCAGCTGCGGCGTACATTTACGGACACGGTGCGGCTGGTTCCGTTTTTGCTTTTTGTCGTGATCCCGTTTGCCGAGCTCCTGCTGCCTGTGGCGCTCAAGCTGTTCCCCGGCATGCTCCCAAGCACTTACGAGGACAAGGCGTTTGCTGAGAAGAAGCGTGAGAAGGTGCAGGGGGTTCGCAACGAGATGGCACGGTATCTTAAGGAGACCATTGCAGAGATGGGTAAGGCACGCTCTGCTGCTAATGGTGAGCAGCAGCAGCAGCAGACAGTGGAGGATACGAGCGAGTTCCTGGCCAAAATCCGTTCATCGGGCGAGGGCGTTTCGACGTCGGCTTTGCTGCAGGTGGCCAAGATCTTCGAGGACGACCTGACTCTGGACAACCTGTCGCGGCCGCAGCTCGTTTCGATCTGCCGGTTCATGGGCGTCAACGCCTTTGGCACGGACAACTACCTACGGTACCAGATCACCAACCGCATGCGTTATATCCGCGCCGACGACAAGGTCATTGCGGCCGAGGGTATTGACTCGCTGTCGGTGCCCGAGCTGCAGTCGGCCTGCCAGTCGCGCGGAATCCGCACAGTGGGTGTTTCGCCGCAGCGCATGCGTGAGAGCCTGGAGCAGTGGATTGACCTGCATGTGGAGCGCAATATCCCGTCGACACTGCTCATTCTGTCGCGTATCATCACTGCTGGCGAGCCCCAGCAGCAGCAGCAGCAGCTGAGCAACGAGGCATTGCAGGCTACTATCAACTCGCTGCCCGACAACCTTGTCAACGAGGCGACACTGCGCTTGGCGGAGGTTAGCGGAAAGGCTACGTCCAAGCAGAAGCTCGAAGTGCTGGAGGAGCAGGAGGAGCTGATTGAGGACGAGGACGTGCAGGAGAAGAAGCAGAAGAGCGCAGAGGAGGCGGCGGCAAAGGCCAAGCCCAAGGCTGAGACCAAGGCTGATATTGAGACCAAGACCGAGTCTTCCTCGGACAAAAAGTAAAGTGGTATTTTTTTCCAATTAGAATCTATTATTTTATTATTCTGTTCATGTAAACAAGTGTACCAGCTTATTCTTGTGCATTCGGTGCCTGCACACCTTGCATGCCCTAGACCCAGCAGTAATATCCTCGTAGCAGGCGTTACACATAACATGGCCACAGCGGGGCGCCCAGGCCGGCTCCTTATCGAACAAAGTGCCCGTACACTGCGCACAGACAATCTCCAAAGCCTTTGAAGCCGTAGCAGCGGAAATATCCGCCGGCAGCGTATCCCTGTAGTTACACGCAGGCACGCAGCGCGAAAAGTCCGAGGTTTTGGCCAGCTCCGCCTGCTGCTTCGTCAGCTGAACCGGGGACAGCGGCCGCGGTCTCGCAGTATTCGATGGTGGCTGCGGGGCGGTGGCTTCAAGAAAAGTGAGCAGGTCCGAGATATCCTCGCCAGGGAAAAAATCAAACGGATTTAGCTGTGTTCGATTAGTGGAATTGCCGCTGCCATTGGTTGTGTTGCGCTGGAAGTGGTGCGGGAGTAGACCCGGGTGGAACGGAAACATGAATGGGATTGATGTGCCGGTGGCATTCTGTCCGCTACCTGGTCTGCTGCGGCGCTGGGCCGCGCGAGTCTCGTTTAACTGCCGATTCCGCTGACTCCGGTACCGACGCTGGATTTCTATTTCCGCCCGTGAATTGTGGTTGATGGATTGGGCTTGTTGCCGAGCACGCGCCTCTCTTATAAGCTGCATTGCCGCCTGTCTGTCTTCAGAATCGCGATATCTCCTGCCAACAAAGGGGCGGATTGTCCGAGCAGGGATGGAATTGCGCGGGCTTTCATTGCCACTGTACTCGCTGGATAGATCGTCAGAAGACGATACGTAGGATCTGTTTGCTGATGCTGATGCTGCTGCTGCCATTTGGTTGTAGGGTGTGGGGTCGACATCTTCGACGTCAATGGCTCCGTCGGCGGTTTCGCGTCCGGATATTACTGCTGAGGATAATGGTGAATCCGCCCCTGCTGCTGTTGCTGCTGCTGCCGCTGCCGCTGCAGCCGCTGCCTCTGCTATGCGTTGTTGGCGCTCGTGTGGAAGAAGAGGGCGGGCGTGGATGGGGTTATAGACGCCCGGCTGGATGGGGTCGTTGGCCATATGCTGCACGCCACGGGAAATTATTGGCGGCCGAGTCATATGCAACGGAACAAGCCGATTAGACCCCAACAGAACTTCTACTCTTTAAAAAAAAAATAAAAAAAGTATTAGTATTAATATTATTACAATTAATTTTTGCTTTCTTCTCTTGGAAAAAAATAATTACAATGCTTTTTTTTTTTTTTTTTTTTTTTGAGTTTTGAGTTTTGCTTACGTTGTTGTGGTCGGCCCTGTACATTACTACCATTACTACGGTTATTTCTGTTACCACTCCGTCCCGACATGAGCATCTGTCGTAAGGTGGTTATGCGCTCGATACGGCCATGGCTGCGCTCACTTGGCGGGCGGATAGGAGGCAGGATGTATCCCTGAGGGAGTGGCGGGACGCCAGCCGGCATACGCCCTTGGGCCTGAATGCCCTCTGCTGCTGCTTCTTCGTCACTGGATATCACTACAGGACCGGCGTACTCATTGTGTGTGTTGTTTGGGTGTGTGGTTAAAGGCGAATGCGCAGAATTTAATGGTGGTGGAGAGGTCGGTGAGTCTGTCAGGTCGACAACAGCGTCCATTTGAATAGAGAGAGAAAATAAAGAAAAATAAATGTGAGAATGCGAATGAGAAAAAAAAGAAAGAGAGAAGAGAATAAATATAAATAGAAATTCAGTAAAATGCAACAACGGAGGGAAAATTAAAATATATATTATATATATTTTTTTTTGCATAAATTAGCTGAGCGTTAGGCTTTTTTTTATTTTAAATGGTGCCTCTTTTTGATCAAGTTTTCCATAGCCTGGCTAAAATTGATATATTCGGAGGATTGAGAATCAAGAAAATTCTTTGTTTTTGTTTTTGTTTTTGGATATTGTATTGTTTTATTTTTACATAGTAATTTTTATTTTTCAATGGCGTAGCGCCTGCGACGACATCTGTGTCAGACCGTCAGCGCCGACATTCGACGGTCGCATCGGAATGGTGCTCTCAGCGATACCATACACGTTGATAATCTCCGTCCAAGTATTCTGATCCAGGCTGAAAATGAGCTGCTTCCTAGTCAACCCCATCTCATAATCAGCATGCTGCGGCGGCTCACAAGCCTCGATCATCGGCTGGCCTGTCTGATCATCAATATAGGCCTTGCCATCGCGAATAAGAAAAGAGACGTAAAAGATGTTCTCGACAGACTGCGAGAATGAATGCGGGTTGATGACGAACTGGAACAGGTTGATGGGGCCGACCTTGGTGAGTAAGCGGTGGACTTTTTGCACCAACTTTGTGGTCTGATTCTCCTGCTTCTTAATGTCGCTCTCGCCCATTGTGTCAATCTGGGCTTCGTGCACTGGGCCTTCCCTCTGAGTGTTCTTTTTCCGGGACACCTCTATTCTCTTACGCACCTTCTTCTCGGTCATCAGTGGGCCGTAAAGGCACGAAAAGCGCGGCGGCATCCGGCCAAACCGCATCGCCAGTGTTCCAACTTTAGCCCAATCTCCAGGCTGCTCCTCAGAATCTCCGGCTCTGGCTCCGGCTCCACTGGGGTACAAGACCATGCGCACTTGGTCGATGAATTCCAAAGGGTCAAAGGCTGCCGAGTCGATGCGCAGCTGGTGAGCGCGCTGGGCGCTGATGTCTGCGGAAAGAATCAGAAAGCGCGAGTCTAGGATACCCTCGGCGGTGGATTTGACGCCGTCGAAGAGCTGGTTGGCCCGCGCTAGGTCCTCGAGGAGCAGGGTGCCGTCGCCTGCAAGGTACTCCTTTTGCCGCGTCGTCGCGTCCGAGAGAAGGCTGCGGTATTGGTGGCGGGTCTCGCGCCGTTGGGCGAGAGCCTGGCCGTTGTCCGCTGTGGCGAGGTCGCTGTGGTCGAGAATGATGCTTGACATTTTTATAATAATTTAAAATTTAAGGGTGATTACAACTGTACAAGGAAGATAAAAAAGTAATAAATAAATAGGGGAACAAGGTGAACAAAAATGGTTTTCATTTTTCATTATTTGTTTTGGCCCAAAAAAAATTGTATTATTAATTTCTTCCTTTTGTCTGTCATTTACCATTCAAATTTAACACTAAATTCTTCGAAAACCCCAACACAATTTTATTAAACAGAATGACGCAGCCCTTGTCTAGTTCAAGCTCAATTGCAGGCTCACCGAGTCCACTACTGGCACAAACACCGGGCACCAATGTATCACACCGGCACCTGCAGACGCGGGTAAACAACAGCGGCAGCGGCAGCAGCAGCAGCAGCGGTGGCGGCGGCGGCGGCGGCGGCGGCGGTATTGGCGGCAGTCAGACAGCTGCGGCGAGCCACGGATCACGCACAATGGTCATTGATCCAAGCCACACAGTACCGGGACTAGGGCCGGATCGATCCGCTGGAGTACTTCATCTACGCGGATTCCCCGAAGAACACACATCAGAAACAACAATAGCAGCAGCAGTGGGTTCGCCTCGGGTGCAATGGTCCGATGATACGGTGGATAACGAGGGGCTGGGAAAGAAGAAAAGCAAAGTGTGCTGTATTTTCCGCAAGGAGCGGCAGTTTGGCGAGTCTGATTCGGACGAGAGCTGTTGCTCGTCCGACGATAGCGATGCGCCCAATGAGTACGAGCGCATGCCGCGGCACCGGAAGAAGCACCACCAGAAGCACTAGCAACGGAGAGGCTGCGGAGTCACAAGAGGAAATCAAAGGACATCGATGAATTGGGGGGGGGAGGTTGGTTGTTGCACAAGGAAGGAAGAAAAGCAATTTTCTTTAGCACTTACCACTTTGGGAGAGGGGGGGAGGCAGTGTTGTTGTTGGACTGGGCGCCGTGCATTATTCATTATTTGACTGTGGATGGTGTGTTGATGCGCACATTTGGTGTGTTGATGAGAGCGCCTTTGGTGTGCTTCCTGTTTCTTTTTTTCCATTTTTTTTCTTGCCTCAGCTTTGGCTCTTGACTTTTTTTTATAACACAATACAATGAGGGAATTGAAAGAATCGAAAAGGTACTTGCATTGATGCTGGTCTTGATCGACGGACAATGGCGATGGTGGCGGCGGTGGCGGCAATGGTGGCAGAGGCGGGTGGGGGACGGCAGGCAGACGCAGCACAAAGAAGCAGCCGCGGCACAGAGAGACAGCCGTGGTACAAAGAGGCAGGCGCAGCACAGAGAGGCAGACGCGGCCTCTTCTGCCAGAATCAGAATAAAAGAAAAGCACAAAAGCTCCGGCCGGGCCAGCAGGCAAAAAAGAAAGCACTTTAAACTTGCTGCTCAGTCTTTTCGCCTCAAACTCACTAACATCACCATGCATGCGCCGCTCTCTACGCGTAGGGTCGGCGACTTCAGCCGCGTTCTTTTCCCCAGCGACAGCGCAGCAGTGGACCTTGCGCAGCTCTCCGCGCTGTGCTTCGGCGGCATCCCCGACGGCGTGCGCGGGCTGCGGTCAATCTGCTGGCGGCTGCTGGCGGGCAGCCTGCCGGCGGACCGGCGCTGCTGGGCCTCGGCCGCCGCGGCCGGGCGGCTCGCGTACTCCGACCTTGTGCACAGCTTATGGGAAGCGCGGGCGGCCGCTGGCGCTGAGGTCGCGCAGGTGCGCGCCGACGCTGAGCTCGCGCAGGTGCGCGCCGACGTTGCGCGCACGCAGCCGGACATTGCGCTCTTCCGGCAGCGCGTCCAGCAGGCGCAGGCGCCCGGCCGCCACGCGTGCGCGCTCGCGCAGCGCATCCACCAGGCACTGGGCGGCGGCGCCGCGCCGGCGGCTCTTGCCGGCGCCGACGCGTGGACGCACGCCGACGCGATGGCACGCGTCCTGGTGGTGTACGCGCGCTTCAACCGCGGCAGCGGCTACGCGCAGGGGATGAACGACGTGCTGGCGCCGCTGTACTACGCGTGCGCGGCAGACGCCGGCGGCGACGCCGAGGCGGCGGCATTCCACCTGCTGGTGCGCGTGCTGCGCGGCGCCCACCTCGACTTGTTCGTCGCCGCCATGGACGACGACGGCGCCGGGCTGCGCGCTGCGCTGCGCCGCTGGTGGGCGTGCGTGCAGGCGGCCGATGCGGCGCTGTGGGCGCGGCTGCGGCGCTGCGGCGTGCGGCCGGAGCACTTTGCGCTGCGGTGGCTGCTGGTCTGCGGCGCGCGCGAGTTTGCGCTGCCCGACGTGCTCGCGCTGTGGGACGCGCTTCTGGCCAACGCCGCGCGCATAGCCGCCGGGCCAGCCGCCGCCGGGCCAGCCGGTGCCCTGGCTGCCGCCGCCGAGGCGCCCGTCGCGCTGATTGGCCGCGCGCCGGGCGCCGTGCACGTGCACGCGCGCTTTGGTGCGTCGGGCGACGGCGGCGAGTGGGCGCAGCTGGGCTTTCTGGGCGACTTCTTTGCGGCTGTGCTGGTGGCGCTGCGGCCGCGGCTGCTCCGCGCGTCGTTCGACGAGGCGCTGGAGCTGCTGCAGAACCTGCGCGCAAGCGCCGTGCCGGAGCTGCAGGACATGCGCGTGCTGGTCGCCCAGGCCGTGCGGCTGCGGCGCCGCCGGTGCGCGGCACGTGCCGAGGCCGCCTGCCGCGCCGTCGCCGGGCTGGCATGCGCGCTGCCGCTGCAGCAGCTGTCGTGCGCCGCCGTGCTGCGCCGCCTGGCGCCGGCGCTGTTTGCGCCCGACGTGCTGTGCGCCGTGCCCGAGCCGCGCGGCGTGCTGGCCGTGTACCGCTGCGCCGCGGGCGAGCAGCCGCTGCTGCTGGGCAGATGCGGCGCAGAGGGCCCTGTGGCGGCGGCCGGCGCAGAGGGCGACGAGCGCCCATTGTCACGTGCCTTGTCGGAAAAGCCGGCCGCTGCGAGTGCCGGCGGTGCCGCGCCCCGCCCGTGGTGGATGGACGCTGTGCTGCTGCCGCCGCCGGCGTCCCCGCTTGGCAGCCTGGGCCGTGGCTGTGGCCGTGGCCGGCGGCGCGTCGAGCTGGTCGACCACGACAGCGACTGACCTGTATTTTCCCTTTATGCCTCTTTGTCTTTACAATTCACCTAATTTAATTTTTGTTTTTTTTTCCACTTTCAAAAATGCAATGAAGCCGCAATGCAACAGCCCGCAATGCAACAGCCCGCAATGCAACAGCCCGCAATGCAACAGCCCGCAATGCAACAGCCCGCAATGCAACAGCCCGCAATGCAACAGCCCGCAATGCAACAGCCCGCAATGCAACAGCCCGCAATGCAATTCCACTAGCCCCCAATGCAACAGCCCGCAATGCAATTCCACTAGCCCCCTACTAGCCACGCTGCCGTTCGACATTCTCTGCAACATCTTCGTTTACGCGCAGTGGCCAACGCTCGCGCTAGTGTCGCGCAGCTTCTACCAGGCGTCGCGGTCGATGGGCGTGCGTGCGCGCTTCTACCTTGTTGAGTTTGGCCGCGACCGCGTGCTGGACGGGCTGCTGGGCCTGGCGGCGCGCCGGCCGCGGGCGCTGCGCCAGGATGTTGTTCTGCTGCTGTTGGCGCTGGGCGCCGACCCGCGCGCCGACGACCAGTGGATTCTGCGCCATGCCTGTGCCCACGCGTGGGCGCCGGTGGTGGCCAAGCTGGCCGCCATGCGCCACAGGACGCGCAGCGCCGCAGAGGCCAGAAGCAACTCTGGAAACCCTGGCCGGGCGCTGGACGCCTGGCGTGGCGGCGGCAGTGCTGCGCCGGGCGCTGCTCCGCTAGGCGCGCTGCTGGTGGACGTCGGCCAGGACAACGGCGCGGCGCTGCGCATTGCCGCAGCTAGCGGCCACGCCGACATTGTGCGGCTGCTGGTGTCCAGCGGCGCCGACGTGCACGTGCAGGACGACGAGCCGCTAGCGCGCGCCGCCTCCGCCGGCCACGCGGCAGCTGTCCAGGCGCTGCTGGACTGCAACGCCGACGCCGCCGCCGACGAGTCTCGCGCGCTGCGGCTGGCCGTTCTGGCCGGCGATAAGAACCTTGTGTGCGTGCGGCTGCTGCTGGACGCCGGTGCGCAGCCGCGCGCCATGGGCAACAGCGCGCTGCTGTCTGCCGCCTACCACGGCGACGGGCTGCGCCAGCCGGCGCAGTCGGCCCAGCGGTACCGGTCGCGCGCCTCGGCGCCGGCCCCGGCGTCACCACCGGCTGCAGCAACCAGCCATGTTGCGCTCGTGCGGCTGCTGCTGGCGCGCGGCGCCGACCCTGATGCGCGCGGCGGCCGGCCATTGGTCTTTGCCAGCTCGCGCGGGTCGCCGCTGACGGTGGCTGCGCTGGCCGGCGCCGGCGCCGACGTGCACGTGCAGGATGATGAGCCGGTGCGTGCGGCGGCGGAGCGCGGCCATGCCGAAGTACTCCGCTTGCTGTTGCTACGCTTCGGTGCACATGCCAGTGCCCTGGAAGAGAGCGCCCTGCAGGGTGCTGCGCGCGGCGGCCATTTGCCCTGTGTGCGCCTGCTTCTGGAAGCTGGCGCCAATGCGGCGGCTGAGGGCGGCCGCCGCGCACTGGTGGCTGCAGCGAGGGCCGGGTGGGTCGATGTTGTTGCGGAGCTTGTGGCTGCGGGCGCTGACCCGGCTGACCCTGAGTTTGTTGCCTGTGCAGCCAGATCCGCTACCCTGCGTCGCATGCTGGGAATGCCCCCGCCTAACTGTCTTTTGAACTCTGTGTGATTTTTCTTTTTTTTTTTTTTCTCTAATAGAAAGCGTTTGGAATATTAAAATATATGTGTATGTGTATGTGTATGTGTATGTGTATGTGTATGTGTATGTGTATGTGTATGTGTATGTGTATGTGTATGTGTATGTGTGTACATATCATATACATATATTTGCGAAACCTTTTTTTAAAAAATGTTACTGTTCCCTTTTTCCCTCCTTCTTGTTACTGCTAAAGTATTGCTGATCTTTTTGCAGAATGTTTCAGGAAAATAAGACTCCGCTTCGAAGAATGGAGGATGGAAAAAAATGTACTTTACAAACACAATATTATACTCAAGCCCGCATCAGCGCCAACGCCAACACCAGCGCCAACGCCAGCACCAGCACCAACGTCAACGTCAACACCAACACCAACACCAACATTCCCTTGTCCATTGTTCATAGCTTATTTACTCCTTATCCCTTGCGCCTTGCGCCTTGTTTTTGCGTTTTCTTGCTCCTTTCTTATCCTCTTTTTTCTCTTTTCTCATTATTGACTTTTTTGGATACTACTTATCTCTCTAATATTTTATTTTGAATATTAACCATGATATCATCAACCGACGCCAGTATTCAACCAAACAACAGCGACGACCACCACCAAGATCGCTACGTTAATCACTGGCTGCCTGAAATCAACTCGCCTAGTCTTTCGATAACCATGCTCTCGCTCGCCCAGGACAAGAAGGATAACTCAGAGGCTGTCAATTCTGCCAATTCTGCCTATGAACTTGTTGCCAAGGAATGGAAGCCAACCATACCAGCCTTTGCTCCCGCTTCCGCTTCCATTTTAGCTGTAATTGGTGAGAAAGACGAGGAACAGATGGACTTCTCTTACCTGGACACCATCAAGTCCACAGGCTACGCAGACCCAAATGATCCGGACACCAACCTATCCCTGTCGATTCTTCCCGCCACTCAGCATCCTCCGCAGCAGCATGGGGAGGTTACTACGAAGGAAATGCTGGACCATCTGGGGTTTGATTTCGACTTTGCCACGGATCCTGAAATAGGTGACATAAACAACGCCTCACTGTTCTCAATCTACGACAAGATCGCCAACCTCACAAGTGACTGTCTACTGCCAGCACCTACTTCGCCCGAAGCACCCACTCAAATGCAACAACAGAATCAGCAGCGGCAGCGGCAGCAGTGGCAGAAGGAAGTGGAGGATTATCAGCAGGTTGGAGTGGGAAAGTCGGCGTCCCTGGGAATGCGGGTTAGACAGAGAAGGTCAAGCATTACTAGTCTTTTGACGAAAAGACCGATTCGATCCAACAATGTTGGCGATGCAATTTTGGCGAATCCAACTGTGACTGCGTCCAAGGGTGAGCAAGTCATTCAGGTGGACAATGAGGTTCCGGCTGCTGATCCTGCTATGTCTGCTACACCTGCTGCACATGCTGTGTCTTCTGCGTCTGCTATGTCTGCTCTGTCTGTTGTTGAGGCGCAGGCCGATGCAAAGCTGGATGAGGGCAAGTCTGAAGAACATACTGCTGCTTCTGCTTCTTCTTCTGCTGGTACCCAGTCTTTTTCGGATAAACCCGCGGCTGATCTGACTGTTTTCTTTGGTCCTGAGCAGAAAGGAGGGGAAAAGAAGGGGCAAGCAGAGGAGGAAAATAACCATGTATCCGAGGCTAAGCAAAAGCCACAGCAGACTGTCGAGAACACCAGGCCCTCCACTGCTACTCCGGTTATGACCACAGTCGCCATAGCTATTTCTGCCACCACAGCTTTTTCCTCTGTTAGGGCTCCCGTAGTTACCAGCGCTGAGACCGAAACCTCTGACATCAGCGCAAGTGCAAGTGCAAGTGCAAGTGCAAGTGCAAGTGCAAGTACTAGTGCAAGTACTAGTGAAATTACAAGTGCTAGTGAAATTGCCAGCAGGGAAGTCGGCAGTAACACCAGCAGCAACGACAACCATAGCGATAACATTTTCTACGACAACCCCGCCACCACCATTATCACGGGCAACAACAACCAGCAGCAGCAGCACCAGTCTTCGAGCACCCAGTCTGTGACAAACGTTACTCGGCGCCCAAACCCAGTGTCTCGTAACTTGGATCGCCGCTCGTCAAGGATTCTCGATGGAATTTCACGCAAAGTCCAGCATGTTCGCCAGACCACCTCTATGGTCTTCAGGCGCTCAGCCACCTCACATGTACCGGCTATTCCGCATACCTTTTTTGATAACACCCGCGGATTAGCCGCTGCCAACACCACCAATGCAGAGGACAATCAGGTTGGAATTAATGTGGACGCGCATGATGTGCCCAAACCCGAGGACAGCAGCATGGTAAATGCAGAGGCTGGAGCTAGGGCCAGAACTGGGGAGGCGGAGGAGTATGTACATGTTGGGACATCGGATGAGGCTGATTTTGAAAAACCCTTGGTTGGTGCTACGACGGAGATAAAGCTGCCAACTGGTGGCCGGATTACAAGAACGCTTATGTTGGCAAAAAGGAGCACCAATGTGGCTGTTAGGAACAGCGTAACCCGTGTAAAGAGCATATTTGTTTTGAAGAGATCTGTCGCTGCTTAATTATGACGCCGGAAATGCTTTCAACAATTTTTTTATTTCTTTCTCATTTTTCTTTTCTTTCAACTATAATATTTTAACGTTAACAATATTAACATTTTTCTTTCAAAAAAGTAAGTTTCATGTTGACTGTAGCCAATCTTTCTTTTATATATGCCTGTGAAAAATGTTCTAATATGTATTCTAATATATTTTTTGTCGAGATATAGAACACAAACTACACTGTAACAAATCCCCAACCTGCTGGATTATTTTCAAGCCTGTGTTTACCCACTAATCTTTACATTTTATTAAAAGGTAAGTGCATTAACACCTTTCGCCAGAGGTAGAGCAAAGGCAGCACACATGCAGTCTCGATATAAGCATTCTTTAATTTGAAGTCGTACATGTATGCGTTCTTTTTCACATAGTATCGCTCATCTATTCCGTTTCATTTACCGCCAGTCCATATCATATTTTCCACGAGTATACTGGATGATCGGCAATGACAGCGCATGTACAGTTTGTTTGTTTTCCTACTTCATCCCGGACTGCCATTCCACAAGCATACGGATCTTACCTAAAAAAATTAGTAATATTGAAAGCTGCATAGCGACTAAGCCTCTTTTTGTTCATGTATTGCCGATGTCACTCCCCACGCCTACCCCTTAAATATCATTTGTTTATTGTTTTGTTTTTTTTGCATTGTTTTTTTTGCGCGGCACGAAAAAAAAAGCTGGACACGCTTGAAATTGTTTAAATGTACATAATCCGAACGAGTTCCTCGGAGTGCGGCAGCTTCATGCCAAACTGACTTTCTATAAATTATTTTGACAATGACGCTCTCCCACCTGTCTATTTTTTCTTTTTTATTCCTCCCCATCAACCATTATATTTTGTTGCACTCTAAACAAATTACTTTAAATCAACACATTACAATTTTTCTTTTTCTTTTAATAGCCCTATTGCTATGTTTTCTGCTTTTGCGCCCTTTAGTCCTCGTCTCTGGACCTCGGCTAATGTCAACAATGCCATTTCCAAGGCGCTTTGCACAATTTCTACCAGCAGCAGGTCTGCTCAACACTCATCCACCACCCTAGTTACCACCGACTTGACCAATGTTGACGACACTCTAACTGTCTCCCATCTGCCCATCATCCCCGCTACCACCACCAAGTACACGTACATCCAACCCCAAAATAACATGTTCAGCTCGCCGCTGCTCGACAAGCTTTTTATCCAAGCTCAAATCGACGACATCGAGAGAGGGAACCAGCAGCTGCGCGCAGAGATTATTAAGGTACAATCGGCTAACAAGCGTCTTGAGGGTGATATCCCAGAGTACCTCGCGGAAAACGCAGAGATTGTTCACGAAAATATACTCTAGACCAAGCTGCTCCAAAAGCTGCCCCCCGTGATTGATGCACAGGTGCGGGAGGTCGAGGAGCATGCCGAGATGTATAGGGAACTGAAAACGGTGAATGAAAAGTTGCGCAAACAGGCCAAAATGATGGATTTCCGGGTTCAGTCGGTTCGTACTGAGATAGACTTTGCGTATAGCACCATCATAAACTTTGGCAGCCGAAAGAGCGAGGCTGGTAGGGGGTATGATAACTTGTACAAGATGTGCGAGCCGTTCAAGTATTTTGTGGATTAGCCGGTGGACAACAAGGTGGCGGACAAGGTGGCGACTGTGTAGATTTTATTTCCTCTTTTTTTGAGGGTCTGGCTAGTCCGCCCAAAAAAATAAAAGCTGGATGTCTATATTTCGCAGCGCCGCAGCTTGTAACCCAACTATCCTTTGAAATCTTCGATTTTCTTTTTAATTTTTCTTTTCTTTTTTGTTTACTATAAAAAATATATTTATTGAAAATTCAAACTGCGCTAATGTGCTCCAGGTACCCAATGGTTATCAGATGCTCAATATCCGACCGGTGCAGGTAATGCTGCGACCCAGCCTGCAAGTTGACCACACCATTCTCCGTCACAATTTCTCCGCAGTCCTTAATCACCCGCACCTCAATCAGCAAGTCCCTGGGCGGCAGCTCACCATTAGCCGTCCAATCCAGGGACTCATTGTGACAAAGCTGCCCCTCAACCGCATCCCTATACGCCGAATTCAGCCTGGCGTACTCCCGCGCATAATTCAGCTCCTCAGGCGCCAGCCTTACCGACAACGCAGAAGGTGCCAAGGATGGAGCCAAGTGTAGCGCCCACAATAGTGACCTCACAAACTCTACCCGCCGACGATGGTACGCCAACAGGCATCTCTTGTTGCGATTCAGCGTCAGCAAATATAGCGCCGCCTGTGCATTCGTGTTCTCCACAAACTCATTCCCACCAGTCATCCGGCCACCCATGCTGCTGCCATCGATGAGGTTGCCATCCGTGTCCTGTGTTTGTAGGTTGCTTCGCATGTATGTTTGTGAGGTCGCCAGGTTGCTCCCTCCTGATGCTGCTGCTGCGGATGACGTTTGATTGTACGCTGTGGATGTGCCTTGTTGGCTGCTATTATTAGAGTTGTTTAGGCTGGCTATCATCTCTTCAATGCGTGTCCATAGGTAGCGCGTCTCTTGCGTTACCAGTCGCACTTGCTCCTCGTTGTATGTCGGAATGTGCTCGGCCGTTATGTCCTTGGCCTCCTTGACCAGCCTGAATGCCTCGTCGCCAAGCATTTCAAGCGAAATATAATTTTGTTGGTGATTGCAATGAGCTCGTTTAAATGGAAGAAAATGTGTGAATTAAAAATGCAAATGAAAGTGAAAAAACGAAACAATTTTGTTTATTCGCTTGGTGAGAATTATCTGGTTTACGATTTTCGATAATTCGACCTGATCGATTTAACGTGATGCAAAAAAATCAATTTGAAAAATTAGTAGTCGTCATCGCTGGCTTGATACATGTACTTGTAGCATTGTGTTGTGATGTGCCTACTAGCCAAATAATAGAGCAATTCCTTGTAGATAAGTGGTCAAAGAAAGCAAGTAAACAGGCAAATATGTGCACAAACAATTTTTTGTTTTATGTCTGGCACAGATAACATTGCATATAAACTGATTACAATACATGGCTGTTTCATGCTCTCGATCTCAAGGACAATATCAACCAATCCAAAGCAAGCATGCCGTATCAGTGGGATAACAAAGTAATGGGTGTAGCTGCGTAGAGCCAAAATGCAATTGTTTTATTTTTAATAATACTTTTATGTATACCTTCACTTTTGTACAATTGTGTTGGGCATTTTTGTTTGCATTTTGCGTTTTGCATTACAATCGCATACAAAACGCCGCTCGAGTTGGGGATTCTTACACAGCACGAGGCAGAATAAATGGCTGATAAAAATGGATAAAACAATATTTATTTATATTTGCACGGTGATAAGCAATTTCCTCACCCAACACTTACAGAATGTGCGCACTTTTGTCATTTATCCGCCATTGTTTATTCATTCCAGGGGCCTCATCGTGTTTCTCAGGGCAACATTTATTGGGCATTTTTTCTTGCTCAAAAGTTTCTAAATATAAACAACCAGGGACAAGTGAGGCATATCATGGCGCACTTTGATAAAAATAACAAATTACGTGTTAACAATGACATTTCACGCAATATTGAGGTATGCTTTCCTCCCAACACAAAGATGCATGCAGTTATTTTTGTAAAAAAAGCAATTGAAACATGGCCATAGCTTTGGTCATAATTTTGCCCGAGTGCATAGCACACCCGCAGCTAGATGCTCAAACTAATGGACAATTCCGTGCTTCCCCTCCAATCCCCTGTCTTCTTTGTGTTTGGCTTTAAATCCCAATTATATTTTTGTATTTCCACCAATACCGACATACACTATTGTAATATTAAAATGTATTTGCTATGTTTACTCAGTAAATCCGCCTTTCATTTTGGAATGGTTAGCACTTTAGAATAATATATATAAATAACCCAAGCTTTCTCCTCTCCCCTATTTCCAATTACCCACCAATAGCTCCAAAACCTACACTAAAAGGAACATCACCACCAATAAACTTTACTTCATCATTGTTTTGTAAGCGCTTTATTTTTGGACTATTTTAAAAATGATCTTCAAAATCAACATTTACACCATTACTGCCGCGCTATCAGCATTGTATATGCCCTCAACCACACTCGCCAATCAAACTGACTGTGTGACTTCCTTCAATCCCAAGGCTGACTACTTCCCAGACAAGGTCCAAGTCAAGTACAATTCCGGGTTCAGTATTACTTACAAGGGCAACTCAAAGCATATCCGCAATAACATTTCAGACGAGACATACATTCTGTACCAATGCGGCACACCGATCCCCAACGATGCTCGGCCGACCCCGGCGAATAGCTCTCAGGTTGGCGGGTGGACCAAGGTTATGGCAGTCCCTGGGACTAAGGTAGTTTTGGACTCGGCCCCTGCCAGCGCCATCATCGAGTTTCTTGATGTTCAAAATTCAGTCGCTGCCTCATATGAGCATTTTGCGATCACTTCACCATGCATGCAAAAGGTCATTGGCGCTCTACCACGCGTGCAGCAAAACTTTGGTACGCCCAAGGCAAGAAGAAGAAACATAATTGACCGTGTTCCTCGTGTATTCTACGACCTGGCAATGGAGGAACTACAGTGGACGTTCACGACGTACGGAATGAGTGACCCACACTCGATCGCTGTCAACCCCGAGGATGCTAGCGATATGTTAGGCAAGGCCGAGTGGATCAAGTTTGTTGCTGCCTTTTACAACAAGGAAGCACGGGCCAATGAGATTTTTGACCAGATCGAGGCTCGCTACAACTCAGTTAAAAGGTCAGCTGCAAATGGAAGCAAGAAAACAATTGGCTTTGCTCGCTATAGCAAAGTCGCCAATGGCACTGTGACCGGCTGGACCATTGACCAGCCGCAGCAGTGGATGGCCCAGGGCCTAGCTGATGCTGGCTTAAACGTTCATTCTGGTGGCATGACAAGTTTTAAGAGTGTCGACGATTTCTACGAGGCCGTCTCTGGATGGGACATCCTCATTGATCTTAGCAGTGAGCCACTACCACACGGCGGCGCCACAATTCCCGAGTGGAGCAACCTGGTCGAGGGCTACAAATTCAGCATCAACAACAAAGTTGCCAAGTCCCTGCCGTTTTTTGCCAGCAATTCTATCTACAGATCCGACTTGATCAGCAGCTACCAGAACGCAACTGACTTTAGCGAGCACTTGCAGGTTCAGCCCGATGATCTTCTCAGCGACTTTGTCAAGCTTGCCACAGGTTCATTGGGCGCAAAAGACACCAAGTGGCTCCGCAATATTCCCGGAAAAGTGCCAGTTCATTGGGTTTCGCCTGCCGACTGCAAGAATTAAAACAAAAGAATTGGAGGCACCAAACTTTATTGTTCCTGGATTTTTTGGTTTATACAACACACTAGTGAAAGTGTATTTTGGAATTTCCAGACATTTATAGCAAAAGTCCAGATTTTTGAATGAAAATTGCATATTATTTTGAAACAAATTAAATGAAAAATTAGAAAGCACTGAGCGCGTACCAAACAACACCTCTTGTGGGAGGGACCAATTATAGTAGAGGTTTCAAACTCTGCTGTTTAATAAAATGACAAATGTCCTCTGTCAACTCCTTTCATCCGCATCTCATATCCAGGTTCCAGTTTCTTTGTCCTGATAGTGGGCGTCCACAGGCTTCTTGAGTTTTTCCAATATATTATCTATCGGTGCTAGATACACCTGGAGTATGTTGACCATTTGAGCCAAGTGATCTCCCGGCTGGGTGTTAAAGATTGCAGTTGAAGTTCTCTCGTATTCAGAACTTTATGCTCCCGTCGTGGACGCATGAAACATGTCTCTGTGTCTCAATTGGGCTGGCAGCCAGGCGACGGATCATAGACACATTTCTGGTTTAGTGTACGCGTCAGGGAAGCATATTTTTTACAGCAGTGAATGGCAGGGCCACTATGCTCCCAAAAGAAACAATATAAGCTCAAAATCAATGCGCAAGGAAAAAGAACAATGCCGATTGGAAATTAATCCGTAAATATAATTATTTCTTGTTTCCATATTTCAGCCAACCAAATGCAAGCACTAAAATTAGCTTGAAAGCTTATTGTTTATAATAAAAATATTATTCATTTTTTTGTGCAATCTATCGCAACAAATTTTCACCTTTGCAACTTTCCATCTTTGCTTCTACTTTTAATATTTGCTTTTTTTTCCAATTCGTACCATTTCGTTCAATTTGTTTTATTCACTTTTCCATTAATTTTACCATATCTCAGTGCTTATCACACACACTCTCTCTCACCATCGCTCTCACACACTCTCTCTCAATGATGTCTGAGCTAGCTCCTCTGAATAAGACTCCGCCGAATCAAACAGGCGTAAGTACTTGAATATAAACAAATCATTATTATATTGATGAATTGTTTGTTGTTTATTTTGCGTGCGTATAAAACTAATTCGGTCACTATTTTCAAACATTTTGTTTTATTTTTTATTAGAAGAGCAGGACAAGCGGTACTTTCCAAACGCCCTCAAAAACTCAAAAACATACCGAGCTGCCTCCAGGGGAATGGGAGCCCGAAGAAGTACGCGATAAGCGCCGTCAGCGGCTGCTGAAATGTCTCGACAACAACATAATACACAACCATCTGTTCAATGGCTTTGTTGAATCTCTGGGTGTGAAGGAGCGGTATGAACGGTTCATCAAGGATTGGCCCAATCTCTTCCTCAGCATAGCCAGAGGGTCGCCAGTGGCTGATAGCAAAGGCATCGTAGCCAATACAGATCGCTCGGTTGAGGAGTTTGGCGATTCCCCCATTGCTGACGTTTTCAAAAACAACTCGGGGAAATTGATAGGGTTGGCTAAGGAAGCTCGTTTGGTCAAATATTTTATCCTCCTCTTCAACACGATGGTCAATGCAGTTCGTGCCGCAAATAGAGTTATTCCAGCAGGCGGAACTCTAATCCCAGACTGCAAGCTTAAGCTGAAGGACCATCAGCTTAAGGTTATACCAAAGACTCCGCACAAGCCAGATATCGCGTTTTACTACAGTGATTACGCAGAGGAGAACGCTCATTCCATCCATGCTATACTCGAGGCTAAGATGGATCCAGATCTCAGCGGACCCATAGAGGATACTCGTGGCCAGCTCGCAGATTACGGCTATTTGCTCAATGATCAGCAGGCAACCCGCACGTTTGCGCCTGTCTTCTACCTCCATGGGCACCTCCTGACGCTTCATGCATATTATCGTGATAAACTGTACATCGTCAAGCTTGGCCAGCTGTGCTTTGATACGGATACCTCGACATCTGATGGAGCTGAAAAAATCCAGACATGCCTCATGCGGTTCTGGTTCCTACTGACTCTTAAGTCAGACATTTTCGGGCACTTCTGCAATGTCTCAGAGGAATCCAACTCTTTCATTTTTTCGCAGAAAGTCGATGTGGAGAGCAAGGGCGATTCGAAGATCGAAGTCTTATACTCGGTTTCCCAAGATGTCAAGGATGTCAGGGATGGGGCTGCTCTGTTTTGTATCAAGGAGACAATAGCGCGTTATTCATACATGATTGGGCGCCATATCCATTTATTCAGGGGAGAATTCAATGGACTGTATGATGCTGTGCTGAAGCTTTCCTGGACCCCAGTCAATCGTTTGCCCGAGGGTGCCGCATACGCCATCCTCAACAAGAGACCAGTCGAATGTATTCCCAAGATCTTTTCGAGTGGCCTGCTCATCAGCAACCTCAATGGATACCGACTGGAGTTTGTGCTCATGGAGTACTGCGGCCAGTCAATGGCCGAGTATCTGAAAGACAAGGCCGACGATCAGAAAGACGAGCTGGTTCCTGGCTTTGTCAAGCAGCTGACCCTGTGCATTACCCAGGCAAATGATACTGGTGTCCTGCACAGGGACATCTCAGCAGGGAATGTGTGCATCAAAAACGACAAGGTGTATGTCATTGACTGGGGCTGTGCCAAGGTCGTTGGCTGGGGCACTACTAAGGATGCTGCCAGGGACACTGACCCAACCCAACTCAAACACATTGATGTTGCCAAGCAGTGGGGGTTCAATGCGACAACAGTGGGACAGGTGGAGGTGGCCAAGGACCCATTTACAGGGACACCGCTTTTCATGGGAATTCCCATGCTCAGAAGCAGCCCCATTCGGGGAATACTTGATGACCTGGAGAGTGTTCTCTATGTCGTTATGGATGCAGTGCGCCCAGCTGACACTAAGAGGGATGATGTTCAGGGGTTCAAGTTCTTGGACTCTCCATCCCTTGCCATCACAAGGTGGGGTTTGATCCAAGAGGATGCTGTCTTGCTGGAGGAGTTTGGTGTTAAAAACATCAACCCTAGACTCAAAGAGCTCATTTGTGTGATGCGCCGGTTCCTTTTTGAACCAGAAAACAGGGTTATGAACCATCGGCTCTGGTGGGACAAAAAATTTGTCCGACGGGCCAACTGGGATGTCGCTCCTGAGTTTATGCACCCCAAAGCGATTGAGCTGCTCAAAGAGGATAATGGCCAGCTTAAGCGACCAGCTGAGGACGAGATCAATGCTGGGCCATTCAAGAAGCTAGCTCTTTAGGTTTTTTTTGTTTTTAATAAATCTTTTTTTGATCCCCAAAAAATTAACTGCAAAAGATAAAATATATATATTTTACTCATTTTCTTTGCATTTAGTAAAATTTTTAACTCTTGTCTGTCCCTCTTTTATTTACAAATTCACCAACCCACCGATCACCTTTCACCGATCACCTTTCACCGATCACCTTTCACCGATCACCTTAACTGTAAACAATAAATACTTTTAAAGTCGCATCTTGACTAATTTTAATCAGGGTTGATTTCATCCACAATTTTCGATTTTTGCTATTTTGCCAAATGATTCCATTTTAACGTTTTTGTTTCTAATTGCTCCATTTTATCATTTTTCCTTTCCTTTCCAATTCCAATTTCGCATTTTACAATTTGGTATTTTTTCACACACTTTCAATAATCTTTTGCCAGCATAGATGATAGCCGGTATTATCTCGCAATTGGCGTCGGAGCAGCACTCGGCATATACCGGGTAATTTCGCATCTTTTGGACCAATCACAGTATGAGTTAGATTTCCGTTACCCACACTGACAAACACAATGACAGCGATACACCTGATATGCCAGGACCAATAATTCCAAAAGGGGGTGCGGACATTGAGGCAGCATTGGACATTCGGATGCCCGAAATGGTCAATTCCTTGGCACAATTGGCGTTGAATTCGGACAACTTTAAGCTGCAGGGTGCTGCGTCTGAGCTGGTGCTCGATATGGCCATGCAGTGAGAGATCCTGCAGCTGATAGTCGCGCAGGCCCAGGACAGTTCAACAGTAGAGGAGGAGGAGGGCCGGTTGAGGACAGTTGTGTTGCTGCAGGTGCTCGTCATGATGCTGCAGCAGATCGGCAGGGTGGTTTGGGCCGGCAGCATCGAGGCGCTGATAGAGGCTATGTGCGCGCCCAGGGAGAAAGAAGTGGTGATGCGGGCAGCCACCACGCTGGTCGGGTTGCAGACTGCTTGAGGTGCTCAGTGAGGGACTTCTGCAGTCAGCTAATGGCTTGGCTCAAGGCAGCAGCAAGCAGAGGCAGCAGTCAGACTCTGTGCTTGTGTCGGTATGTGCGGCCATGGCAAAGCAGTTTGCGCTGCGCACTGAGTACCACTGGCGGATGATCGGCCTGGCGTTTCTGCCTGCATTGCTCGGTGTCGCGCGCCAGTCAGTGTCTGAGCTCGAGATTTTGCGCATGCTGACGGAGAGTCTCGTGCGGGTGTGCACTTTTCTCATGGCATATCGGCTGGCAGCAGCAGAAGAAAACGCAACAGAGATGGCAGATCCGCAGATGGTGCAGCTGCTGGAGCTGGGTGCCGTCGATATCATCGCTGCATGTGTCCGTCAGGATGACCAGGTAGCGTTCTCATTGGGCATTAAATTTCTGCATGAGTTTGTGTCGCGAAGTTTTGGCAATGAGACGACTATTTTTAAGTGACAATGTATTTTCCTCCAGCTATAACCAAACTAAAACTTCCAAAAACGACTTGTTTTCGCGTCCGCGAGGACTTATTATAAACCTTGCGCGAAACAACAAATATTTGCCTAGGCGGTGATTGGCTGCCTTCAGCGATCGCGTGACATAGTGCTTTTCTAGAATCACAGCCATGTCTTTTTCGCCGCTCGAATGTCCATTAAATTGCGACCTCTGAGCCTGTTCTTGATGCGCGGGAAAAGCCAAAGGCCACAAGGTGGTAGATCTAATGAGTACGGTGGTGTTTCAAGTAGTTTCATTCCAATCTGCTAAATGTGGTACAACGTGCGTTTTGATTTGTGAGATGGTGCGCTGTTCTGATGAAACGCGATTCTGCTGGGGTTGGCATTCTTGTGCATTTTTACACTTGACAAACACGGGGTCGATGCCATTCTCGACAAAGTATTCACTATTGACAGTGCGTGGTTTGATGTTGAGGTTGGCGTGAACAATACCAGTTTTGCAGAAGATAAGAGTAATAAGTTTGTCTTGACCAAAGTGCAAACGAACCTGGGTGGGTGGCATATGATCTCCAATGATATATGCCTTGACTGCTGAGCTATATAATGGCATGTTCAGGTAGACATACGATTTGTCGCATGTAGCAATGTTATATATATTTGTTCTGGACGAGCCGGCGAAGTCCTTGATGAACTGTTGACAAAACCCAATGCGCGTTGCCTTAAGCCCATCAGTGAGGGAATGAGGGATCAATTGCTGATGCACCATTCTATAGCCCAGGGCCTAGCTGATGTTGGCTTGAACGTTCATTCTGGTGGCATGACAAGTTTTAAGAGTGTCGACGATTTCTACGAGGCCGTCTCTGGATGGGACATCCTCATTGATCTTAGCAGTGAGCCACTACCACACGGCGGCGCCACAATTCCCGAGTGGAGCAACCTGGTCGAGGGCTACAAATTCAGCATCAACAACAAAGTTGCCAAGTCCCTGCCGTTTTTTGCCAGCAATTCTATCTACAGATCCGACTTGATCAGCAGCTACCAGAACGCAACTGACTTTAGCGAGCACTTGCAGGTTCAGCCCGATGATCTTCTCAGCGACTTTGTTAAGCTTGCCACAGGTTCATTGGGCGCAAAAGACACCAAGTGGTTCCGCAATATTCCCGGAAAAGTGCCAGTTCATTGGGTTTCGCCTGCCGACTGCAAGAATTAAAACAAAAGAATTGGAGGCACCAAACTTTATTGTTCCTGGATTTTTTTGGTTTATACAACACATTAGTGAAAGTGTATTTTGGAATTTCCAGACATTTATAGCGAAAGTCCAAATTTTTAAGCGGGGGGGGGGAGGGGGTTCAAAACCTGCTTCTTGCGCAAAAATGCACCATTCGAGTTGGCTGAACCTGAGTTTACAGCGAAGCTCAAGCCAAAGCCCAAGACCAAGCGTGTGCACAAGAATCTATCTGTCCCTGCTTCTTCTCTTTAAAAGAAGCAGCGAACTGATTAATATTGTTAACCATAGTGGTCTATTGCTGCTAGTTTCTAAACACCTTTCAGGTTGTTATTCAATCTATGGGAAGGATGTCGATTTGCAGGGTACTTATAGCCTCATTCTTTTTTTTAGTGTATAGGAAACATAAATTAAAAATGTTTAACTTAGATCAATATTTTGTTGGTTCGCTGGAACCGGCTGGCTTTGGAAAAGGTCGCTACCAGACTGCGTGCGCTCAGCACCGGCATGTTGCACACATGCGGTCTATTGCTGGAAACCCCCTGGTCAGCGACATCAATACCGATAGCTTCCGCGGACCTGTCCCCGGAAGCATTGTTGCTGCGATGGTAGTATTCAGACACGCTCTCATTGCCTTGGCCTGGGGCAGAAAACTGCCTGTTCAAGATGCTGGCGCGCAAGGGATACAAAGCGCGTACCTGTGATCCGCGACGGAGCTTGTACAGAACCTCAGCACGGCCATTTTCGTAACCCTGAGCGCTCGTCTCGTTGAAAAACACACGGCTATCATCAGCATGTGGGTGCTGGTGGATAGCAGAGCGGTTGGGTTCCCTTTGGTTTATTCCATAATCCACCACCACGCTTGACGAATATATAGAGGCCATGGACTCCATGTCATCGACAAGCTGTGGTCTCCGCAATTCTGGAGGCGGCTGCAGTCGAGATTCCTCGATGGCCGACTTTTGGACCATGGTCTCGAGCACCCGCAGACGAGCCATGAGCATCATCTTCTCGCGCTTCTTAGGGTCGATGGTTGGTTTAGGGATGGGCTTGCGATGACTGACCTCGGAATGCTGCTGGCGGCTTCGGCTTCGGTTGAATTCGGGCATCCGGCCCGGACTAAGACAGGACGCAGTTTCGGCATACGATGCGGGCGGCTGAACAACATCAAGAGCTTGCAAAGCGGAGGCGGATGCGGGTGTCACGATGCTCGGAGAAAACCGAACAGCAGAGGCTTGCAGAGGGACGGGCGTGTTGCTGTGCCCGAACGCCAGACCGGCGGGTTGGAGCGGCTGAGAGTTGGTGATCGATGTGCTGGCGTTGCTCCTCCACTGCTGAGTGGCAATATCTGTGCTCACAGCAGGTGACGAAACCAGCTCCATGCTTTCCTGTCTGCTGCCTGAATGGCCATTCTGACCATCGACTTGGGGGTTGAGGCGCTGAGCGCGCGGCAGAAGAGAGCGCGGCACTGCAATTTTCCGCACCTTATTACCGACAACAATATCCTCGTCGCTAGCATAATCACCCGTGTCCCTGCCTGCCAAAGGGAAAGCCCTGCCTTGATGCACCTGCTGCGAGCCCTTGGGTGGAGCGCGTGTATTTTGGGCCGAGAGCATAGACATTTGCGAGGGCACCTTGTCGAGCAAAGATCCAGCCGCTTGTGCAATTTGAGAATCCGACACGCGGGCGGAATTGTGGGCGGTACTCATGGACGGCGCCTCAGGCAGGTTCACGCTTGAGACAATTGTCCGCGACGCCTCCGCACTGACGTCCATCATGCCAGGCATCTCTCTTGACTCGTTAATATTCTGCTCCAGCCGATTGAGTTTTGCCGCAGCCGCATTTCTTTGGGCGATAATCTCTGGCGGCGGGCCCTCAAGGCCATACAACCAGTCGCCGTCTTCCGAAACCTCTCCGTCATAGATCGAAGAGGGCACGGTAATCAACATGATGTGCTCAAAGAACCGTTCGACTGCGGTGAGGTCGCCTGCAAGATAGGCGCGCAGAACAGAATCCGGGACGCCGTTCTCGCCAGTGTCGACCTCCAGGTCAAACAGCGGGGGCTCAGACTGCACCACTGATGAGGCAATTGATTGTCTGCGAGCAGTCCCAATGTCCGGCGATGTCAACGCTGCACCATCGCCTAGCAATTGGCTGAACAGAGCCCGCTCGGCCAAGTTTTCAACAGCGGCACTGCCGAGCTCCGCCGTGTGCGCGGCGTTCACCGGCCACTGCGGCAACTGGCTGTCCGGAGAGGATGGGCCTGACTGTATCAGCGCCTGTACAAGCAGGGGCGAATCGTAGAAGGACCGCGTGCGGTTGTTGTTGCTGCTGCTGTTGTTGCGGGCGTGCGGACGCAGAATGCCCGCCACGGCGTGGTCCGAGAACCTCGGGGCAGAAGGTTGCGCAGGGTCACCAGTAGCAGCAGAAGCAGGCATCGCTGGCTTTGGGCAGGGCAATGATGCCGATCGCGACTTTCGGTTGGTCGCAGAGAACTTGCGGTCTAGCAAGCTGACGCGGAAGTTGAGCTGGTCGCGGCCAGAGTGCACAGACTTCTTGTGCGGCGCCTTTTTATTCTGCTCGACATAGCTGTGCAACGACAGGATGTGGTCCTCGGGAATGGCCGCCTGCTGGGGCTCTCCTTGCGCATCGCTGCTAGAGGCATAGGCTGGCACCGCGCCCTTCAGTGCTGCGGCTGTCAGGGCTATGTCGCCCAGCCTCCTGGCGGCCACTGCCGATGACCTGCCTGCCAATGTTGCCTGGATGCTGGCGCGAGCAAGTGCCTCTGGGTCGGCGGCTGTGGCTGTGGCTGTGGCTGTGGCCAAGTGGTGTTTAATCTGGTTCTGCTCGTCCGGCAGTTCGCCGCTCCACGCGGCGCTGGGGCTGACAGTGTCCTGCATGAGTTTGCTGGGCATGGGCTTGTCGACGCTGGCATCAACAGCTGGCTTTGGCGCGGCGGGGGTGAGAGTGTCGGTGACAACAACCTTGCGGCTTTCAGGCTGCTGCGTGCTCAGTGCAAAGTCTGGCGATTTCTGGCTCGTCTACAGCGAAGAGAGATAAAAAGAATGGAAAATGCGATTACACAAGCAAACATAAGCACAAATGCTGCAGATTTAGCAGCTGCTGCTGACGATAAAAGACGCCGTGGTAGAAGGATGCAAGGGCGCATATGCCCAGCACGTGTGGTTGCATGCGTGCCTGCGTGCAGCATCGAGGACGGGTGTGGGCGATGGTGGTGATGGTGGTGATGGTGATGGGGGAATAGAGGGAGCGAGCAAAGCAGCAAACAATGGCCACGGCACTGGCCGTAATCAAAGTGCGGCCACAGTGTCCCTCCCCCACCCACCACTTTCAAGCAAACAACACTCACTGCCTTGCCTTGGCGTGGCATGGCGTGGCGTGGCGTTGAAGCCACGCAAGCAGTAATACACAAGGCAAGCGCCATTTTTCCTTACCTTTTCTGAGGGCGCAGCAGCGGCATTGTCCGAGTTCGGAGCCGCAAAGGACCGCATTGATCCAAACTGGGACGAGGCATCGTAGATAAGACTGCGCGGGTCCGGGGACGACCGAACGAGCTTTGCCAGAAGCATTGGGTTCAGCGTCGCTGCAGCAGCGCTGCTGGCTCCATTGGCGGCAGCGGCAGCGGCGCCTTCTTTGGATGCGCGGCCGGCCGAACGAAGCAGCTGGAGACTCACGGGGTCCAGGGCCGATATCGTGGCAAACTTTGTGGGCGCCTTTCCAGCCAGACGCGCAGCGGGGCTGCCATTGGGCAAGGCCTCCTCGAAGCTGCGCAGGTGTCCGGCGACTGGTTGGTGTCGGCGCCTTGCGTGGTATCAGCGCCAACCAGCGGCCCTGGCGTCGCCGTGGCAGCGGCCACAATGGCGCCGGCGGCAGCGCTGGCGTCGGCCCACAGCAGATCGCCAACGCGTCTGATTTCGGGGCGCGCAGACGGACGGCGACACTTTGCGGCGGAGGCGGGGCCAGCGCGAATGTCGGCCTCGGCAAAATCCAAGATCTGCGTCCGGCCCGTGCCCGCGTCGCTGATCGGCGAGTCCATCGCCGCCAAAGACACGCCACGCGCCTCAGTGGCGGCAGGCTGCGTGTGCACGCGGCCGAACAGCACGGCGCCCTCCAGCTGGCGCAGCCGCCCGTTGGCCGGGACCGGATAGTCCAGCTGCTCGCAGTCCACCAGCATGGGGCTGTCGAGCTCCAGCCCGGGCAAGAAGGCTGTGCGGCAGAGGTTCATGTACTCCGAATTGGCCGCTGCAAAAATGTCGCCGAACGACCCGTTTGAGCTAACAACGTACGATGCCGCCGTTGACTGCGGCAGCGACTGGAGCCCTTGCCGGTGCGTTGCCGCTGGCGCTGCGGATGGGCGCAGCTGGACGTTTGGCTGGTGCCAGAACACATGCCTGAAGTGGCCCGGCCCAAGAGCATGCTCGTCGCCATTGTCGGCGCTCGCAGAAGGCCTCCGCGCCGCGCCTGCGACCGGATGCCCAGGCCAATGGGGTCGCTTGCACGCACTCTGCCGGGGGCTGGGGCGGCACAGTTGCCACGTCGCCAAAGAAAGCCTTGCCGTAGGACGGCGTCGACGTGGACGCCTGCGTGGTCAGCCCGGTGATGGCGGAATCGCACCACCCGCCTGCATCGGCGCTGCTGCTGCGAGGCCAGAGCGCCTGCTCCTGGATGCTCGCCGACTCGCTGGCCAAACTGCCGACGCTGCTGCCGTTGCTGCTGCTGAGAACACTGCCGCTACTGCCATTGGCCAGCAGGCTCCTGCCATACTGCAGCGGCGCACGTGGCCTGGAGGCGCCGTCGGGGGCCTGGCCGGAATCCTCGCTGCGCAGCGTCGACAGAACCTGCGAGTAAATGCGCTTGCTGGCCGACGACCGCGCCTTTTCGGCGGCGCTGCTGGCAATGCCGGCGTACACCTCGTTGGCAGCGACGCGCCGGACTCGCGGACTTCGATGTGGGGCGGCGCCGGATGCTGGTCGGCAAACCGGACTGCGCTGGCAACTTCCAGTCCCGCGGCCGCGTCGATATTGCTCATTGTGTGCCGGCGCTGCTGCTGCTGCTGCCGGCCGCGCGCCAGCTTGCCCAGAACGCCCGCAAAGAACCCACTGCGCACGCATTTTTCTGTGCCTGCGCCTGCCTGCGCTCGGAGCCGAATCCCCTGCCTGCGCCCAGCGCCCGTGTGGCCTGCAAAGATGCCGAGTACGGGCAGCACATTCAACGCTGGCTCTGGCTCCGCGCGGCTTGGCGGACGTTCTTTGGGGGCTCCTTATCTGCTGGCAACGCGTACCTAAAGTCCCTGCTGTAGTTGACTTCAGCCGGCCGCTTGCCAAACAGCAGGTCGCCGCGCTTGTGCCAGGGCACGTGCAGATCGTCGGGTGCCCAGTTGCTGTCGGTCGACTCAAACAGCTGGTTGTTGCCAAAGTGGGAGAACGACTGACTGCGCTGCAGCGTGCCGTGCTTGCAGTCAACACGGGAATCGAAAGCGTCTCGGACTCGGGCCTCATCTCAGGCTCGGGGCCCCGGACTTCCTTTCTGGCCCAGGATCGGGCAGCGGCGGCAGTGCCTTGTTCAGATACGTGGGCGTCGGCGCCGTCCTCCTTTTGGATCTGGCTGCCTTTGCAGGCTTGCTCCGCACTTCGGATGGTGGCGGCGGCGGGGCCAACGACCGGCTGTCATCCGCGCGCGGACTGGCAATCGACATGCCTTCGTTCCCGCCACAAAACACGCCAAAGACGTTGCTCGGCGGCGGCCTTCGTCCTTCTTGAGCTGGATGCGGTCCGCAAATGCCTCGCTCTGTCTTTGTCTCTGACGCCCATCCGCTTGCGCCTGGGCAGAACAGCCGCCAGGACGCCAGCACCGCAGCCGCCCACCTCGGCCGACCCCGCACTGCCCAGCGAGCGCAGATCGTGCCTCGCCAGATTATTCGGCTGCGGCTGCGGCGGCATCTGCTTCTCCGGGGTGGCTGCTCTATGGCCAGGCTCTGCTCTGCTGCCGCTTGTAAATGTACAATGCGGCGTCCAGGGCCGCCTGGTCGTTGTCCAGCACCTGCCGCGCCACCTCGGCGTCCTTTTTCCGCCGCGCGCTGGTCTGTCTGGCTGCGCGCACATCGCCGACGTACTGCTTGACGGTGCAATGATTGCGAGTGTACCGCGTTGGCACGGCCTCCCCCGGCTCTCGCCGCCACCGGCACCGCCATCACCATCACCATCACCATCAGCAATGGCCAAGTGCGGCTCGAATGAACCCCTTCAAAGCTGGCTGCACGAGCGCCGCTCTGCTGCTCAAACCGCTGCTGGTCCAGGTACTCCTGTTCAGTTATGAAAATGTCGTTTAGCTCGCCGCTATTGTGGAACCGGACGAATGTCCCGTATGACGACTCGGCGCTGATATCCTTGCATAGCCGCGTTGACACCCGGATGTTGGTAAAGAGTGCTGACTCGAGCTTCTCCTTGACTAGCTGGGAAACTGTTCCGTCGTGGCCCTGGTTGGTCATCTGCACACCTGGCTCGCCGTTCTCCATCTGGGAGATGCTCAGTGCAGGCGTGACGTAGGCGCTCTCGCCACTGATGTCGGCTGTAATAGTGATAGGCGCACTCAAAAGAGCCGAGTCCAGCGTTAAATTCGCCGCGTCCTGCAGCGCATATGTGTTTCGCTGCTCGACCACAAAGTCGTACTCAAACACCGGTGAGGCCGCTCCGGCTATCGGCAGCTGGCCGCTGGACGCCGATCGCCTGCTCGATACTGTGGCAGCAAGTACCCCAAGGCCAGCCATACCATATGCACGGCATCCTGGCGGCCCAGCGACACGTTTTCAGCAATGGCGATTCTCTAAACCCAGTGTAGCTCTGCGACGGAAAAGTCGGGTTGCGCCGGTGCGAGTAGCGCCGCGACGACATATGCGGGAAATCGTCGGCGAGTCCGGCTGCAGGCTCTCAGTGTCGGACACGGGCTCCGCCGAGTTGACCACAAAGCGGTAGAGCTCGTAGCCGGCCTCATTGGGCACGTACATTAGGTTGCGGCGCAGCGAATCAACCATGCTTTGACGCACCTCTGCAGGCGTAGCTGGCTGGGAAGAGCTGCGGTTCGAGCGGATGCGGTTAAGGCGCCGTGAGATATTGCCAATGACGCGCGCTATGTTGCCGCGCTTCTTTTGGCTCGATGACCGAGACAGCTGCTGCTCGCTGTGGCGCTCCTGGCCGCTGGGCCTCCGGAAGATTCCCGATGACACTGGCGCGGAGGGCGAGATTGTGTGGCCGTGGGCACTGTTGCCTTGGCTGGTTCTGGATGACCCCTGTCGCTGCAGCTGGGACGGCATGACGTGCTGCCCGTCCTTGCCACTGCCAATTTCTGGGGGCTGGAATGTGACATGTGGCGCTGGGCCCTCTGCTACGCCTTGCGCGCTGCGTTTATGTGCGCTGGGTGCTGTGGAATCTTTGCCCATTACCATTGAAAAGCCATTGTGAGTTTCCTGGCGGCATAGTTGTCTTTGCCGTTATCGCCACCGTTATCTTTATCCTTATCAATGTTGTTGTTTTGCGGGCCGTGGCCAATAGTCTCCTGCTCGGCCCTTAGCGCCTCGGCTGCCAGAGGACCAATATCCAGCTGGCGGCGGCCTGTGTCTTGCGGAGGACTGCTTACGCCACGCGCGCGGTGTCTGGGGCCAATGGCGGCCGACAGTGGATTTGCCAACCCTGCCAGCCACCTACGGCCCATGCTATTGCTGCGGGCGCGGCCCGTAGGAGATGGCGCTGCCGACCGTATTGTGACCGTGCCGCTGTTCCACGTCGATGCTGACGGCAAACCTGCGCCAACCGGGATGCTGCTGCGTATACTCAGTGGCAGCGGCGGCTCAGTGCTGCGCCGTGGGATTGCGTCTGGGAACACAGGTAGATTGTCAAAACTGACCGACCGGCGGTGGATTCCTGATGGTAGCGGGGGCCGCGCCTGTAAGCTGGTGTTGCGATATTGCTGAACTCGTAGTCCAGGTACCCGTTAACTGCGATAGCCTTTTGTCGCTAATATTATGTGTTGCCTGGGTCGGCTGGTGATGGGGGCTTCTCTGACTTTCTGTGCTGCTGCTGCTGCTGTTGTTGTTGTTGTGTGTAGTTCTGTGTGGATTGTATCATCTGCCGTGCTCTTCTGGATACGCTGCGGCCAAGCTGGCGCATGGCGTACTTTCCGGATTGAACAGGCGATAGTCGAGTCTGTTTCCCAATCGCTGTGACTCATTGTTGCTCCGGCGTGTATATATATATGTGTGTGTGTTTGTGTATGTAGTGCAGTTCAATGGAGTGGAGTGGAGTGGAGTGGAGTGGGTGTTTGGTACCCTTGCTCAAGCGCCGTAATCGGGTGTATGCTCTACTGCCAAGGGCAAATATCAGGTGTAAGGGGGGGGGGCAGTCGAGAGTTCAATAAAATGGAATGCGCGGTGACTTGTATATAAAGTCAACAAGTGTGTGTTTGGGCTGAAATGCGTCCAAGTTATGAATTGCCTTTTACCTGTCTGAGTGTAGAATTCGGCGCGCAGGGGCTGAAATAAAAAGTATGTGCTGGACAAGCTGCTTCTGTATATTCTTTGAAGCTGCGCGAAATGAAATAAAAATAGATTAAAATAACTGGTGTCTTGGTTGAACTACCAAATATCTGTTTCTGCTATCCAAGGGACTGGACAAGAGGGACAGTAAATTAATATCAGTGCCGATGTTGATGCCAATATTGGTGTTGGTGTTGGTGATGTTGACAGTTTGTTGCTTGTTGCGTGGTGTTCGTTGTTCGCCGCAAAAAAAGCAAGATAAATAAAATAAAATAAAATAATGGCAGCAGCTTTGCTTTGTGTCGTGAGTAACAAAAATACAAAAAATTATATGAATACAAAGTGAGGCGTAGCGAAAATAAACGACAAATGCTGGCTGGCTGGTAGGATAGGACAGCACGTAATGTTAAATATTGTTTGTAGAAAAATTAGTATTTTCAAAGACAAAAAGTGACCTTTATTGGGGGTTTTTTCCTCTCTCAGATACACATGCGTGTTGGTAAATCTTGGCGATGGCTGTTAGCAACAGGGCTTTAGACGCAACCAGCATCACTCTTGTTTGTGTGCGTGTGTGGGGGCACTTCCTAATAAAGAATGTTTTTCTTAGCAAATCGAAGAATAGTGCGGGCCAAAATTCACAAGCTACATTTTCAGGCCCAAGAAAATTATTTGAAATTAGAGCACAATACATGCGACAGCAGCTCAACAATGTACACCCGGCTGCTATTTTCACGCGCAGTGGTGTGCTGACAATAGCTGAGGCCGTTGCTTGCGTGCCTCCAGCGTTGCATTTTGCATTGTTCAGCTGGCTGCGACCAATGTGCCAAAGCGCTGGAACACATGTTTACATATTCTTTAATTTTGCTTTGACTGCTTTCCTGGCTTTAATCAGCCAGATTATGTTTTCTTTATTTTTCTTTTGCCTTCTGCTTGCTGGCTGGCACCCACATGCGCGCTGCCGCAGCAGCCCCCAAAGCCCGGGGTGTGGATTACTAACACAGCGGCGACCGCAGCATTTTGCATCGGCAGCCTTTGCTGACTTGCTGACAAGCGATGCTCCGGTCGCCAGTTCCCTCCCCCCACTTTATAAAGCGCGGGCTGCACGGCCAACCACTGGCTGAAAGCAGAATAATATCACTGGATTAACATACTTGATCGTAAAATTTTCTTTTTTATCCTCTTTTTACTTTCGTTTTTCTTTCGCTTTGCACCCACTCTGTCTTCTCACCTCCCCAACTCTTTCTGTACTTTGCAACGCCAGCAGTGCCCTTTCTGCTTCTTCAACCTCTTCTTTTTTAAACTCTTTTTTTGCTCATTCCAACCCTTGACCATCATTTCTTTTAGTCAGCATTCCAAGCAAGACAACTAGCATAAAAACAATGGCAGTCCGCGCGCAGTTCGAGAACAACAACGAAATTGGAGTATTTTCCAAACTCACAAACTCCTACTGCCTGGTGGCTATCGGCGGATCGGAGAACTTTTACAGCGTGTTTGAGAGCGAGCTGAACGATGTCATCCCAGTTGTCCACACATCCATCGCTGGAACCCGCATTATTGGCCGTCTGACTGCCGGAAACCGCCGCGGTCTCCTGGTGCCCAACTCAACAACAGATCAAGAGCTGCAGCACCTGAGAAACTCGCTGCCCGAAAGCGTGGCCATCCAGCGCATTGAGGAGCGCCTGAGCGCCCTAGGCAACGTCATTGCTTGCAACGACTACGTTGCCCTGGTTCACCCTGACCTTGACCGCGAGACCGAGGAGATCATTGCTGACGTGCTCGGCGTCGAAGTTTTCCGCCAGACAATTGCTGACAACGTTCTCGTTGGCTCCTACTGCTCCATCTCCAACCAGGGCGGTCTGGTTCACCCGCGGACAAGCCTGCAGGATCAGGACGAGCTGTCCAGCTTGCTGCAGGTGCCTCTTGTCGCCGGTACCGTCAACCGTGGTTCGGACGTCATTGGCTCGGCCTTGTTGTCAACGATTGGACTGCCTTTGCTGGCATGGACACCACCTCCACTGAGCTCAGCGTTGTCGAGAGCATCTTCAAGCTCCAGGACTCGCAGCCTTCCGCCATTGTCAATGAGATGCGTGATTCGCTCATTGACAACTACAGCTAAAAAAAGGCAACTCACTTCTACATCATTCAAAAGATATAATAAACGTACATTATCCACTTGTCATTTTGAGCGTTTTTTTTTGCCGTTATATTTGTGTGCCGATGTGCCGGCCTTGTGGGAATTCTGTGCTCAAATTGTAACTGCTCAACAACTGGCGGGCGTCGAGTGTGCCGTGAGAGACACTGTTGGTGTGTGCGTGGGAATGCTGTTTGCGAGATTTTGGGCGCAATAAGTGCCTTTTTATATATTGGCCTCTCACCCCATCCCTTCTCCCCCTTCCCCCACATTTCCGATCGCAGAATCAATATGAACACAGGCGCCATATGACTTGCGGAAAACGTCGGTAGTAATTTCCTCACACCCACGCAACAATCCATTTCTAAAAGAGTGCTCGCCGCTCGGGCCTGGGCTACCGAGTCAGCACTGAAAAAGAAAAGAAAAGAAAACATCACAATGATCGATAATAAACATGCCTCAATGTGCTCAAACATCTGCGCTTGGCCACTAATCATGCACAACACGCTCTGCAGCGCTTGCCCCGAGATGGGGTCGCAACGTCGTTGAAAGCAGCATTGGGTGGGTTTTTTATTTCCTCTAGTGGAGTGCATTGACAGGCGCCCATAGGGCACGCCTATCTAATTCAAATCTATGGGTGTATCTTGGAGCACGACCGGCCTTCTTTACAAGCACGTAAAAGCATTACAGCCGGTGATGTTTTAATGTTTTAAAGATGACATCGCACCCAGCTCCAATCTCTTTTTTTCTTAAAGATGATGAAAGATGCTCTGGACACATCTGGCGAGCGGTGAATCACATGGGCAACAATAAACAAGGAGACGCAACTGAAGCAATAAAAAATACACAAATGTTCTTCAAGGGCCTTGCTCCGCAAAGTGAGAAAATACATATTATATCCCGCCCGCAGCCAGGCTCGGCAATATAAAAAAGTCCCCGTATTAGTCAATAAATATAAATATGTTCACACAAGGCAATATCTATTCAAAGCTTAGGCTAGAATATTTTTGCAGTTTATTTCTTTTCCCCTATTTTTGGATTCTGTATTTTTCTGTATTTCGGCCAGTGCAACTTTTTTATATTGCTCTTGCTACTTTTTTTTTGGCTATTTTTGCTTTTATCGTTTATTTCTCCAAAGCGTCTTATTCAAAGCACTCGATCGGCTGAGGTACATTTGCGACTATTCCTTGTTGCTGCGTCCGCCACTGTTACCCAAACAAAGTACACTTTGTTTTGGCATTTACACCTTGCTGTTTGTTCACGCCAAACAAAGAGAAATTTGGAGATGAACAGAGCTACACCGTGTATGTTTGCTTGTCGATCAAATACACGCTGTATTGTAACCAATTATAGTCGCAGTTAATCTCAAAATGTCACCTCATTTACATTTTTTGGCTATTGACACGTACTTGATATGACAATAGGGATTTTCATTGATTGATAGCGTATACAATATCGGAACACGATCATAACGCGACTTTTGACGATCGGCTCACATCTGGTTAGTATACATGCTGTTCTTAGAACCTTGGCATTTGTCTTCTCATTTCGTCTGTTTCTATTGCTCTAAACATAGCATGCTCTCTCGCTCCTTTGGCGCTTTTGCGTATCTTTGCAAACAGCAGCTCATCCTGCCTTCATCTTTTGATGAACTCAACCACCGATGCTTGCAAATAATGCCACTTTGACACATTTGAGAGCAGCAGCAATAGCATAATAGTGGACCACATCACCAATTCCAGATGCTGGCAATATTTGATTTTTTATATTTCACTCTAACGTGTGCAATACGCGGATCACACACGCTTTCCACCACGCTCCATCTCATCAAAACACTATTATTTTCCCCCGCACACACACACACCACACAACTTTATCTATTTATTTATTCTCCTTTTCGTTTCCCTGTCGCACACTGAATATATTGCCCGGCACGTGGGGAAAAACAATTTCCAGCCCGTGTGCTTTTTTTACTCTAGATTCGCCACTCGCCATTCGCTCTACACAAATGTCCCTTTTATCTTAGTTTGCGTGTGTCCCCAGTTTGCGCTCAGCATGAAAATATACGCAGTAGAGTTTCCTACTGCTTCCAACGTTTTTGTTTTCAGAGCTCACACACGCTGCTGCTTGCATGCATCTACAGCTATTCAAGCGCAGTTACAATAACAATGAGTCGCTGTATATGGTAAACAATTGGTGCTCGTTGTTTGCACACACTTGTTTGTGCTTTTTAGTATGTGCAGTTTTGCAGTTGTCAACTGCAAAACAAACCCTGAAATTACACTTGCCACTGCTCAAACAGACACAATCAATTAATTTATATTTTGTTGGCATGGTGCTTCTGGATTCAATAGTTGTGTATGCACAATTCTAACACTGAAACTAAATGGGCAAGCATAACAATGACGATGGCAATGCATTCCGTCATTTGTCCATTTAGTTTATGCTTAAGTGAAAGCAACAAAGGTTTTTTGATTGTTTTTCACGCTGTCTGATTACCTGTTTACTGCGTTTTTCTTAGCTGCGCGCTCTTGAGTGATTCTGCCTCCCCCCTATTATATTACATTTGGCATTATGAAGCTGCTAGAGCTGAACTGCTCAAACTTTTGAACAATTCTGATTTATTTGGTATCGCTGCTGCTGCAATTGCGACTATTGTACTTAGCGCCTCAGTCGCATTGAAAAATTGCTTCTGAATTTTGACCTTTGTTTTCCTGTTCCAGCCTGGGACATTTGCATCCCTTCACATTGGTATTTTCCTGGAAATGGACATGCCTGAGAAAAACCCTATTATTGGTGCTTATATCAACCTTGTCGCCTCGCTTGAATAATATCGACATACTTGGCGCATTTCACACGCTATTAATTTGCGACTGTTTCCTATTCTGAAATTCCCGGCGCTCAGGTAGACTCCAAAATATGCTGATTATTTCACATTATAAGCGAGATGCATATGCTCGCTCACAATTACACGCTAATATATCAATAAAACATTTTTGTTCTTTTTATTTCGTCTACCCGAACTTGTTAGATTGCTTTGTTGTTTTTCCCCCTATTGTTCTGACTGCCACTACACCTGAATGTCTTCCCTTTGAATGGTGCTGGCATATAGTTCTTAGCTCTGGCCCACTGCTATTTTTTAAAACTCAACTCCGAATGACATCTGCTCTCGCATCGATATTGTTTTTTATCAAGCTGGGACCAGACCGCCTGTTCGTTTATACAAACCGCAATTCAATTAGCTTCGCTAAATAACTACACTTGTTTGTTTTATTGATTCTTGGATTACTATCCATCTTTTTGTATCTTGAGTCTCGCAGTTGCAACATAAAATGATCACCACGCTACGCCTCCCCACCTTCCCTCTCTCAGTTACATTATATTTTGCTTCGCGATAGTAATTTTCTTGTCACCAAGTGCGAGGTATTTAAAAGGCGCGCATACCAATACACTTTTTTGTCCCCCTCCTGCTACTGCACTGATTTATTCGCTTCGAGTAGTGTGTTTGTAATAAATCCCCCAGTACCCCTTTTCCATTTTCTTTTATCAGTCTGGCCCGCGGCACTTGCTTTTTTGGCATCCACCTTCAAGAACCGTATCATCTTCCTAGTCCGCACTCCCCTCCCCTCCCCTCTCTTCTATCCGAATACTTACGCTCTATTTTATTCCTGTTCCCGGTTCATATTTTCTTTGTCATTTGTCACCAATCCTTTTTCTTTCATTTAATTTTTGCTCATCCTACATTTCGTCTTTCATATTCCCAACATTTGGCCATACATATAAAAAATCATTTTTTAACCATCGCCATTTTATCATAAACAGTGCTTGTTATTCCTTCCAAACCTTGTCACCACTCTAATATTTAATTTTACCAAAATTTTTATTTACTATTTTTAAACATAATTAACAGCCTTCCTACCAATGTGTGCGCAGACCGAGAACAACCATGCCCAACACATGCAGCAGCAACAGCAGCGACCGCTGCACCTCAACATGTCCACCCCGCTCAGTGGACAGACGCTGGAGGTCATTCAGAGCGAGATCACTAAGGACATGATTGCAATTATAGCCGCCCAGGCGAAGAGTGTAATTCCGTGCACACCGCCGCCTACAATTACCAGTAGCGACCGCGGGCCGCTAGCAAATTCTTTGGGCTCCGAGCAGATATCTAATCGCATTGGCTCGAGCGATCGGCTCCCATCCCCGCCATCACACCCGGAGGCGGCACGCTCTCGTCCGTTCCGGCGCTCGACATGTTCATCACAAACCTTGTTTTACGCTCGCGCGTGCAGGCTGGCACGCTCATTTGCACGTTGGTCTACTTGCAGCGGTTGCAGAAGCGGCTACCAAAGGAGGCAAGAGGTAAGCGCACATTTCAATGATTAAACAACAATATTGGATGAATTAAAATCCCGCACAATATCGCCGCGTTATGCTGCGTCTCAATTGTTTTTTCTCCTAATCATTGTGGTGCATGGGAATATAATACCGAACATTCAATTGTTTTGTATGTCTGATATTGCATGGTTGCCAGCGCTTGGGTGCTAAACTTTTAACAAGCAGGATTGCAAAAGACTGACAATGATGGACTGCTACTGTTTGATTGTCATTGTGGCGTGTTTCATTCCCCATTTATGCGTATTTTATGCTATTGCTTTTGTGCCCTCTACTGCGAGTTTTGTTCTGGAACTTGCCCCATTGTGCTGTATCTTGTTGCTTTCAGAATTATAACTTTTAGTGTATTGTGTTCAAACCAGCTTGTTTATTTGCACTTATTATACTAACACACTTGTTTGCAATACCTTTTTGATATTTGAATGTGCTACATGCGTTTTTTAGGGATGGAGTGCACGTGTCACCGCATTTTTCTAGCCACTCTCATTGTTGCTGGGTAAGTTGTCAACCTTAAAGCAAACGCGCTGCATTATTGTGTGCGCCTCAATTCAATGTGCCGATGATGGAGCCACAACTAATGATCATTTCCATTATGCAACATTTTGCCAACATCCCTGTTTGTTTTTTCACCCAATGTTTTAGAAAATATCTTAACGACGCCTCCCCGAAAAACAAGTACTGGGCACGGTACTCAACAGTGTTTACAGTTGCGGAGGTCAATCTGATGGAGAAGCAGCTACTATTTTTGCTGGATTTTGACCTGCGCATCGACAACGATGATCTGAACAAAGCTGCAACAGTGTTTGTCACTGGTGCCTCACAATCGGGCATCCCACTGACACCGACGACTCCGCCATTTGGTTCGTCCAAGCTACAAGCTGCGATTTTGGAGCCCGTGGCCAGCTCACTGCAGCAACAGCATCAGAAGCAGCCGGCACACACCCATCCCGAGCCAGTGGCCAAGATGTACCCGTCTACGCTAAGACTCGGTGGCCACCAGAGCGGACAACCAATAGCGCTTACTTCAGATGCTGCATCTCTTGCAGTTGCCCAGGGAATCGACAATGTAAGAAACATGGCAACATCGGCTTATCCACAAACACACGCTCGCACGCGCTCTACCGCTTCGTTTGAAGTTGAATACAGAGACGTGCGGCGCAGCTCGCAATGACCATTACATGCAATAACCACCACAGACACAACCACCACCAACATCAAAATTTTATCACATCCACACTAATCCACAATCAACCACGTCCACACACAACGCGCACGTATCCCGCCTATATTTGACTTTTCTCTTTCTTAAATGTCTAGAGCGCTGACCAAAGGTCGATAAAGTCAGATAGTGTTTATTCGGTGCGCTACCACGGCCTGTCCAAGCGCCAGCTACCCTATGACAAGACACCGACCACTCGCACCTTGGCTGCAATCGGTCAAGATCACGTCAAACAGAGATCTGTGTCTGAATACCACGACGTTCGGCCAAAGACTGCCGCTGGGCCCTTACAGCACATCTCTGCCAACGACAAGACGCAGCTGAGGCCATCGCCCAAGAAGCGCGCTGTTTCTCGCGGGTACCTCGAAAATGTGCCGCAGCCATCACCCGTCTACTACTGCGGCGCGGGGCGCAACTTGGTTCCACAGCCTCTACAACCTCTGCTAGCACCGCCTGCTTCTTGCAACCGCTAGAGCAGGCGTGCATTAGTTACGCGTCGTCACGGTACCAACAGCAGCGCTATGATCCGATGGCATCCCGCTCAACCAACAGCAGCACCAAAGCGCGTGGCCACCCTCGCTCTGCCGCCTCCATCCCGTCGCTCCGCACGACTCTTTCTGTTCACAGCTCGAACGCTTCCTCGCCCACAAACAGCCATGGCCATCTTATGGCAGATATGTCCAAGAGCAAGCACACGTTGCGGCACCAGACAACACTGCCTGACCTCAGTTCGCTGGGTAATTCTGCACCCAGTCAAGGAATGACATCCTCCTTTTCGCGTCTGCGCGGTGAGCACTATTTGCCTGCATTGCCAGCACCGGCACGCCTTGCCAGCGGCTCGTACACCTCTGACAGCTCACCTGTCAATACCCTTGTCTATGACTACTCGCCAGCAACCAATGCGCCCTCTACTGGCTATACCCGGAGGCAAGTTGCGCGCATCCCTTCCACGCAACTACAGCCAGTCAACGCTTTGCGGGACGTGCACAGCACACTTCCAGTGTCAGCACTCTCGGCGCTATCTGTTACACCAGAGTTTTCTGGGTCTAACACTGACGACAGCACTCTCATTCACAGCCGCCACACGCAGAAGCAGCATCACCGCCAATCAGTCTCCCAGGAGCACTATGAACACAGTTCGTCTGCACATTTAAACAGCTCCATCGGTGGCGGTGGCGGCTGGCAGCTGAAAACAAAGATTCTCCAGCCGTTGAGCACTTGGTTTCGTTCGACGCGCCAGCAACAGTACAGTGGCCACCAGGCCGCTGTTGAGCTTGAAGATGAGCACGACCAGAAGTTATCAGCGTACGCTCGTGATACACGAGTGCATCGCAGTAATAATGGGCAGCCCCGCGACTCCCGCTTGGATGTTGTCAACATTTCGCCCATATACCTGGATCCGCCAGTGTCCTCATCTGCCATGCTGTAAGCCTGTATGTGTGCAAATGCACACTACTCATTGCTTGTGGCTCGACTATTTTACAATTATGTCTCCCAAGGCATTTTCAAGGCCCTCATAATTTTACATGGAGCGGATTTTTTTACTATCTTAATTCTTGTTTTATTTTGTTTCATTTTTGTCTTTCCATTGTTAACATAATTTTTCACACCCGTTTTTCATTGCACATTGGAGGTTGCGTGCACCCATGGCGTTAAACTTATTGACTACACGACTAGTATGCGAACATGTTATTTTTTGATTTTTTTGTAAATACTTTGACCCTAGTAACTCGTTCATGTGGCGCTGGCGCCCCTTGAGATCCGCATAATTGATTTGCCATATTTTACTGGTCACAAACATCGTCAATGCGGCACATATTGGTGGTGTAGTACTCAGAGTGTAGTGGGTATACTAAATAAATTAGAATGAGTTAAAAATCCAATGTGTAACTGAAAGAGGCAGCGCCGTGTGGGCGGCGCTGTAAAGATCTTGAAATTTGATTGAGCCAGTATTATCCGAATGGACATTGCGGCTGTAAAGACAGTCTTGATGACCTTAGTGCTTGAAGATAGGAATAGTGGCCTAGAATGTGGCTTGGACGCCACAGCTGACGTCCATAATTTATTTGATTGACTGTCGATGATCCGCCACCAATAAACTTTGAAACTCCCCACTTGCTCATCAGTGCCTGTCCAATTGCAGACATGTTTTTTGCTGCTTGTTAAAAAGGCAATAATAGTGAATGATCGGCCGGCTGGCATATGGTTGCTCGAAAATAAACATTTAGGCACCCACTCATCCACTCAATCAATAACACGATCACTCATTCACTCACGTCTTGCAAGTGGCTGACCCTGCGAAACTCAATGTGACAAAATGGCCCTCCTAAACACTCAGCGCACAATGCTAGGCACAGTATTGTCTTGAGGCCAGTAGCATGTCTTTTTCATCCTTACTGTCTTGGCACAGGTCCGGTATTGCATTCAGCTTAAATAAATGGCGTCGCTGCGCAGCCGTTATTTAATATGTCTGAAATACATACACTTTTCTCACTCTTTCCAACTTTTATTTTGAAATTAAACGCTTCATTTTTTAAAGTTTTATTTTTCAAATCAAAACGATGAATACCGACCAACTCGCCTTTAATTGCCCTCCCTCACATGCATCGCCCAAGGACCTCTGCAAGTTTTTGTGCCTTCAATGCGCGGCCCCACCAAGAGCGCCTTCAAGTCCATCATGGCAAACCCAATGCTCACCATGATCAACATGGCTGGCGGCATGCCCAATCCAAACACATTCCCAATCCTGCAGCTGCAAGCCAGAGTCAAAGCTCCCGGCGCAAATCCTCCCAGCCAGAGGATACGCTGACAATTGAAAATAAATGGCGCAACAAAACGACTGAGTGCCTGGATGAGCTTTTACAATATAGTGGCGGCTGCGGTCTGGAAAGCTACTGCAACTTTTTGTACAATCACACACAGCGCACACACAGCCCACAGTATACAGATTGGGGCGTCATTGCGTCGTGTGGGAACACTGACGCAATCGACAAGCGCTTTCGCTTTTCTGCCAGCCCGGTGATTCAGTTCTGGTAGGACGCTGGACATTTCCCGGGACATTGAGCAAACTAGCCATAGCCAGAGTAAACCCAGTGCCTGTTGCTTTAGATGAGGAAGGCATGGTCCCTGCGGACCTTGACAGGGTCTGCTCCGGGTGGGGTGGTGCTACCCCATTGCGTGTGCTGTACGTGATTCCCACTGGCCAGAACCCCACGGGCACCACAATGTCTCTTGTGCGCCGTAAGAGTATCTACGCTGTGGCTCAAAAGCACAATCTGGTAATCATAGAAGATGACCCGTACTATTTTCTGCAGCTCCCAAAATTCACGTCCAGCCAAGGATGCGATATTGTTACTGACAGGACATGCGGACAGCAGCAAGCTCTTTTTTCGTCGCTGCTGTCTTTGGATACTGATGGCCGTGTCATTCGCCTTGATTCATTTAGCAAAATACTGGCGCCCAACCTGCGCTGTGGCTGGGTCACCGCACCACGGTACATTTTGGACAAGATTCAGATCCTCAACGAGACCACCACGCTCCAGCCATCAGGCCTTTCGCAGGGCTTAGTGTCAAAACTGCTAAACGACACTTGGGGAATGGATGGTTGGGATGCTCATATTTGCGAGCTGCGCGCTATTTATACTGCGCGTCGCAACCACTTCGTCCGCATGGCGGAAAAACACTTATCGGGGCTGGTCGAGTACACTGTTCCTTTGGCAGGCATGTTCATGTGGATGAGAGTGAACTTTGGCGCGGCATCGGCCGACCCAACCGCAATGACACGCCTACTGCACAAAATGAACGAGTGTGGCATTATGATGGCACCCGGAATGCCGTTTAGCAGCACGGCTACCTTGCCCTCGGACCATTACCTACGGGCTGCATTCGGGTTGGTCGATACCGACATGTTTGAGCCGGCTCTGTTGCGCTTGGCACATGCGATTAGCACCATCAGTGGGCAGCCAGCGTCTGTCGATTATGAAGCTGCTACCAACGACGCAAGCTGTAGCAGCAGCAAAAATGAAATTAGAGCCTATGTGGCCAACAATACAGATAAAGTGCAGCTCATCGCCCCGATCGGATTCAACAACGTGGCAGTCGTCAACAGCCACAGCTAATATAAAACCAAACACATATATTGAGGCTTGGTGCATTCATTCACGACGTTGTTCATGGAATAAATACGAGGGGTTAACCCGATATATGCCAGATATCAGTCAGCGCGGTTACCAACTAAAAGTTATCTGTTACCAATAATACAATCAATCAATCAATCATCATTTCAGTATAACCAATACACAGTAGCAAAAATGCGGGTTAACCCGAGATTCGGACCAAGCCCTAGTCTTCTCACAGGACACAAAAAAAAGTTCGCTTGCACTCTTTCAATCCTTAAAAATACTTAATTGTGTGTATTGTGATACGATGAAATTGCAAAAAAAGCCACCTGACGCTTATATAAATATATTTTTGTGACTAGCACATTCTGTACTCAATGCGGTCCTCAGCAGAGTCCTCCTTGCCGGTCATCTTGTAGTCGATGATGATGTCCAGGTCGCGAGGGTTCTCGGCATTAGGAGCGCACTCAATGGTGCCCTTGATAACGTCGCCCTTGCACACGGTCATAGTATCCTTCGTGTAGAACACGGTCTGCTTCCAATGTGTGTACTTTGCAAAGGGACCAGTGCTGAATGTGACGGGCTTGTGGCAGGCGCGGAACTCAATGTCGAACCAGGAGATGAAGGCGTGAACGTAGTCGTCGCGCTCAACAGTGATCTCAAAGGGAACGTTAAAGGTCAAGTCCTCCTTCTTGACGGTCAGAATGTCAATGGTCTTGAACACGCACTGGGACGAGTTCACAAAACGGGGCTCGACGGTGTCAACCAGGGGCTCCTTCATGGCAGCGTCCCGGATGCAGGACATCTTGAATCCGTAGACGTCGCTCCAGAAGTTGAGCTTCTCCTCCTTGTAGTCGCCGTCCTCAATTGTCGAAATGACCATGGTCGCTGTGTCGGGGAAGATCATGCCGCCGGGCTGCAGGTACTTGTCGCGGGCGAGGAGAACAGTGTCCAGCATGCTCTCGTAGAGCAAAAAGTAGCCCATCCACTCCGAGATAATGATGTCGACCTTGCTATAGGGAAGAATGACCTCCTCCATCTTGCCCTTAAGCAGGGTAATCTTGTCGGAAAGACCGTTCTCCTCAACAATCAGCTTAGCCTTGTCAATGATGTTGGACATGTCGACACCAATAACGTGCTTGGCTCCGGCCTTGGCGGCGAACATGCTGAGGATACCGGTTCCGCAGCCAACGTCGAGCACAACCTTGCCCTGGAAGATGTGCTTATTCTTGATGATGGAGTCGCGGTAGGACATGGTGCGGACCTCGTCCTTGAGCATCTCTTCGTGAATGCCAAAGTGGGCGTACGAGTCAAAGTAGTAGTCCTTGCTGGTCATACCGGCCTTACCAGCGTTGGCAGCAGCGTTGCTTTCTGTGGCCATTATTGAGAAACGAGAGAGTAAAAATAAAAAACAGACAGGAATACAAGAGAAGCAAGCAAGAAGAAAATTTTCCATCCGTCTGAATAAAAGAATAAGACAGCAGCAACAGCCCAAGCAACAAGGCGAAAAAAATTGTGTTTGTGTACCACTCGGGCAGTTTTTTTTCTTTTCACCAGTCTCACTGCCGACGTTGAGTTTTTTTTTGATCGTGCAATCGGCGGCATAGAGCGAAAAATCGCATCATACGCAGGCAAAACTTTCGTTAAATTACGTGCACGTGTGTGTCTTGATTTGCAAGATTTGATTAAATATAATTAAATTTGGTGATCAAAGTGAGTATTGATCACGTGATTGTGCGTGTGAACACGTCGCTGTCCTATGGGCGTGTGTGCTGTTGTTGTTGCTACTGTTGCTGTTGCTGCTGGATCCGGCTTGGTTCTTCTGTTATTCGCCATTTGCATTGTCACTTTCGCAGCCAAAAATTATAAAATACAGTCGCTCTAAGTCTAGCTGGCTAGTGCACACACACACGCGCCACTTTGAGGCACACGCAAAGCCACATATACATACCGACACCAAACCGACCAGCGATGGACAGAGAAACATGGCTGCTATGGATGCTGGCTGACTCGCAGCTGCCCACCGGCGGGTTTGTAGCCTCGGCAGGATTGGAGGCAGCAGTTCAGGGTGGGCTGGTGCGCGAGAGCGCAGCCGAGGACAACATCGATTCGTTTGTGGGATTCATCAGTGACAGCGCACACAACCAGGCGCGGTTTGCGCTGCCCATCTGCTCACGGGTCCACGACCTGGCAGCATTGCACCTGATGCCGCTGGCAAAAGCAGGCGACGGCAGCAGTGGTAATGGCAGCGATGACGAGGTGGTCGCCACCAAGGTTCTGGAGGACATCGTGCGGATCGACGGATACCACCACGCGATGCTGGCATCAAACCAGGTGGCAATGCGTGCATCGATTGCGCAGGGCGGAGGGCTGCTGAGCGTGTTCAACCGCGGCTACGCGCTGTCTGCCTTTATGGGCGCCGGCATGGCCAGACGTGCGTGGGGATTGCGCGGCAGCTGCAGCGGCTGGCGCGGCTGGGCGAGGTGCGTGCGCACTGGGCAACGGTGTTTGGGTTTGTGTGCGTTGCGCTGGGCATCAGCTGCGCGCACATGCACAGTTATTCATGTTCCAGTTTGTGCGCCAGGTATTCTCTGCAGCCATCCGCCTAAACCTGGTGGGGCCGCTGCGCGCGCAGATGCTGTCCTGCGACATGCAGCGTCTGGTCAGCTCGCTGTTGGACCACCACGCCCACCGCCGCGTTGAGCTTGACTCAATCGAGGACCTGTTTGGAGAGTCGGCCGTGTACACTGAGCCCGTACTTGAGCTGTACCAGGGCATGCACGACCGCCTGTACTCGCGCATTTTCAACAGCTAGCAATCGTATGTGTATATTTTTAAACTTGACTAAACTGAAACTAATGCTTGCCCAATGGCCTCTATATAAACTGCTTCCTGAGCCTAGTACGCTGAGCCTAGTACGGCAGCAGGCGATCGAGATGCCGCCTCTGGAACTCGGTGCACACCACCGGCGCGTGCTTGCCGCGCCGCGCATCTGGGCTGAGCCTGCGGTTCAAGTGCCGCATGCCAGCTTGGCGCCGCTGGTAGAGGCCCTTTGCGATCGCCTTCCACCGCTTGGCGTGCCCTTGTGCGTCTTCAGCTTGGCCATACCGCGCACTGCCTGCGCCTGGGGCCCGCTGAGAATCGACTGGGAAAAGGCCGCCATAGTCAGCCGCTGCGAGGCTGTCTGCAGAGTGTTGAATATGCCGCCAAACATTTTATTGAAATATACTGAATTTGGTCCAATCAAGCTCAAGAGATAGAAATTTAAAATGCCCAGCTGAGGCAAGAAGGGAAAGCACACGCGCTGCTGTTTCTTAACCAAAAAGCGTGTGTAATCTCTGCCGCTCTGAAAAATTAGGATCAGTTATACTTAAAATTAAAATTAAGCGCTCCTTTTGTGGTGGGAAAAAAGTTGGTGCTGGCATTTTAAGGCGGCGGTCTCGTAATTTCAAGCATAAACAGGGTGGGTCAATGTTCCTACCCGCCTTCGCCTTTTAGTCATGCTTGTGTGAGTTTTTTATTTCTATTTTTTATCTTACTTTACTTTAAAATCAACGCCCTCTCAAATGAGCGACATAAACCCCAACAGCGCACATATCACGCTCGTGAAGAACCTGGCGGCGCCTCCCGCCAACTCTACCGCCGCCGCGGGCCTGCTGAAGATACTCGTTGCCGCCCAGGCCACCGGTACTACCGTCCAGTGGACCGAAATTGACGCTGCTGCTGAGGCTACGCAAGCCACGCCAAAGTCCAAGCAGCCGTTCTGGGTTGTTCTGGGCGACTCGACGACAAGACTTTACGACGCCAACGCCACGGTGCGCTACCTGTACAAGGCTGGCACACAGCCGCTGGCCGATCGCCTGGCCGCCGAGCAGGTTCTCGAGTGGGAGGAGAAGACGCTGAGTCTGCTGCCGTGGACAAGGACATTGACCTTGTTCTGTCCGCTGTTGAGGCCAAGATTGGCCAGCTGAGCACTACCACCACCACAGTGAGCGCCATTGACGCCGTTATTTTTGGCGCGCTTTACTACGCCGTCTCGAACGCAAAGGCCGCTGTGCTCTCCAAATACGTCGACATCCAGCAGTGGTTTGCCCAGAAGAGCGCCGTTCCTGCTGTCGCGGCCGCCCTGCCGATATACACTGCCAATGTGAGTCATCACCATACAATACTGCTGCAAACCCCTTTCTTGTGACTTTGACTGTGACTGTGCCTGTAGTTGCTGTTATTTTATGTTATGCTGGGCTGTACTTCATTGTTTTTTATTTTGCTCGACTCTGCCACACTGCATTTCTCGATTTCACCTGAAGACGGAGCGATTGCGACATCACATGCGAGCGTGCATGCATGCATACTCGCCCAAAACAACTGGAACGATTGCTGATCTTGTTTTTTGTCTGTGCTGGTTTCCCCGCTTGGATAGGTCGTCAAGGTGTTGGTGCGCGAGGACCCGACCGTGGAGAACCGCAAGGTGCGCGAGGACATTGCCTACGTGTTCGACCAGTCAAAGGTTGTGCTTCCCGAGCCGGAGCCAAAAACGTGCTGATCACATCCGCCCTGCCCTATGTAAACAATGTGCCCCACCTGGGCAACGTCATCGGCTCGACACTGTCCGCCGACGCCTTTGCGCGGTACTCGCGTGTGCGCGGAAACAACACGCTGTACATCTGCGGCACTGACGAGTACGGAACCGCGACCGAGACCAAGGCCCTCGAGGAGGGCATCTCGTGCCGCGAGCTGTGCGACAAGTACCACGCTATTCACAAGCAGGTCTACAACTGGTTCGACCTGTCGTTCAATTACTTTGGCCGCTCGTCGACAGAGAAGCAGACTGAGATTGTGCAGAATGTCTTCCTCAAGTGCTACGAGAACGGCGTGATCTCAGAGAGAGAGGTAACCCAGCTGTACTGCGAGTCGTGCAGCCGCTTCCTGGCCGACCGCTATGTCGAGGGCATCTGCCCGGTGTGCCGCTTCGAAGACGCGCGCGGTGACCAGTGCGACTCGTGCGGCTCACTCATCAACGCCGCCGAGCTCATCGAGCCCCGCTGCAAGCTCGATGGCAACCGCCCGGTGCTGCGCGACTCGAAGCACCTGTTCCTGGACCTGGACGGGCTGCAGCCGCAGTGCGAAGCGTTTGTTGCAAAGGCGTCTAGCGAGGGCAAGTGGTCGTCAAACGGAGTGGCCATCACGCAGAACTGGCTGCGCGAGGGCCTGCGCCCGCGCAGCATCACGCGCGACCTCAAGTGGGGCGTGCCGGTGCCGCTTGCCGGCTATGAGGACAAGGTCTTCTACGTGTGGTTCGACGCGTGCATCGGCTACCCGTCGATCACCGCCAACTACACGCCCGAGTGGGAGCGCTGGTGGAAGAACCCCGACAACGTCAAGCTGTACCAGTTTATGGGCAAGGACAACGTTCCTTTCCACACTGTCATCTTCCCGTCGACCGAGTTTGGCACTGGCGAACCCTGGACCATGCTGCACCACATCTCCACGTGCGACTACCTCAACTATGAGTCAGGCAAGTTCTCCAAGTCGCGCGGTGTCGGCGTCTTCGGCAACAACGCGCAGGACACCGGTGTGCCGCCGGATGTCTGGCGCTACTTCCTGCTGTCCAACCGCCCCGAGACCTCAGACACCATCTTCACGTGGAGCGACTTTGTCGCGCGCAATAACACCGAGCTGCTGGCCAATATCGGAAACTTCTGCAATCGCGTCATCAAGTTCCTCGACGGCAACACCAAGTACGCCGGCGTGCTGCCGGCCGCCGATGCCGCGCTGATTGCGCCGGGCGCCGACACCATCGACCGCCGCCTCATCGACGACGTCAACGAGCTGCTTGCACACTACATCGAGCGCATGGACGGCGTGCACCTCAAGGCCGGTCTACGCACAGTCATGGAGATCTCGTCGCGCGGCAACCAGTACCTGCAGGAGGCCAAGCTCGACAATACTCTGTTCAGCGAGAACCGCGCTCAGTGCGACACCGTGCTGGCGTGGCCACCAACCTTATTTATCTGCTCAGCGTGCTGCTCCACCCCTTCATGCCTGCCACGTCGACCAGTATCGCCCGCCAGCTCAATGCGCCGGAGCGCCTGCTGACCGAGACCTTCGAGCTTGAGCTGCAGCCCGGACACGTCATTGGAAAGGCCGAGTACCTGTTCACCCGCATCGATGAGAAGAAGATCGACGAGTGGCGCCTCAAGTATGGCGGCAAGCAGGTCAAGTCGAGGAGGAGGCCGAGAAGCCCAAGTCCAAGAAGGAGAAGTCCAAGGCCAGAGCCAGGGCCAAGGTCGACGTTGGGGCCGTTCTGCTGCTGCCAACTGAAAGGCCTGGGATCTGTGAAAAAAGTGGACTTGCATGTAGCTCACGTGCAGCTGACCCTTAGCCATTGCAGAACTGGAATCAGTGCCTACAATTTTTTGCATTCGCACTAACGGCTCGCCTTGAAGCGCACAGACCAACACACCTTTTCTTATAGCCTGTTTTTTATTATATTTTATATTTAATACCACACTTCACACATACTCAAACCTGAAAGCGATGGCCCAAGCAGCGACCAAGAAAACTGTGCTCTATTGCGGCGTGTGCACCCTGCCGCCAGAGTACTGCGAGTTCTCGGCCTCGCGCAAGGCGTGTGAGCAGTGGCTCGGCGAAACGCACCCCGAAGAGTACATGCGGCTGTACAGTGACGAGGCACTGACGGACAAGATGGCGATGACGACGCTGAGCGATGACAAGGTTGCCAAGGAGGCGGCCAAGATGGAAAAGGCCATAACGAAGGAGGAGGCGCGCATGGCGCGGGATCTGGTGAAGAAGAATTCGTCCAGGGTCGTGATCAAGCGCGTCGAGCGCAACAAGCGCAAGTGCGTGACCAGCATCTTCGGGCTCGACGTCTTTGGCGTTGACCTCAAGAAAACCGCAAAGATGTTTGCCAACCACTTTGCGTGCGGTGGATCCGTGGCCAAGAACCCACAGGGCCTGGACGAGATACTGGTTCAGGGCGACTTTTCAGAGAAGATATTGCAGCTGATCCTCAAGGACCACCCAGAGGTTCCAGAAGCGAACATTGATCTGACTGAGGAGAAGAAGCCCAAGAAAATGGCGCCATAGAAAGTCAAGTTTTTTTAAATAATAGACCGATCTCATTGCATTGTGGACCGGCTTTGTTCAGACTTGGCATAATCAGAATGAATCAGAGCAGCACAGAACAAAACAGACCGAGATAAATAACATAATTATTTTTGTATTTCAGAATAAAACAAAACAAGTTGTGACTGTGTCCTCACTCACTTCTGGGTGCCGTTCAGCCAGTTCGAGTTGTTGGCGAATGCCGCCTCGACGTCAGCCATGTCGTCGGTGCCGCCCAAGAAAATGGGGCAGCGGTCGTGGATGTGCTTGGGTACCAGGTCGAGCACGCGCTCGATGCCGTGATGGCTCTGCCACCGGCCTGCTCGATAATAAAGGCCATGGGGAACGACTCGTACAAGATCGCAGCTTGCCCGAGCGCGACTTGCGGTCGCTGGGGTAGGCAAAGACACCGCCGTACAGCAGCGTGCGGTGGACGTCGGCAACCATCGAACCAATATAGCGCGCTGAGTAAGGCTTGAGCCCGCTCTCGGGCGACGGGAACTTCAAGCTGTCAAAGTACGCCTTTGTCGCGTCGTCCCAGTACAGCGAGTTGCCTTCGTTGACCGAGTAGATCTTTCCTCTCGAAGGGATGCGAATCTACACAAAAAATAAAAATGGCATTTTGGCAGAGCACAAGAAAAAATAAGGAGCGGGCAATCAGCTTTCATATGCTAAATTATAACGCTGCAGATAAAGCCACGATCAGCGACCAGTGTTTGCATCAAACTTACATTGGGATGCGTCAGGATAAACTCGCCAAGTGCTGGGTCCAGAGTGAAGCCCTCGACGCTGTTATTGCCGAACGTCAGCACCATGTTGCACGAGGAGCCATACATGCAGTACCCGCCAGCGACAATCTCGGAGCCGGGAACCAGGATCTCATCGACCGTAGCCTGGGGGCCGGAAGGCAGGCGCCAGATGCCAAAAATGGTTCCAACGTTGACACCGGCGTCGATGTTGCTGCTGCCGTCAAGCGGATCAAAGGTGATGCAGTACTTGCCGCGCAGCTCCTCTGGCACCACGACAATGTCGTCAACCTCCTCGGAGACCATGAACGCAAACTTGCCCGACGACATCATCGCGTTGACAAACATCTCGTTTGACAGCACGTCCAGCTTCTTCTGGTCCTCACCCTGCACGTTGGTGTTGCCGGCGAGCCCGACAGGTTGACTAGCCGCGCCTTGCGTACGCACGACTCGACGAACTTGCATCCGACCTGCACGCCGTTCATAGCGATGGTCAGGTCGCCAGTGGCCTCGGGGTGCTTGCGCTGCTGTTCAAGCATGTAGCGCGTCAGCGTCATGATGTTGGTCTTGTGGTGGTCAGTCATTGTGTCTGTATTTATGTCTGGGTTTGGGTTTAATGGTGTATATACACGGGATATTACAGATGCTACAGAGTACTTGAGCGGTAAAAGAATATTTGCGAATAATTGATAAGAGTTGAGAAGAGCAAGCCGCAAAAGCCGCGGTGGCCGCTCTGCTCCTGGCCTAGCCTTTTATAGCCTGTGGAAGTGTGTTGCTTTTTCTTTCTGCTTGCAGAAGCAGAAGCAGCAGCAGCAATAACAGCTGACTAGCAAAAGTTTGTGGCCAGCTGACTGGGGGACGCAAAGTCCCGAGCAAGACCTCAAGGAGTGTACTGAATGGCAATGGGTGGCTGTGGAAGCGACAATGGCTACAGCAATGGATACAGCAATGGCGACGGAGATTGCCGCCGAGGAGGCAAGTGCGCTCTTATCTGCGCAACTGAAACAGCGTGTCTATCTTCGCGATCGCCACCCCTTCTTTCCTTTCTTCCACGCTTTTACATAGCGGCGCGCCCGGCCATCTTCGGCGCGTGCAGGACTAGGGCGGCGGGCCAGCAATCCCCTCGAATAGAGTGGGCGCCGGACAGCAGTGCCCGAGCGTGGGGATAAAAAAGAGCGATGCCAAAGCTGGAATTTTCCAGCGAAAGTGGTCCCTGCACCTTCGCTGCAGCCAACTGCAGCCGTTCCCACCATTATCACCTCGTGACCCATGATGCTATTGCGCTGATCGATTACGCTGAGATTTGATCGCGCGTGTTGCTGTGATTTGGATCAGCTGCGGGCTTTTACTTTTTTTTCTGCGCCCCAAAGAAAAAATATCCCGTCTGCTGCTGCGTTCGCCATCAGCGCAAGCAAATTACAGCTGTCTCTTTTCACGTTTGGTTCCTCAATTTGAATATCTGTGCTGTGTAAAACTATTATCGCTTTGGGAACTCACGTACACATACCTTCTATTTATTTACTCCTCCTCACTCACTCACTCAATTCAGCACGCTCGTTCGCCCCTGCAAGCAGACCGACAGACATAATATATATATACACTACACTAAAATGGGAAGAGCACCAAAGCGCACATTCAAGGACCGCTCCAGCCCGCTGTCCGCCCGGGCAGTCGAAGGTGCCGCAACACGCGTCGAGAGCAAGGAGGAGGTGCCTGCGCTGCTGAAAAAGCTTGTCTCCAGCGATGCCAACGACAGAGTGTGGGCCGCTGCCAGTGCTAGCAATTTGCTCATGTCCGACGACCCGCAGGTCCGCCGCATGCTACTCTCCAACAACATTATTGCCGCGCTGATCGAGCGGCTCTCAGACTCGGTTCCCGACGTTGTCATCCAGGCGACCGGCGCCCTGCACAATCTTGTCGCCGCTGACCAGGGCGCTGCCGAGGAAATCACACGCAAAAACATATTTGCCGCTATCCAAAGCCTGATCCCACGCCTAGCCAAATCAATCGACGATATTATCAAGGATAACGAGGATGGCAAGAAGCTTGACAGCAACGACCGTAAGGCCGTGTTCCTCACAACGACAACCTAATATCTATACTGTGGGTGCTGTGCGAGACCGTGCCCTCTAGCCTCAAGCAGATCAACGACATGGCGCTGATTCCGTTCCTGGTCTCGTTCTTCAACGTTATCGGCAAGTTGCCGCCATCGCTGATCCAGACCGCCGGCCAGTTCCTCTATACGCTGGCCGACGACAACGTGCACGCCAAGCGTGCCCTGGTCGCACAGCCCAACGCTATCCAGAACCTGATGAAGGTTGCCACAACCCAGCAGAGCTTTGAGCTTGTGTCCAACGAAGACGTAGCTGTCATCCGCATTCTGGCAGGCGGTATTCTCTGCAATGTCAAGTTTGTCATTTTCGCGCAGCTCGAAAAGACTTATCAGTACCGCCCAGGAGGGATCCCCGCCGATGAAACCAAGCCCTGGGACGACCTTTCGAGAACCCTTCTCCAGTAATTTCTGAATATGTCACGTTTGACATCCATGCCGCCGCTGCCCATGCCGCTGCCTCGTCAGGGCGATTTCCACGTCGCGCGCCGAGGCTGTGGCCAACGGCACTGAGACTGTCAGCTCAACAAAGCAAGAGTCTGAGTTGGACCAGCTCAACACGCGGATGAGCTATGTGCAGCTGGCGCTCGAGCTTGCTGCAAACATTTTCACCGAAGAAGGAGCGACAGAGGCCGATGAGGCTGTTTCGGAAAAGAAGGCCATAATGCTGTAATGCCAAGGCGAATACTCCAAAGGCTGCGGACGAGGACCACGAGATGGCTGGCGATAATGACGACGAAGAAGAGCATGATGCCGACGAAGAGTACGCCTCGGCGGCCAGTGGCGACGAGAACGACAGCGACTTTGAGGATGAGGACCAAAACGACTTTGATGAGGACGATATGGAGGAGCTGCTGGCCGATGAGAGGACGATCGCGAAGGAGGCCGATGAAACCATTCAGCACTCGATTCTCGGCATGTTCCTGAACGTAATTGTTCCCTCGCTGAGGCTCTTGGCAGAGCCCACCAAGATGTCGACCCTGGAAACAGCCATCAAGGAGTGCTCGGTATCGGAGACTGCCGACGAAGCTTCACTCAAGATGATCATCTCGGTGTCAGAGACATTTGCCACCCTGCACGAGCGTGCGCTGGGCTGCTTTAACAACTTCTTGCTGGTTATTGAGGATTCGCTCAAGTCGTGGTTCCGCCTGCACAGCGACAACGTGGCCGCATGGTGGGGCTTCCTGATAGCCGTTGCCGACCACCTGTTTGGCGTCGAGAGCGCCCCGGCAGAGCACTCTGCCACTGACCAGCGACTTCGCTTTGTCATCCTGGAGCCTGTGGTTGGCTGCATGTGGACCCTTGCCCGCAGCGTCGGTGGCAACGTGCCAGTCACGCCTGAGCAGATTGAGGGCCTGATCCACGTCTGCGAGGCCGCTCCCAGTGCAGAGATCCGCGTCAAGGCCGTAGGCGTCATCGGCAACGTTGCGCGCCGCCAGCCCGGCCACATTGACGCGAACAAGCGCATCGGTAACTACCTCTTGGAGCATATAATTTCCAAGCCGCTGCTGGCATTTGCGTCCTCCAATGGCAACCGCGAGGCCTCGTCTCTGCTAACAGACTCTGACGTTGAGCCCATTGTCGAGGCACTGGATCTGTTCTATGATATCTACAGCGATGCGGACTACGACTACGACGGGCCGGTATTTGTCACAGGCGACTTCCTGTCCAAGCTGCGCCAGATGTGCGTGCCCATGCGCAAGCTGTCTAAGAGCGTCGACCGCCGGAAGAACCGCAGCCTGCGCGACCGCAGCGACCTTGCCCATGAGAATTTGCGCGCCTTTATTGACTACAAGACATCCGAGCGCAAGGGCCGCTAACTAGTAATGAAAATTTGTAGCGTGTTTATTTATTTTTACATTTTTAACCTCCAAAAAAATAAGAACTTTAGAACCTTTCACCCATGCAATTGTAGTGCCAATACAGTGCAAATGAAAAAAACATTTGGCAACTACATGGCCGCGCGCACCGGCTCAAGGCGGTACTTTAGCTCCTTGCCTGCCTTGGTCTCGGGCATCCATTTGTCAAATAGTGTAACCAGCCGCTGGAGCTCGACGCGCAGGCTGTCGTTCTGCCTGATCTCGGGCTCGTCCCACAGCGTGCGCATAATCCACGGAATGAAGAATGGATTGAGCTTATCGGCTGCGCTAAACGGCCGATACGACATGTGTGTTTGCGCCCCGCTGACGCTTGCGCGGCGCGGTGCGGCTGGCGGCTGGCCGAACCGATGCCCATTGCCGCGCTGGGCACGGACTCTGAGGTCGATATCGATGTCGACGAGGTCGAGTAAAGCAGCCATTTTATGGACAGCTTGTAGACCGCGGGCTCTCCGTAGACGGTTGAGTGGCCGGAGTGGCCCCAGAGCGAGCCGGCCACGACCTCGCTGAGGTGGATGAGCAAATCGTGGTCATAAATGTCCATATTGCGTAGTCGCAGCGCAAACACGATGAGGTTGGTCAGAAAGTCATCCAAGTAGTGGGGCGCATCGATGTACACGGCGCGGTACACGTTTGGATGCGACACTCCCTGCAGTATTGCCGAGTAGAGAGGCACGACCTCGTCGACCCACGAGCCTGTGCATATCAGTCGTACCCCCTTGTGCAAAATAGTGCTAAGTGAGGCCACGTAGCGCTGGCTTTGATAGGAGCTGGGTCCATCAGCTCGAAGAGTTCGCGCGCGGCCTCAGATTCGAGATACCGAATTACCAAATTGTCTTTCAAGTACGGGAATGGGCCATGACTGATCCCCGCCATTGCCAACATGCCGACCCGCTGCCGGCCAGTGTCGACGATGGCCAGCTCTATCAGGCGCTCTAGCAACATTGCCGACACGGGTGTTCCCTGGGAGTGTGTAACGACAAACACGGTATCGGCCGCCTTGAGAATCTCCGCACGCATGCTGCGCTCGGGCATAAACGCATCTGCTATCACCACTGACTGCTTGCCTGTAGGGTTGCTGCTGCTATCGGCTGCGACGGCCTCTTTGGCTGCTGTAGTGACTGCAATCGACTTGCGCTTCCCCTTGCTGCTGGCCGCTGCGGTTGCTGACAAACTGATAATATCCGACGCCGCGCGGCTTTCGCTGCGAGCGGGCGCGTTTTCTGGGTGGGACTTGTCGGCCGGTTCGTCGGTGTCGGTTATTTGGGAGAGTAGCAGCTCGACGCGATCCTCAATCCGGCCCTCGCCAACTAGTGGAAACAATGTAATCTCCTCGTCGTCAATTTCGACGCCATGGCTCTCGAGAAGATAGGATTTCAGCGCGTCTCGCATCATCAGACAGAACTTTTCCGACTTGCCCGTGGGCTCTCCAGCGATCATCTGCACCATGCGTATCGGGAACCAGCCGTGCACGCCGATAACGCGATGCGACCGAGGCTTTTGGCGCCCTCATCCATTGACTCCCTAATCTGCCCGCTGGTCAACTGCTCTCCACCGTTGTCGCTGGTGATTCCGCTCTGTCCTAATGTATCGGCGCTGGTCTTTCCTCGCACTATTGTGCGCGCCCAATCCGGCGCCATATCGACAAACAACTCGAACACCGACTTTCCAATCGTGCGCAGGCGCTTGTGCAGCGGCCTTCCTCCTTGTAAATTGTCGTGTCACGGGCATCACCATTACTGCTACTGCTGCTTTTACTACTGCTGTTGCTGCTGCTGGATGTGCTACATCTACTTTGTGCTGGCGGTTCAGAGGCGGTCGGGGCTACATTGCTAGCAGCTAGGATCTGTCTCCAATATCGAGATCGGGCAATAGCATGTTGCCTTGCGGATGCGGATTGTGGCTGCGAGAATCGAGAACATCGGCGTTCGGAGAGCTCTGCCCGTTCTTTGGGCTAATAGAGTTGACTTACTGGCGCCAGTTCCGGCGACTGACAGTGAGTGAAGAGTGTCCACAGCATTGGGTGAGGTGGCCCGACTTCTGAATTTGCATTATTCTCGCTCAACTGGATACTCCTGCGACCATCCAAAGCGCTTACACTCTCGGCTACATTGGAATTGGTTGCATCCCTGTGAGTACCCAACCATCCGCGGAACCAACCAGTGCTAGTGCTGGCGGCTTTTCTGGTTCAGTAGCAATACCAACAGCCGTACGTGCTCTGTTTCAGCGTTTAAATTTCCATCGGCAGCATTGGGGCTGTTGTCAACCGCCTCACGAGAGAGTACGCCCTGCTGCGCGGCAACAGACGAGCCCAAGCTTTCATCCGCTACATCAATGACCGTCGACCCTGTGCTGGTAGCAATATCCTCTGCGGCATTTGGCGCGTCGGGAGAAATCGCCGAATCGATGCTAGCGCTGGGATGGATGCAGGCGCAGAATCGACTTTTGGGGCTGCGGGTTGCTTAGACTTGATGTCGCGCAGGCGGTCGACAGCAGCCTTGTGTGCGACGGGCTCAGAGTCCACTTGCTTTTGCCCTGCGTTGCTCGATGAGCGCAGCGTCAGCCATGCTAGATTTGACCACATCGACACGCTTTGATCGGGAAGACTGTCGGGTTGCTTCTGCTGATGCTGATGCTGATGCTGCTGGGCCTCATCAAAGCCGACGACGACGTCATGAGTTGTAATCACCGCACTGACTGGCTCAACGACTGGTTTGACACTAGGCCGTGGCGAGCGGCACTAGTCCTTGGCGTCAGCTGCTCGGCAGATGATGTGGTATCAGTTGCTGTATGTTGCTGTCTTTGCACTCGTCGCTGCTGGAAGTGCTTGTGTTCTTTGTCGGCGCTGTGTCGGAGGCAAGTATTGAACCTACAGCGACTATTGAGGCGGCATCGTTTGGCTTTGTGGGAGCGGCAGCAACAGCGGTTGATTGATATTGCTGCTGCGAACGCTGGTACTGATTCTGATTCTGACGCTGATGCCGATGCCGACGCTGAGTCTGATGTTGATGTGGATAGTGTGGATGCAGTGCCGTCATTGTCAGTAGTGCTGCTAGGCGCTTCGCTGGGCATGTCTCGGGTAGCTAGCGGTCGCAGCATATTGAGCACGTTCTTGCGTCCAGACATGGATGCGGGCACACCATAAAAGCTGACAGGGCGCGACCGTGACCGCACCCGCGATGACCCTGGCTGCTGAGACTGAGCTTGTGTTTGAGCCTGAGCCTGAGCCTGAGCCTGAGCCTGCGCGACCACCTTTCCGCGAGCCTCGATTGGGCGCGCACCTCCTGTAAATGTGGTGGCGACCTGTGGCTGGCTCCGCGAAACCATGTTGTCGAAAAAACCGTCTCCAAACAACATGCTGCTTCTAGCACTCGAGCGGATCGATGCCGCCCTCGCCGAGTTGGTGGCATTGCGAGAACTGTGGTCCTGCGGTTTTTCGGCCCCAGATTCTTCAGAAAAAAATGCAGCTGCAGACATTGGCATCGGCGGCGATGACGGAGATGATGATGGCGATGTCTGGCCCAAAGTGCTGCTGCGGCGCGGGCCACTCCATATGAGCGCGTTGGGAGGTGTGTGGTTGGCGTACTGCCGTGATTGCCGGTGTAGGTCGTCTTCGCTGCGGACCGACCAGCTCCGGGGACGGCCCTTCTCGTAGTCAAACAGCTCTGGCATAATATTGGACGACAGGTCGGGCGTCGAGGCCGTATGCGCTGTTGACGGCGTCATTTGTAGCAGCGACATCCGCTTTTTTTGTGCAGCGCTTGCCGGCGCGGCTGAATTTGGGCCAACCATTTGAATTCTCCGAAAATGTCAATAAAAACACACCGTGTAGTGTGAGGTGGCCTAGGCTCCTACGTATTGTTGAACAAAGGGCGATTGCGGAAAAATACAGCGATGCGATCGGACAACAAAAGGAGCGTCTATTTGAGGTGGCAGCTGTCGATGAACAAATCTGAACGATAAAATATTTAAAGTTGAAAAAAGCGAACAAAGGCAAAGAAAGAAAAAAGTGAAGAAAAGAAAGATAAAAGTAGCAGTTCGAGCGCACAGTGCGGTGACTATGTTATGCTGTGCAATGCAGAGAGGAAAGGAAAATGAGTGGAGTGGGGCGACAGCAGGCTGCAAGGCAAGACTGTGGAAAGAGTGGGAGTGCGCAAAAAAGGGCACGGCGGGCGGTCAAGTGACCGCGGTCGTTTTCAAAATGTCTGAGCTGGCGTTTTCTGAATGCATGCGAATCGGGGCAGTTTTCACCGCCCTTTTGAGTTTGGCTGCGTGCATGCATAACTCCCAGCACCAAGGGGGGCGCATAGGCGCAGATATGCAAGGTAACGCGCCCGTGCGCCTGGAGTTAAGCACTGGCCCTTGCACTGAGTTAAGCACTGGCCCCGGCCCTTGCTCTGTATTCAAAGTTGCCTCTAATTTCCACTGGCTGGAGGCTGGCTGGAGGGCTGGCTGGCCACCGGAGTCATTCGAGATCAAAGCCGTGCATGAACTCGTCAGCCGACTGCTCCTGTGCGCCGCTGTGACCATCGCTGCTCCCCGCCTGTACCTCAGAAACAGCGTCAAACCACACGTTTGGACCGTAGCAGATGCACAGCTCCTCGCCTGCACCAATGTCCCGCAGCGCAGTGTACCTGATGAGCGACCGACTCATGTCGCGAGTGAAACCGACATTTTCGTGGCCAAACGCTTCGTGGTTGAACATACTCCCAAGGCCCAGTGCCAGCGCATAGCCACTGTCCTTCCAGCAGTACGTGTAGTGGTCCAGCTGCGTGTGTCTGCCATGGTCCGCGTACTCAGTGCGGCCAAACACCAGCACTGGTGAAATGTTGACCAGGGTGCCGCTGCTGATTGCCTTCCGGGTAAACACGCCTCGGCCCCGCTGCGGATGCATGCGTAGCTCCAGGCACCCAAGAGCGGGGAGCGCAATTGTGTCGTCTGCACTATCATGACGCCGTCGCCCATGTCTTCTACAAGTAAAAAATTATAAAGGAATGATGGTTTCAAACGTCAGTCAGCAAGCAGTAAGCGCGCGCAGTGGTGCAACTCAGAAATAAAAAATAAGAAAAATGGATTGCGTTTCAAAAGGGTGGTCAATCCCTTTGCGCCGGTGCCCCCAGAAAAAAAGCCATAAAGATGGGCGAGCGCCGTTGTGCTGAAAGGAATACTCAAGTATATATAGGTTATTTTTCTAACAGAAACAACAACCAATCAGCTCCATTAGCTCAGCTGGTTAGAGCGCCGTGCTTATAGTGCAACACAAACACTATGTTAGAGTCACGCGGATGTCGCCAGTTCGATCCTGGCATGGAGCATTTTTTTACCTTTTGCCACTCTAAAAATGTTTTGATTGAAAGACGAGTGGATGGATTGCCAGGTGCTTTGTAAGTATATATTTTTTGCTTGAACAAGCGGCGGTGCGAAATAGTTTAAATATAAAATATTTTATTAAAGTCAGATAGTCAGAAAAGTGAAACGCAGAAGAAAAGAAAGAGAAAATACAAATAGCAGAAGCTGGGTTTGGCTGAGCGCGGGCCAGGGCAAGACAAAACAGGACAGGCCAGCGCATGGCGAATGGGAGGAAACAGAGCAGCTCACAGTCCCTTGCTCTGTTGGGGGTAGAGACCGCAAAAAAAATTTTACTATTTTCATCCAGTGTGCGTCAGGGCATCAAGCAGAATATCATTTTCCATGCGCAAACGGCGAATTTTGGTCTTGACCCGCTCAAGCTTCTCCTTGCGAACGTCGACCTGGCTGGCAATGTACCCCAGCTGTGCGTGCAGCATTGCCTCAAGCTTTGCAGACTCAGACTCACTTTTGAGAAGATCAGGGTAGCCTGTGGCTGTGGCTGTAACAGCTGAATCGCCGTTCTGCGCGGCAGCAGAGCTGTTGGCATCACGGCAGTCGTAGTAGCGGTGGTTGGCGTCGCTGTCGTCGCTGCTGTTGTTGTCTGAGGAGCGCTCGTGTTGAATATCGCGCTGCTTGCGCTTGTACTGGTGTCGAGCACCCGCGTCGTTGATGTGAGTAGCCAATCCCAGGGCCATCGAGGAGGCGCCCTTGGCCAAAAAGGCGGTACTGGTGTCGTTGTCGCTTCCAGTGGCCTGAGAATCAGCCTGTGTTACAACTGTGTTTCTGCGACTGCGCATCTTTTGCGTGTGCGTGCCGCCATTGCAAGCAACTGGCCATCTCTCAGCGTCGATGCTTTCGGCCTGCTCTGCAGCTGACATATGCGTATTGATATGCCTTCTCAGGAAATCCGTGCGCTTGTAGACTTTGCCGCAGGCGTCGAAGGGGCACAGAAACGAGCGGCTGCCAGTGTGCTTGACTAAATGTGTAATGAGATGGTATCGGCTGCGCATTGGCGTTGCTTCAAGCGCACACCCCCTCCACTTGCAAGCAAGCGTTTGGCACTGGTCGAGACCGATATGGTCTTTGGAGAGGTGCGCTGCAAGCTGGTGGTAGGAGCTGAAATCGTTGGCGCATGCGCCCCAGGCACACGCCGCGTGTGTATCGACCGGCGGTGTGGCACCAGACATTAGAGCTGTGCCCAGTTCTACCGCATGTGCTGTAGCCACAACCCTGCTGCACTGCCTTCGTCATTGCTTTGCAGCAGCGATTTACGCGCATTTGGAAATTCGTCGTGCTCACTATCCGACGATAACATTATCGCCGCTAAAGTAAATAAATCAACCGTGTTTCGCTGGAGGCGCTGTGTGTGTGTGCGCTTTTGGTATATGCTGCTGCTAGTTGTATGCGTGCAAAATAATGCAGAGCAGAGCAAATTCAATTTGTTTTCGCGACAGCTGGCAGTTGGTAGTCAGCAGCCGGCAGTTGGTAGGCGGGTGGGTGGAACGAATGGCTATGACAATATAGCAGCTTGTCGCTGAGGAGGGAGGGCGAGGAATTGCGAAATAAATATAAATAATAAATAACAGACAAACAGCGAACAAGCAAAAGCAAAAGCAAAAGCGAACAAGTATTTTTGATTTTTGATTTCCAAAAAAAAGAAGAAAAAAGCAGAGCAGAGCAAATCAGTTCAGGATATGCGCTCAATGTGACGACACCGTAGACAAAAGAATTGAGATCAATCTATAAAACAAAAAATGCCACAAAACCGCCTAATTCCGATTCGACTGATACAATAAAAGGCACGTGCGTTTTGTTCATCGCCCTTGGCGGTGGTCAAATTTAAAGTTCAATGGTCGATGGTCGACGGTCAATGGCTAATGTTAAATGGTCAACTCGACAATATTGACGCCTTTGTTGTGCTCATGTGCGACAGTGCAATGGACCAGCTCTACCAATTATATTCACGACAATGTCGGGATTCCAAAACTCTGGCGATGGATCCGACAAGGCACAAGATGAGCCATGGAGGCGCGACTGCGACACAGCACAGCACAGTACATCAAATTGATTCGAATCCATCTATAGTAGAGTTTGCCCGTGTGCAGCCGGGTATTTGTCTCAAATCGTTTATTTTTACAGCGAGACATGTGCCGAATCGTATTCCATTGATATGCACTCAGGGCACCGCATTGCTCAAATTTCAATTATACTAAATACAGTGGATCTGGATAGCATGGCTTGCTCATGCGCTAAGCTGTTCGGCTAAAGCAGCGTTGATCTCATTGTTCGCTCCAGCTTCGACTTTTGGCGCCAGATTTGCGCGTGTGTCGAAATAAATTTATGCAGCCCCGATTTTGTTTATATCTGTCTGTCTCTGTTTTTAACATAGCAATGTCAACAATGTAAATGGCGCTGCTAGCTTGGTGGCTTTGAACACGGAAAGTCTGTGTGCCTTGCTCTCCTCTTCCCAAAGTGCAACACGAGGGAGGCGCTTTCTTCCCAGCGTCCCACTTCGTGGCTCTGGCGTCGCGCAGCAATGTGGGCAGACAGCGTAAAGCTGAAAATGAAAGGGGGTTGCGGCGAGCGGGGGAGAAGGAGAAGGAGGAATGCGAGGCGCATTGTTGTGTTTGGCGCTCGTTTGTTTTGGTAATTTGAAAGTTAGGCCTTCCCAGCCGCCGTCCTTATTAAAGCCCGCATATGACAAAAAAGTAAATATTGCTCTGACGTCTTGAGTGTGCTGGGGGGGTACTAAAGGGGGGAGCTGCCAGCATTTCTCTCTGACTAACCAACTCGCTCGTGCACCTGTTAGCGCAGTCTCGGCTCCAGAATAAAGGCGGTACTATACCTCATCACTCTATTTTGTTGTATTTGTGCTGCACTCCACTCAGCGCAAGGACAACCTGCTTTTTTGACCTCGGCTGGTGTTGATACCTCATAATGCAAGCCCACTAGCAATTTCTCCCTCTTTATTTTGCATGCATACATTACTTTATTCGAGCGCTTGGTCTAAACAATGCTGGAATCGGCAGCCGAAATTAATTGGCCCCCAACCCCCAAATTGGAATTTTCTGCCATCGCCAGCATACGTGCTTGGTTCGAGAGGAGGAGAGAGGAATGGGGGGGGGTGAGTAGTGGAGGGGGGAGGTAGTGAGGGTGTCGGAATAAAAAAGCCTTTTTAGTCTTGCCTTGCACGAAATAAATATGAGTGCAGCACTTCGGGTTATGACAATCCAGGTGCGTTGTCCCTGGCCGCAGATTGAGGCAGAACAGGCTGCCTGAATGGATGTATAGACAGCGCTATATGAAAACAAAAGGGTCAAGCGAGCGAGCGAGCGAATGAATGAATGAATGGGTGAGTTAATGAATGGATAATTGATTCAGCGACAGCAAATGAGCCTTCATTTCTGGTCAACACAATCCACGCTAAACACAGCCAGTCCTTTTTAATTTTTTTTGCAATCTGATATCTGTTGTCTGTTGTCTGCGTTCGTGGACCCAAGCCTCGTCTGTTCCATTCTCATTTCCTTATAAAAGACGCAGAGATCCTCCTCCTTTGCCATGCATCTTTTGCTAACCACACCAGACCAATCTTTGTTTTTTTCTCTAAACACTTGGCCATCCTGTCCCTAGCATTCTCTGACCCCTTTTTTTGCTCTTTCCTTTTGAGAAAATATTATGCGTAACACTCAGTAACTCCTCCCTCTTTTTTGATAATCAGCCTATTCTTTGAGCAATATTTATACGCCTTTTACACACATTATCTGACCAACTCCCGCATCTGTTCCAGCAAACGCGGCCACTGGATATCTCTACGTGCCACTATTTATTCGACTTTAACATCCACGAGCCCATATAGCTTATTGTCGACGCTGCTGGTCAACTGTCACCCCAATTTTAACTTTTCTTTGCTGCACTATATTTTAACCATCAACAAACTCACGCGCGCTCTGTGCCCGCCACTTATCGATACTATTTATCCATCACATTTTTATTTTAAAGAATCACCCTTACCCACGCGCTCGGCACTACCGGTCCAAAAAACTGCCACGAATTACTACCCCCCTGCACGCACATAGACACGCACTTATTTTTTAAACTCCTTTTGCAACAAAAAGCACGTACATCTTTCACGCATTACGCCCGCTTTACACTACACGCAACGCTTTTTATTTTTACTCTTATTGCTATTCTCCATATCCGACTGCCAGACGTCAGATTACCTCTTCAATCGCCGCTTCCCCAACCCAACCCAAACCCCAAGCCCAACAATGGACATCAGAGAGATCACGCATACATCGCTGCTGCGCGACAAGCAGCGCACGCATGTCTGCTCGTGGCGCGAGTGTCTGAAGAGCTTCACGCGCAAGTCAGATCTGAAGCGCCACTACCGAATCCATACTAACGAGAAGCCCTACGGCTGCAGCTACGACAACTGCGGCAAACGGTTTGTGCAAAAGTCTGCGCTGACCGTCCATTTGCGCACCCACTCGGGCGAGAAGCCGCACTGCTGCATGGAGCCCAACTGCGGTAAGCGCTTTAGTGACTCGTCATCGCTGGCCCGGCATCGCCACACTCACAGTGGCAAGCGCACCTACCTGTGCGGCTTTGATGGCTGCAACAAGCAATTTTACACAAAGAGCGCCTACAACAGCCACCACCGCGACCACATGGATTCGCTGAAGCACCAGGGACCTCGCTTCCAGACCCCCGAGCTGTCGAGCAGCTGCGACGTGTCTGACATCTCTGCGTCGTCGTCGCCATCGATGTCGCCCGCATCCAGCTGCCCATCGACGCCGTCGATGCAGGTCGTATACGCAGCCAAGTCAGAGTACGAGTCCTGCCCCGCTGCCGATGCAAACAGCGGCGAATACCATTATGTGCACACGCACCACGCCGGCAACTTTGGTAGTGCCGCGCAGAACTATGCCTACGGTAGCGGTAGCGAAGCCAATTGTGTAGATTCAAGTATGGCCAGCATTCTGCGTGGGACGCTCACGTACCCGACATCCACATGCCGCCTGAACCGGTCAAGCACCATGTCTTCGACGGGCTCGAGCCCCGGATTTAGCTACAGCAACAGCAACAGCTCAGCCTCCAGCTCAGCCTCGCCGTCGCTTATTCCGGAACCGCTTCCTCCAATTAATGAGTACCTCGAGGTGCTTTCCAAGGCGGCGTCGCCCAGCTGCCACTCCCCACCATCACCCACGCCCAGCCGCGTTTCTGCCCACCGCAGCATAGCCCCGCGCTGTGGTCTTACTCGGGCGCCACTGCGCCATCGTGTGCGCGCTTTATGCCGTATTAAAAAGATAGCGGTCCGCGTCTCCCCCTTCCATTCTACGCATGGAGCGGGCTCTCTTTGTTGAGTGTTTTCTTTTTTGGAGGTGGCGCGATTCCGCCCAAAATAGCAAGAACAATGGGCGATTCCGTGGCTGGGCTGGACTGGCTGCATTTCTGCCAGGGAGCTCTCCATTCTGCATTTTTCCTTCTCGCCTACTCATTCGCCTTGCCTCGGCCACTGCCTCGGCGGGCATGCGAATACAGCGCGGCACCGGGCATCTTGCTCGCTGTGCCTTTTGATCTGAGTTGCTGACCGTGCGCTGCGACTACCTCGTGCCTCTCAAGCTCTGGTGCCTCTCAATCAAGTGTTTATAATTCCACCAATCCATATGTCATCATCTCTTAGGTGTTCTTTTTTCACCAATAACATCACACCATCACCATCTCGGTTTGCTCACCAAAAATTTAAACATTTTTTGCCAATAATGCACGCAGCACCGAAAAATTCCCAGCCTTTACCATATCACGCTGGCAATAGCAAGAAAAGTTAAATTGCCCATTAAATACAGGGCGATCTGCATTGTATAAGCGCCTAATTCCAAAGGCTGGACGTATTTTCCCGCACAGACGCTTTTATTGCTCTCTTGCATGCTCTCACACACAGGCCCGATCGGGCCTGTGTGAGAGCGTGAATATGTGTTAATGTTGGGGGTGGTAAATTAACAAAAAACAAGAATTTCTTTAGCATTGGTTGCGCACAAATATATTTTTGACGCTGCTTCTGCTGCGCTCGCTGTGCATACTCGACACGCAGAGTCTCCAGTATTTTTTGCTGCTATTGCATCTTTCTGCGGCAAACCCTTCCGCCAACTAGAAATTTAATTAAAAATGATAAATGTATACCATTTATTAAAATTTAAACCAAATGGCAATCGCTGCACCCTTTTTTGTTAATTGCCTTTTTTGCTCATCCTCCACAGGCGTCCCGAATGTTTCGGGTGTTCCCAAATGGTGGCGCAGGGTTGTACAAAAATGTGAATAGCAAAACAAGTTGCGCATTGTATAAACAATTAATTAATTTATTTCAAATACATAATATGCAATACACCCAAATAAAAAATCAATTTAAGTAATTGATGCTTTTGCATTGTGGTCTTTTCCGAGTCTGCTAATTGGCGGGGGGTGTTGCTGAAGACATTTTTCTCTGTTATCTTAATTTGTCTATTTTCGGCCAGGTGCATCATGACCCCACTGTTCAGAGCTGACTGTCGCCGAAATCGATCTTGTCCCTCATCCAGCTGCTGTGAACACGATGCATGCTCACTGCCATGCATCGCAACACTGTTATTGCTGCTCGGCAGATGCGTCGCTTGATACAGAGCAAGCGCTTGAAATGCGCCGTAATACCCCCCAACGCCTGGCCCCAAACAAGCGCAAGAGAAAAATAGGACTGTGTGCCGGCGGTGGAGGCAGGGATGGGTATCACTGGAAAAATTGATTGCATGCAATGGTAATAGTGCTGAATAATAATGTACATTTACATGTCTAATAAATATAGAGAGCATAGCCAATATATCCTTTTTAGGAGTGGTGTCATTGCCAGCCTGAAAATAAAATAACCAGAATCCCACCGATCCGCAACTTACAATTTGGCCTGGCTCGAGAAGGCTTTGCATAAATTGGCATCACGCCAGCAAATCCACGCAGTGCGGCACTGGATCAAGTATGTGGGGGTCAAAACGCGTAAACTAGTTTATTTTTCAATTTCATTGGAGTATTGGAATAACACCCTTTTATTTTTTTGCAATCCACTTCATCTTCACTAGATTAATGAAAGTAAATAATTGAAAAATAATGATGTTTGATTCGTCACACAGTCAAAAAATGAGGTGTGGGCAATTGCTTAGCCGATTCCTTGATTTTGTTTTATTAGATATATTTTATATTATGCATCTGTTTAAGAGGGTCGCGCGTCAATTACATTTACATTCTCAAAACTATAGATATGGCATAATTGCTAGTCATTTTAAGCTGTGCCTCAGGTATGTTACAAGTTAGTTCAGAAAATGTAACTGTAAAATAACTACATTCAATAATAGTTAGCAACACTAGTTCAACTATTCGAACAATGCACTTTTCAAAGTTTAAAAATGCAAATGTAAAGCACTCTCGACTAGTGTTGTATATAATTGGTTCACAATTGTATTTCATAATTTTTGTTTTGCAGCCCACTCAAAAAACTGTATCTAGAATCACATTATTGATTTATGACCCCAGAAAAATCATAAAATGAGGCGCGATATTCCACAGAATTCAAAGCCAATGCTCAAGGATGAAACAAAGACTGCCGACGAATCCAACTTTAAGTTCAGGTGTTGGAACTGCGACATTACATTGGTGTGCAATTACATTATGATATCCCTATATCGTCACAAATTTGATGAGCACCACCCTGCTTTCAAACGCCCTGCTGACTGCCAATTGATACGAATGCCACACCCAAGCCAAACACTACTCCCAAGCAAAACAAGAATGGTCAAATATTTGTTTTTTCTTCACATCAAGATGACTATTACTACCTGAAATTCGATACTCATTGGGTAAAGCCAGTGACTATGAAATGGATGGAGGAAAACCTAGTCCGAAACTCCCTAATAATAATTTTGTATTATTGTATTCTAAATTTAATATTTGCATGTGTCTGCTTTTACGAAATCAAAAACAATTCAATTACGCGTTCAGGTGCTACATGACCAAAGCACCTGCAGCCGACATTGGGCCACGGCCCTCAATGCCATTTGTGTATACTCTTGCATCATCATTCGACAAACCAATTGGTTGGGCAGCTGGCCGTATGGCTCACGTGCTGGGACTTGCTACTGGTAATATTAATTCTGTCACTTTTTCGGCCATTTGTTCAAGAATATGTGAATGATAACAGCGGAACAATTATTTAATTTGCGCCCATTGTTCGCCTACTGCATACCTCATATCGGAACAAAAATGATGGTGCGAGCTGACAGACCATTGACGCAATTGGGTGTTTGCCCAGTGCTGGTCAAATTTATATTTATGTCCCACCCCTTATCTGCCGTACCGTTTCGCTGTCTGAGCGCGATCACGATAAAAAGAACCAATGTCACTCTGGTCATCATGGTGACAACTGTTATTCTTCATTCTTCACTTGTCTCATTTATTTTTGTCATAATTACAATTTTTTGCAACAAATACAAATACAAAACAACTATCAGCAATGTCTTCGGATAACCAAAAACAACAGCAGAAGCCTGGCAAGTACCGTTCGAGACTTTGGCTCTTCATTCCGGCCAGACCCCGACTCTTCCAGCAATTCCCGCGCTGTGCCCATCTACCAGACATCAAGCTTTGTCTTCAATAGTGCCGAACATGGCGCCAACCTTTTCGCCCTGAAGGAGCTTGGAAACATCTACTCGCGTATCGGAAACCCCACCACCGACGTATTTGAACAGCGTATTGCCGCTCTCGAAGGCGGTGTAGGCGCCCTTGCTACTTCTTCCGGCAGTCTGCCCAATTCGTTGTTGCTGCTACCCTCTGCGAGGCAGGCTCAAACATTGTGAGTACCAGTTACCTCTACGGCGGCACCTACAACCAATTCAAGGTTGCCTTCCCGCGCCTGGGAATTGATGTCAAGTTTGCCAGTGGCGACGATGCTGCCGAAATTGAGTCTCTTATCGACGATAACACTCGCGCAGTGTTTATCGAAACAATTGGCAATCCCAAGTACAATGTGCCCGATATTCGTGCCATTGCCGACATTGCTCACAAGCATGGCGTGCCATTGGTTGTTGACAACACTTTTGGCATGGGCGGCTATCTTGCTCGCCCAATCGAGCACGGCGCTGACATTGTCACCCATTCGGCGACCAAGTGGATCAACGGCCATGGTACTACTATTGGCGGCGTTGTTGTTGATGCTGGCACATTCCCCTGGAATAATGGCCGCTTCCCTTGCTTTACTGAGCCTTCTCCTGGATATCACGGTCTTAAGTTCTGGGATACGTTTGGTCCCGAGGGTCCATTTGGTGCCAATCTTGCCTTCATTTTCCGCGCCCGCGTAGAAATCATGCGTGACTTGGGGCCTTGCGCAACACCCTTTGCCTCCTGGCTGTTTGTACAGGGCCTAGAGACTTTGCCTCTGCGCGGCGAACGCCATAACACAAACGCATTGGCACTGGCCAGGTGGCTGGCACAGCACCCTGCTGTCTCGTGGGTGTCATACCCGGGCCTCGAGGATCACCCGTATCATGAGAATGCCAAAAAGTATCTGCACAACGGCTTTGGCGGTGTGCTAAGCTTTGGAATTAAGGGTGGAAGCCAGGCAGGCAATACATTCATTTCCTCGCTTAAGCTTACATCGCATCTGGCCAATGTGGGCGATGCCAAAACGTTGGCAATTCAGCCTGCTGCAACCACCCATCAGCAGCTCTCTGCCGAAGAGCAAATTGCGTCTGGTGTTACCCCTGACCTTGTCCGCGTATCGGTTGGTCTGGAGAATATCGAAGACATCAAGGACGATTTTGAGGCCGCTCTTTTGGAATCCCAGAAATAGGACGCTTTCCAGCTTACTTTTAGGAGTCCTATGTTTTTAACATTGTGACAATGAAAACAAGCATAAACACTCAATTCAATACAACCTATTTATTTGTCATATATCATGTGATGTGCCAAGATTTTAACATCGGCAAATATTTTCACCCGTACAAATAAACTGCATGCAGCATGATGCTGAACAAATAAACAAACAATTACTAGTTGAATATGCAATAAAAACGTACAAGTTGGCATGTATAGCAACTCCATTATTAATTGCAACTCACACGATTGCAGAAATTTTCAGTTTAAATAACCATATTGGGCACGTAGCATCGAATGAAATATAAACGTGCGGATATTGCTGGCAAAAAATCTGCTCGAGTACCTGAATTGAACGCAGGATTTCAATTGCATTGTAGCCGAATTGGGCGGATGAAGAATACAAATTGAGCGCGACTAACACTGGTCTAAACGCAATATGTATGCACACAGTTGCGCACCTTCTCTTTTCCTCTGCCCCCAACCACCAATCATCACTCCCCGTGCTAACAGGTATGGAACGCAACTGCTAATTTAGGCAGCCTGCCCAATGCGTTTTTGTTTCAAGTTTTTTATTTCAACAACGCACAACAGCAAGCGAGCTGACATCAAGCAACCACGGGGAAGGATTCTGCCGGGCGGCGTGGGCGCAGTTGTTGGCGGTGATTGGCCCAGAATTGGCCAAAATTATCCGAATGAGGTGATTATGTTGGTCATTCGGGTGCGGACACAAAACCCACCAACACCGCTGCCAGTATTTTAACATGGAATATGAAAAAAGCACAGCAACCAAATATATATAGCACAATGAATTTGATCGATCGATCGACCGGCTGCTGGATTAATCAAGCGATAGCAGCGCCGCTCGTCTGGCCACTGCGGATAATTAGCGCGTGTGTCCGCACCGCACAACAAGAGCTATATTTCCAACTGAGCAAAAATGTGCTCGGGACTTTGGCTGCAAATGAGAGGTGTCGAGGTGCTTGGGATGCCTTACCTCTTTTTGCTTTGGGCGAATTCCTTTTGAAAGGTGAGAAGCGAAGTATCATGAGAAAAAAGTTGGCAATCGATGACGCCATCTCCAATTCTGTCATTTGTGCAGACTGCAGCGCCATACGTCTGCTGCTGCTACACTCGTCTTCTGCTGAGGGTAGTGCAGAGCGCATTAGAAAATTCGAAAAGCACTTGGAAGGGTCTAAGCGTATGGAATGCATGCATTTTTAAGTTGTCAGTAGACGCCAGCGGGTAATGCCGGAACAGGCAATTACAGTTCCAAAAATAAAGAAATAGAGAGCAGATGGGTGGGGTGGTGTTATTGAGTAATGTACAAGAGAAATTAAGAGTGTAAGGGTTACAAAATTATGCGTATCAGTTGGCTGAGAAGGCGAGGGCAAAATATGTTTTTGTACAGATTTGTGTTGTTCTGCGCCTAGTGGAGCAGCACGCTAATTGACGGCAGCGATGCGCCCTCCATGCCGTGCATGTTCGGGCTGTTGCACGCGGTTGAGGGGCTGTTCGAGCTGTCGCGCAACATCGACATCGGCATTGTGGACAAGGCCTGCTTTAGCGAGAACTGCTGCTGCTGGTCCTGTTGGCCGTAAAAGCGGTGGCTGTGTTGGTGCTGGGCGGAAGGGTAAGAAAAACTGGGCGCGGCGCTGGTCAAGTAGCCGACGCTAAGCAGCGGCGACGACGCCTGGCTGTGACCAAGACTAGGGTCAGGGCTAGCGCTGGCTCTCAGCATGGCATGCGCCAGCATCGGCGAGGCAGTGGCCGACGACGCAATGCTGTTAGCAGAACTATCGTCATCCTCAGCTTCAGCTTCAGCTTCGGTAAGCGCAGCGGCATTGCGGCAGCGACGCGCCTTCGAATACTTGGCGCTGTGCGTGAGCGAGTGTTTGCGCAGGCTGGTCTTGCGCGTGAAGCGCTTGGCGCAGCCAGGGTGGTCGCAACCGTATGGCCGCACGCCGGTATGAGTGCGACGGTGGCGGGCGAGTGACGACGAGTCGCTGAAGCTGCGGTCGCAGGCCTCGCAGGTGTGCGGGCGCTCGCCCGAGTGGGTGCGAAAGTGCACCTTGAGCGCCGAGCGCTGGATGAAGCGCTTGTCGCAGTCGTCCCACGGGCACTCAAAGGGCTTGACGCCCGTGTGGATGCGGAAGTGGCGCACCAGGTCCGATTTGCGCGCAAATGAGCGGTCGCAGTCGTCCCACGAGCACAAGAAGCTCTTGGCCGACGACAACGACGACGAGCTGCTGCTGCTAGTGTCATCGTGAGTGCCGTCGTGGGTGTCATTGTGAGCGTGAGCGTGAGCGTGAATGTGACTGTAAACGTTGGTGTCTAGAAGGGCGCCGACGTCCATTGTTGAGGAAATAAGTTTGTAAAAAGTTAAAAAGAGAGTGTGTGGGAAAGGTGAGCCAGTGCGAGAGGCGCGTAGCAGAAGAGATTGGCAGGCAGAATAGTTGGAGAATGCAGCTCTTTGGTTTGTTCGAGTAACGCCGGGCGGCAGCAGAAAAAGTGCGGGCGGGTGCCGCTGCTTTTATATGCGGGCTCCGAGCCCTCCACTCGGCTAAGCGCATGAGCGAGCGCTTCCGAAAAATAAAAAATCTCGGGAATTATTGGGCCTAGCAAGCGCATTTAGCATATGCAGTGACACCGCGAGATGGCGGGCATGCCGCCTCTAGTAAAGCACGAGCCAGCGCGCAATGGCCTCGATTGTGCTATCGAATGCCATCGCAGCGATCCCATTGGGCGGAAATTCGCACGGACGCCAAAGGCGAAAAAGCCTTTCTGCTACTTTTTTTTTGCTCCGAGCAGAAAGCAAAAACTAAGGGAGGGCTCATGCACGCCCCTGTGCTCTTTTTGGTTTGTTGCGGAGCAAGCAGCGAACAAAGGCCGCAAAAGAAAGATGACTCTCGCTCTTCCCCCCTTTTTTCCTTCTCATTTTGGCATTTACAAAAGCCAGTCGCGAACGTGATTTGCTGTTGCTGCCCCGAGCGCTGCTGCGTCTGCGTCCGCTTGAGATTTTTGTCGATAGCTGATCACGCCCCGATAACACCCACAATGGAATGGCCCATGGGAGAGACGCGAACAAGGCCGGCTGGCTGCCTGGCTGCCATGCCTTGTCCCTCCCCAGCCAGAGCAGAAATAGTGGACTGAGCGCGCGCCGGCGACTCTGTGCGTTATCGCGCATCATCTCTGCTCAACATCGATTGCAATAACACTGCTTTTCTAGCGCCAGGGATTATGCGACTGCTGCTCGTTCCAAAGTTACCATTGAAATTTCAATCATGATACGCGCCCTTGTGAAAGAAAATTATTATATGTTCCAAAAATGGCGACAAGGCAATTTTTGGATTTTCACACAATTGCGGCATATTCTATTTGCCAACCGTTATGTACGGCTTGGGAAATGGCGCAAAGGGTATGGCGAATTATGAAACAAAATATGGCACCGATTCTTCATCAGAATATCCAATCTACAAGATACATGTGCCGCATATATAAGCGAAACCCACGTGTCTGTCTGCTTCCGTTGTTGCTACTGCCATTTTGACACCGATTTAGACATCCTGCAGCCCATCGATTGTTATGGATATTTGAATTACAACGTGCATGTACCTGTTTCTGTTGCTGCGCGCGCCATGGCCGTGGGATTGCGCTATAATTGAAACATATTTGACATTGAGCACGTAATATAGACTGAATATAGCTTTTCGATATTTTGAGGTATAATAAAATGTTTAATGAGAAACAAACGTACCACCCAATATCACCCAATTGGTTGGATGTAGTTTAGTGGCTAGAGCATGAGGTTTGCATAAAACTGGGACGGATGCATGGCCCCACTGAGCAGAGCGTAGACAAGATGTAGGTCCTGGCCAATTTTGTTAAATAGCGCGGCGCAGAGGTAGTTATAGCGCTGCGCACAGTTGGACAGAGTCTGCTTGTCTTCTTTGCGCCAGTTACTAATGCAATCGGGGGAATGGGACAGGCGGAAAGTCTGGTTCTCGATCATCCAAGCAATGTCGGTGTTGCCAGCAAAAATCCAGAATCTGTTAAAGATGGCAATAAGCGCGTACGCAAAATGGTGGCGCATTTGGATCTCAGAAACTGGCGCCCATGGGTCAATGCCACAGCGAATTAATGCGGATGTATGCAATTTGCCCCACTGAGTACCTACAATGCTCCCCTGCGAGTAGGTAGACGGCTCGGGCGACGAATCGGCACTTGCAGACTGTGAATCAACCGACTGTCGGTACGTATCAAGCGTGTGAATATAATGACACTGCTCTGAGCAGTACTTTGAGTTAGCTTGTGTGTTGTTGTTGCAAGCGTTGGCACAAATGCTGCCTGTGCCTGCCCCGCTGCTAAGCATCTGCTGGAAATGGGTGGGTGACATTTACTCGTGTGGAAAACTTATAAAAAAGCAGCTATGAGGATATATTTGAGCATGTATTGATTGAGTAATGGTGGTCAGTATTGATTTGAAAAAGAATATAAATGTTAGAAATGTAGAGTGGCAGCTTAAAACGTATTGTTTGACAAAAAAGATTTTGCCACGAGCTCGCGCGCAGTATTTATATAAAATTCTATATTTATTTTCTCGTTAATATCGTGCACAATTCATTTTGCTTTTCATCCCCTGGCTTCGAAATTTCATTCGCTGAATGCTAGCTCTCATCGGATGAAAATACGACCCAATTTTTCACCTGCTTGCAATTCGGATAAAGCCTGTGCAATCGCCAAGACATTTTTTACATTGCTGCCAATTAATCTCTGAAAAACTCACTTGTCCCATGAATGAACAGAAACTTTTTGGTAATAATCGACCCGAGGAAAAAGCTAAAAAAAGTCAGAGAAATCTGGCACAGTTAAAAGTAAAAATACTGAATAACAATTGGGCTTTTCTCCAGCAAGATGAGATTGTTTGTCTCTGCCTGCGATTACGATTGCTTTTCAGCCGGCAGTTTCAATAGACCAAAAATAAATATAGCCGTTGAACGTAAAATGTTTATCTGTGCACCCAGGCCAATGGTAAAAATCAATAGTACATTTAACCACCACCATCCAATTGGCACTGCTAAAATATCATCAATCTTTATTTTGTTTACGGGTTGGTCAGCCAATCAACCACGAGTGGCAGCATGTCTTTGCGCGCGAGAGTGCATGGATGTGTGTTCGCGCATTTGCTCTGAGTTTATTTTAAATATGCTGATTCGACGCATGCATGATGTTATAATCAATGCATCCGAGAATCATATTTATCTATTGCCTGCCTATTGTTTGCCCAGTTGTTCAATAAAATTTTCGGCTAATACAGGTGTGCAAAAGCATAAAATACCCGGGTCAATTTGACTTCCATCACTTTAGCTTTGTCGGAATGCGCGCCACATCGCAGATTTCCAAGTTATTGGTCAGTGACCAAATCTCTGGGATTTCGGCACTTCTCCTCTTCATGCCGTAGATCTGGGGTTTATTAATTATGGCACCACAAAATCAGTGACTAACTGAAAAAGTGTCGCTGCAATGGTGTATTGACACGGCTTTATTGGCTAATCAGCCAATCAGTCAGCCCGCGATTCTGGATTCAATGTGTCAGTATAATTTTTTGAGTGGTTAGCCTGACAGTTAGCTGAAGTAGTGGGTGGCCGCCCATCCCAGGCCAAGAAGCAGTGGTTCAATGTTCCAGTACGGGTTTTCAAGGGGTGAAAGATGCCTCTTAGAGACTTTTTTGAATTTGGAAAAATAAATATTAGAAGCCTTGTGAGAAGAGCATCACCCACTACGGAAGTTAGCTGAAAGATCAATCAAGATTGTCATGCCCTATAAAAATGTGGGTCTAAATTATTATATTCAAGTATCAAAAATCATTTACAGAACTGAGAAAGGGGGCAGCACCGTGTGGGCAGTGCTGTAAGTAATTTTTAAGACTTGAATATATCAATTTAGACCCACATTTATAGAGCACAACAAGGATATTTTTCCTGATACTCTTGAACAAACAATTCGTAATAAAAAGCTTTATTGGACATTTGAACTGCATTTAAAGACTGGATGGCCAACACCAAGTATTTAATACAACCATCATTTGTACTTTCACTCTCTGTAAAAACAACCCCATTAATATACAGATTAGTAATGCTGGTTGAAATTGGCTCCACACGGTCAATCTCTAAATCAAATTGGCTTTTGTAGAGTACACTATCTATTCTCAATTCACTTAATTTGGGTAATCTGGCAAATATTTCTACAAGTTTGCTTGAATTTACCTGCTGTTCAATAATTAAACTATATATATTAGTCCATAGGATTATCTGGCGATTGAAGAATTCCATGTTCGCATTCAAAGTAACATTTTCATGAGTGATGTTGATTAAGCTTTCAAATAATGTGTTTGTTGAATCGTAGAATAGATTTAATCCATCTTTGGAATCTATTATAAGATTAATTGAAGATCTTGTTATAATAAGAGGGGGTGTGAGGAGCACTAGTTATCTAGTGTTAGAAAAGTAGGGGTGATTTTATAAAATGGTTTATTACTGATGTTACTAAAATACTACTAGGGCCGGGCTCATCTTATATATGTGTCTCGTCGCCTTTGTTGTGCACACTATCAATTGTGCGCTCCGTTGATGATAACTGGATCTTCTGCGAGCAGACCAGTATCTTGGCAAGCCAATGTTGTTGTTTTCGCGTCTGTGCGCTCATGCGTATGCATTGCAAAATGGGGAGCATGTTTAGGCATCAATGTAATGCCTCCCTAATTTACGCATACATGATCCAATTAGTGTCCTATCAATCGGCACGCAGGTGGAAACCTGTTTCGCGGTTCTCGACCTCAACATTCTCTTCCATATCTTCAGTCTGTGCAACAATCTATCAACTTTCCCTCCATTCGAGCTGCCAAATACTTTCAACAAGCTTGTAGAAGTATTAAAAATCAATGATTGAATATTATCAAATATGACTCAGCTATTTGACAGTTTACTTCCATTACCAATGTGATTGAACATCATTTTGGAATTCTCAGGTATTTGCAAGGTAACTTCTGTTGATTTAAGCTTAACATATTGATTGAGCCAGATCTACTTGACTTTTTGTTATTTTATTTCCTCTTTAATTTCTCTTCTCTTCAATTACATTTATTTATTTTCATAATCCAATAAAATTCATCATTGGGCAATCTAGTCTCACTTATATTCTCATTCAATATATTGGCAATGCCTTTATATGTATTGGTTGATGTCAATCAACTTATTAATCAGTCTTGGCTATTCTAACCAAACACACAATTATCAATAAGTTATACAATGACCAAACAAAGTAGTATGTTCTTCTTTACATTTTCTAGTGCATAAAACTTATATATTCAATACACTTTTATACATTGTATTTTATTTCTACACGTTCACAGAACGTCTCCGCAGAATTTAACAATATGTATAATCCAGGTGTACAATGTCTAAATTTTGGAATTAATGTTTTTGTAATCCTTGTCACTTGCAAATTTATCCCAAATGAGCTTTCTTAGATCACCTCCTATATCAATACTCTTAATATTTGCCGCGTTTATTTTAGGCAGTGATTTTATGCTAGCACTATCAATTTTCATATTTAATTTCCTGAGCTCAGATAAAAATGAATCAGCAATGATGACAACTAGGATACAGCTATATAAATATTTTAGTTTGTGGGCACATCCGTTAAAAACAATATTGCCAAAACATCTCACATATTTGTTCTGTAATATTCTGATTTAATATCTAAGTCAATACCATTTGGAATTTTCTCAACGATGTATTGGGCAAACGATGATACAGCTTGCATATAGTCATCGCCATGCATATTGTATTCCAACTAAGCGGTTTCAAAAGGAAAAATTAAAAAGCTTAATATATGCATATTCGAACATTTACTAAATTCAAAGTCTATTATCTTTTGAAGCCCATTGATTGTGGCAGTTTTAATATTCAGGGTTTTCAAATATGAACAAGAAACTGATAGTGTATCACACCTGGATTGCTGACTGTCAATAAACTTCTGGTGATCCGGAATATCCTCTTCATCACCTACATCTTTATTATAGGTTATACGCAATTATTTAAGATGTTTAGAATCAATTGTTTCGGATCCAGATTTGCTATGAAATGCATCCCAGGTAAATGTTTGATTGGTATTTTTAAGATTAAAAATTCTTAGAGACTGCAAATAATTTGGGAAGATTCTATATATTAGTAGAATTGCAATCATCTTTTAAACTAGTTAAATTAGGTAAAAGCTGCAATGCTGAGAATGTCACAGGGTAATGAAAATTAATATTGTCTAGTTGATTGAAGTACTGTGACGCAATTAAATACTGCTTGTCCCCAGTAATTGATTTATCGATCAATCATCAGTCTGTCGTGCTCTATAAAAATGTGGGTCTAAATCGATATATTCAAGTCTTAAAAATCACTTACTTAACTGAAAAAGGGGGCAGCGCTGTGTGGGCAGCGTTGTAAACATCATGGTGTTCCTTGATGTCAGCCAGCAATAACAGAAATGTGTATAGTGGCCATGATGGCGATTTTGATTCTTGAAAAGGGAAGATAGTGGCTTGAAATGTGTGTTGGGCACCACACAGTCAATTCCCTACTCGGATATGCGGTAATATTCATACAAGCAATATAAATACTAGTGAATATTAACAGAAGAGGTTCATTTTGTTGGAATATAGGGAAAGTTCTATGAACGTGTAGATAAAGTATAATGCTATGAAGTTTATTTAATAACAAGTGCTATGCACTGTGTGAGGTAAAGAGAAGAGAGCATATTGCTCTGGTCACTGTGTGACTTATTGTTTGTGTGGCTAAACAGCCAAGACTGGTTAATCAGTTGATCGCCATCAACCAATACATTTTTTTAGCGTTTTTTGGTTCATTCAATCAATACATTTTAACATAACATGTACAGATTTGCCAAAGAGCTTTGAAAATTGACCTCATTATTATAATAATGAGAATATAATTGCATGCAAGATATTTTGAGCATTTGCATTTTTATGCAAGAAGCCAGGCTGCTATTTTTATTAATTGTGAATATCGATTTTTCATTGTCTGAAAATTTGTTAATACCTATAAAAAGCTTTGTCACGTTTGGCCAATAATATTTTTCAAAACAACCAACATTGGGGCTGTGATATTCAAATCAGTGAGCACTAGGAAATGCAATTTAGACTTATCTGGAATCTCTTCAATAGTCAAGTGAGATTTAGATCCCCAATTAAAATAAAATTTTAGTATACACAAGTTTGGAAGTTCTCAATCTTGAACTGGCATTTCTAGCTTGCAGTCCAAATTATATTTAGTGTTTTTATCTGGTCAAAACAGACTTGTTTAGAAAGCAAGGGTAGCAACCAGGGATCAACCTTTTTAATATTGTGCGCATACAATGCATCTGGTCTTCTGTTAATCATGGTTAAATTATCTGTTACATAGACATGCAAGTTTAGCTGACTAACATTGGGCTTGTATTTTGCAAGATACTCGGCAAAATTAATAGCATATTGTCCATAATCGTACTGTGGGACATATTCGATAATATCGTCTTCCCCCTTTTTGTATTCTGAATACCAATTATCAATACTGATTCTACTAACGCCAGTCCAGTGGCATGTTCAGAATTAAAATATCAAGTCAGCATCAGAAACTAGAAAGCCAAAGTGTTGTAGATTCCAGATATAAACAATCAAACTCTGGACTAGATGCATGTATCATGTGGCCTTAATCAATTCAATATTCAAATTAAGAAGTCTGTCTTCTGCATTACTGTCTTTGGAGCCCTCGGAAAGTACACCAGGACAATTTGTAGATGAATCCATAATGGCGTTGCAATAGACTAAAGGCAGGACTGCCTCTCTCTGCTTGCTACATATGTGCAGCAATTTCAAACTGGCATTACACCTATGTATTTGGGCCTCATTGGTGTCAATTACCATGCACATAATTTGGTCGAAATCACCAGAAGATGACTAGCTGAAGTAAGACATAATTATTAGACAAAATAGTTGTTTCAAGTTGATTAAAAATCAAAAAAATTTATTCAATTAAATGGATAGTTGAAAGTAAAGAGAAGAGAAATAAAAAATGGGGTTTGTTTAAAACTAGAAATAAACGTAATATCCATTAGATATGTTTTTGTCAAATGAGCTGCATGATAGCCTGGCCCAATGCAGTGTGGCAACGTAATTATCAGAACACATGGAAGACTACTACCAGCATTGATGCCAATGTCAGACACTATGGCAACAACACCAATCAAAAGCTCTACCTCAATACCCCCATACTTTAAATAGCAGGGCTCTCATGAGACAATTGGGAAACATTGGCTGAGAAAATAGACTGCAACTGCCCCCACAGCAGAATAAAGCAGGCGAATGGCAAAGGAATGCTGGAGAGCAGACTAGAGTGGTGGCCCAGGGTAGCACTGCCTATAAATGTGGACAACTTTTTGGAATGGACCACAGACATAGTCATGTCCATTGTAATGCAAATAGAGTTGGTTATAATATATATTAATAAAATGAGACTACAAAAAGAGCTAAAGAGCTTACTATTTAGATATCGTTATATGCGTGAAATATCATAAACATATTTCATGGGTCTATGCTGTCCTATGACCCAGCCCCCTTTCTGGTGTCACAGATGCACTGACCCAGGTTCCCAAAATAGCTGATTGTGAGAAACGAGCAAAGCTGAGCAAAGAGAGGCTTTGCAAGTTATATTTAAAAGGAAGAAAGTTAAGAGACTGAGGAAAGCTATCTCTTATATAGGAGACAGTGAGTAAAGATAAGAAAGGTAAACAAAAAAAGGATACTTTAGAAACTTCTGGTCTTGCAATCATCTTACAGTGTGACATCAGAAATGGGGGCTGAGGCATGTGACAGCACAGACACGCGAAATATGTTTATGATATTTCATGTATATAGCGAATTCTGGATAGTGAGCTCTTCAGCTCTTTTCATAGTCTTATTCAGATTAATATTTATTATAACCAGCAAAATTCCTCATTACATACAGTATGCAAGATGGAATTCCACCAAGAACGGAATTCTAACACTCCCCTGACAGGGTGCTCACATCATACCAGAGGATGAGCGATGTCTGACAAAGGCATCTAGGGGCAATTGCTTGGTCAGATAGTCAGCAGCTTGGTCAACAGTCAAAATATACTTGAGATAATATACTTGCTGAGATAGTGCAGTATGGGGAAGTTGCAGAGTAAACTTGTAGTGCTTGTTGACATCAGTCACAGCACCAATGCATGTATTGTTCATAGTGCCCTCATTGTCACAGAAAATGGTGGCAGGGTCAACATGTATACAGATATCACACAGCAGGTCTTGTAGCCACATGAGCTCATGGACAGCAGAGGTCAAGGCAATGGTCTCAGCTTCAACTGTGGATTGAGGTGGCAAGCCAAGAGCACATTTCTTTGACATCCAAGCAACTGCTCCTCCTGCCAGAGTGAATACATAGCCAATTACCATGGCTTCTACAGTATGCAGTCCAAATGAAGCATCACTGTCCCCAACTAGGTTGAGGTGTTCAGACTGACGATAGTGAATGGCCATGTTGCAGGTGGTCTTCAGATACTTGAGCACTCGCTTGGCAGCACCCATGTGTTTCATCAGTGGCTCTTGGTTGAATGATGCAAGCACAGAGGTGACCAGAGCAATGTCAGGCCGAGTGACCATGGCCAGGTACTGCAGGGAGCCAACAATTGAGCAGTATTCAGTGGCATTGCACTTGGCAAGGTGTGGGGCACTTTCTCCAAGCTTGGCAGAAGCAGCAATGGGCAGATCAACGTCATTGGCTTTCTCAAGGCCTTACTTGCTGACCAGGTTCTGGATGGCAGTAATCTGGTTGATCTTAATGCCATCAGAGATGTGATGCACATTGATGCTCAGGATTGTGCTGCACAGACTCGGCTCCTTCATTGAGAACTCAGCAAACAGGGCAGTTTTGACCTTGGCCAGAATGTTGTCATCAGATGCAGCCAGCAGCAATTCGTCAACATAGGTTGTCAAAATGCATGTTGCAGAGCCACTTTTAAGCCAGTAGACACTTGGGTCGGCATTCCTGCACTGGAATCCAAGGCTGCCACAAAGGAAAGTATTCAGGCAATGATTTCAAGTGCACGGTGCCTGCTTCAAACCATATAGGGAGTGGTGTAGCTTGAGAACACTCTTGGTCTAGTCACCAGTCATGCCATCAGGAATCTCGACATATATGTCTTCTTCCAGGTCACCATGCAGGAAGGCAGTCTTGACATCCATGGAGTGCAACAGCCAGCCATGATAGGCTGCAAGTGCTATGACTATACAAATAGACTTGTAGGTCACCACAAGTGCAAACACATCATAGTAATTAATCCCAGGGTGCTGCTCAAAGCCTCTGACTATCAGGCGGCCCTTGTACAATGGTGGCTTATCATTTGAGCCTTGCTTGACAACAAATACCCAGCGTGTGCTCAGAGGGTGAATTGAGGATAAGCATGGGACAAGCTCAAACACCTCATTCTCAGCAATAAATGCCAACTCGCTTTTGATTGCAGCCTTCCACAAGGGTGCCTTTTCTGAGTGCATGACCTGGATGTAGGATGTGGGGCCTGATACAGCCACACCACATAGCAAGGCATCATTGCTCTGTATCAGAGCATCATGGTTGAGCATGCTGGTGCTGTCGGCCTGCACTGTTGGAATTCCGTTTTTGGTGGAACTCTGTCTTGCATACTGTAAGATGATTGCAAGACCAAAAGTTTCTAAAGTATCCTTCTCTTTTATTTACCTTTCTTATCTTCACTTTCTGTTTCCTATATAAGAGACAGCTTTCCTCAGTCTCTTCACTTTCTTTCTTCAACTTAAAATTTTATCTTTTTCTTCCTTTAAATATAACTTGCAAAGCTTTTCTTTGCTCAGTTTTGCTTGTTTTTTGCATGCACTCTGTTATCCACTTGCAACCAGTCTGTTGTAAGCTGGCTGGTTCTAGTGGTGAGAGTGCCTTGCTCATGAGCAGCAATGTCAGTAGTTTGTGCTGAGGCTGCTGAGGCTGCTGAGCGACGGTTGAGCATGGGTGTTACTGGGTCAGTAGCTCTGGCAGCAGTAGACGATAGCCTCAAGGGAGATGGGTTGGTTGGCTGGTGTCTGTGGATGTTGACACTGGTGCTGGTAGTATCTTGAGCACTGTGGCTTGACAGAGATGATGGATGCCCAGGAAAGGGCTCTCTGCCTAGTGGCTCAGTGGTTGATGTACTGTTTCTGCTGTTGCTGTTCCTGTTGCTGGTACTTGTGGCTGTGGCTGAAGAATGGCGAACTGGAGTGTGCTGGGGTGTTGAGCTAGGACTGTGCTCCTCATGGGCAGTGACAAATGAGGCATCAGTAAACTCAAACTCACTGTTGCTGTTGTTGCTGCCACATAGGATAGACTGGATTATTCTGCTGTTTCTCTGGTGCCTCTCCTGAACATGCCTCCACTTGTCCTCCTCTTTCAGCTGTGCCAGATGCAGGTTGTCATCTTCATCAAACTGATCTGCTATGTGTATGGGACCACGCTGTGTGGGCATGTCAGTCATGTCTGACTCATGGAAGTAGAATGGTACAGAGGGTGCACTTTCATTGTAGAATGGAAATTCTGCATCCACAAACTTGGCTCTTGAGGTGTGTAGAACATGGCCAGTGTCTATGCAATACAGCAGCGCCTTGCCATCCTTGGTTCCCAGGTACACACACTTCTGGGCATGCTCATCAAACTTAGAACGCAGCTCAGGAGGGTACTCACTCCAGACCAGACAGCCAATTGGATGGATGTTGGCAATGTTGCTGGCACTGTCCAGATTCTCAAAAGGTGTAATTATGCCAAGAGCATGCTTGGGCAGACAGTTGAGCACCCAGTTAGCATGCACAATGGCAAAAGCCCATAGACAAAAAGGGACGCCAGACTGCAGCAGCATGGCATTGGCCATTTCTACTAGGGTGCGATTGTATTGTTCAGCTACACCATTCTGCTGGTGTGACATCAAAAATAAAAGCTAAGTCATGTGACATCCCAGACGTGTAAAATATGTTTATGATATTTTACACTTACTGCGAATTCCGGATAGTGAGCTCTTTAGCTTTTCTCATATTCTCATTCAGATTAATATTTATTATAACCAGCAAAATTGCATTACATTTGGTAGCATCTCAAATTCGACAATCTGTGCCTCCTCATCAACGATCAAGTGACCAACAGACAAACTGGTTAAAATATATATATGAAACAGCAGCTATGACTGGAATGTCACCATATGAATCTGCAATGAGATTCAGCCCAACACTGGCACCAGACGAGAACAATGCAGAGAAGGTGGCAATTGCTGTTGGATCCTGGGTGAGAGATACTGAGGAACACTTTATCCACACAAAGCTAGACGAGAGCATATGGGTAGTTGTAGCCTCACACAAGATCCCAACAGACAAGAAAAACGAGTATTGCAGACATTGTATGGAACACAAAAAGGATCATTTTGACTGGGGAACGTTCAAGGAGTTCCTGACAACCACATACTCATGTGATGTGTCATAGTATGACACACTGCACAAATACTACCATCTGCAACAGCCTGGGACATTAGAGACCTTAGAGGAGTTTGTGGTGCAATTCAAGTACCTTGCGGAAATTCTGGAATTCAAACTCTCAGACAGGCATGTTACCATGACCTTCCTTATGAAGCTACTACCAATGCTCAACCAACAGATTCTGAGCAAATCAACAAGCTTGACAGTATATGAGATTAAAGCACTGACTTCCTGTGCCAGAGTTTTCCTATGCATCCATGGGCACCACAATAATACAGCTATGAATGTGAATGCAATAATGGTGAATGCAGTGCAGACAGAAAGGAGACACAGTGGCCTGCCCCCATTTGCAAGTATCTCCAAGCAGTCGGGCTGCACCAAGGAGATGTTTGAGAAGTGGGCTGCTGATGACGTGTGCCTTGGGTGTGGCAATGATAAACACAAGTGGCATTGATGCCCTAAAAAAGAACACCCAAAAGTGAGAAGGGCATGAGTGGATGTGAGTCCTCTGCCCTTATCATCTCTGAAATTGCTGTTTACCCCTAAATAAAACTGCTATTAACAGACAAACCTCACCTGAGCCCCAACTGATTTTAAATGCAACTATAGACACCAAAGCCATCCGTGTGCTCATCGACAATGGATCACAAATTACCATCATCAACAAACAGACCTGCAACCGACTTAAACTGAAATCCGAACGACTACAACACAGCCAACCAATACAACTGGCCAATGGCACACATTACAAGGACTGCACCAAGTTGTACACAGTAACACTGCACCTCCTGAGCAAGCTAATAATTACAATGCATTGCCTTGTTCTTTCAGTTTCCGAAGATATAATATTAGGAAATAACTGGCTAAAAATAACAAGGCCATGATCCACAGCCACCTTGACAAGGTGACATTTGACTATGGCAGGAAAAGCTGGTCCATCTGGGGTAATGCAGAGCCTCAGACTAACGAGGACCAGCTGAAGCCTATGTCAAT